TATTTTGTCATCTTCTTCATGCTGAAGGAAGTTTTGGATGGCTTTAAATATTACTCAAACTTTATGACTAGCCATTTTAAGTTTTAACTGTAAGGAAAAGTTGTTCTTTAAGTTAAAGCAATGACGTCGGAGACCCGCAAATGCTCTGATCGCGAAAAGAGACAAAGTGTTGGCAGGTGACAGCAAGCTTTTGGTGATTAACGAGTACAGATAGATAATTTTTGGTCAGAACGAAATGTTATTTACCCACCTGATAATTTATTTTGAACTCGTTCCACTTTTTTTCTCTTCTGTCGTTTTCACGAGAGCATTTTTGCGAATCCTTTCAAGCTTCGTGGATCGCAATGGTACAGTGACTACACAAAAGACTGAGACTGATGCATTTAAGTGTGGGCTCCTGGAGAAGTTTAAATTCTAATTTTTTTCACTTCAAAGCAGGATATTGAATTTTTATAACGCATGCTGTAATCATCATTCGCACAAAACACTGATAACTTCAAAAAGCTGCGGGGTGCCTTTTTCATGGGGTGAGAAGCACAGGTTCGAGCTGCTGTTAAGAAGTCAAGCAGTTAAACTGCTGTTGGGACATGAATCAAATAACTGATAGAATCGCTTGCTTGGAGAGAAATCAATGCAGACTGTGACAGACAAAACATTGATAAGCGCATTCCTTACGGAGACAAGAGTGGTGTGATTTTATCCGATTGATTGAAAATATTCGGGAAATTGTTTGGCGTCAATTCTTATGCCTTTGAAAAAAATTCAGAATTTTTGAATAATAAACGTGAAGCGAATTCGCGAAATAAAGGGTGTTATACAGGTTCTTCTGTGTCAGTTTCCATTATATTCAATATTTATCGCCGCTTTTATTTCAGTCAACGGGAAAGTTTTTATCTCTGATTTGAAATTTTACCGAAGGGGTGAATAGTCGAGGCATCTTTGAAAAGGGCTTTGTATGAAGTGTAAATCAGCCAAGTTTAAGGAGATATCTCGTTCCACTAGGTTCAAGGTTAAGGCTAGGGTAATGGATTTTAGACGGTATAGCCCGGTGTGTTACCAGAAAAAAGGGGCCGACGCTCAGACTTATTTTAGTGAATGAACAGAAGGAAAAGGAACCTATTGAGAAGATCAGGTTGGGAGAGAAAGGGGTACGACTGGTGGAATATGCTCTATCCTTTAGCCATTAATGAAATCGAGGCAAAGTTATCTGACAAAACTCATGACTGTTGTCACGTTAACTTTATGTTCTTATTTCAGACATCAGGGCCCTGTTGTCTAGGGGGCAGATAACTCTATCCAACAGATAAATCGCTTTTTAGGGGACGAGTGCTAACAAAACGTGCTGCGCAATCCACCATGAAACCAGTGAAATGCCATAGGGTGTTTCACGTGAAAAAGTATCTTTGAGATTCATCCGTAACCCAGTTAATACAAATATCTGTTGAAAATTGTAAATCTTTGATACGCTGCATTTTGATTCGTCTAAGCTCGACTGAATAGTATTTTAAGCGTGAATACGGCCCCATCAATCGCTATCAAGATGATTACATTTTCTTTGATTGCGCTGCCTCTCAGTCAACCAGCGGTGCGACCAAAATTAATATTCGTAATAAAATCATAAAAAAAAACTCTGCGAGATGAGAGCGAAAGAAAGAATGAGAGAGATTGGCGGTCATATACAGGAGAATAATGCTTATTGATGGAGTTAGTTCAGGCCGGCGGGTCATGACGCACGAACCTCGCTGCTCACGGCAAGTACTTCGTGGCCTCGTGCCAAATTTTTTCTGTCCGGCGGTGAAGTTGAAAGTTCTAAATGATAAACTATTTTGCAATAAAATATCGCAGAATGCTATCTTAATTCTTTTAAGTTTTTTGCGATTCCTTTCACAATTTAACCTTCAGACATTTCTGCAGTGACATCCTCTAGCTACTCCTGACTGTTTTTTCTTTTGTGAGGTTTGTCTGCTCTTTTAAATAATGTATACTGATCTTAATTAGCTCGCTTAAGTTACAGCCAATAATTAGTTCAAGTTATAGATACTCTTTCACTGCTAATGGCATAAAGGCTAATCGAGGCGGCGGAGAGGCGATATTCATTTAAAGGGAAAAAGAAATTTACAAAGAGAAAAGATTTACGGAAACTCATCGAAAATCCATAGGCATTAAACGAAAGAAAACTGGATAAATAAAACTGAAGTTATTCCTAAATAGTGATGTTTTACAAGCTACTAAAATAAAGCTTTAGATTTTTCAATCAAATGAGAGACTTCAATATGGTTCTTATCTAACTTTAGGTTATCTCGATGTATTTACTTCCTCTTCTTATGCAATTTGGATTCACAAGGCGATCTGATACAGTAAGGAATAGCGTTCCAGCCTTGATTAATTCCCTTAACAGCAGAGCGCATCTCTGACTGTCATTTTCACCGCCTGTTTTATTTCAGAAATTTTCCAGCAGTAAAGAAACGGGTTCAACGCCGAATTTAAATAAACCAAAATCACTGATAAGTCCCAGATTAGAACATTAAATGATGACAAATGATTATTGAACAAAGATGTAACTATACCAAAGGGAAGATAGCAAACAATTAATGCCACCTGAACCCACAGCACACTGGACACTGCCTTACGGTATCGCGGTATATCCATTGCAATTTGCTGTCTCCGTTGCTGTTGACATGGACGATCTTGCACTTCGAATTGGTGGCGGCGAATTGTGCAGAAAATCATTATACACGAGAAGACCGTGGTTGTTAGACTGCAGGACACGACAATCAGGCCATACCAAAAAGTTATCAGGAAACTCACTAGGTACGATACTGCCGCGACGCTACACACGATCCAAAAGATAAGTATAAGAGAAAAGGTTCGCTTCAGGGTTACCACTTGTCTGTATCTCAGGCCTAACAACAGGGCTAGAAGTCTGTCCACACTTACTGCAGTGACTGTCAACAGGGAAACTGTTCCCAACATATAACCCATGATGAAAGATATAGCTGAAGAGAATCGACAAAGGTGCCATTCACCCAGGAGGAGAGATATCAGATAGGCAATGTTGCTTGGTTCTGCAATGAGACCAACTAAAAGATCCGTCGTCGTTAGACAACGGAGCAACAGTTTAGACGGCGGATGAAGGGAACAATCCTTGCGGAGGGCGAACAGGATGAGAGCATTTCCAAGAAAGGCAACGACGGATACAATTGTATTTATCGTTATTAGATAGAATAGTTGCCCTTGTACTGCGCTTGTGGCATCCATCGAGCATCGCATCTTTTGGAATGTTTCAGCCTGCCCTTCGGTTCGGGTGTAGTTTGCACTCGTCATTTTAACTTATCTACTTATGTGTAGCTTTCTAGACACATTAAACGTAAGACGCGTAGACAACGGGAAAATTGTTCTGAAACTGAAAAATAAGAAGCAGGTGGGCACGAATTTAAATATTAGCTCTGTACATAAGTTTCAAAAACAGAAATTGGGAAAATAAATTTGCCAAACTTTCATTTTCATGTGTTCGTGTTGTTTTAAACTGATAAAAGTCCATTTAAACCATTTCCGTTTGTTTTATAAAGTAATGTTTATCTTTTTTGGAGTGATGTTTTTAATTGCGCCGAAAAGGTAGCGAAATATTTCAAGCGAAGTCGGATTAGCTGAACAAGTTTTACGATTAAACTAATATTCAAATCTATAGTTAACCAAAGAGCTGAAGTCTTTCGCGTGACCCTTAAGCTCTGAAATAAATGCTGGAAAATTTCTACTACTTTCCTAATTATTAATTTATTTAGCATACTGATTAAAATTAATCACAGAATCATTTCCTTGCTTTTCTAGCGTCTCTGTCTCAGAATCCTTTCCCAGTCATTTCTCGAATATTAATTTTCTATTAACAGCCCGTGAAGATAAGTAATTACAATGTGAGAAGAAATGGGACGCGTCTGAAAAAATTCGAAATGAACAGCATGCATTCATACTGCCATGTCATCCTAAATATATAATCATTTTTACTGCAGTCTGTTTCATAATTTGCATCAAAGATTGCATAATAGGAGAGAAAGATCATGATGAGGAGTTGATCCTTTAAGACGATATGACGGATTTTTTTAATAACGGTTTGGCATTTCTTTAATGGCGGAAATGAAAAAAAAAAATGGCTCAGTTTACTTTGTTTGACATGCGACTTATCGGCAGCTTTCTTAATATGGAAAATACTACGTTATCAGGTATCAATATTGATCCCCTCTTCCCTATCCAGCTATCATTGCCTTCACCTCCGGCAAAGTGAAAGTTTAATTTTTCTTTCCAAAATTATTGGTAAATTAGTAACTTTTTTCCAATGAAAATGTTGGCCACATATCTTAATGGGCACTCACTCACTTAGCTAACCTTAGCTGACTGTCAAAACGTACAGAATGCTCTAGTTAATATCTCAACATCCAGCAAATGGAACAATACCTTCTCGGACTTCTCAAAGTAAAGTAACGTGACTCCACTTTATAAGTAATCACAAACTCGTGCAGTTTCGTACTCGATTGGAAAGAGAGTTTTGCATTACGCGCAGGAATTGATAAATTTTAGATGGAGTGAAGTCTTTATAGGAGAATATCACCATTAGGGTGTGTATAAATTTATTCTATTATTTTATCCACTTCCGGCAAAAGTGAGAGTTTTAATTTTATTTCAACATTTCTTAAGAATTAACCTCTTACCAATAAATAGGTAGATAGGAAAAATCCGAAGAAACCTTCTGCAATTCTTTTTTCTCAGATAAGCAAACTTTATCGGATTATATTTCTTCCAAATATAGCAAAGAAGAGCATTTATATACATTATTTATTAATAATATTTAAAATTACTTTATTTGCAAAAAAATCCCGCTTCCTCTTAATTGTCAAACTAAGTGATAATGACTTACGTTAAATTAAGTTTCGACGACGAACTCAAATGGAGCAGAAATTGACTTAACTTTTGTCAGTATATATTATCTTGTGTGACTTGCTAATGCTCTAATTCCATATACAGTTAAATGCTTGCCTAATCGTCCCCTTGACAACTTGTCTAATTTCACTAATCCTCCAGCAGTAAAGAAATGGGTTTAACGACGAGTTAAGATAAACCAGACTCACTGTTACCGTCCAAGAGACAAAATACGATGATGAAATGTTCTCATGACTAAACAAAGCTATGACTATACTATATGGAAGATAGCAAACAACCAACACCGCCTGCACCCACAATGCAGTGTACACTGCCTTTCTGTATCGAGCGATGTTTAGTATTGTTTGGTTGGTTTGTTGTTGTTGGGTGCGTTGTTTCACATCGATCTGATGACGACGAATTGCGAAGAAAATCTTTGTGTAAGAGAGGATTGCGGTTACTAGACATAATGTTATTACTATGCGGCCATACCAAAATGTTATTTGGTGACCTACCAGATACGTTGCAGAGACTAAAGAGGACAGAACCCAAAAGGTTGTAAGGACTACAAACGTTCTCTTTACGGTTACTATTTCTCTGTATCTCAGCCACATGAACAGGGCTAGAAGTCTGTCCACGCTTATTCCAGTTAAAGTTAGTAAGGACACTGAACCTAACATATAACCTGCCATGAACGATGCTACAGCTGAAAATCGACAAAGATTCACATCGTAATTGATAATGGACGTTAAATAAGTGATATTGAGTGGCTCTACAATGAGAGCAACGCATAGGTCAGTTATTGCTAAACAACGGAGTAAAAGTCGAGACGGTGTTGGAAGGGAAGAATCTTTTCCAAGGGCAACTAAAATCAGCGTGTTTCCAATGAATGCAGTGACAGATATGATAATGTTCAGCAATAGAATATATGTTAAAATCTCGTGTATTCCACTCGTCAAGACCATTGAGCACCGTATTTCTTCAAACGATTTAGCCTGTACTACAGCTCCGCTATAATTTCTGATCCCCATTTTTCCTGAAAACGTGGGATGTTTCGACGACAGCAAGTTTGGGTGCGTCTGCGTCTGTGTACTGCGTTCTAATGAAGTTAAAAGAAAGGAAAGTAGGAAGTGTATAAGATGTTTGCTTATCATATTTCGATCCATTAAGACTCAAGTCAAAGGCGGTATTTTAATTTCCGGCTTCCTAACTGTTACGTTTATTTATGGAGAAGGACAGAACTCTTTCTTAATGGTACTATTAATTTTAAGGCCAAGTAATTGAAAAAAGGATTAAAACCAATTTTAATTTTTTCAGGAGTCATAATTCATTTGAACAAATATTTGAAGCTATTTTAAATTCTTAAAATAAAAGGGTAGCGATGCTGATTGGTTATACTAGTAAGGGACTCCATTTGGCTATCCACTTAAAGCATGTCATAAAATTTAACTAATATCTTCAAAATACATGAGGCAAGCGGCGTTATTTGAGATGTAGATGTTAAAGCGAGATGTCAACGTGCCTCAATATTGATCAGGTACCGCCACAAAAAAAAAGCAAAAACGAAAACAAAAACAGAAAAACAATATTCTTAAAAGTTACCAACCATGTAAGCGATCTAGAGATGATTAGTTTAGATCCAGGACCAAATTGATCAATCCTCTCACAGAGCCAGCCGGACTAACGATACAAATACGGCGCTACTAATGTACAGTCGCAATTCACATTGTGAATGGAAAGGATTATTACTATGATTAAGCTGTGCAATTAGATCCTTGTTCCACAGAAAATAAGGCGGCTGAAGACGCGTGCCAATTTTTAATTTTCGAGTTACATTAATAAGCTCATTTGAACAATGCTGTTAGTTTGAGGAAGATTCGCAATCGTCAATTACGGTCTTCCTTTGTAATTTGCTGTACTAACTCATATGAAACAGAACTTCCTCTCCTAATATTGGTTTTCGGCATAAGTCATGGAAGGAATGATTCTAATAACTTCATCATCCACATTTAGAATGAGGAACAGATATTTTTAATCGATAGTTACGTTCTCTTTCAAAAACGTTCAGGGGCAAAATTCAAGGAACGAAATAAATTTGTGGCAAGGAAAAAAGTGAGCGTTGAGGAACAGATAATGTCCAAGAACAGATATACGAGCATATTTTCGCGATAAATAGAAGCCATTTTTTTCTTATCCTCCAAATATTTTGCAACGTGCGTGAAAAATGTTTAGAAAAAGCTTACTGTTTTCTGCGCGGTATGTTTTCTTTTGAGCATTCTCTGGCACGACTTAAAGAACAAACATATATTTCCCTTCTTCTGTAACAATGGTAAACACTCTCTCATCTTAAATCAAATTTTTAAACAAAAGTTTATCTTAGTGGACGTAAGGTTTGAAAATTGGAGGGTATCACTTAAGTGATATCCTCGGATAACCCTAGTTTTAGCTGAGGAATATTTGTTAGTGAGATGCGTTAAAACCAGTCGCGCGTGAGCATGAATATTTGATGAATCATGAAGTTAATTTATGGTGAGAGAGGAAGCATTTTGTGGTTGTTATCAGAGGGGGGACATGTTTGTTTGTTCATAAAATCGTACCAGGGAACACTGAAAGGTGAACATCCTACACAGTGAACGGTTAACTGTTCTTATACACTTTTTTTAATAGTAATTTGAAAAAAATAGTTGAAGGATGATAAACAAAATAGCCTCCATTTGGCGCGGAAATATACTCGTTCGTTCTCTCTTCAAGGACGAGATTACTCATGTTTGCGGGAAACCTTAGGCGTGTTGACTTAAGTCAAGGAAGATGTTATTCAGTGACAGCTAGATATGATTTTTTTTTGACACATAATATAAATAATGTAGATGCAAGTGTGAATAGGACCAAACTCGGTCCTGACAGGATACAAGTAAATTCGAAACACGCAAACTTGGTTTTTTTCGCAGAGTTAGTGTTGTAAATGATTAAATCATACAGTTTTTCGTCAAATATGTGTTTTTCAACTTTGCTGTCATTATTTAGTTAAGGGCACGGGTTTCTGTACATTCTTGCTGCTCAAGCCATTTGTTCAGCCTTCACGTGCACGTCACATAACTAAGTGTTTGTTTTTACTTCTGAAACGCTCCAAGAATTAATTATACCTAGGACTTCAGCCGCTTTCTGAGAGACCCTACTTTCTCTTTACGAAATAATCCTGAGAGAACTAACGATCAATGAGGATAACAGTTATTCCAACGCAATTTATCAAAGAAAATTTTTTCTGTTTGTTAGGCCGCTATTTGGCGGTTACAATTTACGCCGGATAACTCTAGGCACGATTTGTGAAGGCTTTGATTGATGCTGTCGATTTCACTTTGGTGGTAATTCAGGATTTTGACTGAACGTCAATAAACAGTATGCTCAAAAGATCGCTCAAAAGTTAAAATAATCCGTTGTTGTTGTTTCAAACATTATTAGCCAGAAATAATAGTTTTCCAAATCGTATAAACTCTGACTTAATGACAAAATCTAGGCACCGTCTGTTACCGCATCAACATTGTCACGTTTTGCTTTCCCTATTTCCTACCTTTTTTTGCACCGATGAATGCTCTCTCAATTCTGCCACACTGCGAAAATTTTTGAGCTACGAGCGAAATCGCGCTTTTCTCTGCCTCTTGTCATGGCGAAGTGGCAAAGGGCAAGCTAAGTGAGAACTAGTCAACATTATATATGTGTGGATGCTCGCTCTGCGACCATATCTCATCCTCATTACTTCTCATTTAAACCAAATGAGGAAATGTAATTTGACGAGTTCGACATTTTCTTTATTGTACGAAGCAGAGTTATCAAGTCACATCTCGTTTAATTAAGTAGGTCCGTTTCGGCAACCATTGGATACGTACAAACGTTGAATAATCAATAAACTTTTGGTGGCTTGACTCAATCGCCCCATGGTGATAGTTGGCACGATTTCCGCTTAGTCCTTCAAACATGGTTGCTATCAAGTTGTGTTTATTTGCGTCAAAGCGAAACTTGAAATCGTATTAGATAGCAATAAAAGGTTTCCCTTTTTGATCAAAGGTAAAATTTGAGAAATAAGATTGATTCGTTTCGTTTCCACATGTGTTAGAAGCAAAGCTGTTCGAGGGTGAGGTACCGCTTACGACGTTCGGCAAGGACTGGATGTTATACGTTACTCAGTTCATTGAAATATTTCCTGTGTTTTTAATACTGGGAAGAAGACCTGTTAAATATTTGCTACTAAGAGCGTGGGACGAACTCCTTAGCTGTTCTATGAGATATCTAGTTGGGTCTCATCACTGATCATTTCCACTAAGATTCGCGTTGTCATTGCATCTATTGTGATAATTTTTGAGTTTAAATATCTTTTCTGCGCTCTGTTACGGAAAAAGTGCTCTTGTTAACTGCAAAAATGAGGAGGAACTTGTCTAATGTAGTTTTTACAGCATTTCTCACTTCGCTTATCTTCCAGAAGTAAAGAAACGGGTTTAAAGATGAGTTAAAGTACACTAAGGATATCGTAACCTCCAAAAAGAAAAATTTTGATGGCGTGAGTTTACTATTACTAAAGAGAACACCTACAACACCATAAGGAATATAGCAAGCAACTAAAGCCAGTTGGACCCACAATGCACTGATCACTGCCCTTCTGTATCGCGCCAGGTTCCTAGCTTGACCCGGTATTCCATCAGAGACATTTTCTTGTACACGAGTTCGATGGTGGCGTAATGTAAAGAAAATCTTTGTATAGGAACAAATTGAAATAAAAATACATGACGGTATGAAAATGTAGCCATAAAGAAAGGTGATAAGATGGTTTAAGAGATATAGTGTGGCAGCCGCAGTGGAAATAAACCAAAAGGTAATCACAGCCACATATGTTCGCTTTAAAGTTACAATGAGTTTATATCTCAGCCCCAGTAACAAAGCGAGAAGTCTGTCCACGCTTATTGCCGTTATTGTTAACAAAGATACGGAAGACAAAATATAACTTGCTATGAAACATGCCTTATATGCATAAAGACAAGTGTTCCAATCCTCCTTTAATAGGGACGCCCAATAATTGACATTCAGGGGTTCTGTAATCAGACCAACGCAGAGATCAGTTGCTGCCAGACAACGTAACAAAAGCTTCGAGGGCGGATGAAGCGAAGTTTCCTTTCGAAGAGCCACCAGCACGAGAGTATTTCCAAGAAATGCAACGACGGAAAGAAAGCTATTAAACGCTATGAGATATTTGAGATGTCCTTCCATTCCTCTTGTTAAGGAGTCTGAGCATCGCCGCTGTTCAAACACCCCAGAGTATTTTTCGCCATCAGTAAAGTTTCCTTTTTCCATAAGATGAGCTGTTTCTAATAAATATAACCCGAACGTAACGATTAAAAGAAAAGTACTTGGATATATCTTTTGCTACGCGTGTATAATTTGGGAGGAGAAGATTTAAATTTTGTTATAGTACGAAAATGAACCTGACTTGCCTTGTCCAAATCGAAGCAAACTGCCGCTTTGCAACTCTAGGAGTTAAAGGCTTTAGGGGGAAATACGGAACCACAATCAATTTGATCGCCTGCTGTCAGTAAAAGGACGGAAATGATTTTATATTTCCAAATTCTAATGTAAACAAATATCGGACTGTCTCCTGATTTTTAACTAAAGTTACACAAGAGCTGATTTTTCCTGCATTCAAAATGAAGACACATTTGCGTCGAGGTCTTATTCCAACAAACTTTATAAATCATGCTGTTTCTAAGATTGATGCTTTTTAATTGCAAATATGCATTTAAAAAGAATTTACGATATCAAATATTCCCTAAAGAGATTTTTGGCCGATTAAAATTGAACTGAATAAATTACTAGTTCCTACAGTTTTATTGACAATGCTGATTTGTTGTATTTCCATGTTAAGTGCAATTTATCTTTCATTTGATTACAAAGTCTTGCGGTCGGATGTATTTAAGCGCCTAACGTCTCTTACTGACAGCTATACTTCCTATATCCCCGTTAACGTCTATTGGTAAAATCTTTGCTTCCATTATGAAAGACGTCACATTGCAGATTATTCTGTCAACCGTAGGCAAAGTTGACGAATATCCTCCTGCAAGCCAACCTCGAGCGCAGGGTAATTTTTGCTCTTTGTCAGCGTTTTGATCGCCAAATGACCTAGGTATGTCATGCATGGGGAATTATTATCTACTCAATACATATTATGTCCTATACTTTACATACATACAGTAAAGTCCATAATAATTCCCCATACATGACCTGCCTACAACAAAAAACGACCATACGGCTGACAATGAGCCAAAATGACCCTGGGCTCGAGATTTCGAGATTGAATGCAATCTTGAGGTTAAACTTGAGTCGGGTTGTGGTGTTGTGCCACAGAGATCAAACGTCGGCTCAAGTGGCAACGTTGTAAGGAATTAGTGACGTGCTCTCAGGCTGTCTCACAAGAGTGAAAAACAAGAACTCAAGCCAGCAAGTCACTGTGTTTTAAAGACATCTTATGTCAGCTTTCAAACTCTTTACGGTGGCCAATCTACGTTAACGACTCAGTTGATAATACTAAATTGCGGGTATATGTTTGATGTTTTAATTTTTTCATAAAGTCATAAATGAGTACACTAATATAGACATTTCTCATTTTATTCTGTTGTACTCAGATTCTGTAAAATACTCTCAGAGGGGGGACAAACAATTTTCAAATTCAGCTTTTTTAACAGGATTGTTGATAGGTGGAATGCTTGACCACGGTCAACTCGTTGTGCTCCAAGATTTTTAGTTCTAAGAACTGTAAGAAGGGAGTAGCTGATTTCTTGGCTACACGATAGTCTTTTGCATATTTCAGTTATAACTTTTACTCTCCTATATACAGAATTCCGTTCTCTAATTTCTTTTTTTTCCTTAAGTTTAAGGTTTTCGTTCTCGTATGGGATCCATAATTCTTTTGCTGATCATCCTTGTGGCATTCTCTATGTTTCTTAGTCTTTCTTGCCATTAAATTGAAATATATGTCAAATAAATGTAAAAAATACCGACGATACCAGTTTGTTCGCTTTGGTAAAAAAGTTTGTTTTGAAAATTTAAGTGAGTCAGATGCTTGGGGAATTTAACGGATTCTTTGTTATGAACAAATAAAGAAGTCTTGACTGTTCTCTGCTCTGTTGTAAAGCGCTTAGGAAGCAGCTAGAGCACTCAAGAGGTGAGGCGAAACTCTCAACCACGTCTTGTGTTTTCCCATTGACTTCTTTCCTCTTTTATCCACTTCCTGCGTGTTTTCCAACAGAACAGAGCACAGTAAACGCTTCTTTGTTTGTTAATTTTTAGGGAATTTCTTATTTATACGTTGTTGAGTTGTTGATAGGGTCATTTAAAAGACCGGAGTCAAAGAGGGTGGTTTTTGTTAGTTAAGTTAGCGAGTTTTTGTTAGGGGGATGAAACCAGAAACTGATGTAATTCTGGAAATTAAATGAACTGAAAAGCGGCGATTTTCACAACTTTGACGAGAAAATTTTAAGTAGCAATTTAAAAGAAAGCTTGAAGGGGCTGTCATATTGAGACTCAATAAGGGAAACTTCACTCAAGATTTCTCTATTTTTCGAATGCGTTAGAGAATGGCCCCATATTCCTGTGCTGAACACTGCCCCCGCTTCGTGTGTTTTCGACAACCCCCTAAAAATGCTCCGTTGATAAACAGCTCAAAAGGTAAAAGTGAATGCAACCCCAAGAACATGTCATTGAAATCGAACTAAGTGCTGGTAAATTATCCTGAATCTCAAGAATTAAACGCAGATTAATGGGGAATTTACTATGGCAGTATGAAATTGATCTTTGTTGTGGAATAACAAATATTTCCTTTCAAACTTAGCTATATTCCACGAAGTCACAAGAACTGCTTAAACTTCAATAGCTGGATAAAATTAACCGCATGGGTCCTCAGCGTGTAGATACGGGGGTTAGGTAGTTTTCAAATACCTATATATTGCATTTTTTCGATTAAACGCCACATCCAATCTAAAGAATGCGGCACTCAGAGTGGAGTACATATTGAAAACTGTAATGATGTAGTTTTAAGTATTGTATTGTAAGATCATAATGATGTTTGTTAAAATAATAAATTAATTGAAAAGATAATAATAAAAAATTGAGGAATTTTTTTTATTAGAAAATTATGACAAACAAAATAAATCTATATTACACATAACAAGGGAGTAGTCTACATCATTCTACTTATACAATTCACGGGCCAAATAAGTAAGATGCTGTCTTGGCAAAGTAGGAATTCATTGGATCGTGAAGTCAACACCTCAAATGTTTCTGATTTTTCCTGGCTGAATATTACATTTCTCTTCCGTGAAGTTCGTTTGAGTAGGACCAACCTCGGAACTATAATGTTACCCAAAGACAGATGTTGTTTCTGAGCTGTTAGGCTACTTGTAGCCGTATCCTCACCCCCCCCCCCCCTTTTTTGCCTATCCTTTTGTCAATTCTGATTGGCTAGAGTTGGTAATTTATTTTCATTCTAACAAACAAGGCGGTGAACAAAATGCTTTCATGGTCGACTTTTCAGACAACAACGATCTACGACGAGGTTTTAAGGCAAGTTTGCACAACGTTTGGGATAGAGACATTTCAAGAACAACAGAAAGCCATAGATATATTTTTCGAAGTTAACGATGTCTCTGTTTCGTTACCAACTGGCTATGGAAAGTCTTAAATATATCAAGCAGTGCCAGTGACCGATCGCCTCTCCTCTCCAGAACAACCAGTCACTATATTTATCGTGCCAACAAACTTTCGGTCTCTTTGCTAAAGGTGTTGCGAAGCTATTAAATTAAAGCTAGTTGTTTCTTGCAACGAACCTTTCGACTGAGAAAAGTTTGCAGCGTAACTTTCTCTTAAAGAAATCTGTAAAAATCTTGAGATTCTGCGGCGAACGATCCAACTTTTTTCGACGACTGTGGCATTGTTTACAAATGCAAGCAAAAAGAGCGTTGACGTTGAAATCTACGGTTTCGTAAGCGCGATGCTAATCGAACATTGTCCTCTTCTTACTCTATACCAAAAATCTAAAGCAAAGTATATATTTGAACTTGGACGCTGAATTGCAAATTTGCCCAAAAAATGAAAAATGAATTCCCTTTAATGTTGTTGTTTATCTTCCGTTTCACCTTGAGGGCGTGGTGGGGGAGGGGGGAAGGTGCGGCTACACGTGTGAGTGGTGACACTTCTGTGACTTGTTCATGGATTAAACCTCTGATGGGCAGCAAAGTGCTTGTCTAATTGTCGCCTTCACTTCTTGTCTCACCTCACTAATTTTCCAACAGTAAAGGAAAGGGTTAAGCGTAGAGTTTAACTTAACCAGAGTTACAACACATTCTAAGACAATCAAGTCAAACGTAGACAATTTTTCTGTAGTAAGGTTGACTGTTGTAATGCTATACGGTAGAAAGCAAAGTACGAGTGCCACCTGCACCCATAATGCACTGTATACCGCTTTCCTGTATCGCATCATATTCAGGGAGACTTGCTGGCCCGGTTGTTGCGGTTCATTAACTTGCATTTGATTCTGGTGACGACGGAGAGAAAGGAAAATAGTTGTGTACGAGAACGTTGCTGTCATAATACAAAATGGTGTAACGATGTAGTTATGCCAGATGATTACTTGGGGATTCACAAAGTAGGAATTCGCGGTGACTGTGGCCACAACCCAAATGATGATCACGAAGACATATGTTCGCTTTAAAGTAACAACATGTTTGTACCTCAACCCCAGTAACAAAGCAAGAAGTCTGTCTACACTTATGGCGGTAACTGTAAACAGAGAGACTGAAAATAGAGGAAAACCTACCATAAAACGCGTGGTCACTGCATAGCGACAGAGTTTCCAATCTTCGTGAATGAGAGAAAACCGATAAACAGTTGCAACCGGCTCCAATATAAGACCAGCGCAAAGATCTGTTGTTGCCAGACACCTATACAAGAATTTGGACGGTTGATACAGGACAGTTTCTTTGTGAAGTGCGACAAGGATCAGGGTATTGCCAAGAATAGCGTTAAAGGCTAAAAAGACGCTGATAACTGAAATGCCTATCAAAGCTTTATATTCCTCATCTGTCCATCCTCCCGTGCATCGTAGTTGGACAAGATATTCAGCTGGATCTCTTGCATCTCCAGTTAGGTTTACTTGTGTCATTATCACTATTGCAGCATACCAACATCCAAGGAAGGCCTTCTCCGAGTTCCGGGTCGTTTAAAGGCGGTTACCGGTTACCATCTCAATTTTGCTTTCCAATCTTTTCCTTTAAGAGAAAAATAATATCATTTGCTCTTTAGTAATTGTTTCTCGTCGCTCTGTAGGCTTGTGGGTGCTTTTTGAAATTTGTTTTCAAGAGAGCCTATTCAGTCCATGTGATTCAGTGCCACTGAAGGCAATATAGCATCTGTGTATTATAACGAGACATTCGAAAGAGGATATTGCACGCTTGATATGAGCGCAGATTCCTGCTCTACTATGCCAACTGGATATATGAAAAGAGTTTAACTATTAGAGCTGCTTTCAAGCTGTCTAATCCGGCCTTTCATCTCCTATGAAAGGAAAGGAGCAGAGGAAAGTATTTTTGACATTGTTCATTAAGCACTGTCGTAAAAAAGAGAACCGTCATCGAGTTTTTGTACCAACCCTCTTGTTCTAACTGACATTGGAAACCTTCTGAATAACATCTTTAATGATCACTTGATGGGAAGTTCATTGAATGCGTCCTGCAGTAATATTAGCGCAGTGCTGTAGTGGAAAAAATATATATTTGTGGAGCACTATATAATTGATTAATTGAAGTATTCGCGAGATTGTATCCGTCTACGAGAAATTAGTATAAATAATAATTTATCAACCTTAAGATCTCTCGTGATAAGCATTATTCTAGGAAAAAAAATCACTGTAAATGTTCAACTGGCGTGGAAAATTCAACACGGCTATTCACTTGCTATCGTAACAGCATCCTCCCCCGTTGGAAATGTTTTGAGTCACAGAAAAATTTTGTCTTTAACATCAATCTATGAACTTGAAATTGTTGTTCAGGCCGCTTTGACCGAAAATTAAGTCATAGTCCTGATCTCCATTATAACAGAGGAACTTTAGCATCACTGTTGTTCAAAAGCTTGCCGATAATACACCTAACTGTTATATAGACTATTGATGATCATTTACCTAGACTTTCCCATAGCCAGACCAAATCCATTTGAATTTTTGGACCTGTTTCTTCACTGCTGATTTTCGATGTGAGAGAAATAGCAAAAGAGAAGATCTTAGTTGTCTTAGAGGTTGGATTCTGTCTACGTAGACATCAAGTTACGCCTTTGACAACCGGAAAAGTTTTTTTTGATATCTATGATCAGGGTTATATTTCAATTTTTTTCCAAAATAAGATGAAAGAGAAGAAGTTAAAGAGAAAAAAGGTCCTCAGACACAATAGACACCAATTAGCGTCGGCAACATTCATATTCTTGACGCACTTGACAGTTTTGGTTCCTATTTCCATTATAGTGTCGCCTTATTTAGGAACCAGCCATTGTTTTTTGCTTTTTGAAGACCTGGAGCTCATACTTTGAAGCGACACGAAAATCAAATAATGTTAATCAACCATGTCTTTTCAGTCGCTCTAGAGTGTAAATACAGCATTAGTTTTAAATCGTTATGTGTGACGTTCCTTTCCAAACTGTATGGCCTTATTGAGCCTCAATGATGCGGCCACTTCAAGTATTTCGAGAAGCTTTATTTAAAAGTCCCCCATATCAGTCATGTTAAGGTGCTTATACTGTTAAGGAGACGATTTCTATTGGTGACGATTCTCCGGAAATTACGAGCAGTAATTTTGCAGGACTTGAATGAGGCGATTTCACGACTAAAAGTGGCAATCATATAAAGAGGGCATTAAGGTAGCACCTTTGAAAAGAACTTAACAGTGATGATAAATCGTTTAAGAACTTTAAAATCCCGAATTTCTGGGAGTGGCAATTCCAAGGAATTCTAAAATGGTTAATTAAGGTTTTAATAACGGTGATTATGATAATTAAGTTCGGATGTAACACGCGTTGTTATTGGTTGAAAGAGCGTGTTTCACTAGGGTTCAAAACACACAGCTGAGCTAAAACTGTCACGCCACCTACCAATTTGTGCAATGTCATTTCCCAGACTTCTCTTAAACTTAATTTCGTTAATCGAAAATGAAATTTTGGAATAAGCATTAAACGTTAGTAAAAATGTCCCAGGACGGTTAATCAAAAAACAACTCCAAAGAGAAAACGAAATAGACTGAAATTTTGGAATAAGCTGGCCGACAAGTAGCAACAGAAGAACAAAATAAACGTTAGTAAAAATGTCAAGCGCAGCAACTGACGTTGTTATACCGTGAGCAAAGACGAACAACTCCAAAGAGAAAACGAAATAGACTGTCCGAGTTTTGAAGGTTTTCACACTCAATTAGATTGTAAGCTTACGTATAGTGTCAAGACTCAAACACAGCTTACACTCGTATAAAGTAAAAACATGTTTGTACCTCATAGGTTAGGCGATTGAGAGGCTTCTCGGAACTGCATTTTTCCAATCTTCCTGAATGAGAGTAAACTTCATCCTTCAGAAAATTGCTTCCTGAGACGTCAATGAGAGCCTCAGTGTATGGCAGTATATCATCATTAAATGATAATAAGGAGTTCGAAAGAGGATATTGCAGGCTTGATATGAGCTAAGATTCCTGTTCTACAATACCAACTCGATATATTAGCAAAGAGTAAAGTATCGGCACTACATTTAAGCAAGTCTGTTCAACTTTTCAAGACCTTGGTTTGAAAGAATGGGCGTAGGGTACTGCGAACTTGTGTAATAAGCTCTTTCGCAGGAAAGAGAGCTGTCTTTTACTTTTGTAGAAACTACCATGATATAACTGATATGGGAAACCTCTTAAAGAGCATCTTAGAGTGACCACTCGGTGGAGCTGTTAATCAATGTGTCGAGCAGTATAATTATAAAATGCTGAGTTGAAGTGAAAAAATATCCATTTGTGATGTGCATATTTGGGATTCGCGAGATTGTATCCGTAAATTAAAAAATAAAGGCCAAATTGACCGACAGTCAATATCTCTCGTGATCATCATGATCTTAAAAAAAAGTTTGTATAATTGTTTACCTTCAAATCCTGCCCCGTTGTAATGTGTATTTGCAATTTTCTTTAGATTTGGACTAAATATACAATTGTTAGTACATAACTTTTCTAGCACAGCGGTAGCATTTCTTCATATTTCCAGACCAAATTAATTTAAATTTTTGGTGTCGCGTTGTGACGCGCCCTGGTCTATTATAAACTTTTTTAGGCAGACATCAAGTCATGTCATTGAAAACCGGAAAAGTTCCGACTGATAATAATAGATCAGAGCCCAGTTCTATAAATGGCGGATAACGCAATCCAACGGACAGTTATGTTTTTTTTACTGGAGTTGCATTAGCATCGGTTGCAAACATACTCTTCACGCATTTGAGAATTTTCGTTCGTTTTTCGTTTGTTGATTACGTCATGAAAAGTGCCTATTGGGATTCGCTTTATGCAAGAATAAGTCATTGTTTTTCTCTTTTTAAAAATGTTGAAATCATCCCATTTAGCGTCTAAGCGACGAACTGTCAGGAAATGTCCACACTATACTACTATGGAAATATCATGTTCGTTTTTTAATTGTCAGGTGTAAGGTTCCGTTCTAATTTTGTCTCAATGAGTCCAAGTCCCTCATATAAACGACATTAAAGAACTAAAAAGTAATAGGCGACGATTCTAAGGTGCCTAGAAGTGGTAATTTTAAGGGAATTGAAAGTGGCAATTCCAAGACTGAAAAGACGCAATTAAAGGGTACTTTACAGTAACGTTTTGAAGGACTTTTGGGAGGAAATTTTAATGAGATGGTGTTTAATTTGTAGGAACTTTAAAGTCCCGAACTCTCAAGGAACTCTCAAGTCGCAATTCTAAGGGCATGATGGCCGCAATCTATCATCACTGATAATTTAATATTTATTTAGTCACATAGGATAATTTAAAGACCAGGGCCCAGTTGTTCAAAGGCCGATTAGCCCTAACCCAGGGTTAAATTTTAATCCAGGTTTCTTTATTTCTTTGTTCAAAAGTCTTTTTGGGAAAATTTTCACTATTCTTTTTAGAACATCCAATGATCAAATTGCAAGCAAAAATATTTGAACTGAATTTTCTCTCAAAGTTTTCAGACTTGAAATCAAATTTCACACTAACCCTAGGGTACCTTAACCCAGCTTTGAACAACTGGGGCCAGAGCACCATACATATATTGTCCGTAGGCGGGTAGCCCACTCGGTTAGCCAACATACATGCATCATAATTGGGGAATTTCTTTTCCAGAGCGTTGAAGAAAATGGCCCCACTTTTCTCTCGAGACGTTAAGTACTTTTAAGATTCTCAATGTTTGTGTTCGAGGCTTGCAACAGTGCGTGGAATGTAAAAGATCGCATGACACACTAGACATGATATTACAGGAACAAGTGCCCACCAACTTCTGAATTTTAATGGCGGAGAATGGCCTTATAAAAATAGATTGCTTCAATAACAAGCTGAAAATTCCCATCGTTGAAAAGCAGCAAAAAGGTTACTGTTTAAGGCTCTAGAATGAGTCAAACGCAGTGATCAGTTCTTGCCAGAGATACGGAAGTTTAGACGGTTGACGAAGATAAGATTGATCGCTAAGTGCTACAGTAGTTATGGCATTTCTTACAAATGCAACAACGGATAGAAAAATATTGAAGTTGATATAACTATTAACTCTGTGTGTATATTCTCTGTTCAGCCTTCCACGCAATTGGGTAAATATTTCGTTGCGGTCTCTGACATTTTTAGATATGCCGGTTTACTTGTGCTGCATGGGTGTATATTTTAAAGTACAGGAAAAGCTTGTAAATATTGCCTGGTACTCCACTGGGTTGTATCGAAATAAACAAATTTTTTTAATTGATTTGGACCTTGCATCCTTAAAATTGCTTTCCAGTAGATCATGCGAAAACACTATGGTCTGCTGATCTAACATCCTGAGTGTCAAAATAGTCTACCTTACGGCAAAAATCACAAGTGACTACGCATAAAGGTTTGAGGAGACTTGATATTTACCTAATAAACTCCGTCTCGCTGTATTCAAAGCGTTATTAAAAAGGACACATTTGTTTCTTTGCAGTCGAAGGCTTTTCAAAGGTGTGTTGACTTAAGGGGTTGAAGTTTGACACGGTGAGCGCGGTATGGTAAACGCCTTTGTTTAATTAATGCTATGGGGAAATCCCTTTACCAACCTTCACGTGCGTTATTCACGTTAAAATAGACGGCATTCTTTGAAAAAAGAAAAGACTCTGGTTGTTAACTTCAAAACCCCTCGTCAAACAGGCAGTTTAAGCAAAGAAAGAGGTAACATTTCACGGTCTCAACCAGACGTTAGCAGTCTCAGAGTCTCTCAATTAATTTTTGCGATTCTTAGAAAAAATCACGCTTCTTAGGTTTGGCCAAGTCATATTTATCACATCAAAGAACAAAATCCTGTAGTTAAGAAAAAAGTATCGAGGATTTTTTAACCAGAAGCCACTATCAGGTGCCATAAATGTATGAGATGTTCGTTTTCATTTAGAAGACATGACAACTAAGAAAGGACCACTTAAAAATTTAAAGAGTTCGATTCATATTTACAGCAGGCGGAAGGATCTGAAATAATCTAAAATTCTAGGCTTAGTCGACTAATAAGAGACTAACCGTTGTTTTTTAAATTTTTTTTCAAGTCAGGTTTCACCTACAGCTTAATTTTCTATAATTAGTAGAAAGCTTTTGTAGCTTGCTCATGGTCTAGCTGTAAACTGACTATATAGCTAATTCCTTGGACAGCAAAGTGTTCCTCTGGTAGCCTCCTTTACTGCTCGTCTCACCTCGTTAATTTTCCAGTAATAAAGGAACGGGTTGAGTGATGAGTTTAAGTAAACTAGGGATATTGCACCTGCCCAGACTGTTAAGTTTAATGAAGTGAGTCCATTATCAGTTAAAACTGCTACTGCAATGCTATAGGGTAGATAGGAAACAACTAATGCCAAGTGTACCCACAGTGCACTGTAGACTGCCTTTCTGTATCGCAACATGTTCAATGGTACTGGTTGGCTCGGCTTTTGTTGAACGTGAGCTTTCATTTGATTCTGTCTATGGCGAAGAGTACGGAATATCTTTGTGTATGAGATCGTCGATGTCGCTAAACATATCGGCAGAAAGATACAATTATACCAGATGCCTATACGGTATGACACTATGTACGATACCCCAGCGACTATCGACACAACCCAGAAGATGACTATAATAACATATGTTCGCTTCAAAGTTACAATATGTCTGTATCTGAAACTCAACAACAGGGCGAAAAGTCTGTCCATGCTTATTGCAGTCATTGTTAACAGAGAGACTGAAGACAGAGGAAGGCTTGCGAAATAATGTGCAGCTAACGCGTAACGACAAAGAGTCCAATTCTCATGAATCAGGGAGAGCCAATAAACAACTTGAAAAGGCTCAGCAATAAGGCCAGTGAGGAGATCAGTTGCTGCCAGACAACGATACAAGAGTTTGGAAGGCGAATGTAGGGACGATTCCTTGTGAAGGGCGACAAGGATCAGAGTATTCCCAAGAAACGCAACAACTGAAAAAAAAATATTGAGTACTGAGAAAAATATCAAATGATTATGTGTTTGCTCTTTCCCTAATGCCGCGCAGATCGGGCCTTCATGTGGTGAGGCTTGTTTTCCTGCAATTTTAGATAGGTTTACTTGTTCCATTATTCCTTCCACGTAGTTGTTACTCACTTCAACCAACAGGGAACTCGTTAGAATCCAGCAGGATCGCTTCAGTTTTTTACCATGAATTTAAAAATCAACGTTTCTTTCATCTCTGACAAAAGCTAAACAGCTGCTTATCACATTATAAATATGTCAAAAGTGACTTTAAATTATTTACCAAATTCCTGGAAAATTAAACAAGTAGAGATTTGGTTTAATTTTTAAGAAATTAGCATAAAAAAGAGATGCTGAACTTATAAAACTAACAGCTTAAATTTGTCTCCTAGGATAATATGACTTTAAATGGATCCTATTAGATTTTTGAGCTTTATCGAAAGGTTCCGTATTTTTTGGCATTGCTTTTATTCCTATGAAAACATGAAAAAAGATACTTTTCTTAATTTGAAAAATTATACCTAGAAATTGAATAAGATTCCCTCATTATCATTTGTGCAATCTTCGCACAACTGAGCAATCTGTACACAGTTTCATGGGTTGCTACTGTTTCCTAGACAACCAGTCTGCCAGCTGAATTTACACTATTAGCGACTTTTCCAGTTGATCATTTTTTTTATTAATGCAATTTTTTTTAAACAAATTACACCTTAAAACATCAAAAAATATAATAAGTGGCTCTGCTTAAGGCCATAATCCTATGATTAACCTTCTCGAGTCCAGTTTTTTGTTGTCTTTACAAGTTACTGTTTTTCGCCGTAGTTTCAACATTATTACACAAGTTCCAAAGAAACATAGATAGAAACGGTGAATGTTGGCAGGTTGTTGTTTTTTTTATATTTCAGAGCAAACACATTTTTTTCATGTTGATTCATGTCGTAATTGCGAAATGAACAGGATAATGAACTGGAATAGATATAAGGAAACTCGTGATTATGAGATGAACTAGCATGCAGAGCAAACGTAATTTTTTGGCGAGCGAGTGCTCAGTATTTTCGTAAAGAAAATATGGCTGCCATCTTTGAAATTAATGGCAGCGGAAGGCTGTGGAAAGAAAGAAATTTATACCAAGGGGACGGTCGACGGTCAAAAATAAGGAGAGGGGAGGGGGGGGGTGGGGTGGGGGGGGGAGCGAAGAATACGCCTGCCCGAGGTCATTGTTTTTTTGCGAAACTCTGTTCGCCCACGAAAGGAGTTTCTGATTAGTGCGGTTAAGCTCCAGTTGTCAATCGCAAGCCAAATGTGTCCTTTGGACAGTTTGCTTTTACGGCAAAATGCAGAAGATGGCAAACTCATTAAAACTAGTTAGTGTCTTTTAGAATTTGATGTGTCTCACGCGTTAAAATCGGAACAAAAAGAAGCAATTTCTGTACCGGTTTCCGGAAAGGATCTTCTGGCCGTGTTTCCAACTGGTTTTGGAAAAAGCCCGATAGTTTAGGTGTTAATTCGTATGAAAGAAATTATGGCAGGGAAACCTTCGAACGTAGTTGTCGTTTGTCCGCTGCTACGTATTGTTTATGGGCAAATGGAATAAGCATCTTAGATCAGATTAACGGTAGCTACGCTCATGGATTGTCGTTTGGAGGATATATAGTCCGGCAAATATCAACTCGTATTTACATCAGCGGAGAACGTTTCGGTGAAGCCATTTTTTTCGTTGATGAAGAAAAAGAAAACAACCACACCGTTTTTCTCATCTCTAAGTATTTTTCCTAAGTAGTGACAGACTTTTAGGTTTCTAAAAACAGAAGATCTATCCTGATTACAGAATTATCAAAAGTATGATAAGAGATTTAAAATTTGGAATTCAGTTTGGTAAAATTTGGCCACCTTCTTTTGCGAAAAAAAAAATATAAACTCATGTCTTCGCATTATGTGAGGAAAAATTTGTTCCAAGGACTACATAGGACAATTTATTTTCAGTTGATGAACTTTACATTGATACTCTGATTAATCGTCATTAGCAACCAATTCTTAACAGTGAGCCCAAAAAAAGGGAGGATCTACCGTCATCCATAGATGTAAGTGTGTTCAAGAGCCTGACCTCCTCTTGGTTTCATAGGTGAAAATCTTATAAAGTACACTTCAATCGATGAATTTTCACGTGATGTAAATCTCAACGAGTCATTCGATCTTACGTATAAAAAAAATAGTGATGATAATTGGGTCTAGCGAAGTGTTTTGGTAAACTAAGGTCAGTGCACATTCATAAACGGTTTGCCTTCACCAAAACGTAGTTCCGCTTTCCTGTGCGATAGTTAGCAAACGACTAATGCATCCAACAATTTATGTGTACTATATAAAAGAGTATCTAAGGACTTGCTGTCTATGAAGCATGGTTGGAGCTAAACTGAGCTGAGCTTTTTTTTTTTCATGAAAACTTGTAGACTTTATCAGACATCAAACTCCTATGATATTATGATTTGCTAAATCTGTTATGGTTGAAATGTATTAATTTGGATCTTAGAGGTTTGAGTAGAGCCCCTTTGGTTGTTAACCTAAATCTTGAGGATTAACTTACATATTTAAAAGATATGTATTGATACCAATAGTAAGCTCTTAATGCGCTCTTTGCACCGAGACATACTAAATTATATCAAGCAGAAAATTGTTGCTGTATTTTTTCATACAGACCAAGATAGTTTAACGACAAAACCATCCACTACAGGGGCATATTTAGACTGCTTCTTACAGAAGTTATACAAACCCACAACGAGATCATTGGAAAATACATGAATCAATGGAGAACAAGAATGGATCAATTATATGAACGGCGCCAGAGTTTTGTTGAGAATTAAGAATATCAGTCGTTAGACAACATAACAAGAGGCTGAGGCTGCAATATACTCTATCATTCAGCAGTCCACTTATATTCATCAAGCACGAGCCACCGCTATTCAATAACACCGTTAATTTTGTTAAAAAGTTTTCAACTTATTGGTTCAAAAAAATACATTAGCCTGCCAGAGTTTAATCTGTGCATCAGCTGGACTCATCAAGAAAAATATGAAAAATTAGCTCATATTTGCTTTCCTTTTTGACATTCGCGAATGAAGATCCTGAAATATTCGTTTTTCGGACACTTCGTCCTTGATCAGTTTGATTAAAAGTTTGCATTTGGAATAAATATTTGTCGTTCAATTTTAATTTGCTCTCTAAGGTTTTTTTTTTCAGGCGCAACTAATTAAATCATTTATGGTAGGTATTCGATGAAAGTCTGTCTGGTTATGAAATTACATTTTTATCGAAATAATTACTCAGTGAGATGTTTGAAGAGTGGGTCGGAAAATGAGTGGATAATTTCAATTCAAAACACAATATTGATGAAATAGATGTTAACAATGTTTGACACGGATCGATGACCTCCCTGTACCATATCCTGGTTATTCTCTTTGGTTCATAACAAAATTACTATTATTAGTTTCATGCAAAAGAAAACCTTTTCACATTGCGATGCGAAGAAAAAAGTGGAAGTAACCTTCGTTGGTGTAACTGACAGTTTGGATGCACAGTTTAACGGCAAGAAAAATTAACAGTACAATGAACAAAATTAAATTTTGGCGCAGAAAACGAAATTTGTCGCAAAAGGAAAAAAAAACATTTTAAACCCAAAAATTTTGAACCCTGTGATAAGAGTTGACTTCTATGAATTAATTAACATTCTCCTTACTCAAAGGACAAAATGTTGTGCTTCAATATCGGAACTTTCTAATTTTGCCCTATTGTGATTCCATCGTGCTTCCTAATCCTACTTTAAGGTCGTATGGGTTAAATTGCCTGATTGCTGTTTGTAATTCTATCAAAAACGATAGTTTTAATCAACTTAAGGCCTAATATTTCATAGTTTGGTTTCTCCAGAGGAAAAACCTCCGTTACCTGCCACGAGACTAAACGGAAATACACCGAAATGTTTGTCTGAGTGTCTCTTTTACTGCTCGCCTCACCTCATTAATCTTCCAACAATAAAGTAACGGGTTCAGGGACGAATTAAGATAAAACATGCTCTCTGCACATGATAAGAGTATAAAGTCATATGGGGATAGTCTGTCGTAAGGTACAACTACTGCTACTATGCTATATGGCAGAGAGCAGCATACGAATGCTACTTGAACCCAAAGTGCACTGTACACTGCGTTTCTGTAAAGTGCCATGTTCAGTGAAACTGGTTGGCTCGGCTGTTGTGAAATAAGAATTTGTACTTGATTACGGCTGCGATGGAGACGGTGGAATATTTTTGTATATGAGAAAGTTGCTGTTATTAAACACAGTGGGATAAGAGTATAGCCATAGGAGACGGATATACGGTAATCCACAAAGTATACTGCTCCAGCGGCCATCGATAAAATCCAAAAGATGGCTATAACAACATATGTTCGCTTCAAAGTTACAATCTGTCTGTATCTGAGCCCAAGCACCAAGGCGAGGAGTCTGTCCACACTTATTGCGGTCATTGTTAAAATAGACACTGAGCAAATGGTATGGCTTGTTATAAAGTAAGCGCTCAGCCCAAACTTGCAGAGCTTCCAATCTTTGCTAACAAAAGACAGCCAATAAGCAACAGAAGAAGGCTCTGAAATCAAAGCGATACAGAGATCAGTTGTTGCGAGACAACGATACAGGAGTTTGGATGGCGGATGAAGAGAAGATTCCTTCCGCAAGGCGACCAGGATGAGGGTATTTCCAAGAAATGCCATAGAGCAAAGAAAAATATTAATCGTTGCGATCAATATCAACTGCTTGTGTATGTTGTCATTCTTTCCCGCTACGCATCGTAGTTGTGCAAGTGTTTCGGTTTGTTTTCCGGCATCTTTAGATAAACTTTCCTGTGCCATTATTCCCAATCCTAAAGGAGCGTTTACTTCACGGCAGCTTTTAAGTATACTCGATGGTTGTGAAATATATTTGCATTTCAAAGTATTTTCCAATAAAATCGAAACAGCTGGCTATCATAGTATGAAGCATGGGCGCCAATTGAATTATAAACAAAACTGCTCATAAGATTTTGTTTAGATTCACTGATTATTCCATGGCTGTCATAACGGGAGAGTAATTTGTCATGAAAAGATAACTTTGCAACCCGAAAATATCTATATCTCGGCCTTTTCTCGTGTATCTTATTACAATATACCTTACGTAAATACGAACCGATCCATCAATCAATCAGGCAAGCAACAATTCACTTATTCATTCATTCAATCAACTAGTTTAACGCACCAGTCTCTGTCTCAGAGAAACTCCGCACCACTACGGAAGGACATACATAATACAATCGAAAATTGTCCATCTTATCTTTGTCTTTCGCATTTTTCCTAGCAAAAGATGAAATAGAGGTGCATGTAATTGATATTCTCAGTGAACAAGAGGCCTCAGTGTTCTCTTCTATTTGGTACTATACATATATATATTTAACGCACGTAGTCGTATGTTCTAAACACCATTGGCAAATTCCTTCTGGAAAAAGTTTAAATCAATGTGTTTCAAAGAGTACTTTAGTTTGCCAGAGTTCAAGCCTGTACATCATCTGGGCTCACTGAGGAGAATACCAGCAATAAATTCATACTTGCTTTACTTCTCAACATTTGCGACTAAGGCTCCTCAGAAATTATTTTTTCGGACACTGTCTTTTAATCAGTTTGATTAAAAGTTTGCACTTTTAGGATAAATATTTTCATTCAATTGTAATTTGTTTTCTAAGCTTTGTTTTCACAACTAATGAAAACATCTATGGTAGATCTCTGCTGCAAGTCTATAAGGCTATAAGATTTGACATTGCTCGAACTCAGAACCTCTTGTTCGAAGAGCTGGTCGGACAATTTGATGAGAATTTTACTGAATTTAAAAAAACCGTTTAATATGTTAGATGTTAAGAACCGAATGCCAGTAACTCGGCTTGGTAACCTCTTTATGTAATACACCTGTTCTTTCCCTTTTTGTTTGAAAGAAAAATTAATTTTCGTGTTTTCGTGAGAAGAATGACAAAAATATTTCCCTCCGAACAATTCTGCACCCAAAATGTCTTTTCTTTTAATTTGGTAGTTACAGAAAACGCACTGGTTATTAATTTAAGTGTGGCAGGTACTCAACCTGTAATTTACTCGGTTTCTAGAAAACAAATAAAACTAAATTGCACTAAAGCTAACATACGATTATTAGTTTTATGTAAAAGGAAAAAAAAATTACACACTGCGATGCAAAGGAAAAGGGGAAAAGGACCTACATTTATGTACTTTACAGTTTGGATGCGCAGGCGAATGGCGAGCGGAATTAAAAATACAATAACCTTAATTAAAATTTTGGCGCGGAGGAACGAAATTTGGTGCAAATATAAGGGTTGGCTTCCATGATTTAATTAACATCCTCGTTATTTAAAGGACAAAATGTTGTTCTAAGTATTTCAAACTCGGTTCTTTCATATAACAGAGAACATAGAACAATTTTCTCCCCCGTTATGGTGATTCCCTGTTCTTTATAATCCTTCTTGGAGGTCATTTGGATTCAATTAGGCTCAGTACTGATCGAAATCGACGACAAATAATATTTTTAACCAGCTAATGGCCTAATATTTCATATTTGGTTTTTACAGAAACAACTTTCGTATCCTGTCTAGAGACTAAACCCAAAGACAGCGAAGTGTTTGTCTGAGTGTCTCCTTTACTGCTTGCCTCACCTCATTAATCTTCCAGCAGTAAAGTAACGGGTTAAGGGACGAATTAAGATAAACTAAGCTCTCTGCACATGACAAGAGTATAAAGTCATTCGAAGATAGTCTGTCGTAAGGCACTACTACTGCTACTATGCTATATGGCAGAGAGCAACAGACGAATGAAACCTGAACCCAAAGTGCACTATACACGGCCTTTCTGTAAAGTGCCATGTTCAGTGAAAGTGGTTGGCCTGGCTGATGTGGAACAAGAATTTGTACTTCATTGCGGCTTCGATGGAGACGGTGAAATATTTTTGTGTATGAGAAAGTTGCTGTTATTAGACACAGTGGTATAAGAGTATAGCCATAGGATACGGATATACGGTAATCCACAAAGTACGCTACTCCAGCGGCCATCGATAATATCCAGAAGATGGCTATAACGCCACAAGTTCGCTTCAAAGTTACAATCTGTTTGTATCTGAGCCCAAGCACCAAGGCGAGGAGTCTGTCCACACTTATTGCGGTCATTGTTAACAGAGAGACTGAGCAAAGGGTATGGCCTGCTATAAAATATGCGCCAAGCCCAAGCTTGCAGAGCTTCCAATCTTCGCTAACAAAAGACAGCCAATAGGCAACAGAAGAAGGCTCCGAAATCAAACCAACACAAAGATCAGTTGTTGCAAGACAACGATACAGCAATTTGGACGGCGGATGAAGGGAAGATTCCTTCCGTAAGGCGACCAGGATGATAGCATTCCCGAGAAATGCCATAGAGCACAGGAAAATATTAACCGTTGCGATTGATATCAACTGCTTGTGTATGTCGTCATTTTTTCCTGCTTTGCATCGCACTTGTGCAAGTGTTTCGGTTACATTTTGCTTTTCAGCATATTTAGATAAGCTTTCTTGTGCCATTATTCACACCGCTAAAGGAGCATTTATTTCAGGTAGCTCGTAAATGTATTCGAGGATAGCTTTAAGTTTGTGGAGTAGATTTGCATTTCAAAGTCTTTCCGATAAAGGCTAAACAGCTGCCTATCAATATGAAACATGTCTTCTTATTAAATTGTCTGTAAGACCGCCCATAGGATTTTCTTTTGGTTCACTTACTGTTTTTTGGCTGTCATAACTGGGGTATACTTTGTCACCGAAAAATAACTTTTTAATAGGACATTATTCATATCTCGGCCTTTTCTCACTTTCTTTGACACGTTATTGCAATCTTTTGTAAGTAAATATTCATCGATCCACCTATCATTCACACAAGCAATAATCTAATTATTCATCCCTTCACTCAATCGACTTTTTAAATGTGTCAGTCTTTGTTATCCCTAGGAAACTCCTCTTTACTACTCAAGGCCACTTAACGATACAATGAGACGTCCATTACCTAAACCTATGGAAAGCTTAGTTTAAAAAGCCGCAGAACCTTAAAGACATTAGTTTTTTGAAATATTTTCTTTGAAAAAGTAATTTTCCGCACCAGTGTTTTTTCGCAAATGGTTTCAAAACAGCTGTATACGCGCGTTGTAACACTTTCTTTATTGACTGAGAAAAAAATCTCTCAATAGTTTATTGTTCTGAGAGAGACTGTGAGCCATTGATAAGATCAAGAAGTACATCTACGTCAAAATTCATCCATCGCGAAAGTGGATCTTTTGACGAAGCTTACCTTGTTTGGTATTTCTGAACGTGTAATAAGGCTTCTGTGATAAACCAATTAAGGGAATTAACATCTCCTGAAATTAATGCTAATTTGAAAGATTACGTTGGTTTCCACTTTTTCTTTTTCCCTCGTCATTCAACAAGAGATCGTAAGTTTGCATATATTAAAAGTTACTGATTAACGCCTCAAATTCCCATGCGCTCAATATACATTTATATTTTTAATTTTTGAGATAGTGCGCACTCTCATCGGTCGATTAGTGTGTTTAGATTAAAATGATATAACCTCGATTGCGATGTCTCGCTCTCTGTGCTTTCTGAGAAATACTTATAAAAGTAAAGATGAATTTTCCCATGCACTCGGAAGGATAGGAAAATTCTCGAAAGTAATGCAAAGGCTCGACAGCTTCTTGGGTTTGCAAAACTTTCTCGAATTATCCCAACTCCCCGTAGATAAAGTCTTCTATTGCTTAAAAGATATTCCGATCCTATCGTGTACACATGTAACTCCCACTTTAACCGCTTGGCCGTGGAAGGTCTGGGTACGAGACTACCAGCCTCCTATAAACGACAATGGCACTCAAAGTGGCCAGATTCCTTCGTTGAACCCTAAATTTTGTGAACATTCCAAAAAAATTGTTAGAATTGTGAATTAATTATTTAGTAAATGTTGAAATTCGAAACTTTAGCACCTGTTTAACATTATTTTCCAAGAACCAGCGTTGAGGGAGGTGGGGGGGGCGAAGGATCTTGTCACGATAAAATTTACCTGATCCCCTTATTGGCAGTAAATTGGCAGGGAATTTTCTTAAGTCCTTCCTTTATTCTCTGTCGGCGACGGCTGATCACTCCCAAAGTCCCCTGCCCCCCCCCCCCCTATAACTCACGAAACAAAAAAAAATCTTGATGCGTCTGTTAGATAAAGAACAGATCAGAACGATATCAAATGCACTCTCAAGGGTTTCTCATCCAAGATTTGCGCCATCTGAAAATTCTGTTGATCTTGTGAATTCATTTTTTGGAGTTTTTCTGGTCTTTTCAATCATCATCACGCTTTTAAGAAAATAACTGTTATCAACTGTCACCTGTGTTATTATTTCCATTGCAAAAAGCGTCTTTATTTTAATCTGTAGAGAAGCTGGTTTCTTCAAAGATCGCTTCAGATTATTTTTAAGTAATGAATGAACCATTCCATGATAATATCTAAACAGGTTGTCCTAATAATGAGGTATCTACTAAACTAACAAAGCAAACACTTGCGTATTAACGTAGCAGTGTGTTGTTTTCAAAGACTAAAATACACCACGTGAAATTTTTTCAAATTATCACTACATAGATAGTATTACTTATACAGAGTGGAGGGTTTCGGTTTGCTAGAAATACTTTGGGCTGGAAAACGACGCATATTTTAGAACGAATATTTTAGTCTGACCCTGTGACAGAAGTTAAAGGTATTGATGAAACAGAGCTGTTTCGGTTTTGTTGAGTCATGCCAAAGAAAAATAAAATACGAATATTTTAGTCTAAATGAAGGCAGTGATTCAACAAAACTGAAATATTTAAAACAAAATTAAGCGATACAGGCAACCTCTACTATAGTTTGATTCACCAGAACACGTTTTCAGGTCGTGTTGATTCCATAGGAGAGTTTTAAATGATGCGGATTATAAAATAGTTTAGGCAACTCCACACCGACCAACTTATCTTAGTAGCATGGTTGTAAATTGAGCAAAATTAATGACATGACAAATAGGTTAAAAGTTTGGCTGACTTAAATACGGTCTCTTTTAGAAAAGAGGCATTACCTACCCGACTAATCAATTGACTAATGAACGTTACATCTTCCTGTGTATTAAAAATCTCTACATTTGCGCTGAAGAATTTGCTAATTATATTATTTTGGACCGGAACACGAGCATAAGTAACAGATTCATGAAAATATTTAAAAATCAAATCATAAGGATTTTCAAAATTAATAGATATTTTTCTTCTTCGAACTTCGTAATGGGCCTTGCTCACCATAGAGTCTCTGTGGCTCAGTGTTAAAATCCGAAGGTCTGAGGTTCGATTCCTCATGGGGACTCAGAATTTTTTCTTTGTACCACGCTCGTGACAAGACGAAAAACATCTTTCTCTATTTCTTTACTGAGCTTAAAAATGACCACCTCTCTTATTCTATTTACTAAGAGTTTGTCCTCTTTAAAGCTTGCCTTTTTAACGGTACCAGTTTCAGGACTTGTTCAAAGACAACATTCAATTCCATGGACAGCAAAGTGCTTGTCTGATTGTCTCCTTTACTGCTTTTCTCACTTTAGCAATCCTCCAAGAGTATAGAAACGGGTTCAACGAGGAGTTTAAGAAAACTAAGGTCTCAACACATTGAAAGACAACAAATGTAGAGTTAGATGGAGGCCTTCCTCTATCCACAGCTGCTATGACTATGATGTATGGTAAATAACAAACGACCAATGCCAACTGCACCCACAGTGCATTGTACACTGCCTTTCTGTATCGAGTCAGCTTCAGAGGAGCTGGTTGCCTTGGCTGTTGGATACCTTGTTGTGATAGAGTATACTTTGGGATGTTATGGAGACGGTGGAAAATCTTTGTGTACGAGAACGTTGCTGTTACCAGACAAAGTGGAATACAGATGTAGCTATACAAGACAGCTATGTGGGGATTTATAAAGTGCGATGTGCTAGCAAGGATCGAAACAATCCAAAATACGATAAGAAGCAAATATATTCGCTTGAAAGTCACAAATTGTCTGTATCTCAGCCCCAACAGCAGGGCGAGAAGTCTGTCCACACTTATTGTGGTAATTGTGAAGAGAGAGACTGATGACAAGGAATAAGCCGTTATAAAATAAGTAGTCACCGCATACAAACAAAGATTCCAATCTTCGTGAACCAAGGACAACCAATAGATAACGGCGGCAGGTTCTAAGATCAAACCAACACAGAGATCAGTTGTTGCCAGACAACGATACATAAGTATGGATGGCGGATGAAGGGAAGAGTTCTTATGAAGGGCAACTAGGATCAGGGTGTTGCCAAGAAATGCAGTAATGGACAGAAAAATGTTGATCGATGAGATCATTATTATTTGAGTGTGTATCTCATCTATCCTTCCTTCCATGCATCGCAATTGTGCATACGTTTCTGTTTGTTTTCCGGCATCATAAGATAGGTTTGCTTGCGCCATTATTCCCACTGCAACGCCCTTGTTTAATTCAACCTTGTAGGAAAGCTTACATCTCCAAGGATTGCCTCAGGTTTATGGCATGAATATAAATATCACGGCCTCTCCTTCTATCAGCTTACTAGCCGTTCACGATCTCACCAACTAGGTCTAACTTGACAGTGAATTGCCTGCCAGTCTATATATATATATATATATACATATAAGGAAAACTGCGGTTACGTATTAGTGTAATGGTCAATGCCAAAGGTAAAGGAAAATACGAATTTTTTAGTCTGAATTTGGCGTCGCGACAGAAACTGAAGGAATTGATTCAACAAAACTGAAATATTCTAAATATTCTAAAACGCTGAAACCATCAAATGAAAGCTGAATTTGCAGACAGCAAACGGAATGGGGTGGACATCCGCAAGTGGTTTTTGTGCTCATACGGAAAAAATTTCGATGAATTTCTGAGTGAAAAGCGAAAAACATGAAAAGTTTTCTATTCCTTTTCAGCGAGCAGTGTGGGCAAATCCATACTGGAATTTCTGAATTTTTTTCAATCTTACCGCTCAGAGAAACATAAAGCTTGAAATGGCAAATTTGAGGAATGTTAGGAAAAAAATTCTTGTCGTTTTCGGCGTTCAAAGCGTCCTTTCGTTACTTCCAATCAAAGACCTTCAATAAATTAATTCGTCCCGTGTGGCGCCACTTCTCAAGGCAGGAAAATATTTAAGTTTTCTACGGGTTTACCGGGATAATAGTCGATATTTTTTTTGACCAATTAAAGCGTAATTTGTGACTAGATTATGGTATAAATTCAGATATAATTCATTTTTATGCAATTTTTCGCATTTCGTGCATGACGCACGTTGATGTAGAAAATACATCTTCATTAATATTCTAGTCTAGTGGTTAAAATAAGTCACCTGAACATTCGGTTAAGTCGTTTTCGTTCCATAAGGAGTTTTGAACGATGCGTATTGTCAAGTTCTCAGGACACCTCACACCAACTAAACTATTTTTGTAGCGATCTCACCAACTAGCTACGCTTCACGAGCTCCATAAATATAAGAAATAGTAGTAACCCACTAAGCCGAAAAAATTTGGAATTACGCCCAAAAGACCAACTGTACAATGAGCTACTTTTAACATGCGCGGCAACTGCATTGCGGTCACTATTTTAGCCATTACGGAATTCGAAGAGTGAGGGAGAAGGTAATGCGCAGGCGCAATTGCGTACGGAACTTGGATACCCCATTAGTGTGCGCCAAGAAACAGCGGCAGCATTTTGAGGATATTATTGCGATTCAAGTTTGTGGAGAAAGGGTTTTAAGTGAAAATAGGCTGGAAAGAAGGAGACAGAACGACCAAAGAGGGCAAGAAGTAGAAGGGGTAGAACGTGTAAAAAAAAAACGTGAAAGAGAGTTAGAAAGCACAGTGAAATAGGTAGAACATGGCGAGAGGAACACCTAAGAGAACAAAGAAAGGCAACCTTGAATATTTTCTTTTGAATTCATTGAATCACGACCTTGAAATTTTATAAGTAATGAAGAACGTTAATTCCGTTTATCACATAAAATGCGGTGTTATACAAGGATTTTCGGCCCTGAGAAAAGCCGTAACAACACACGTGAAAAAAATATCGTATTTTTTCAGGCGTGTTGATATAGCCAATCAGCTGCTTACACGTCATTTGCCTTTGACGCCATTCGGTCAGGTTTATGAATGAACGGCAAACCCTTCACGATTCTCAATACAAGTTGTTGTCGGAGCTTTCTCGAATTATGGCGGCTAAAACACTAAAAAACCCGTATCGCTGACAGACAATCAGGTTCACACTTTCCTTGAAGGAAAAGAAAAACCGATATACGAAAAGAAAAACCGAAAGTTGCGTATTCAGTGCCTTTGGTGTTAGTATTTCTCTCGGCTTAGAATGAAAATCGACAACTGGATGATTTGCCACTGGCTGATTTTGGCCGTTTACCTGAAAGACTTCTTCTGTCGGTAAGGACAAAGTCAATAAATGAGAATTTTGTAAATTGAAAATTACGACCATTGTTGTTTTTGTAATCATGATTCAACGCATTTTTCCATCTTAAGAGTCAGCGCCAACGCCGACTCTTCGATGCGCTCACTTGTGAGCTTTGAGTTCAACACTCGAAGAGAAATTCCATATCTACGCGCGCCTATGTATTATTCTCTATTTATTCACTGCAAATAAAGCACTTTTTAAACTTTCCATACGATTCAACTATGTCTTTTTAAATGTTGACTCAATAATTTGGCATAATCGGTTGATTATTTGCTGCTCAAAAGCCACTTATTACTTGAGGTACTGAACTTGACATATTTGATACGCAAGGCACCCTTCAAGGGGGAAGACGAGAATAGAATTGCTTTTATGACCGTATGTTATAATTAAGTAATTCCTATTATAGCTGAATTCAGAAGCATTAACATATAGGTTACATAATTCTGCTTCATTTAATTGTAATGTGTTTCTTTAAATATGACGTACATCCATTCCTTTGATTTCCTCCCTAACCTGCCTGCAAATAATTCAAATGACAGAAATCGATATCATGCATATCGCACATTGACATAGAAATGAGGCTTTCAGCAATATTCTAGCTTCGTTATGAAAATATGTCACATGAACACGTTTTCGAGTCATATTTATTTCATAGGGGTGTTTTGAACCATGCTTACTGTCAAGTTGTCAAACACCTCTATACCGACCAAATTATATTTTTGGTTACAGACACTTTTTCGAAGTGGCAATATAGGTAAGGCGAAAATTTACAACTTTACTACTTAAATTGAGGAAAACTGTTGACAAGAAAAATATCTAGAAAGTTTTGCTTACCTAACTATGGTCTCTTTTAGACATAACAGCATTTCATTAGGCAACTGCCAGACTAATTAATAATCAACCTTACATCTTCCTGTGTATTAAAAGGTTCTGCGAGGTAAACATTTGGACGGAATAGTATAGCGAGATAAATGTCAGTTGTAGAATTTTAACGGGTGAAATCTATTTTCAATGTGAGAGCTTAACTTTACATTCTTTCTTAACATTATTAGACCGCACCACGAAAAAAGCGGCAACATCAGAAGACAACAACATCGAGCCCTGTGCTCTAATTCAAACGCCGTCCAGCTATTTTGTTTACTTGCGGTTTATTGTTTTCCTTTAACCAAATTTGTCTCTATTGTTTCAACTTTAATTAGAGCTTGAAACGCTCAAATTTGGCAAAAACTATCGACTGAAAGATGAAATCGCTGACAGCAAGCGAAATTGACATTAAAGTTAAGTGCACATTCACTTTGCAAGTGTAACAGCTTTTCTTTTTTTTTTTTAGCTTGTCTTTTAACGGATAGCACTTCCCGAGCCTACTCACAGAGTACAGCTTCTCTATGGCTATGGACAACAAAGTGCTTGTCTAATTGTCTCCTTTACTGCTTGTCTCACTTCTCTTATCTTCCAACAATAAAGAAACGGGTTCAACGAAGAGTTTAAATCGATTAAGGTCAATGCGCATTTAAGGACGATAAATTCAGAAGGAGATAGTTTACTTCTAGGTCGAACTGTTACCGTCATGCCGTACGGTAGATAGCAAACGACCAATGTCAACTGCAGCCACAGTGCACTGTTCACCGCCTTTCTGTATCGAGCCATGTTGAATGAAACTGGTTCACTCGGCTGGATTGGAAAATTCACCTGCACTTGATTCCGATGATGTAAACGGTGGAAAGTTAGCATATACGAGAACGTTGCTGTTACCAGACAGAGTAGAATAGCGATATAACTATACCATATGGCTATGCGGTAATTCACAAAGTACGATATACCAGCGAGGATCGAAACAATCCAAAATGTTTTAAGCAGTAAATATGTTCGTTTCAAACTCACAACTTGTCTGTATCTCAAACCTAAAAACAGGGCGAGAAGTCTGTCCACACTTATTGCAGTCATTGTTAAGAGAGAGACTGATGAAAGAATATAACCTGCCACAAAAGAAGTAATAAACCCAGCTTGACAAAGATTCCAATCTTCTAGAAGCAAGGACAGCCAATACATAACGCCGGAAGGCTCTGAAGCTAGATCAACACAGAGATCAGTTGTTGCCAGACAACGATACAGAAATTTGGATGGTGGATGAAGGGAAGAGTCCTTATGAAGAACAAACAGGATAAGGATGTTATCGAGAAAAGAAGCAATGGACAGAAAAGTGTTGATTGCAAAAACAATTAATGGCCCGTGTATTTCATCTGCCCATCCTGCCACGCATTGCAGTTGTTTCCAAGTTTCCATTCGTTTTCGAGCATCATCAGAAAGATTTACTGCCGCCACTATGCCTTATATTTTCAACATGTTGGGTAGTGTTTCTCTCCGAGGATCACTTCAGGCTTTTGGTATAAATTTACATATTAACAGTTCTTCTGGCATCAGTTTAAGAAAGGTGATCAAAGTTTTGGGAGGCTTTGGAACGGAACTTTTTGTTGAGATAAGACATGCTCCCCAAGTGTAAAAAAAGCCATAAAGTAAACGAATTTAACACGGAATTCCTTTGAAATGACTTAAAACCAAAGTGTAAAGTCAAAGGGTTTTTCCACGAAAACGACGAGTTCGACTGCTTGTTGGCGGATTTGGCAAAATAACGAGAAGCCCTTGGTTTCCTTGAATAGAAAAAACGTATCTTCATATGATGGTAACCGATACCGGAATCCGCGAACTTTCTAGCTATGAACTTCTTCGTTACCCCGCCTCGTGATGAAATGCCAATTACGCCGTCAAACTACAGAAACGTTCAGAAAAGTAGAAATTTAACTCATTCATGCTTTGAAACAGCTCTGGTGAGTTACCTTGGAGCGTTCTCAGCGAAGAGAGTTAGAGGCAGAGTTAAGTCCAATAAGAACTTTTTATTTTCCCATGAGAATCTGAACACTTTGAATGTTTAAGGGAATCAACAAACGACACTCGCTTAAAGGAACTGTCGGTCCTAAGTTGTTTTGAATTTTTACACCCGAGATGCATGGGGAAAAATTTCTTCAGTTGGTGAGATAAATCTACGAAACGATGCCCCTTTTTTGTTTCAGCTGCTAATGAGAAAGAGGGTCTGAGAAAAATCCATCGAACCAAAATTTGAGTCATGTAACTTTTCAAATTTTGTTCGGAAAGTTGGTTTTGGAAAAAATAACAAGTTTTCTATAAAGTTTGTAAACATAAAGGTTGTAAACATGTTACCATATTTGCAGCGCTAGCATGATTTGAAAGATTGTTGGAAACCCAGATCAGTGATTTTGTATCCAACAAATTCTGTAGGCTTGTTGTCAATGATTGAGTCAGAAAGCTCTCGAAATAAACAAACCTCTATGAACCCATTCAAATGTACCTTTTTTACCTAACTTAAGGAATGGAAATAATTCACCCAATTTCCAGAGTCTGCGGTCACCGTTTCGATTGATAAGAACAAGAAATACATCCATGTCAAATTCATCTATCACGAAAGTGGATCTTTTAACGAAGCTTACCTTGTTTGTATTTCTGAACGTGTAATAAGGCTTCTGTGATAAACCTATTAAGGGAATTAACAATGTGGTAATATCTTTGAAATTTATACCTGCTCCGTTATTGTAAAACGATTTTCAATCTTTTGTTAAGTATAGCACCACAAAGTTCTATGCGATCAATTGAAATCCTTTTGACCGGAGTTAAGCGATTCTTTGATAGAATGATATAACTGACAAATTTTCGCGTTGATAATTCTCATCTGACGTAAGCACAAGCACCGTAAGCGTTGTTTGATCCGTCGCTAAATATGATCAGTATTGGGTCTCCTATTGCATCGTGTGGTTTGAGACATCGTTTGACTGAAATCTTCTCCATTTCAGGCAAGTCATTGAAAAATGTCATTCATTCTCTTCCGTATTCTTCTGGTATGGGATCGTCCCAATCCAGTTTTGTTTTATATGTCCACAGTTTTCTCATAAGTGTTTTGGCCCTTACTGTGTACGGACCGGCAAGTCCAAGAGGGTCGTATATGCTGTTCACTTGAGACAAAATCATACGTTTGGTCAATACTTCTGGAATGCTACAGATGGGTTGAACATCTGTAGGATTCGCGTCCATGTGAGTGCGTGTTGTGTTTTTCTTTGGGGAAAAACTTAATTTGACTTTAAAGCGAAAATTGTCTTTTATAGGATCCCATACAACGCCAAGAACCTTTTCTGTAGCAGTAGATGGTTCCATTGGTATCTTTGGTTCATGTCTGCTCGATCGATCTTCTGAGTAGGTCCACTCCTTTAATTTGAATCCTCCTTTGCCCAATAACTTCTCTATATCATCTATAATTTGCTTTGCCTTTTTTTGATTGTTGACGCTTTCAATTATATCATCCATATATGTATTATTGAGTATCAGTTGAGAAGCTTCCGAAAATTGATCTTTTCCCATTCCTGCGATCTTTCGTAATGCGACAGTTGCTATCGCGCCTGATGGTTTGTCGTCGAACGAAACTCTCTATATTACGTAGATATCTGGTTCTCGTGTAGTCTCCATGTCGCGCCACAGGAAACGATGCGTGTGCTGATCTAATACGTTGGTTGCAACTGTGTGTTACATCTTTTTAATATCTCTGATAAATGCAACTTCGTACTCTCTAAATATTGAGAGGACTGCTAATATGTTGTTGAATAGGTCTGGTCTTTTCGCCCAATACTCATTCAGTACATGACCCACATATTTCGCACTGTTGTTGAACACAATCCTGACAGGGGTGGACTTCGAATCTGGCTTTAGTACTTCGTGATGTTAAATATAGTGTATTGGACCTTTGTAGTTTCTTAGTTCTGCCTTGGTTAGTTTCCTTGTCACTCCTCGATTTATCATGTTTTGGTATTTATTCTTTATAAACTTTTGCGTGTTCTGAATTTTTTGCAAGTCTTCTTTCAGTTGAAATTAATGTGGCAAAAGCAGCCTTTTTGTTATCCGGTAAATCTGTAGATCTCTGATCCATGGGTATCCTGCAATCCATCTTTTGGCTTCTCGATCGTAATAACATCAGGCTATGTAAACACGGAAACCATTTTACATTTCTTCAGTTGTAAACAACAAATGTATTGCTGTAACCAACGGTTTCAAACTGTGTTCTTTAATATCTGTTAATACACATATGCGTTCGAAATCTATAGCAAAAATACACAGCAATTATGATGAGTAAGGATTCTACTAAATTAAAATTCCATAGAAAGGAAACATTTACCCGATGGTTGTGTTCGTTGTGTCTCAGGAACGATAAATTAGTGATAGTTTCGTTTTGTGATTGTTCAATTATAGCTTATTAACGACTGTTTCATTTTCACGCGTAATTAATGAATCTAGAGTGAAACATTAGGTGCGAATTCACAGCTCTGGTATTGAAAATATACCTATCTCAATTACAGTGGCGCAGCTTAGGAAATAAAAATGGAAAAGCAATTGGAAGTTCCTGCCTATCTATGCAAGGTTGGTGAGGGAAATTATCGCATGAAAGGAAATTAAAGTTACGAGTATAAACTCCGCTGCTAACTACCATGAGAACCAATTTTTCCAGAAAGACCATTAACACTTATATTTACCTAAAATTTCACTAATAATGATGAACAAAAGTACCGACATGCAGGTGCATTGTGAAAGCGAGTAACGAGCAAAATCTATTCCAAAAGCTACTGTGGTTTTTATACATATTTTGATTTACTAAAATGAAAGAACCTGAATGAACTCGAATAAATTGGAAATGGTTAAATGTGAAAGTTTACGAATAAATATGTTCCAAACAAACACATGGAAAAATCAGTAAATTTTCCCGTAACACTTTTCAATCATCATCACGCTTTTCATAAAATAACTATTATCAACCGTCACCTGTGTTATTATTTCCATTGCAAAAAGCGTATTTATTTTAATCTGTAGAGAAACTGGTTTCTTCAAAGATCGCTTCAGATTATTTGTATGTAATTTACGTATGAACAATTCCTATGATAATGTCTAAAAAGGTTGTCCTGATAATGAGGTATCTACTAAACTAAGGAGGCAAACACTTGCGTATTAACGTAGCAGTGTATTGTTTTCAAAGACTATAAAATACACCACGTGAAATTTTTTCAAAGACTGCAAATTGCACCTGCCCTAAGGGACCTGTAATCTTGTTGTCCTTGAAAAATTTACTCGTACTTATTTACACCAATTTGCACTCGAAATCGTGCTACAGTATTACCTATACAGAGTGAAGGGTTTCGTTTTACTAGAAATACTTTAGGCTGGAAAATGATGCACATTTTAGTACGAATATTTTGGTCTTAGACGCTATGACAGAAATTGAAGGTATTGATGAAACAGAGTTGTTTCGGTTTTGTTGAGTCATGCCAAAGAAAAATAAAATACGAATATTTTAGTCTAAATGAAGGCAGTGATTCAACAAAACTGAAATATTTAAAACAAAATTAAGCGATACAGGCAACCTATACTATAGTTTGATTCACCAGAACACGTTTTTCAGGTCGTGTTTATTCCATAGGAGAGTTTAAATGATGCGGATTATAAAATAGTTTAAGCAACTCCACACCGACCAAATTATCTTAGTAGCATGGTTGTAAATTGAGCAGAATTAATGACATGAAAAATAGATTAAAAGTTTGGTTTACTTAAATACGGTCTCTTTTAGAAAAAAAGCATTACCTGCCAGACTAATCAATTGACTAATGAACGTTACATCTTCCTGTGTATTAAAAAGCTCTACATTTGCGCTGAAGAATTTGCTAATTACATTATTTTGGACCGGAACACGAGCATAAATAACAGATTAATGAAAATATTTAAAAATCAAATCATAAGGATTTCCAAAATTAATAGATATTTTTCGTCTTCGAACTTCGTAATGGGCCTTGCTCACCATAGAGTCTCTGTGGCTCAGTGTTAAAATCCGAAGGTCTGAGGTTCGATTCCTCATGGGGACTCAGAATTTTTTCTTTGTACCACGCTCGTGACGAGACGAAAAACATCTTTCTCTATTTATTGACCAAGCTCAAAAATGACCACCTCTCTTATTCTATTTACAAACATGACGCTATCAACGTCGACATGGCTGATCCTAGCATTTGCAGGATGAGTGTTATAGGAACTTTGTATAGACCTCGCTCACCGTAGTGTCTCTGTGGCTTAGTATCGGAGCGTGGAATCCGAAGGTCTGGGTTCGATTCCTCATTTTTTCCCAACAAGACGAAAAACATCTTTCTCTATTTCTTTACTGAGCTTAAAACTTACCATCTTTTTTATTCTATTTACTAACTAAGAGTTTGTCCTCTTTAAAGCTTGCCTTTTTAACGGTACCAGTTTCAGGACTTGTTCAAAGACAACATTCAATTCCATGGACAGCAAAGTGCTTGTCTGATTGTCTCCTTTACTGCTTTTCTCACTTTAATAATCCTCCAAGAGTATAGAAACGGGTTCAACGAGGAGTTTAAGAAAACTAAGGTCTCAACACATTGAAAGACAACAAATGTAGAGTTAGATAGAGGCCTTCCTCTATCCACAGCTGCTATGACTATGATGTATGGTAAATAACAAACGACCAATGCCAACTGCACCCACAGTGCATTGTACACTGCCTTTCTGTATCGAGTCAGCTTCAGAGGAGCTGGTTGCCTTGGCTGTTGGATACCTTGTTGTGATAGAGTATACTTTGGGATGTTATGGAGACGGTGGAAAATCTTTGTGTACGAGAACGTTGCTGTTACCAGACAGAGTGGAATACAGATGTAGCTACACAAGACAGCTATGTGGGGATTTATAAAGTGCGATGTGCTAGCAAGGATCGAAACAATCCAAAATACGATAAGAAGCAAATATATTCGCTTGAAAGTCACAAATTGTCTGTATCTCAGCCCCAACAGCAGGGCGAGAAGTCTGTCCACACTTATTGTGGTAATTGTGAAGAGAGAGACTGATGACAAGGAATAAGCCGTTATAAAATAAGTAGTCACCGCATACAAACAAAGATTCCAATCTTCGTGAACCAAGGACAACCAATAAATAACGGCGGCAGGTTCTAAGATCAAACCAACACAGAGATCAGTTGTTGCCAGACAACGATACATAAGTATGGATGGCAGATGAAGGGAAGAGTCCTTATGAAGGGCAACTAGGATCAGGGTGTTGCCAAGAAATGCAGTAATGGACAGAAAAATGTTGATCGATGAGATCATTATTATTTGAGTGTGTATCTCATCTATCCTTCCTTCCATGCATCGCAATTGTGCATACGTTTCTGTTTGTTTTCCGGCATCATAAGATAGGTTTGCTTGCGCCATTATTCCCACTGCAACGCCCTTGTTTAATTCAACCTTGTAGGAAAGCTTGCATCTCCAAGGATTGCCTCAGGTTTATGGCATGAATATAAATATCACGGCCTCTCCTTCTATCAGCTTACTAGCCGTTCACGATCTCACAAACTAGGTCTAACTTGACAGTGAATTGTCTGCCAGTCTATATATATATACATATAAGGAAAACTGCGGTTACGTATTAGTGTAGTGGTCAATGCCAAAGGTAAAGGAAAATACGAATTTTTTAGTCTAAATTTGGCGCCGCGACAGAAACTGAAGGAATTGATTCAACAACGCTGAAATATTCTAAATATTCTAAAACGCTGAAACCATCAAATGAAAGCTGAATTTGCAGACAGCAAACGGAATGGGGTGGACATCCGCAAGTGGTTTTTGTTCTCATGCAGAAAAAATTTTAATGAATTTCTGAGTGAAAAGCGAAAAACATGAAAAGTTTTCTGTTCCTTTTCAGCGAGCAGTGTGGGCAAATCTAGTCGGGAATTTCTGAATTTTTTTCAATCTTACCGCTCAGAGAAACATAAAGCTTGAAATGGCAAATTTGAGGAATGTTAGAAAAACAATTCTTGTTGTTTTCGGCGTTCAAAGCGTCCTTTCGTTACTTCCAATCAAAGACCTTCAATAAATTAATTCGTCCCGTGTGGCGCCACTTCTCAAGGCAGGAAGTTTTAAGTTTTCTACGGGTTTACCGGGATAATAGTCGATATGTTTTTTGACCAATTAAAGCGTAATTTGTGACTAGATTATGGCATAAATTCAGATATAATTCATTTTCATGCAATTTTTCGCATTTCGTGCATGACGCACGTTGATGTAGAAAATACATCTTCATTAATATTCTAGTCTAGTGGTTAAAATAAGTCACCTGAACACTCGGTTAAGTCGTTTTCATTCCATAAGGAGTTTTGAACGATGCGTATTGTCAAGTTCTCAGGACACCTCACACCAACTAAACTATTTTTGTAGCGATCTCACCAACTAGCTACGCTTCACGAGCTCCATAATTATAAGAAATAGTAGTAACCCACTAAGCCGAAAAAATTTGGAATTACGCCCAAAAGACCAACTGTACAATGAGCTACTTTAAACATGCGTGGCAACTGCATTGCGGTCACTATTTTAGCCATTACGGAATTCGAAGAGAGAGGGAGAAGGTAATGCGCAGGCGCAATTGCGTACGGAACTTGGATACCCCACTAGTGTGCGCCAAGAAACATCGGCAGCATTTTGAGGATATTATTGCGATTCAAGTTTGTGGAGAAAGGGTTTTAAGTGAAAATAGGCTGGAAAGAAGGAGACAGAACGACCAAAGAGGGCAAGAAGTAGAAGGGGTAGAGCGTGTAAAAAAAAAACGTGAAAGAGAGTTAGAAAGCACAGTGAAATAGGTAGAACACGGCGAGAGGAACACCTAAGAGAACAAAGAAAGGCAACCTTGAATATTTTCTTTTGAATTCATTGAATCACGACCTTGAAATTTTATAAGTAATGAAGAACGTTAATTCCGTTTATCACATAAAATGCGGTGTTATACAAGGATTTTCGGCCCTGAGAAAAGCCGTAACAACACACGTGAAAAAAATATCGTATTTTTTCAGGTGTGTTGATATAGCCAATCAGCTGCTTACACGTCACTTGCCTTTGGCACCATTCGGTCAGGTTTATGAATGAACGGCAAACCCTTCACGATTCTCAATACAAGTTGTTGTCGGAGCTTTCTCGAATTATGGCGGCTAAAACACTAAAAAATCCGTATCGCTGACAGACAATCAGGTTCAAACTTTCCTAGAAGGAAAAGAAAAACCAATATACGAAAAGAAAAACCGAAAGTTGCGTATTCAGTGCCTTTGGTGTTAGTATTTCTCTCGGCTTAGAATGAAAATCGACAACTGGATGATTTGCCACTGGCCGATTTTGGCCGTTTACCTGAAAGACTTCTTCTGTCGGTAAGGACAAAGTCAATAAATGAGAATTTTGTAAATTGAAAATTACGACCATTGTTGTTTTTGTAATCATGATTCAACGCATTTTTCCATCTTAAGAGTCAGCGCCAACGCCGACTCTTCGATGCGCTCACTTGTGAGCTTTGAGTTCAACACTCGAAGAGAAATTCCATATCTACGCGCGCCCATGGATTATTCTCTATTTATTCACTGCAAATAAAGCACTTTTTAAACTTTCCATACGATTCAACTATGTCTTATTAAATGTTGACTCGATAATTTGGCATAATCGGTTGATTATTTGCTGCTCAAAAGCCACTTATTACTTGAGGTACTGAACTTGACATATTTGATACGCAAGGCACCCTTCAAGGGGGAAGACGAGAATAGAATTGCTTTTATGACCGTATGTTATAATTAAGTAATTCCTATTATAGCTGAATTCAGAAGCATTAACATGTAGGTTATATAATTCTGCTTCATTTAATTGTAATGTGTTTCTTTAAATATGACGTATATCCATTCCTTTGATTTCCTCCCTAACCTGCCTGCAAATAATTCAAATGACAGAAATCGCATATCATGCATATCGCACATTGACATAGAAATGAGGCTTTCAGCAATATTCTAGCTTCGTTATGAAAATATGTCACCTGAACACGTTTTCGAGTCATATTTATTTCATAGGGGTGTTTTGAACCATGCTTACTGTCAAGTTGTCAAACACCTCTATACCGACCAAATTATATTTTCGGTTACAGACACTTTTTCGAAGTGGCAATATAGGTTAGGCGAAAATTTACAACTTTACTACTTAAATTGAGGAAGACTGTTGACAAGAAAAATATCTAGAAAGTTTTGCTTACCTAACTACGGTCTCTTTTAGACATAACAGCATTTTATGAGGCAACTGCCAGACTAATTAATAATCAACTTTACATCTTCCTGTGTATTAAAAGGTTCTGCGAGGTAAACATTTGGACGGAATAGTATAGCGAGATAAATGTCAGTTGTAGAATTTTAACGGGTGAAATTTATTTTCAATGTGAGAGCTTAACTTTACATTCTTTCTTAACATTATTAGACCGCACCACGAAAAAAGCGGCAACATCAGAAGACAACAACATCGAGCCCTGTGCTCTAATTCAAACGCCGTCCAGCTATTTTGTTTACTTGCGGTTTATTGTTTTCCTTTAACCAAATTTGTCTTTATTGTTTCAACTTTAATTAGAGCTTGAACGCTCAAATTTGGCAAAAACTATCGACTGAAAGATGAAATCGCTGACAGCAAGCGAAATTGACATTAAAGTTAAGTGCACATTCACTTTGCAAGTGTAACAGCTTTTCTTTTTTTTTTTTAGTTTGTCTTTTAACGGATAGCACTTCCCGAGCCTACTCACAGAGTACAGCTTCTCTATGGCAATGGACAACAAAGTGCTTGTCTGATTGTCTCCTTTACTACTTGTCTCACTTCTCTTATCTTCCAACAATAAAGAAACGGGTTCAACGAAGAGTTTAAATCGATTAAGGTCAATGCGCATTTAAGGACGATAAATTCAGAAGGAGATAGTTTACTTCTAGGTCGAACTGTTACCCGGCGTCATGCCGTACGGTAGATAGCAAACGACCAATGTCAACTGCAGCCACAGTGCACTGTTCACCGCCTTTCTGTATCGAGCCATGTTGAATGAAACTGGTTCACTCGGCTGGATTGGAAAATTCACCTGCACTTGATTTCGATGATGTAAACGGTGGAAAGTTAGCATATACGAGAACGTTGCTGTTACCAGACAGAGTAGAATAGCGATATAACTATACCATATGGCTATGCGGTAATTTACAAAGTACGATATACCAGCGAGGATCGAAACGATCCAAAATGTGCTAAGCAGTAAATATGTTCGTTTTAAACTCACAACTTGTCTGTATCTCAAACCTAACAACAGGGCGAGAAGTCTGTCCACACTTATTGCAGTCATTGTTAAGAGAGAGACTGATGAAAGAATATAACCTGCCACAAAAGAAGTAATAAACCCAGCTTGACAAAGATTCCAATCTTCTAGAAGCAAGGACAGCCAATACATAACGCCAGAAGGCTCTGAAGCTAGATCAACACAGAGATCAGTTGTTGCCAGACAACGATACAGAAATTTGGATGGTGGATGAAGGGAAGAGTCCTTATGAAGAACAACCAGGATAAGGATGTTACCGAGAAAAGCAGCAATGGACAGGAAAGTGTTGATTGCAAAAACAATTAATGGCCCGTGTATTTCATCTGCCCATCCTGCCACGCATTGCAGTTGTTTCCAAGTTTCCATTCGTTTTCGAGCATCATCAGAAAGATTTACTGCCGCCACTATGCCTTATATTTTCAACATGTTGGGTAGTGTTTCTCTCCGAGGATCACTTCAGGCTTTTGGTATAAATTTACATATTAATAGTTCTTCTGGCATCAGTTTAAGAAAGGTGATCAAAGTTTTGGGAGGCTTTGGGACGGAACTTTTTGTTGAGATAAGACACGCTTCCCAAGTGTAAAAAAAGCCATAAAGGCGAATTTAACACGGAATTCCTTTGAAATGACTTAAAACCAAAGTGTAAAGTCAAAGGGTTTTTCCACGAAAACGACGAGTTCGACTGCTTGTTGGCGGATTTGGCAAAATAACGAGAAGCCCTTGGTTTCCTTGAGTAGCAAAAACGTATCTTCATATGATGGTAACCGATACCGGAATCCGCGAACTTTCTAGCTATGAACTTCTTCGTTACCCCGCCTCGTGATGAAACGCCAATTACGCCGTCAAACTACAGAAACGTTCAGAAAAGTAGAAATTTAACTCATTCATGCTTTGAAACAGCTCTGGTGAGTTACCTTGGAGCGTTCTCAGCGAAGAGAGTTAGAGGCAGAGTTAAGTCCAATAAGAACTTTTTATTTTCCCATGAGAATCTGAACACTTTGAATGTTTAAGGGAATCAACAAACGACACTCGCTTAAAGGAACTGTCGGTCCTAAGTTGTTTTGAATTTTTACACACGAGATGCATGGGGAAAATTTCTTCAGTTGGTGAGATAAATCTACGAAACGATGCCCCTTTTTTGTCTCAGCTGCTAATGAGAAAGAGGGTCTGAGAAAAATCCATCGAACCAAAATTTGAGTCATGTAACTTTTCAAATTTTGTTCGGAAAGTTGGTTTTGGAAAAAATAACAAGTTTGTAAACATAAATATAAAGTAAATATAAAGTTTGTAAACATAAAGGTTGTAAACATGTTACCATATTTGCAGCGCTAGCATGATTTGAAAGATTGTTGGAAACCCAGATCAGTGATTTTGTATCCAACAAATTCTGTAGGCTTGTTGTCAATGATTGAGTCAGAAAGCTCTCGAAATAAACAAACCTCTATGAACCCATTCAAATGTACCTTTTTTACCTAACTTAAGGAATGGAAATAATTCACCCAATTCCAGAGTCTGCGGTCACCATTTCGATTGATAAGAACAAGAAATACATCCATGTCAAATTCATCTATCATCTATTTAACGAAGCCTACCTTGTTTATATTTCTGAACGTGTAATAAGGCTTCTGTGATAAACCTATTAAGGGAATTAACATCTCCTGAAATTAACGGTAATTTGAAAGATCACGTTGGTTTCCACTTTTTTTTTATTCCCTCGTCATTCAACAGGAGATCGTAAATTTCCATACTTTAAAAGTTACTGATTAACGCCTCAAATTCCCATACGCTCAATATACATTAATCTTTTTAATTTTTGATATAGTGCGCACTCTCATTGGTCGATTGGTGTGTTTAGATTAAACTAATGTAAGGTCGGTTGCGCTGTCTCGCTCTCTGTGCTTTCTTTGATGCATGTGTTCTGCATAGAGTTTCGAGAAACGATGTTCATAGGGTAGCAATATGAGTTCCTGTTTGTTGTAGCTCATTTCCACCCATCGCTGACTACGTCCTCCTACTGTATATATTCCATCGTTACGTTTTCGAGGACAGAGACGTTTATGTTTTCCTTTTTTCAAGTCTTCGTGCATAATTTCCTGTGCTTGTAAAATCCAGAATCGTTCTTCGTTTGTAATATCTTCAGGTGTCAATACTTTAGTTACATTCTTGAATATAATTCTCGGCATCTTCTAGTACATGGCCGATACTCTTGTTGTCACTTTTAGCAGCTTCTCAAAATTCGTGTAACTATCAATGTTGATTCGCTTTTCCAGTGAATCTTCCTCAATATTGTTCACAATATTGATAGATGTCAGTACCTTGATAGTTTCCGGTAGTTTTTGCACTGTTGTAGGTGTCTTAGTTATAGGCCACTCGCTTTCAGGTAGTTTGAGAAAATCAGGTACTGCCTGCCAGCCACTATTGATATCAATATCGATTGGTCTTTTACCACGTGTTAACCAATCAAAAATGTTATTTTTACTTTCAGTCCAGCACCAGTCGTTCTTTTCGGTACCTTCTTGAATTTCTGTTACGCGCGCTGCGGCGAACGTGTTGAATTCATGTGTTTTTTTATGTATCATAGCATGTACTATTTGGGAATCGACAATGTGGTAATATCTTTGAAATTTATACCTGCTCCGTTGTTGTAAAACGATTTTCAATCTTTTGTTAAGTATAGCACCACAAAGTTCTATGCGATCAATTGAAATCCTTTTGACCGGAGTAAAGCGATTCTTTGATAGAATGATGTAACTGACAAATTTTCACGTTGATAATTCTCATCTGACGTAAGCACAAGCACCGTAAGCGTTGTTTGATCCGTCGCTAAATATGATCAGTATTGGGTCTCCTATTGCATCGTGTGGTTTGAGACATCGTTTGACTGAAATCTTCTCCATTTCAGGCAAGTCATTGAAAAATGTCATCCATTCTCTTCCGTATTCTTCTGGTATGGGATCGTCCCAATCCAGTTTTGTTTCATATGTCCACAGTTTTCTCATAAGTGTTTTGGCCCTTACTGTGTACGGACCGGCAAGCCCAAGAGGGTCGTATATGCTGTTCACTTGAGACAAAATCATACGTTTGGTCAATACTTCTGGAATGCTACAGATGGGTCGAACATCTGTAGGATTCGCGTCCATGTGAGTGCGTGTTGTGTTTTTCTTTGGGGAAAAACTTAATTTGACTTTAAAGTGAAAATTGTCTTTTATAGGATCCCATACAACGCCAAGAACCTTTTCTGTAGCAGTAGATGGTTCCATTGGTATCTTTGGTTCATGTCTGCTCGATCGATCTTCTGAGAAGGTCCACTCCTTCAATTTGAATCCTCCTTTGTCTGATAACTTCTCTATATCATCTGTAGTTTGTTTTGCCTTTTTTTGATTGTTGACGCTTTCAATTATATCATCCATATATGTATTATTGAGTATCACTTGAGAAGCTTCCGAAAATTGATCTTTTCCCATTCCTGCGGTCTTTCGTAATGCGACAGTTGCTATCGCGCCTGATGGTTTGTCGCCGAACGAAACTTTTCTCCATGTCGCGCCATAGGAAACGATGCGTGTGCTGGTCTAATACGTTGGTTGCAACTGTGTGTTACATCTTTTTAATATCTCCGATAAATGCAACTTCGTACTCTCTAAATCTTAGGAGGACTGCTAATATGTTGCTGAATAGGTCTGGTCTTTTCGCCCAATACTCATTCAGTACATGACCCATATAGTTTGCACCGTTGTTGAACACAATCCTGACAGGGGTGGACTTCGAATCTGGCTTTAGTACTTCGTGATGTTAAATATAGTGTATTGGACCTTTGTAGTTTCTTAGTTCTGCCTTGGTTAGTTTCCTTGCCACTCCTCGATTTACCATTTCTTGTATTTGTTCTTTATAAACTTTTGCGTGTTCTGAATGTTTTGCAAGTCTTCTTTCAGCTGAAATTAATGTGGCAAAAGTAGCCTTTTTGTTATCCGGTAAATCTTTAGATCTCTGATCCATGTGTATTCTGCAATCCATCTTTTGGCTTCTCGATCGTAATAAAGGTTCCTTTCAATTAGAGCAAGTTCTGTCTCTTCTTTAATTGTATAGTTCTTACTTCCCAGGGAACATTTTCCACATTTACATCCTCCGCATCGCGGGTTGCATTCAATCCCAAGATTTTCGATGTTGTAGAAGTCTTCCACGGTGGAGGATGTACTATGAAGTACTTGCACACTGTTAAGTTCGTGTCTCTCATTTGTTTCTTTGATCTGCGGATGAGTTCCTCCAATGTATCGTCCGAATCGATTTTTTAATAGTAGTAGGTGTTCTGAGCTTTTTTCCTATTGTGGGTGGAACCCAGCGTAGTCGAAACCAATTAGTACATCTGCTTCTCCTGTTGGCCTTGTTATTTCTTCCTTTGTTACATTGCTGAATAGACGATGTACTCCATTAAAGTTTATAGTTTGAATGTCGGAAGTTATCTTATCTATTCCGTATACGTCGATTTGTAATTCTTGTCTTTTTTTGTCAATTAGTGTGAGCTTGTATTTTCGGGATATTAACTTCTTATTAATGCCTCCAACCTTGACTACAGATAGTTGAGCACTTATTCCCTTGAGTTTTTCCTCTTTAGCTTTTTTATTTGTGATAAAACAGAGGGAAGCGCCGTTGTCCCACAATACGTTAGCAAATCCCTGTTTTGTCTGAATCCTTTGAACTTGTAGTAGACATGTATCAATACCTCTGTTGTTACACGTATTTGCAGATGTAGGGATATCAATTTCGCGTTTTTCCTCATGCAAAGTTGCATGATGTCTCCTGATACAATCATTTACGCCACAGACGTTCTTATTCCTATATTCTTGGATCCTATGGCCTCGTTTGAGACACGACCAACAAGCTCCCTTTTCCTTTAATATTCCTTTTCTTTCTTCAATGGACTTGGATAGATAAACCCTGCATTCAGTTATTAGATGGTTAGCTCCTTCATTGCATAAACATTTGCTAGGTTTCCAGTACGAAGTGGCTACTTTGCTGTCGTTTTTCTCTGATAAATGTACAAAACCCTTTACTTTGGAGTCGTTTCGTAGTTCTGCATTCTCATATTCAATTGCCTACTTCTGGTTGAGAAGGAATTTCAATAAACTAGGAAACTTATCCGTTTTGTCAACAGTGCTGTGGTCGGAGCTTACAAACTTTGCCCATTCTTTCTTGACATCGGTTGGTAATTTCTTCTCTATCACGCTCACAGAACTGGTTGTGGTTACTTCTTTTTCTAGTCCTAATCTCTTTAAGTCTCGGCAACTATCCTCGACGACGTTGATTAACTCGATTAGTCTATTGTTGTCACCGTCCCTGATATTTCTCATATTCTGTATTGCGTTCATGATGACATCTACAACTTTCGTGAGATCACCATATTTTTCATCTAATCGTTTCCACATAGCTTTGAGATCGTCATCAGTACTTTTCACGACATCAGCCGGTCCTTTACTAAGACATTATTGAAGGATGTAAGGAGCACTTTCGATGTTAATTGTCGGCATGACTTGTTTCTCAAAGTCCATTTTAAATCGAGGATAATCTCCTATTTCTCCTGTAAATAAGGGCATCTTGACCTCTTCTAGTTGGAGTGGATTCTGTTTTCGTACGCTGTCGTGATCTGTTTCCTTAGCGATAACTGATTCGATCCTTCCACAGACTTCATTGTAGTGCGTGGGCACGTCACGAATCCATTCGATCTCGTATTCTTCGCGCTTACTGTCTACTAGCTCGAGCGCTTTATTATGTAAATCATTGCAGTTCGTTATCGTAGTACCTAATTCTTTAGAAGTCTTGCGCAAAGCTGGTGTTGCGTCTTGAACGTTACTTTGCGATTCCATTAGACTTTGTGCATGCTTTGTAAGAGTTTCAAAGATTGTTTCCATTGATTTCTTTTTCTTGTTTATTTGCTCCATCAAGCTTTGAAATCTTTCTTGTTACATTCTAATTGCTTCTTGTCGATTTGAATCTGCTCGTTCATGTATTGAGCTTGTATGTCTGCTGCCTCATTGTACAGTTCTTGAAGTTCAGTGATCCATGATTCACTTTGTTCAACTTCTTCCTCTGTTAAGTGTATGGTATAAATGTCATGCTTACCTTCAACTGTATTCCAGGCTTCATTGAGTTCGGCGAAGGTTCTCTTCACAGTGTCGATACCTTTGTTTTCCTTGATGGACTTTAGGAATTCGTTCCGCTTTCTTGTAAAACGTGTTTTAGCTGAGGTCCTTATCTTTCTTGTTTCTTCAGCCATCTCTTCTCCTCCAAAACGGATTTCGAATGTATTTTATAAAATAATTCAAATATTACGCGCGCTCTGATTAGCCATAAAACCATTTTACATGAGCGTATTTAAACACGGTTTTCGTTCCTCTTTCATTAGTTATTTTATAAAAGAAATGTAAAATGGTTTCCGAGTTTACATAGCCTGATGTAAACACTTGGGAGGTTGGGAGAACACTCGATAAGCTGGAAACCACTCCGCTTCGCGTCGTGGTTTCCTACTCTTATCTCGTGTTCTCCCAACCTCCCGCGTGTTTACATCAGGCTATGTAAACACGGAAACCATTTTACATTTCTTCAGTTGTAAACAACAAATGTATTGCTGTAACCAACGGTTTCAAACTGTGTTCTTTAATATCTGTTAATACACATGTGCGTTCGAAATCTATAGCAAAAATACACAGCAATTATGATGAGTAAGGATTCTACTAAATTAAAATTCCATAGAAAGGAAATATTTATCCGATGGTTGCGTTCGTTGTGTCTCAGGAACGATAAATTAGTGATAGTTTCGTTTTGTGATTGTTCAATTATAGCTTATTAACGAGTGTTACGTCTTCTCGCGTAATTAATGAATCTAGAGTGAAACATTAGGTGCGAATTCACAGCTCTGGTATTGAAAATATACCTATCTCAATTACAGTGGCGCAGCTTAGGAAATAAAAATGGAAAAGCAATTAGAAGTTCCTGCTTATCTATGCAAGGTTGGTGTGGGAAATTATGGTATGAAAGGGAATTAAAGTTACAAGTATAAACTCCGCTGCTAACTACCATGAGAACCAATTTTTCCAGAAAGACCATTAACACTTATATTTACCTAAAATTTCACTAATAATGATGAACAAAAGTACCGACATGCAGGTGCATTGTGAAAGCGAGTAACGAGCAAAATCTATTCCAAAAGCTACTGTGGTTTTTATACATATTTTGATTTACTAAAATGAAAGAACCTGAATGAACTCGAATAAATTGGAAATGGTTAAATGTGAAAGTTTACGAATAAATATGTTCCAAACAAACACACGGAAAAATCAGAAAATTTTCCCGTAACACTTTTCAATCATCATCACGCTTTTCAGAAGATAACTATTATCAACCGTCACCTGTGTTATTATTTCCATTACAAAAAGCGTATTTATTTTAATCTGTAGAGAAACTGGTTTCTTCAAAGATCGCTTCAGATTATTTGTATGTAATTTACGTATGAACAATTCCTATGATAATGTCTAAAAAGGTTGTCCTGATAATGAGCTATCTACTAAACTAACGAAGCAAACACTTGCGTATTAACGTAGCAGTGTATTGTTTTCAAAGACTATAAAATACACCACGTGAAATTTTTCAAAGACTGCAAATTGCACCTGCCCTAAGGGCCCGTGTAATCTTGTTGTCCTTGAAAAATTTACTCGTACTTATTTACACCAATTTGCACTCGAAATCGTGCTACAGTATTACCTATACAGAGTGAAGGGTTTCGTTTTACTAGAAATACTTTGGGCTGGAAAGCGATGCACATTTTAGTACGAATATTTTAGTCTTTGACGCTATGACAGAAATTGAAGGTATTGATGTAACAGAGCTGTTTCGGTTTTGTTGAGTCATGCCGAAGAAAAATAAAATACGAATATTTTTAGTCTAAATGAAGGCAGTGATTCAACAAAACTGAAATATTTAAAACAAAATTAAGCGATACAGGCAACCTATACTATAGTTTGATTCACCAGAACACGTTTTTCAGGTCGTGTTTATTTCATAGGAGAGTTTTAATGATGCGGATTATAAAATAGTTTAAGCAACTCCACACCGACCTAATTATCTTAGTAGCATGGTTGTAAATTGAGCAGAATTAATGACATGACAAATAGATTAAAAGTTTGGTTTACTTAAATACGGTCTCTTTTAGAAAAAAGGCATTACCTGCCAGACTAATCAATTGACTAATGAACGTTACATCTTCCTGTGTATTAAAAAGCTCTACATTTGCGCTTAAGAATTTGCTAATTATATTATTTTGGACCGGAACACGAGCATAAGTAACAGATTCATGAAAATATTTAAAAACTCCAAAATTTCCAAAATTAATAGATATTTTTCGTCTTCGAACTTCGTAATGGGCCTTGCTCACCATAGAGTCTTTGTGGCTCAGTGTTAAAATCCGAAGGTCTGAGGTTCGATTCCTCATGGGGACTCAGAATTTTTTCTTTGTACCACGCTCGTGATGAGACGAAAAACATCTTTCTCTATTTATTTACCGAGCTCAAAAATGACCACCTCTCTTATTCTATTTACAAACATGACGCTATCAACGTCGACATGGCTGATCCTAGCATTTGCAGGATGAGTGTCATAGGAACTTTGTATAGACCTCGCTCACCGTAGTGTCTCTGTGGCTTAGTGATAAAGCATCGGAGCGCGGAATCCGAAGGTCTGAGGTTCGATTCCTCATGGGGACTCAGAATTTTTTCTTTGTCCCACGCTGGTGACAAGACGAAAAACATCTTTCTCTATTTCTTTACTGAGCTTAAAACTTATTATCTTTCTTATTCTATTTACTAAGAGTTTGTCCTCTTTAAAGTTTGCCTTTTTAACGGTACCAGTTGCAGGACTTGTTCAAAGACAACATTCAATTCCATGGACAGCAAAGTACTTGTCTGATTGTCTCCTTTACTGCTTTTCTCACTTCAGTAATCCTCCAAGAGTATAGAAACGGGTTCAACGAGGAGTTTAAGAAAACTAAGGTCTCAACACATTGAATGACAAAAAATGTAGAGTTAGATGGAGGCCTTCCTCTACCCACAGCTGCTATGACTATGATGTATGGTAAATAACAAATGACCAGTGCCAACTGCACCCACAGTGCATTGTACCATGCCTTTCTGTATCGAGTCAGGTTCAGAGGAGCTGGTTGCCTTGGCTGTTGGATACCTTGTTGTGATGGAGCACACTTTGGGATGTTATGGAGACGGTGGAAAATCTTTGTGTACGAGAACGTTGCTGTTACCAGACAGAGTGGAATACAGATGTAGCTACACAAGACAGCTATGTGGGAATTTATAAAGTACGATGTGCTAGCAAGGATCGAAAAAGTCCAAAATATGGTAAGAAGCAAATATATTCGTTTCAAAGTCACAACTTGTCTGTATCTCAGCCCCAACAGTAGGGCGAGAAGTCTGTCCACACTTATTGTGGTAATTGTGAAGAGAGAGACTGATGACAGAGTATAACCTGTTATAAAATAAGTAGTCGCCGCACACAAACAAAGATTCCAATCTTTGTGAACCAAGGACAACCAATAAATAACGACGGCAGGTTCTAAGATCAAACCAACACACAGATCAGTTGTTGCCAGACAACGATACATAAGTATGGATGGCGGATGAAGGGAAGAGTCCTTATGAAGGGCAACTAGGATCAGGGTGTTGCCAAGAAATGCAGTAATGGACAGAAAAATGTTGATTGATGAGATCATTATTATTTGAGTGTGTATCTCATCTATCCTTCCTTCCACGCATCTCAATTGTGCATACGTTTCTGTTTGTTTTCCGGCATCATAAGATAGGTTTGCTTGCGCCATTATTCTCACTGCAACGCCCTTGTTTAATTCAACCTTGTAGGAAAGCTTGCATCTCCAAGGATTGCCTCAGGTTTATGGCATGAATATAAATATCACGGCCTCTCCTTCTATCAGCTTACTAGCTGTTGACAACCTCATCAACTAGGTCCAACTTGACAATGAATTGTCTGCCAGTCTATATATATATATATATATATATATATACATATAAGGAAAACCGCGGTTACGTATTAGTGTTGTGGTCAATGCCAAAGATAAAGGAAAATACGAATTTTTTCGTCTAAATTTGGGGCCGTGACAGAAACTAAAGGAATTGATTCAACAAAACTGAAATATTCTAAATATTCTAAAACGCTGAAACCATGAGATGAAAGCTGAAATCGCAGACAGCTAATGGAATTTATGTAAATCTGGGGTGGACATCCACCTTGCAAGTGGTTTTTTGTTCTCATGCAGAAAAATTTTTTAATGAATTTCTGAGTGAAAAGCGAAAAACATGAAAAGTTTTCTGTTCCTTTTCAGCGAGCAGTGTGGGCAAATCTAGTCGGGAATTTCTGAATTTTTTTCACTTCCACCGCACAGAGAAAAATAAACCTTAAAACGGCAAGACGAGTTAGTAAAGCTACATTTTAATTAGAAAATTTGAGTAATGTTAGGAAAATAAATTCTTGTTGTTTTCGGCGTTCAAAGCGTCCTTTCGTTACTTCCAATCAAAGACCTTCAATAAATTAATTCGTCCCGTGTGGCGCCACTTCTCAACGCAGGAAAATATTTAAGTTTTCTACGGGTTTACCGAGATAATAGTCGATTTATTTTTTGACCAATTAAAGCGTACTTCGTGATTATATTATGGTATAAATTCAGATATGATTCATTTTCATACAATTTTTCGCATTTTTTGCATGACGCACGTTTAGGTAGAAAATATATCTTAATTAATATTCTGGTCTCGTAGTTAAAATAAGTCACTTGAACACTCGGTTAAGTCGTGTTCATTCGATAAAGGAGTTTTGAACGATGCATATCGTCAAGTTCTCAGGGCACCTCCACACCAACTAAACTATTATAGCGGAGCTCGCCAATCGTAACCCCATAAATATATGAAATAATAGTAACCCATTGAGCCAAAAAATTTGGAATTACGCCCAAACGACCGACTGTACAACGAGTTACTTTTAACATGCGCGGCAACTGCATTGCGGTCACAATTTGAGCTATTACGGAATTCGAAGAGTGAGGGAGAAGCATCGGCAGCATTTTGAGCGGGAAATCATACTGGCGTAGTTGCAGTTGAACGGTAATTCTCATTAATCTGCAATTTTTAATCAACTCGCAAAGCAACAATACCGGCAGAGCTAAAGCTATGTCAACCGGAGGATATTATTGCGATTCAAGTTCGTGGAGAAAGAGTTTTAAGTGAAAATAGGCTGGAAAGAAAGAGACAGAATGACCACAGAGAGTAAGAAGTAGGAGGAGTAGAGCGAGTAAAAACAAAACGTGAAGGAGAGTTAGAAAGCACAATGAAATAGGTAGAACACGGCGAGAGGAACACCTAAAAGAACAAAGAAAGGCTAAAGTAAAAAGGCTCCCTTGAATATTTTCTTTTGAATTAATTGAGTTACGACCTTGGAATTTTATAAGTAATGAAGAACGTTAAATCCGTTTCTTCACTACAAATAAAGCACATTTTAAACTTTCAACTATGTCTGATTAAATTTTGACTCGATAATTTGGCATAATCGGTTGATTATTTGCTGCTCAAAGCCACTTATTACTTGAGGTACTGAACTTGACATATTTGATACGCAAGGCACCCTTCAAGGGGGAAGACGAGAATAGAATTGCTTTTATGACCGTATATTGCACTGGTTCATATATGTAGGCAATTGCATAATTATGTAATTCCTATTCTTGTATTCAGAAGCATTAAGAATAAGTTTGTGAGAATCAAACATCTTGGGAAATGAAAATTTTCAACCCCCCTTCAAATTTTGCATGCAGTTAGGCACTCAGGGGGGATGCACAAAAGTGCCCTTTTTAAAGGTCGCAGCACTCTTGTTGCTATGGTAACAACGGCTGCTTATTCGAGGCCTGGGGTCTCATTTTCAAACAAAAACGTCGCAAAAAAAAATTTTAACGTTTGTTTCTCATCTCAAGCTAAATACAACATTACAAATTGGCACTTCTACCATACATAGTAACATCATTCGTCTTCACTTTGATTCATTCAATTTTCGCTGGAAGTGAATGTGAACACACCAATAGATTATTCATCTCGGTACAGTTTCGGTCATTTTTGTTGCCGGGTAAAAGAGGGAAAACGTTTATCTGAATTTCTCCAAAAGTACAACGATTCTGGAATTGAAACTACCCACCTAGCTGGTTATTATATTCTAGTTTGTAATATGTAAAAATCTCTGCGGGTCTGCCTCTACTTTTTATAGGGGCAATTCGCGAAATAGCTCAAAAGCTGGTTGTCATCTTTTAAAACAAAATTGATCAACCTTCATGGAGGATTACTCGACGTAACTACAACCAAATGTCCCAAATCGTGTGCATATCATCCAGTAATTGTGCAGTCTCACGTGCTTTCATCACGACGCATGCGCAGCTCAAGGTAATTTCTTCCAAACAATTCGACTCGTACTTTTCGCGTTAATCACTATGTGGAACTATTTGTTGAGATAAGACACGTTCCCCAAGTATAAAAAAAGCCATAAAGTAAACGAATTTAACACTGAATTCCTTTGAAATGACTTAAAACTAAAGTGTAACTTCATAGGGTCTGCAGTTCCACGAAAACGACGAGTTCGACTGCTTTTTGGCGGATTTTGCCAAAATGGCGAGAAGCCCTTGTTCTCCTTGCGTCGCAAAAATGTGTCTTCATATGATGGTAGCCGATACTGGAATCTGCAAACTTTCTAGCTATGAACTTCTTCGTTATCCCGCCTTGTGATGAATCGCCGATTACGCCGTCAAACTACAGAAACTTAACCGAAAAGCAAACATTTAACTAATTCATACTTTGAAACAGCTCTGGTGAGTTATCTTAGAGCGTTCTCAGCAGAGAGAGTTAGAAGCAGAGTTAAGGCTCAGTAAACAGACCAACACAGAGATCAGTTGTTGCCAGACAACGATACATAAGTTTGAATGGCGAATGAAGAGAAGATTCCTTATGGAGAGCGACTAAGATCAGGGAATTGCTAAGAAATGCAGTAATGGACAGAAAAATGTTGATGTTGAGAGAGTTATTATTGGCTTGTGTATTCCATCTGCTCATTCTGCTACGCATCGCAGTTGTATAAAAGTTTCGGTTTGTTTTTCGGCTCCACGAGAAAAGTTTGCTTGTGCTATTATTCCCACTTCAACGTTTATTACAACCAGTAAGAAAGCTTGTCTCTCCGAGGATCGCCTTTGGGAAGGGTTTTTTAAAGTTAGTCAACAGCTGATCGTGATCTTGTCAGTAGAATTTGACAATGATCACTTCACTAATTTTCCAAAAGTAGAGAAAGTGGTTGAGAGAAGAGTAAAAGTAAACTAGGGATACTGCAGTATAAAATAACGATAAATTTGGAAGGATAAGGTCTCTCTTTTGACAGAACTGCTGCGGCTATGAAATACGGTAAACAGGAAACGACTAATGCCAACTGCACCCACAGTACACCGTGCACTGCCTTTCTGTAAAGCACCATGTTCAATGGAACTGGTTGGCTCGGCTGCTGTGGAACATGCACTTGCACTTGATTTTGATTATGCTGGAGGCGATGGAAATGTTTAGGTACGAGGATGTTGCTGTTACCAGACATAGTGGTATAACGTTATAGTCATACCAGATGGCTGTACAGCGATCTATAGAGTATGACGTCCCAGATAGGACTGAAACAGTCCAAAATATTATCACAAGCTCAAATGGTATCGTAATATTATTACAAGCAAAAATATTTGCTTCAAAGTTACGAATTGTCTGTATCTCAACCCCAAAAACAATGAGAGAAGTATGTCCACGCTTATTACCGTCATTATAAACAGAGAGATTGAAGACAGAGTGTAGCCTGTTACAAAAAAATGTGGCCGATGCGTAGCGACACAGATTCCAGTTTTCGTGAAACACAGGAAGCTAGTAAGCAACGTATCAAGGCTCAGAAATGAGTCCCATGCATGGATCAGTTGCTGCGAGACAACGGGAAAAGATTTTGGATGGCGGATGAAGGGAACAAGATTACGGATATAAGTGTAGGGCGATTAGGATCAGAGTATTTCCAAGGAAAGCAATAATGGATAGAAAAATGTTGAATGCTCAGAGAAATATCAACTGTTGTTTGAGTAGCTCCTCTTTCAATCTTTTAAAACAAAGCGGTTCTACGAGATTTTCAGTACACTGCGCACAATGCAGTTGCAGACATGTACAGCGGTCTCTATAAACGTGGGGGTCAAGCCAACAACCACATGTGCTCTAGGTCTGGGTGCTCTAAATCCAAGCGGTGCGTAATAGGCATCTGCTGGAACACATAAATTCACACCCGTATCCCACGACAGTGCTTTCTGTCCTTTCGGTGGACCACGCACCCACCAATCGATATTTGATCGCTATCGATCTCCTCATTAAACCAAGACTCTGTGAGGGCCGCTATGTGGAGAGAAAATTTTAATTCAAAACATCTTGTAAATTCTTTTCAATACAGCCTTGGCTGATAATATTGAAAACCGCTAACAAGAGATGTTCTTTCCGTACATAGATTGTATATGAGTCAAATTTATCTTTTAATAAGATGTTCGAATAGTCAGAGCTTCTGCCGGTTCGATTTTAATTTTAGATATCTTTATCATCCTGCGCATATTAGCAGACTTATCGTTAACCCTTTAACTCCCATGAGTGACCAAGACATAATTTATCCCTACATTATCAATACAATACCAAGCAGACAAGTAATGAGAACAAAGACCAATATTATTCGGGGGATTTTTAGTTGATCCAATACCCAATTCTCCAAACTACCATCACAAGAACTGTATGGCAGACAGTAGGGAGAATGGCTAATGAGATCTTGGGAGTTAAAGGGTTAAGTGGTATATAAAAACGATTTCGTGGGTTTGATCGTGGTATTCAAACATCGAGAAGCAAATGAAAGCAAGAGGCTGCCCTTCGGCCGAGTGCTTTTATTTGTTTAAATTGCTTCTCAAACTGCTTATATTGATCATCACCTAAATCGTAACACTATGGTTACGTTCTTTTCATCGGTTGCGTAATTTTGGACATCATTATCAGCTACCATTCATCTGTTGTCTCTTTGGGGTTTCTTAGCGGAATTCAAAGTGTATGCTAAATTTATAGTAGTTTTGCTCATTTAGTTTATAGCTCCGTGATTTTAGTCGGAGCTTGATTATGGCAGGAAGTAATGCAGTTAACCGTTTTCGTGTCCCAAAAAGCAGTGAAGAGGGAAGTAAACTGCTAAAAGAAAGTGTTCCTAAATCAACCGTTAGTAGTTTTCCTTATTTACATTTCATGCTATGCACGAGTCTAGATATCCAATAAAAACGCATTTCCAGATCACTAGTGATATGAATACGCGTTTTTATTGGATATCTAGATTCATGCATGTCACGAAATACGGATATGCATTTTTATCGAGTATCTAGATTCATGCACGTGACAAAAAACTTTCTCCTCGTTGGCTGATAATTTCATGAAAATTTGAGAACTTGATTTGTTTGTGTTGATCCTCGTTTACTACCGAGGAAAAGCTATTTGTTCTTGGGACGAAATGAAGAGATTAAAGAACCTTTAAAAGTGGAGGCTTTTGCACATCCACTTTGATACAGTATTAAAACACATTATTTGAGGAGACCGTCGCTGTTACTAGACACAATGGTGTAACGATGTGACTAATCCAATCAGCTATACGGTGATCCACAATGTAAGATGCCCCATGCAGAATCGAAACAATCCAGAACGTGATGAGAATCAAATATATTCGCTTCGAACTCACAACTTGTCTGTATCCCAGTCCCAACAACAGGGCGAGGAGTCTGTCCACACTTATTGCAGTCATTGTCAAGAGAGAGACTGCTGTTAGAATGTAACCTGCCACAAAATAGGTAACTACCGCATAGCGACAAAGATTCCAATCTCCGTGGAGCAAGGACAGCCAATACATAATGGCGGAAGGCTCAGCAATCAGACCAACACAGACATCAGTTGTTGCCAGACAACGATACATAAGTTTGGATGGCGAATGTAGGGAAGAATCCTTATGAAGGGCGACCAGGATCAGAGTATTACCGACAAATGTAGTAATGGACAGAAAAATGTTGGTTGTTACGAGAAATATCAGTGGCATGCGTATTTCATCTGCCCATCCTGCCACGCATCGTAGTTGTATAAAAGTTTCAGTTTGTTTTCCGGCATCCGATCTTGATAAGTTTTCTTGCGCCATTATTCCCATTATAACGTGCCTTACACATTTAGGCTCGTCAGCTTGTATCTCCGAGGTCGGACCAGGTTTTTAGTACAAATTTACATATCAGGACTTTTCTAACAGCTGGTAATGATCTTATCAAACCTGTAAAGTCAATGAATTATAAAATGTTAAAAAAGCCTACTTACGCCGCGATCATCCTAAACCGTATATCGTCCACCACGCCTCTGGCGGTACTCAAGACAGAGGGCACAGTTTTTCCCAATACGGACCTCCCGGCTGGCGAATAACATATATATATATATATATTATATAACAAAAAGGAAATAGCGGAAGAGATGCTTTCGAATGGTTTATGCATAACTTACAATCTCTTCATTAGCAAAACGAATCGCACAGGACTTCCTCAAGCTAAAACATTAACATATCATTCATAGGTAAATTCCTTGCATAAATATCACATAGAACACACTTGTTAAACATTACGAAACATTACAAAATACATTTGTGGAGGACACAAGGATCAGAGCAATCCCAAGAAATACAGTAATGAAGAGAAAGATGTAGAATACTGAGATAAATATCAACTTTTGAGAACACACCTTAGTTGTTCAAATGTTTGGTTTCTTAAAGTCTTGAGTTGTTTCTATGGTCTCCTTTTCAACTGCTCTCATTGATAATTTTCTTCTCCGCTTATATTCCGTTTATGCTCTAGTTTCGGTTGAAAAAAAGATTATTCAACCCAAATGTTTACCTTACGGAACTTCTAATTTCTTAGGAAGATGTATGGCTCATCATTAATGAGACAGTCTGGCAGTTGTTGCTTAATTACAGTGCCGCTGTCATTATGTTTTAATAAGACAGTGTTTTTATAGTATTATGTTGATATTCAATTCTGTTCTTTCATATTATCTTGATGGTATATTCCCTTAAGTTTCTTATGAAGCTATTTTTGTTTTGATTACTTCGTCCGTTTTGCGGGAAAAATACTTTTAGTTTTCAACGGAACTTCACGTTTATTGGAAGCTTTTGGTTTTTTCTTTGTCCTTTCAATTGTGAATAAGAACAACAAAAGATTGCACTTGTATTATAATGTGTCTGAAAATACATCGTTTACAAGCTCAAAACATTTCAAGTTAAATAAAGCTGCCTCTTTTCTTGCGAAAAATTCATGATCAGAGATATATTGTTGCTGTCAAAAAATTATCTGTCGTGTATATACAACTGTCACGAAAGAAAATCCCTCCTTCTTATGGGTAGAGTGTGCACAAAATTGCCACACTGCGTTGCAAATCGGGTCAGTTTGTGTTCATTCAAAGGGGGCGAATATTAGGGGAGAAGTACTTACTCCAGGATTTACGGTATCCTTGGAAATAATGCCTATGACTTGCGCAAACGAAAACAATAAACAGCTTCATCAATACGCATCTGTTTTCCTCATGAATAGACTGGCCCAATCCTTGTTAAAATTTGTCATGTTTGATAAGATCATGACTAGCTATTGAATTATCACCAGAGAAAAACACTGACATGAAAATATATACCAAAAACTTGAAACGATCTCAGGAGAAACGACCGTCCTTGCGGTCTGAAATACACGCGGATGTCAAAATTAACCTACCTGATGATGTCTGAAAACAAATATAAAATACTGGCAGAACAGGAATGCGTGCCAGGATGGGAAAATAAAATACATATGTCAATAATTATAATATTCTTCGCAACAACCAATATTTTTCTGTCCATTACGGAACATGATGCGATACAGAAAGGCAGTGTTCAGTGCACTGTGGGTTCAGGTACATCATAAGTCGTTTACTATCTACCATTCGGTATTTGGCTATTTTATTTTTCATATATTCTCTCTTGTTCTATTTCTTTACACTGGTAATTCTGTCGTCAGTTAAATAGTCTAGTTATCATGGTTGAGCGTGAAAGCACCTTATCTTATTCCCAGGTTTAGAGAACAGCTAACTTATCTTCAGTGGAAAGAAAGGAAAACTCAAATTGTTACATTATCAGTCCGTATTTTTCCTGATAACATCTGTTGAATGTGTATTAGCGAATTTAAGAAACGACGACGGCGACGCTGTGGACAACTTGTTTTCCACGGTCAAAACTATCTCGAAACTGAATAGGGAACACAGCGTTAAATTATAAATAAAAATTTAAAAAATTAGCCTTCGTTGCTTACGTTCTCTAGACAACGCAAAGTTTGGTCATTTCACGTTAGGGACCTTTAGCAGTTAGGACAGCAACGCCAAGGAAAACGTCGATTTAAAAATGAATATATATTTTAAGTTGGAATTTCGCCACTGACTGAATATGTTTATCAGCTCTTACGGCGCCACAAGTTAACCTCAGCATAACATATGAGAACGGCGTTGAGTTCCAAATGGAAACTTAAATAATCTACCGTCGGGGTTTCCTTTCTCGGACCACGCAAAGTTTGATGATTTCACGTTGTTACTTTGTAGAGGACGGCTAAGAAATGTACACAGTTTTAAAACGCACGTGCTGAGTTATTGTTGCGCTCATTAGACCTTTTGTTTTTCCACGTTCTCGTTGCCGAAGTGGTTTGCCAAAGGTCCCTATTGTTTTGCAGAGGACGCAGAGAAATCTACAAAAGTTTCTAACGCACGTGGACAGCCACTGTCCGTCCATTTATGATCAGAACCATTAAAAGGAGTGCCATAACTTATGTTTGAATTGTCATGTTAATTAATTCCTATCAAAACTTTAAAATAAACTCTCTCTCTCCCCTGACTACGAAATACACTTTGACTGAAATATATCTCCATTCCACGAAGATTTTACAGGAAGGATCCTGTTTTGTTTAATCCTGTTTTGTTAATCGCACGAAATATTCTCTGCATTGAAAGGCGAAATTACTTATATAAGCATTTCCACGCATGTTGGAAATACGACTTTCTTTGGGTTAAAGTAGATCAGTGAACTTCTGTTTATTTTAGATAAAGTTGAAATCGATTTGCGAATCGCAAAATGGAATGATGGATATTACGGTTTGTAATTTCCATGTTCCCTAAATTTCAGAAAAATCTGGTTGAAATAAATTTTAGGATTGCGTGAATTAGTAGAAATAAATAGATCGGCTATTAGAGTTTCCCTCAGAGCCATTTTCCAGTCAAGATTAGAATCGTGAAAAAAAGATGCCATCTTTTTAATTTGTATGTAAATTAGGCGGTCTATGTTTCAAAATCAATTTTGTCTATCCTCATGCTATAAATACCAAAGCCAGATGGAGGTGCTTTTTCCATAAGAAAAAATCCTATTGAGAACATTTGAGATCTACTATGATTTGAAACACAACTGTGAAGCTCTCATCTGATATCAAATTAAAACACCTGGAAATCGTTCTCAACGTACTTTGGGACTCCTGAGGGTCGTATAGGAGCGAAAAGAGCACATCACTAAACGTGATCGAACCAATTTTTAGTCTTAGTCCACTTACAGCTTATTTTTTTCAAAGCCTGCCTTACTGGCGGATAACACTTCCAGAAGTTGCTCAGTCCCAGACTACATCTTCATACTGTTGTGGACATCGGACTATCCGCCGCTTACTTCCAAAATTCTTCTCCTCTCCACACCACCCCTGAATGTGTTTTAGCTTAATAAAGCGCATCATTGGTTATGATCGAACGAATCAAACTCTAAATCTTCTAACAGCTTTATTTATAACAGCCCTTTTTTTTGTAACGGATAACACTTCCAGAACTTACTGAAAAGCTACAACTAAGTCTGCGGAAAGCAAAGTGCTCGTCTGATTGTCTCCTTTACTGCTTGTCTCACTTCAGTAATCCTCCAACAATAAAGAAACGGGTTCAACGAAGAGTTTAAGTAAACTAAGGTCTCTACGCATTCAGAGACTAGAATTTCAAAGGGAGGAGCTCTCCCTTCAGGAAGGACAGCTGTGACTATGCCGTACGGTAAATAGCAAACTACTAATGCCAACTGCACCCACAGTGCACTGTACACTGCCTCTCTGTATCGCGCCATGTTGAGGGGAACTGGTTGCACATGCGCTTGCAGCTGATTTTGGTTATGATGAAGGCCGTGGAAAATTTTCACGTACGAGACGGTTGTTGTTATCAGACAAACCACTATAACGACATAGCTAAACCTGATAGCTATACGGTGATTCACAAAGGACGATGTCGCACGAGAATCGAAGAAACAATCCAAAAGATGATAAGAAGCAAATATGTTCGCTTTAAAGTCACAACTTGTCTGTATCTCAGCCCCAAAATTAGGGCAAGAAGTCTGTCTACACTCACTGCGGTCATTGTCAAAAGGGAAACTGATGCTAATATAAAACCTGCTACAAAATGTGTGATTAGCATAAAGAGACAAAAATTCCAATATTCGTTAACTAAGGACAGCCAGTACATAACGGCGGAATGCTCTGAAATCAGACCAACACAGAGATCAGTTGTTGCCAGACAACGATACAGAAATTTGGATGGCGAATGAAGAGATGACTCCTTATGGAGTGCGACTAAGATCAGGAAGTTTCCAAGAAATGCAGTAATGGACAGAAAAATGTTAATGATTGAGAGAGTTATTATTGACTTGTGTATTCCATCTGCCCATCCTGCCACGCATCGCAGTCGTGCAAGTGTTTCGCTTTGTTTTGCAGTTTCAGAAGATAGGTTCACCTGTGCCATTATTTTCTCAGCAACGTTCCTCATGCTTTTCAATCTGTAGGGAAGCTTGCATCTCCGAGGGTCACTTCAGGTTTTTTCATAATTTTCATGTCAGGACCTTTTGTGATAATAACTCATCGACTGGTCACGATCTTGTCACACACGTCAAACGGAAAACGGATGCCTATCAGTTGTAGAATATTTTATCCAACGAGAAACCGTAAATCATAGAATACGAACGGTGCTCTCTCTTTATTATGTGACCCTTCGATCATTGACTCGCAAGGCAATTTGGAAATTTTGTGCTCGCTATGGACTTTTTAAGGAGAGAGTTTTTCGAGACAGCTGTATGTACACACGATATAGCAATGGTATCGACTTGATCGTATCTCCGGTGCATAATAAATGTTTCGCGCGAAAGCGGGGTGTTTGCTTTACTTGAAATGTTTTGGGCCTAAAAAGGATGCCTCTTCAGACACCTTATAATACTTCTGCAATCATCTCTCGATTTTATTCATGATACAGTGTAAAAAGGGCAAAGAAAAATAAGAATGTTTTACAAACAATTTGACTCTGTCACACAAACTTATTACATAAACTCAACACAACTGAAATGTTGAAAACAAATTGAGCGACATAAGCAATATACGGGACGGTAGACAATGTAACAATGATCAAGATTATTTGACAGAGCAGAATCGGAAATTAACTTTCACGAAAAATCGGGTTTTTTTAAAAGAGGGCAAGTTTCTAAAGATACTGTGGTGCTACGTCGGTGGAAGAGTATAACAGGGTAATCTAATATTATCGACTGAGTTGATAACGTAAATTGGCCACCGTAAAGAGTTTCAAAGCTGACGTTTCGAGCGTTAGCTCTTCACCCTAACTAAGGACTAACTCTCGAAAGGACAGCTTTGAAACTCTTTACGGTGGCCTATTTACGTTATCAACTCAGTTAATAGCACTAAGTTACCCTGTTTCACTCTGATTCGCCCTGACGAAGGGCTAAAGCTTGAAACGTCAGCTTTGAAACTCTTTACGCTGTCAACTCAGTTGATGATACTAAGTTACCCATTATTATAAAAGACTGTCATTAGACGGGTAAGAGAAAATTCTATCTCTCATTTTGTTTAGGACTTGTTGATAAAAAATAGACACATTATTTTCGTTCGAATTTTAAAGCATCATGATGGTGCTAATTTCTCCAAACAAAGAAAACTGTGTAAAGAGGTTGATGAGTTAGCACTATTCATTGACTTCACTAATTAAAATCCTTAATTACATAACAATAAATGAAACTTACCAAAGTATTGAATCAGATAAGAGCAAGTTACCAGTTGCTTTACGATAAAAAGGGTCCATAATATTTATAACAAATATTCTGAAAGTCTAATACACAAATATCATCTTTGAAATCATAGAGAGCTCGCACAGATTCAGCCAAATCGTTTAATCTAATAATAGTTATGCAGTGAACGTATTTCAGTTTATCATTTTTGTGAATCACATTTCTACCGTACGGTAAATAGCAACCGACTAAAAACCAACTGCCACCGCAGTGCACTGTATACTGCCTTTTCGTATCGTACCACGTTCAGTGAAGTCAGTAGGTTCGGCTGCTGTAGAGCATGCACTTGATTTTTGTTACGATGGAGGAGGTGAAAAATGTTTTTGTACTATAACGTTGCTGTAATAAGGCAAAGTGATATACCGATATGGCCATACCGGACGGCTATAGGGTGATAAAAAAGACCGATGTTCTGTCCACATTTATTGCCGTCACTGTTAAGAGAGAGACTGATGATATATTATAAGCTGCTTCAAAATTAGTAAGTTCTGCATAGAGACAGACTCCATTCTTCGTGAAGCAAAGACAGCCAATTCATAACGATAGAAGGCTGTGAAATCAGGCCAAGACAAATAACTAATCTGTCTTTGCCAAAGAACTAAACATAAGTTTGGATGGCGGATAAAGGGAGTATTGCCGTGAAATGCATTTATAGACAGAATAATGTTCGCTGCAGCGAGAAATATTACGGGCAAGTGTATTTCATGTGCTCTTCCAGCCACGCATTGTGGTTCTTCAAGTGTTTCGGTTTGTTTTCCGCTATGCCCAGATAGATTCACTTGAGCCATTATTCCCGCCGCAACGTGCCTTATGTTCTTCAATCTCTAGGGAAGCTTTAATCTTCGAGGATACCTTGAGGATTTGCTATGTAATCTTCATGTCAAGGTTTCTTGTAAGTCAACAGCAAGATATGATCAAATATGTCAAATTTGACAATCAATTATCTATGGCGTTCAATCCCTGCCAAAATTCAAGTTTTATTTTCAATCTTTAAGTTTCATTTTCAATATTCAAGTTTTATTCAGTGCTTCTTCAGTAAGCTCCACGCCCTCTTGACATGACTTGTAAAACAATTTGGAAATGTCACGCACGCTGTATCATTTGAAGAAATTATTTTTTTGAGACAACTGCATATACGCGCGATAGCTCTTGTATTCTGACTGCAGCAACGTATCTCTGAAAATGTTTGAGCCTATAAAGGAAAAGAATAATACAAGATGAATATTTTACAACAAATTTGACGCATTGACGAAATCTAAAGGCAGGAATTTAGCAAAACTGAAATATACAGATACGGAACAACATATATAAGCATGCCATTAAGATAATTTGACCAAACAGAATCAGAAATGAGAGCGCACGAAAAAATTGGTTATAAAGGCCGTCTCCAGACGGCCAAAAGAGGAAATTAATTTTCTAGCTTCTTAGTGAAAAATGAGTCAACTAAACAACTGTTTGAGTCGTGTTTATTTCATAGATGAGTTTGGAAATATGCGTATTATCAAGTTACCAAGACTTCTTGAAAGACTTCAGAAGAAAATCATCCCAATATTTTTGCCGATAGGTAGGATCTCTAAAAAGGCATGATACAGAACTTCCTTGGGTTGGTTTCCATCAGTTTATTCAAAAATTTGAATGCTAGAAGAACATAAATTAACGTTGTCATTATTAAAGCTCAAATTGTTTCATCGATAATAAAAAGATTTCCAGCGAGGCATCTAGCTACCTACAAAGGCGTTTCACAGTAGATGCAAATGAGATAAAAAATCATTCAACTACAGCTCATATATATGCCTGTCGCACAGCTGGAATTTATCAAAGCACAGTAGTAAAAAAATTGTTTTGTAGATAGGGGGTTCTTTTTACCCCTTCACTGCTACAAGGAAGTACTGAGTATGTCGTATATCAGATTAATCATATGATACAAGGACCTACCCAGTATGTGCTAAAACATAGTACTTGTATGAATACTTCCGCACACTGTAAAGACAATTAAACTGATGAGGGTCTGGTAAAGATTAGTATACTTGGTGTCAGATACATGACAAAACAACCGACAAAACATCTTTTCCTCGTCAAGCACATGTTGTCTCCCTGTGAATTGTGATCGTTTCGTTCTTTTTCCGTTTGAAACTGGCAAGCAATGAGTAAATTTACTTTTAACATAGTTCTAGATAGATTGCGGAACGAATCTGGCGATGAAGAGGATGCTTCTGAAGAAAGTGACGAAAATTATGAAGATTATTTAAATACCACACGGAGTGCAATTATTAACTGATTTTTTTTAGCAAAATGCACAAATATTGTGTAGAATGATGAATTTTAAATGTACATTTGATCTCTGTAGCTTAGAACTGTTTAGAAGATTGAATATATCTTTATATTTCATACTTTAAAAATACCCAAATTTGTCCCACACAGGGGTGGAAATATCTAAAAAAAAATGGCTCGCGGGAAAGGGTTAATCAACTCACAAAAAGAGCCAATCTGCTAGGAGAGCAACTGCAAAATGGTGAAACATTTCTGGCGCAAAATTCAACCAAAGGGTTATTTTTCTAAAATTTAGATTTATCAAGAAATTTGAGTGCAGAAGAGTAAAACTGATCGAGACCCGGCTAAAAAGCAAATCGTGTCGTAAGTCATGCAAAGACTAACTCCATAGACAGCAAAGTACTTGTGTGATTGTCTCCTTCACTGCTTGTCTTATTTCATTTATCTTCCAGCAGTAAAGAATAGGATTGAGCGACGAGTTTACGTAAACTAAGGTTGCGGTATATCCCCAGACTAAAAACTGCAGTGGAGAAAGTTCGCCCTTTGGAAGAACCGATCTCGCTATATTGTATGGAAGATAGCAAGCAACGAGTGCCAGCTGCACCCACAGTGCACTGTACACTGCCTTTCTGTATCGCGCCATGTTCAGTGGTTGGCCCAGCTGTTGTAGAGTATGGATGTGTACTTGATAATGGCTATGGTACAGAGTGTGGAAAATTTTTGCGTACGAGAACGTTGCTGTTGCAAGACACAGTGGTATAACAATATAACTATACCAAATGGCTATGCGGTGATTAAAAAAGTACGATGCCCCAGTGACTATTGACACGACCCAAAACATAATTACAATCACACATGTTCGCTTCATGGTTACAACTTGTCTGTATCTCAGCTCCAGCAACAGGGCGAGAAGTCTATCCACACTTATTGCAGTCATTGCTAGCAGAGAGACTGAAGACAGAGAGAAGCCTGCTATGAAGCTCATGCTCAGCGCATAGCGGCAAAAATGCAAGTTCTGGTCAACCAGTGACAGCATATAAGCAACGTGACTAGGCCCAGTAATAAGGCCGACACAAAGATCAGTTGTTGCCAAACAACGATACAAGAGTTTGGACGGTGGATGAAGGGAAGATTGTTTGAAAAGGGCGACTAGTATAAAGGTGTTACCAAGAAATGCAGTAACGGACAGGAAAATGTTGAATGCTGAGATAAGTATCAACTGTGTGTGAATCTTATCTGTCCAACCTGCCACGCATCGTAATTGTGCAAGGATCTCAGTTTGTTTCCCTGTATCTCCTGATAGGTTTGCCTGTGCCATTATCTCTACGAAAGTGAGTGCACTTTACTCATCTACCAGGGAAGCTTTTGAACCAGTTGCTCCAAATGTCACTTCAGGTTTTTCGGTGGCCTGACTTTAGAGCTTCTATTGACAAAGGATCAACAGCTGCCTATGATATGAATAAACATGTCAAATGTAATTTTAAAATATTCACCTAAGATGCACCAAAGCAAACTCGATGGACTTCCTTAGCTCAAATGACTTACGACATCTCATAAGGATTTTAAAAAAGTATTTCTTTTCTTTGCGGCTTCTCCTTTTAACAATCTGGTCTCATTATGGATGTTTGCTAATTGATATTTATCATCAAGTTGAAATTAAACTTGTGCTGACAGAGGGCAAATTGCTTTTGCAGTTAATGAAAGCGCGTTATATTTCTTAGAACGAAAGATCTCTATAAAATGTACTAAGTAGGAAAACTAGCCCTAATCTTTCTTGCTGTCCTTTGTCCGAATAACGTAGATACTCGGATATTTTTTTTATACTCAAAATAATACCAATCAAACAGAAACTAATTTTTTCTTTGTAAAACGCTTTTTTGTTACTTCCTTACGAAGATTGCGTGTATTTGTTCGCAGAACGAAATGGTAAGAGTCAGAAAGCTTTAGTTTTAAATAAAGGCGGCTCGGTCATTTCACGGTTCAGGAGCACATTTTGCTGAAACAGACGGTAGGCATACTTTTAGGGAAACTATTAAGGGCCTCTCTGCTTTTTTTACAGTGTTGTGCAAAAGTAATGCATACAATAATCGTATAATATCAAGCCTGCCTTATCTATAAATCGCACATTTTTGCGACACTTCAGAGCAACAATTCGACGAAATATTGGAGCTTTCTAGCAATATCTCACCGATGTCTCGTTCTAGTGAGACATCCTCCCTTAAAGCGCCGGACAAATGATCACGGCGCGGCAGATCATCTTAGCAGGGGTTTCTCGTCGCTATTGATTAACTTAAATGTCTTCGATATCTTGTTTGAGCGAAATGACGATAAGTTACTTACCTACCCACCTTGCGTTAAGGGCTACGTACTTAATGCTTCTGCGGTCTCTGAGTCTTGGAAATTCCAGACCTAGGCAGCAGAAAAACTTTACCAAGACAGCGTGCAGTCAAAAGGTAATAAGAGGAGTTTCTCACACGTTGAACGATCACTTAAAGCAGATGCAACACTATTCTTTCTGTTGACCAAAGCGGTCTTAATACAAAGATATGAAAGGATATCAGATCATGGAAATTAACATCCGTAACTCACAGGGCGATAGGGTGTTATCTGTTGTGCAAAATATGGCAGCATGAGGCGACACAATTTGAACATGGAAATTAAACTGTAATTCACAGGGTAATGGGTGAGTGTTATCTGTTGTGCAAAATATGGCAGCATGAGGCGATACAATTTCAACATGGAAGAGATTAATTAAATTAAGGTCAGCAAAACAAAAAGAGATTAATTAAGACAAAAATAGCTTTGTTGCTGGATTGAAAGAATACTACAAGGTGCGGATCAGGACTATCTACCTGAAAGTTGAAGTGTACAGCCATCCTTGAAGTGTCTCAGACCTACGTCGGCCAATATCGGCCAATATCAGCCAATATGGTGTGTGTTGGGGTGGTCCTTTTTTTTAACGCACGTTTCAGATGTGTCGGTTAACCAAAACCAACGCAATCACAAAGGCTAATCATGGCAAGTAAAAATATCTCGAAGAGCCAATGAAAACTCAAAGCAAAACAAGCAAACTGCCTGAAGCGCGGGAAAACGCGTGCGACCAAGTCGCAATTGGTTTCAGTTTTGAATCTGATTGGTGGAGAGAGTGGTGCGAGTTTTCTGGACCAATCACGAAGCGAAGTAAAGCAAAACCAATAGGTAATGGATTTACCAACATCCTTTTCCACGAACACCTTAGGTAGGCCTCGCATAAAAAACGTTTCCCAACAGAATGCAAACAAATAAAAACACTCTGCAAAACATTGGAAGTTGTGAAATTTATTAATTCCTAATAATTCTCTTGCACTGAATCTTTCCCTACTGAGAAATAATCTATTAATTTCATTTTCTAAGGAATATTCTACACATTTTATTTTTTAACAACTTGTTATAAAATCAATCATATATCAAAACAACTTGAAAAATTTATCCCACCACTATCATATAAAATATATTCGCTTTGATATAATTTTGGTCATAAATTGCCAGCTTATGAAAATATTCTTATTGATTTAAAGCATTTACAAGTACAAATAGCATTTCAGTTAGAGGAATAAAACTGATTAATAGAAAAAAAATGTTGGATTTATGGGAGCATTAAAACAAGATTACTCTATGCGCGCAGTAAAATGAATCCCCGTTAAAATGCTTTGGAATCATTGGCATTTAGTTGAAATCCTTTGATCAAAATACGAACAGAGCAATTCCAAAAAGCACATACTTGAAAATGAGCCACTTAAAAATTGGAACCGTATGTGGATACAACTGAGAAATGATGCGAATAACAAAAGCATCTCTAGGAATTTTACCTCCCAAACATTTCACACTCTTGGATCATTAATATTTCCAGAAAATATTGCTTGCAAGGAGCTGAAATTTTACGGATTACTAACTATAGAAAATTTCCATTGTTTCCGAGTAATTCATTTATACTCCAAGACCTCTGGGGACAAACTTGCATGCTAATGATCCAAAACGAGAACTGTGAGTTATCTACAGCTTCTTAGAAATCATGGAAATAAAAATCATATTTTTTCCAAAACCTTTCTTAAAATTAAATACACCTTCGATTGCATAAAATATTTTTTACAGCCATACCCAAATTCCATATTTGATTATCACAGATGATCTATAATACAATTTAAAAGGCTCCTAAGGATCCTTCTCCCCGCCAAACCCGATTAACATGCAACTCAATATGAGCCGCCACATTGTAATTTGTCCTACGAACCCTACCATACTTTAACCTTTTACACTCTAAGATCAGTATGCATATTCTTCACACGGTTCTCTATACATTTCCGAAGGTGTTGACAAGAAGAATTTGCTTGACAGTCCACAGCTACTGTAGTTGTTGATTATTTTCATAATTCTCATGATTGTAATGTTTGATTCAGAGGAGATACTGTGAGGAGAAATTAGAGGGTAATCTCTCTTAGGGGTTAAAGGGTTAAAGTACTTTGCACGTGAACAGCTCTTACTCGTACCAACCCCTACAAGAAATCCGTCACGAAAAGAGTGAAAGAAAGAAAGAAAGAAACAAACACTGAAAAGTTAAGTGAGCATTAGCCTGATATCACCGTTAACAAATACCCATCAGTTGTTATACTACTGTAAGACTAGTGCCCTTAATATTCACGTCTGATTAGTTGACAGGAGATACTATAACCAATGAAAAATATGTTGCGTAGCGCAGAATTTCGCGCCAAAATAACGCGACTGCAGAATTTCCCAAATATGTATCATTTCGTAACTATCCATGTTTCAGCGAGGAAGCCACTGTTACTACTCAGCCTTGTTTGTATGGTGGCATTCAAACAGTTTTAAGAGAGAATAAATAAACAATGCCACACAACACAATGACTCAGACCAACAATGGTTCCTTGAAAAACAGTGTACTATGGTATAAAATGGTTTCCTGTAAAGACCACCATCTAAATTGCGATTTGTCACTCGTACAGAATTTTGCTGAATGTCCCACTGTAACTCAATGATGCCTAGTTTGCATCCACAACGTGCAAAATGATCTACATCTTAACTTGTTTCTCTTGCTTCTTGCTTCTTGCTTGCAGCCAAGTTAGGGCGGCAATCTCGAGAAGAGGTATTTGACGAGCTTCTGAAAGATTTCATCTCACAGTCACACTCGTTACAATGCCAATTCTCTAGCCATTGTTAGAAGGTTTCCAACGGCATTCCGGGTGGGTTTGCTACGTTTCGTCTCTCTGAAGTTCGATAGCGGCCGGTGATATCGTAAGACACGTTATCCAAATGTTCATACTTTGTTCACTCGGTGCATACATGGTGTATGTACGATCTGGAGTATCCACACAAAACAGGAACCGATTTTTGCTCTTGCCACACTTCTTGTGTTCGTACACACGGGTGATGGCCTTGCAGCTGATAGCTCCTTTGGGAATATCCGCCTAGCAAGAAAAATGACAAGATTGGTAATTCCACAATTTTCTCTACCAGCAAAACAAATCAAGTTTTTGAGTACTGAAATTATCTAATATTCACCTAAACATGTACAATCTTGATCACAAGAGTTGGAAAATTTTGCAATGCGTAATTACTACAGAAGAAACAGCATTCGAACCCGACTTTTTGGTACACGCTGGAAGCCAGGTACACCGGAACTCAACGCCACTGTATTTTAAATTCTTCTTTTTCAGCGGTATTACATCGCTTCATTTAACTAACCTTTTCCGTTTCAAAGTAAGCCAAGCATTTCCTAGTTAGGTCGAGGACAAACCATCGTCTCTTCCAACTCCTTCGAACCTCTGAAAAAGACAAGCAAAACATAATAGGTTGTTTTAGCGTTCCTTTGCATCTTGTTCTTTGCAGTAGAAGGGGTCGTTGGCGAAAAAAGGGAACAATTTCTAAATAACATAATTTTTCACAAAAGGAAATTGACTTCAGTTCAGATGACGCCATTAACACGTAAAAGAATAACAAGGAAAAAAACTTTCAAAAGGTTTACATAAACTTCAGACAGTTTATAGTGGTTAACAGTATTGCCTGAGACGTAATTAAACCGAGCAGAGGCATGGCGAGAAACAAAACGGACGGAGTAGACACGAGTTTGAGTGAAAGGAAGTTAAAGGGATAGCTGTTGGCGATGATCACTTGAGTAATCGCTCGGCCACCGTCAATGAGGCGTGGGTTCCCGCCCTTCTCCTGTGGATTGATCAGGATGATTGCGATGCTGAATTACACAAACGAGTAACTAACAAAAAGATATTTGAACCAATGTCTTTTTAATGCCAACATTTTTTATAACATAACTAGTAAATTTGTCTAATCAAATTCAATTGCGCGAGCGTGCTTCATATTCCTATTGTGCACGCTCATGACGTCAGCAAACAAATCCCTCGAGAAAAACAGTTTTCCATCGGGTTGAAAATGTTATAAAACAAAACAATTGGTTCATACGTCAGCTGTGCGTTCATCGAGATATGAAACACTTGGGACATTTGGAGAGCACTCAAGAAGCTGGCGTGCTCTCCAAACTTCCCGCGTGCTTCATAGCTTCATATCTCGATGAACGCACGCTGACGTACGAACCAATTGTTAATTCATCACGTACCACTTTTATCGTACATTTGGTCAGCTGATGCCTGTACCAATATTTTCTGTGGTAGTTCTTTGTTTCATACAAGAATCATCGGCGAAGAGAGGTGTGTAGCGAAGTGAAGATTTTAGTTACACTTCAATTTTGAAAAGGACCTATATAAATATAACGTGTCTACAGATTTTGTTGCAAATTGAATATAACTCGGCCGGTTTCTCTTCTCAAAATAAGGGTCTATCTTTTTAGAAAATAAGGCCTGGCATCCTATCACTGCTGATTTGGCTCAAATTTAACTATCATATGCTAGCATATCAAATGCAAGGCCACTTTGAATATTTTCCAAGACTTACGTCCTTGTTTGACCATATAGCCACAGCATCGTGATTCAGTCACTATAACATCCTTCTCTGAACCAAGATCGATACCTAACCAACGATGAAAGCAAATTTACAAACACCTATAAAATTAGCATTCGACCAAGGACAAATTTGGACGCAAGGAATGAGAGCTCATTTAATTTTGATGATCCAAGATGGCTTCAACTCGTGCGTAAAGATTTTTTCAAACGATGCAGATAGGTATATTTTGATGTTCTGATTAAAATAAATAATATACAAAAAAGGAATTGCTCTTAAAAAATTAAAAATACCATTTCAAGTCTCCTCAAGGATGGCGTTTATTTTGAAACAAAAGGAATGTGTGGAAATCCTCTAAAGTGGATGGTGTGAAACGAAAGATCGATCTTTAAGTAACCTTTTTACATCAGATAAAGACTTACTGCATTATGGCTGATAGATAGTCCTGTCAGGAGATTTTCTTACCTTCGCTGTCGAGGTACTCTATTAGACTGTTGTATTTCTCGGAGATGGGAAGATTTCTCACATCAGTGGTAGGCTCTTTTGTGAAGACAAATACACAAAAAAATTAAGTAACTTAACTTATTTATAATACCGTTCCATCTCTTCTCATTCCTTCTAGAACAGCTGATCATCTTTTTTCGTCATTATAACATTATCACGCCTTCATTATTATTACCACCACGATTAGTGTTGTATACGGGTATACGGGTATATCGTACAAAACTCGAATATCATCCTTAGCTGTCATGCGGCCAACATTTTTTTAAAAACATATTCTTTTTGCTCATCACAATAGCCTAATATCTCAAAGATTACCACTCTGGCTTTTTAAAGGATTCTCTGGACATTTTCGACTTTGCAACATGTAGAATACTTGTCACAAATACTGACATACAGCTTAGCTAACAAGCGAGTTCTCCACAGCTCGGTCGGTTAAGCATTCTTTATTGCGAAATCAGGAGTGCCTAAGCTGCGAGTCTTCACAAGGACTAAAAATTCTTCCGGAGTCTCTAGCTCGCTACAACTTTTTAACATATTTTTTTAAACGACTGTTGCACTCTTGACTGACTCGAGGGGTTTCAGAATCAATACGGCTTCATACATGCGTCTAAACCTAATGGCCTACCCAGCCGAAGCTTGTCCCGGTTTCCAAAGCATAAAGCGATTATGAGTATTACTACTCTCCCTGGATGGGATGCCAGTCCGTCACAAGGTTCCCGCCCTGCATTTCATCAGCCTTCCCTGACCATTCGTTGGGAACCCTTTACACTCGTGGGTGGTGAGATGCGGTTAGACTTAAGTGTGTTGCCCGAGAACAAAACACTAAACCCGACCGGGCCTCAAACCCACAGCCTTACGGATTAACATTGGGCCTTTACGGCTCACCGAAAAAACTTACCTGCATTGACAGCGTTCACTATCTGCTCAGTGTAGAATTTGCTGCTCCCGACCCGTCGCAACAACGTTGTTTTCTTAGGAGCTCTTTTTTGCCGCAGATCAGTGGTCAACATATCATCCAACGAACGACTGCGTGTCATCCGCCTCCTCGGCATGGACAACGACTTCATAGATGACATCAGAGTATCCGAGTCCTCTTCGGACAGGTTAGAAGCCTCGCTTGGCCAGGTCCCGGATGCGTCAAGTCCGTTATCAAGCGAACTGTTCCTGCTACCCTTAAACACGCTAAAATGATCGTTTGAACGCTTTTTTTGCAAGGCACGGTGAAGAGTAGCTGTGTGGAAGGAAAATGTAGAAGAATAATCTTCGGAGTCCACTTCGGCAAGTTTACGAATCAAGCTGCAGTATTTTTCCTGGAGCTCCTGAAAAGACAAAATCAAGTGGGTGTCTCACTCAAAATCTGTAACCACCGCAAAATCCCTGCTATAACCCCCCTCCCCACCCATCTTACAGGGAACAACGCACAACCGTTTCAATGTGGTCTTTTGGCCAAAAACGGCACTTGCAATGTTACAAGACTCACGAAACCGCTGACCACATCATTGTCTTGAGCGCGAGCGTGATTCACGCGCCCTCTCTAAGCTTAATACTTCGGAGAGAGGGTCAAATAATTATAAAAGAAAACAAAAGCTTATGAGAAACATTTAAAGATCATACCATGAAATCTGGTTTGAACAACGTCACATATTATTACACGGCCACCAAACACAGGTTGCCATAACTACCACTATGGTCGCAGCTTGGAGCAGTGCAGTTTAGAGGCCCTCTGTCTCGTCGAAATGCCTCGGAAAGTGATCAGCCACCTGCCTTGATTAAGCTTGTCGAGTAGCACTAACATTGACGTTTTAAGTTATTTTGTCATCAGTGCTAGCTCTTGTCAGCCATTGAATGCTGGAGAGGATGCTGCCAGCTTTCTAGACCAATCGTAGAGCGGGTTAAAGCCGAACCGATCTCATTCCAGATTGCTTTTGACACACTAATCAAAACTGCCCCAAGTCAGAGACGTTATTCAGGAAAGGAATTTTGAGAGGGATTTAAATATGTACGCCAAAATTTTGTTACCTCGTATCTATCTTCCAGTTTCAGTGCCTCCAGCTCGGCTGCTTTTGAAGCATCGTGAACATGATCATAACGATATCGATTGACATAGAATGACGACCACAATTTAAGATAAGGTATTCTGTACAGGGGACGAAGCACTCTGGGAGAAAAAAAAAATAGAAACAAGCACTTATATAAGTTAAAGCAGTCAACTTTTAAGTTATGACACGAACAAAAGTTTAGGTCACGGGGAGGACACCGTCAAGACCGAAGAGCAGACACCGGCACTACTATTACCTAATATCAAATTTTAAAATACGGCTTGTAAAATCATTTCTGACACGTTAAGTTATCGGTTCTTTCGAGAAACAGGCCCTTACACCCACACGTGGGTTGGTTTTGTAGTTAGCTCTTTTCCTTGCTCCTAAGCTATTTTGTCTGAATTCTCCTGGAATCCTCCCTCCATAAAAAGAGGAAAAAGACCATCAAAGGAGCAACAAGATTTGGCTTTTGACGCGAATGATTCTGAGAAGAACACGTCCAAGTTAAAGTGTATCACAGCAACCTGCCCTCAGAATGCTGTTTGAAGTCAAGTTTACAGAGAGTCCTCCTCGTATACATCTCCAGCACTCTGTCGTACTTTAGTAGGAGTACCTTCTATAAATTCAAATCTGGCGCATTTCTACGGGTATAAAAATAACTCAGAGTTTTTTCAAAGCAACAAAATCCCCCCAACAAGAGTTGACGAGAGGATTTGACGCAAACGTAGAGATTTTCCTCTTGAATCTCAGCGAACTGTTTGAGAGGGCGCCAGCGCTGATTCAGGAATGAAGAGTTAACGCCCGTCCAGATTTGTCTCGTGAATTCATGTAGCGTCGTACGTTAAAACATTTTGTGAGGTGTAACCTTTGTGAGATTAAAAACTGAAGGAGTTAAAGTATCAAAATAAAAGCTGTCTTCAGAGCGAAAAAATAAATCAACACTGTTCACTGACCCCAGATTTACTTAACGGTGCTATGACATCCTTTAGAGACAACGGAAAAGGACACAGTGTTGTGATTTGTTTCAAAAATACTTGATTCATGGGTTAGTTGATTCTCACTCTATTCTTACCTCTGTTGCGGTTGTTCCTTATAACGCAAATTGATGAACTTTTCAGGGTTTGCCATGGTAGTCACGTTTAGCCAGGTCCAAAGGGAAATTGTCTTATCGTCGTATTCTTCCTGTTAAGAAGACAACAAACCAATGTTTTCCTTTTGAAAAATAAAGTTCTGAGTAACACGCACAATACAACTGCCTTCCATATACAAAATCATTTCACAGGTCGAATTTGTTGATAAAACCGCTAGTGAGATTTCCGCCCAGCACCCTACTATCTTAAAACAAAGCATAGTCCCCGAGGAAATCTATTGTTTTCGCCATTGTTTTCTTTGTATAGGTAATAACATGATTTCGGGAGCAATTTGATGTTAATAAGGCAAACTGAGTTGATAACGTAAATTGGCCACAGTAAAGATTTTAAAAGCTGACGTTTCGAGCGTCAACCCTTTGCTGCTCGAAACGTCAGCTTTTAAACTCTTTACGGTGTCCAATTTACGTTATTAACTCAGTTGATAATACTAAATTACCCTGTTATATTCTCCCAACGACGCAGCACCACAATTTCTTACCCCCTTATTCTTTGGTGTTAATAAGCACGAGTTAATATTTCAAAGACAACAAAATTGCAAGAAAAATCACGTTGTTACTTGTTAACAATTTACATGAAAAACGCATCACAATAAATCAAAACGGACGAAATTTTAGCAGCGCGCGCTATTTGTAATTTGCACTCGTGTTACAACTTACCATGCCAACCAGAAGCGCGTAAATTTTTTAATGCATATTATTCATTCAAGAACTGTATGCATCATGAAGTAGGGGCTGTGCAGAAATTTTACAAACCGTTACCAACGTTATGAAGTTTATCTTAGGAGTCAAGTACGCTTCAGAGTCCATATCATTTTTATCTTCGTTATCATAAAGCAGGTGGATAATTGTAAGACAATAACCTCAGTTTGAGATTATAAGGAGTAACCTTACCTTCCAAACGTTTCCTTCAAATATGCTGAAATTCGACTATGGTTTAACCCTTTATACCCTAACATCAGTATACAAGTTCTCTTTACTGTTCTCCTCACATTTCCTTTAGTATTTACAGGGAGAATTTGTTTAACAATCAATCGCAATCATTTCCTGTATTCCCGTAACCTTAATATTTGATTCAGGGGGGATACTGTTGTAGAAATTAGATGGTTATCACTCCTAGGGGTTAGAAGGTTCAAACACTTCTCTATCAGACAGGTTACTATGGAATCTCAAAGTAAGATAGGAACTTAATTTTTAAACATACTTAAAGATAAAAAGTACAAAGCTTCTGAATCGTAGTCTTTCTTTAAACACGTGACAGAAAAAATATACACTGCTGTAAAAAATTGAGCGTCAACATACAAATAGATGAGGCTTGAAGTTACGTACCTCTTCTCTCTCGCTTTCTGCGTTGGCAATAAACGTTCCAAATCGCGAGGAATAAACGTGTTCTGCAATTACCTAAAACAGAAATAAGTGCAGTGAGGACAAGGTATAACTTATCAGGTATCAGCACCGTCCAACATTGGAAAAAGGCTGAAACTTCCACAAAGGCCGTGTAGTGAAAGACACATGAACAACTCTTGGTCTCTGTTTATCAGTTAGTTAGAAAGATATTTGAATGCGAGAATAAAAACGCCCATGCACTTGGTGGAGAAATACACTGCAAACCAGCGTGTGCATCAATGCTGGTCATAACAACTGCGCGAGATATTCACTCAAGAGGTCTACTGCGAGCGTAGAGATGGAAACTTTTTGTGTAAATCTTTGACTCTGCAACAGAATTTGGTCGCAGCAAAATGTCGCATAATTTCCAACTGGCTTGAATTAGCACAACTTGGCATTGCCTGTTGACCCTTTCCCTCTCAAGATCTCATTAGTAATTCTCCTTGTCGCCTGCCATCAATTCTCATAAGGTTGGTTTGGAAAACTCTGTATTGCATCATTTTATAACCCCCTTATTTTTATTTTTCCTCATTCTCGTCACACGTCTGCTTGATTTAACAAATAGAGAAGCCTTGACTGTGCTCTGTTCTGTTGTAAAGCACGCAGGAAGCGGCTAGAGCACGAAAGAAGTGTAGGGAGAAACACGAGACGTAGTCGAGTGTTTCTCCCCACTTCTTGAGTGCTCTAGCCGCTTCCTAATCGCTTTACAACAGAACAGAGCACAGTCAAGACTTCTCTAATTGTTTTATAATAAATAATCCGTTAAATTCCCCAAGAATTACTTTCAATTTTCAAAACAAATCTTATTTCCAAAGCGAACAACAGTGTCGTCAGCATGCTCTATACTCTCATAAAGCACGCTACAATAAGCCAATCAGAATCCCTGTTAGAATGGTTCAAATAATCTGATTGGCTGTACAAGACTAAAGCTGTCAAAAATGTCAAACCATCAAAGTTCAAAAACCATCAAAGTTCATATTCTGCAATAGTTTACAAACTAAAATAGCTCGGCATGTCGAATTTAACACTTTTGCCTGAAGTTTTTTAGTTTCTAATGCAGGATCTGAAAGTGAAATGTTCAGTGAAATTCGGCCCAATCGTGGCTCACAAAAATACGCAAGTTATTTCACATGACAAGTAGAAAACAAACTGTTCAAGGCGAGTGTATTATGAATGAACAACAGCCGAATTCACTAAGAAATGAAGATCGCTCGGAATGACAGCGTCGTAAAACTCGGTTGCAGTGACTGATCTGGCCTTCCACTCAACGCATCGGAAAGGTAATCAGGGCAAGCTCTTATTTTTTCACTCGAAGGGTAGTCGATTTAGTTCCTGAGGCTTGCTCCATTGCGATGACCGAAGATCGCCATGATTAGCTAGCCGCGATCGACCTTAAGTCGCTCTGACACCGACATGATTAGTATGAATTTTAACAGTTATGCCAGGTTATATTTTACATCATTCCTGTTTTTTTCTGTTTGAAATCGAAACTTTATATTATTATACAAGTGTTAGCTGTGTTTGATTTTTATTACCGTACGTAAACTCGCAATCTAACTGAGCGTGAAAACCGTTAAAAAAAACTCGGACTGTCTATCTTGTTTTATCTTTGAGGATTTTTGTCTCTGCTCACGTTACAGTAACGTAAATTACTGCGCCTGGCATTTTTGCAAACCTTTGCTCGCTTGTTCCGAAATTTCACTTTCAATTAACGAAAGAAAAGCTAGAAAGAAGTCCTGGAAAAGGTCGGACATAGTACGATTTGGCAGATGGCGTGACAGCTTTAGCTCAGTTCTATGCTCTATACTCTCATAGAGCACGCTCTTTCAACCAATGACAGTACGTGTTATATCCGAGCTTTATTATAATTAACAGATTAACAAATTAACTAATTAAACTGATTAATTAATTTACTAATTAATTAATTAACTAATTAAACTAATTAACAAATAGTTCCCTACACTTCTTTCGTGCTCTAGCCGCTTCCTGCGTGCTTTATAACAGAACAGAGCACAGCCAACTCTTCTCTATTTGTTTTATAATTAAGAATCCATTAAATTCCCCGAGCATTGCTTTCAATTTTCAAAACAAATCTTATTTCCAAAGCGAACAACAGTGTCGTCAGCATGCTCTATACTCTCATAAAGCACGCTACAATAAGCCAATCAGAATCCCTGTTAGAATGGTTCAAATAATCTGATTGGCTGTACAAGACTAAAGCTGTCTAAAGTGTCAAACCATCAAAGTTCACCTTCTGCGATAGTTTACAAACTAAAATAGTTCGGTAGGTCGAATTCAACACTTTTGCCTGAAGTTTTTAAGTCTCTAATACAGAATCTTGAAGTGAAATGTTCAGTGAACTTCAGCCGAATTATGGCTCATAAAAACACGCGAGTTTTTTCACATGACATGGTAGAAAACAAACTGTTCAGGGCGAGTGTTTTTTGAATGAACGACAGCCGAATTCACCGGAACATGAAGATCGCTCGGGATGACAGCGCCGCAAAACTCGGCTACAGTGACAGATGTGACTTTCCACTCAACGCATCGGGAAGGATATCAGAGCAAGCTCTTATTTTTTCACTCGAAGGGCGGCCGATGTAGTTTCTGAGGCTTGCTGTGATGACCGGAGATCGCCATGATGAGCGAGCCGCGATGGACTTCAGCATGATCATATTCGCTCAGACACCGTCATGATTAGAATGAATTTTAACAGTTATGCCAGTTTGGTTATATTTTTCATCATTTCTATTTTGTTCTGTTATGTTTTTGAACACTGAACTTTATATACTATATGAGTGTTAGCTGTGTTTGATTTTTATTTCCGTACGTAAGCTTGCAATCTAACTGAGCGTGACTCAATCTTTAAAACCTCGAATGTCTATTTTGTTTTTCCTTTGAGGATTTTCGTATCTGCTCACGTTTTAATAACGTAAATTACGGCGCCTGGTATGTTTACAAACCTTTATTTCGTTCTTCTGTTGCTACTTGCCGGCTCGCTTGTTCCGAAATTTCACTTTCAATTATCGGAAAAAAGCTAAAAGGAAGTCCCGGAAAAGGTCGAACATAGTACAGTTTGGCAGATGGCGTGACAGCTTTAGCTCAGCTCTATGCTCTATACTCTCGTAGAGCACGCTCTTTCAACCAATGACACCGCGCGTTATATCCGAACTTGATTATAAATTGTATTGGTATTGTAAGAAGAAATTCTGACTTGGCCACTGATGGGAGTTAAAGAACAAGTGCCAATTTGCAGCTTGACCCTCACGATAAGAGCACACGAAGGTCGCGATGATAGCAAGAGAAAAACGCATTCCACAATAACGACGATTAACGTACAGTGCCTTACATCTTACCTCAAGTAAAAGGCTGTTAAACTCGAATGAGAATGGAAACTGTTGAAGGACCTGCAAAGACAGAATCGTCGTTTTTTATCAGTCTGTTCCATGCTCAGTTTGGAAAACGGAGCGTGATAGTAAATGGCGTGCTAGTTGCAGCGGAGGGAAAAAAAGGAGAGAGGCATGGGTCGGGTCACATAGCGAAGAAATCGTATGGCTTTCTTGACCAATCAACTCTACTTAAACTCCAGGTTGACCAATCCAAGCTCCCTTGTACCTTTTTTTGTCTGTTTTCAGGTCGTAAGGAGTGACTTAAATAAGTGCAATATATCATGCGACCATCGGCCACTTTACCTGCCAAACACAGTCCAACCATTGAAGAAACACCGGACTGTAATCATCATGAGCCTGCGGGGACATGGTAAGGGAGTAGAATTTGTGACCAAATGATAACCATTCCTTTTGAATCAAGATCTGGATAAAAGGAGACAAATCAGAAGTGAGTTACACCTAACAAAATGTGAATAAGTTGAAGTTTGCAAGCAGATTTGACAAAATTGGATGAGATTTGATGGTCTGGTCGTTAACTTGCTGGAAAAGTCTGGTTTCAAGCACCAGCTATAGTTATTGTGTCGTGTTCTTGTGCAAAACAAAAACGTCACGCATATGGGCATGCAATTAAGCCCTCTTAGCATCGCTTTTGAGAGAAAATTCCATTGTTTTTAAACGTTTTGTCGAGGCTAGAAAGGCTAATTCACAGGAATATAGAAGAGGAGCAATTAGACTTGCAGTATATGAAAAATGTATTTGAACAGTAAAAAAGCTACTGTTTAGGGTTGAATAACTTAGCAGAGACAAGGCAAGGACGACGAACAAACCTGAAAGCCAGCCACTGTCCTATAAAAAGGATCCAGCAACAACTGAGAAAGACTTGTCACCTGACAAACGATAACCCAATAAATAATATGAACCACTGAATATAACCAACGTTATTTTCAATTTCCATAGAGTGAGCGAGGAGAAAATACCACGACAAAATTAAGTGAAAAAAAACCAAACTGTTTTCTCATTTTGTAACGAAAATTGATGTAGAATTGTCACCAAGGGGCAATAATGCATCTGATATGACGGCGAAAGTGATCTACAAAATGATTGGACGTCTCTGACAAGAGACCAAATTTGTTTTAGGTGGCTAAGCTTGAAAGTTTGTCTCTATTCACTCGCTGGGTGCGCATAATTTAATGAAAAGTTGCTTCTGAAATGTAGTGGGATGCAACACAAGAGAACCGATGGTGGATTTAAGTATATTGGTATAAAATAAACAGAAAAAAACCCTGACAGTGTCAGTCAATGCACATTCAGATAACTGCAGGTCAACGCAAACACAGGCACACATTCATTTGCGTTCATTTGTAACTCCAACTTGGATTATCTGAGCCTAAGAGGAGTTGCATTACTTTTGGGAACTTTTGCCTGAATTTAGAAAAATCGCCATTTATAACATGAAAATCTTCGCCATCTTCCACAATCCTCGTCATTGTTTTAATCTACTATAACGTCTTTACTGTTTATCCATAATAGCAGACTATTTTTAAACTTAGTCTGGTTTCCAAATGGCAGAAAATTGACTCAAAACATGAAGATTAGCGCCTGTCATTGAAAACACACCTGAGCTGTTCTGTCCATTCCGTCTTCATAACTGATCATGACAGATGACTTGTCACAATCCATAGCAACTGAAATGTGAGTGGCTGTTTTGAGCAGCTCGCTGACTTGATTCAACCAATCACAATCATCCAGCGCAGAAAGCCATTTACTGTCATCACTGGAGGGTCAAAGTAATGCATTAGAGTGACGTAAAATGCAGTAACATGGATGGATTTCACACAAAAACACAACCCATTGTGACTTGACCGCTTTCCCGCGCTAAAGGAAGGTTAAATGTATTGCTTTAACCTCTCACCATATGATACTTTCCTTTGTTCTAATTTCCTGTTATGATCACTTTGGTTTTAGTTTTACGACGCTGGATCAAAAAGAGCTCCATTAAAACCAGAAAAAACCAACAAGATAATTCGGTTTTATCAATTGAGTTGATGATGCGAACTGGCCACCGTAGATAGATTCTGAAGCTAACATATCGAGCGTCAGCCCTTTGTCAGAGCGAAAGGGAAAAACAATAGGAATTGGAAAAACAACAGACATAGAAACTGACAAGAAGCAAACACTCAACATTCTCACCTTCTGTTTGCGAGAACTGCTTGAAGTTTGTACGCACTCTGCTTCACTGATTTGACATCTGGTATTCCCTCAGCATACATAAACTTGATGTTAGGATAATAGAAAGCTGAGACAAGAGAACGCAAAAAAAAATTATTATTTGATGTCTGCGTTAACGTCTGAGTAACCCTCTCATAATCAGACGTTTTTTGCTTACTTAGGGTTACAACTGAAGCTGTAATAAATATAACAATACGTGAAATTTGTATTAAAATCAGAAACAGTATAAGACGACGAGAATGTAGCGATTTGAGTACAAAATCACCATTGAAAGCAAACATCTTCTTGTAAAATTACCAATAAAATTTGGATGCCATGGAAATGTCAATTCACACCAAACAGAAATTGACCCAAACAAATTATCACATGAATGTTGTTCATTTTTGAAAATCAGAGTACCATCCCCTTCTTTGCTGCATATAAAATTAAGTGTGCAGAGGTCATTTTAGATCTGCAGTTTAAGTGTTAAATCAGGGGGAGATGACTTACTCTCGCCTTCCTGTGGAGTGAGCTGTCCTGTCATTTGAGTCACTTGTTGAGAAGAGTTCAGTAACCCTCCTCCTGACTGTCTTATTCTAAAGCAGAAGACAACATCGGTTACCAACAATTTAAAAATTCGATTACGGGCGCCGCCATTTAGAAAAACAAATTGCGGAAACCACAAGGCTCAGGAGGAGACAATAACATTTAACTTTTTTTAATTTATATTTCCTTTTTGGCTCTTCACAGTTTCGAATTAGAGCCATCAAAGTCATTTGATTACTCTTCATCTACAATTTTACGTACTGTTCAGTGAAAACAACCAGTTTTTCTGTAGCAGCTTCACTAAGTGCGCTGACTGTTACAAGATACTTCTCATCTGCTGGGCAACGCGAGTCTTTAAGGCCTCTGCAAGAAACAATTCGAACAAAATTAGTGACTTGAAGCAAAAACCAAGAGATCTTTTTTCTAGGACGTGCTACAGATATTTTTTCTGCAACATTTACTTCAAAACGCTAAAACTGAGGCTCCTCCCGAACGCAATCTCCAAACCGTCTTCCTCAGTTCCCTGAAGATACACTATTTCCTTTGAATGAAACAATTTAAGGACACATCGACAGTCCCTTACATTAATCAATGTTCCAACATTTCACTTTACACTGACGATCTAAAGGATTCCTCTCACAGAAAGGCAACATCTCAATGCCCAGACCTTACAACCCGGAATCTTCCAAGATTTGATCTGTAATTCTCTCTTCAAGTTCCTGCACATTTCTTGTACATCAGTTATGTATCACCAGTTTGTTGGATAAGATGTGTTGATATTGAAAGAAGTGAAATGTTAACTAATGACACATGTCAAATGAGCATGTGTCAATCAAATACCACTGTTCGTACCTTCTGAACAATGCTGCAGGAGACCTTAGCATGACTGCACCGCAATTGATATGTCTCCAGCAAACTACTGGGAAACATCCTTCTCCTCTGCAAGAAGAAATAAAAACTTTGAGATAACGGAAAAATTACTCCTGGTCCTAGAAATTCCAGGATTCAAGCCAAGTTTGCCATCAAGAGCAGTTGCATGAACAGCCAGTCTAATTAAATACACTGTCGACCATCAATTATCTACCTGTGAACGTCAGCTATTTCAGTTAACTCCTCCTTTGTCACTGAAATCGGCACAACCACTTTTGCTGGATAGTGTAAAGGCCGTGTTCCTTCTGGAACAAGAATAAGAGGTTTTAAAACTAAATTTATAACTAAAAATTTCGTTATAAATAAATTTAGCCTAATTCACTTGAAAGTGGTAGATAAACAAGGTATTTCTTTTAGTAGTTACATGAAGAGTACACAAGGAAATTCTTTTGGACGTGTACTCACTGTGAATTTGCCAGTTTCCAGTATGGAATAACTTGAGTCGGTCACACTCTACTGCAAAAAATTGCAACAAATAATACTTTCAAAAATGCGAACTTAATTAATGAATGAATTAATGGTGTGTGGGAAATTTGTGTTCTGTATGTTTATTTCCGTCATCTTCGAAAGTCTTAAATGAATTTCATGCAAAGAAAGCTCTCATAGTCATTAAAACATTTTGGCAATGATTCTTATCATGAGTCCCATTTTAATGTCGCATCCAACACTGACTGCAACGCCTCCTTTGAAAATCTAGGAGTTAAAAGTCCCATATTCTTTAACCTTGTCACACCCAAGATCTAAAAGGTAATTCTCCTTACCGTCTGCCATACAATTCTTATGATGTTAGTGTGGGGAATACTGGGTCAACTAATAACCCCCCTGATTGATATTTCTCTTTATTCTCATCACTTGGCTGCTTGATATTGTATTGGTATTGTAAGGAGATATTCAGTCTTGGTCACCCGTGGCAGTTAAAATGTGAGGGATAAAATCAAACCTATGAGGATTTGTGGGGTGATCACTTTTGGAAATGATGGATATGAAAATAGTCCATTTACCTTCAAACTTATAGAAGTTGGGAGCATCTTTACTGTCCAAAATAGTACATGACGTAGGCAGAATGATGGAGCTTTTATAAGTAAAGGCAAATAACTTAGAAAAATCCTGCAAGAAATGGAAAAACTACCGTTACATAATACCATGCTCTAGCAGAGGATGTTTAAAGATTGTTGTTAGTTCATTTTAAGGTGATTCCTCAGTATCACACTGAGCAACCTGTGTCGCACATAAAAAATATAAAAAAATCAGGCGAATAGGCATGCCTGCAATCAGTTTAGAGCAAGCACAGAAACCCACTTTTTTATTGTAGTTTTCAAAACAGACTTTGGTAGGGAACATTTTTAATATGAAAAGTTTTAAAAAACCTTTGATAACTTTTTTTGGCTGAGGAATCATCTTAAGTTTGCTTAAAACTGGGAACAACCACTTTCCCTCTTGGTCACTTTTAGACAAGGGCAATTAAAAGAAAATCCACAACTGTTTGAAATTATTTTGAGGTGCTTATTAAGATACTTTCAATTGCTTCAACTCTTTTGTCACTGACTGCATTCCTGCATTCTTAAAACATTGTAAATGCTTTAAGTGATACCTGATCATAACAATTCAGCTTCAAGGCGGAGATACTAATTTCATCAAAGAGCCAATTAAAAACAGACCAAAAGTTAGAGAAAGAGATAGTCTCTTTAAAGAAGTTGTGCTACTTCTTGGAAAGAGCAGATAAGATAACTTAGAACTACATGTATCTCCTTCTGTGTAAGAAAGTGATGTTGTACTGGTACACCAGTACTACTCAAACATCAAACTTCCTGGTGGTCTTGCAATTAAGAGACATGTTATTGAGACACTTATTGAAACAAGTGTGCTTCTTGAAAAGGCCAGGGTATGTATCAGAAGGAGCTCCTTAAAATCAGTTGGTACACAAATTACCACTTACTATTTTTGAAGTTTGGAGAATGATTTTCATAACAGCCTCTGCATCAATTGTGGTCATAAGACCTGGACAGAACTAAAAAAGCACAATATATTAGACTTTGAGTTGAAAATAAAATATATGTACATGTTTAAACAAGTTCCATATACAACTTATGCTGTAGTCAATTGATACAAAAGCTTAAGATAATTACTGTAGTAGGTATGTATCCCTGTAGTGTGTGTATGAACTTGCTATAATTTGCTATAATTTGACACGCTGACCTGGTTCAGCTTAAAAGGTGGTTTAAATGGGGGCTTTTATTAACAATAACAAGGCCAGACCACGATACCAGGAGCTACATGCTGTATGGTCCCTACTTTGTTAACCAGTACTGAGAGGATGTAGGAGACAGGACCTATAGTTTATTGTCCTTATCCAAGTAGATTACTGTAACAATGATTAACCATTTGCACATATCCTAGCAAAGGCAGCACATTCTCCTCAGTTAATTTAAGATCCTGAGTGTTGGTCCATTCTAAGGCTGAAACCCTCAACCTCCCCCACTGCAGCCTGGTGCTCTTCAACATGAGCTAACCAAGCACATAGTAAGAGCTGCAAGGATCATTTTCCCCAGTGACTGAATTACAGCTAGAATACAATGCACTTACCCTATGTGATTGGATGTTGCTACAGAAAATTTCAAATCCATCCAACAAAAACATTTGTTTGTCTTTTGGCAAGTTCTTCTTGGAGAACTTCTTAATGTCAAAAATACTTGAAAGAGGAATGGACACTTCCACTTCATAGCTATGATCTGTTTGATAAAAATAAAAAGAGAAAACACAAAAAGCCGTTAGCCACAATAAGCACAAGGTGACATCATCTGATCACACTGTACAACTGTATGTAATAACCCCAGGCTTTTGTACATAGGTGACCCTGGGAAACAAAAAGGAGAGTTCACTACTGGAGTGACAGTGTAAACACACTTGACACAATTATTACTGTTGCAACGCTCCCTTGTAAAAATTGGAAGTGACAAATTTTGACTGCATGAAGAACTGCCCAAGAACATAACACATTGACCTGGCTAGGTCTTGAACCCAGACTTCTTAACCCAGAGTCCAGTGCACTGACCATTAACCCACCCTGTCTCCTACAGTAATTTATTTTGAATTTCGATACACAGCAATTATTGTTTTCTTTGATAGTAATGTTAAATGTACTAAAGATCAAGTAAGGTCAGCACAAAACAATCACAAGATCTCTAATGGACTTTTGTTACCTGCCTCTAAACCCTTTAAATCCCAGAAGTGACTAACATGTAACTTCTCCCTATAATATCCATACTGTATCCAGAAAACAGGTAATGAGAACACTCAAACATATCAGGTAGAAGTTGTTTATCTTGATCTAACACCAAATTCTTGCAATTAGTTCACATGGATATGTGTAGCAGCAAAAAGGGAGAATTGTCAATCTGACCCTGTGAGTTAAAGGGTTAACTGGCAAAATTTTAGAGAGTAACAGTTGTTGTACTCACCAATATGTTCAATATTTGACAGAACAATTGGCCTCAGGGTTTGTAATTTGACACTCTGTTCACAAACACCAGGAAGAGTAGCCACTGCATGGTTCTTCCCTTTCATTGACTGGCTGTGCCGCAGTCCTCTTCTCATGCCACCTGATTTTATTTTCTTAGAAATATTATGGGCACTCAACCTTAAAAAAAAACAACAACAATGAGGGTAGCCTCAGAGTAAGAACACATAAAAATCAACACTCTGTATTCCATCCAACCTGGAATCAGTGTAAAAATGACAACTCATGAATTCAATTAGTTTACCACTGTCTGCTTTTCTTTCCATACAATTAAAAAAAAAATGTATGTACTGGAGACTTGTGGCCCATTCAGCTAGAGCTTGTCCCTGTTTCCATAGTAGTTTTTACTGACTAGGAGTATTACTACAGTACTCTTTCCCAGATGGGATGCTAGTTTATTACACAGTTACCCCCAAGCTTCCCTGATAATTTGCTGGTACCCATTTATAACTCTTGAGTGGAGGGGCACTGTGAAAGTTATATGTTACTTTTTCCCAAGAACACAACACAAGTAACCCAGTCAGACCCAATCAAACTAAGACCTCTGGAACCACAATCCAATGCGCTAAACAGTAGGTCATCATCTATTTAATGACCAAGATGCTACATTAAACCACACCTTTTATTTGGTTTCCTTGGAAGAGTCGCTTCAAAACTCCTGATTGCGTGACATTTAGAGTGGCTAGGGGAGGCCTTCCTAGAGCTTGTTTGAAAGTGATGCCCTCTCCTTGCCACTTCCTCAGGATCAGCATCAACAAACTCATGATCATCTAGGCCATGCTGCAACAAAAAAATGTTGGAAGCTTAAAATTGTTTCTCACACCAACTAATAACATACATTATCATAAACAGATCTATCTTATACATCTTTTATGGTCCATCTACCAAAACTTTAGCCAATTTAAAGAGACAGTCAAAACCAAACAAAGGCTACTCAAATCCAGCCTAAGTTATGGTTTGAAAACAAGTAGATCTAAACTTGCACATTAACTGGTGTCCCCTGATCAAGGAGAAGGTCAAATGTCACCTTCAAATCAACAGTCTTTATGTATGTCCTGTACTTCCAAGACGCAAGGGTACAAATTATAAGAATTCCATGCTGAATTCAGCTACCGTAGGGTAGTTGGCTCATTACAGTAGCCACAACACGTCTTTGGTTAATTTCTTATGGTTTGAGTGGCACTAAAATTGATAGCATTACAGAGGTTTCAATAACTTCTCTATAAGTAGTTGCAGATGGTGTATGAGGCAGCTATGCTGTAAGACAAAACCCAAACATGAGAGGCTGCTCACAGGCTAAACAGAAGATGGTGAGAGGTCTTAAATGCAGTGCTACACTACCTGTAACCAGCTTCCATTGAAACCCCTGGTTTTCATTAGTATGGGTAATAAAATGATTTCTCAAGCAATATGGTGTAAACAAGCATAAGCAAATTTTTCAAAGACAACAAAATTGCACAAGCCCATAGGGAAAGTGCAATTTGTAGTCTTTGTGAAAAGCCTTAGGAAGTTTCATTATTTTATGGAAAGCTTTCAGAGGTTTCCTTTTGCAGCTTATACTACTGCTCCATGATATACTAACTTAACCCTTTAACTCCCGTAAGTGACCAAGCAAGAATTTCTCCTTACAACATCAATACAATATCAAGCCAAAGAGTGATAAGAATAAAGAAAAAGATCAATTATGTGATTATTAATTGATCCAATACCAAATTCTCCAAACTAATACAATAAAAATAATTTGGTAAAAGATAGGGAGAATTACTAAATGATATCTTGGGAGTTAAAGGGTTAAAATGCATTATTGAACAAGCCTGCCAGAGCATAAACTTATTTGATACTTATCACTCATGAATGTCCACTTGCATGACAACAAACAAAGAAATAAGAAATGAGATGCTGCATGTATATTCCTCTTTCTCCACTCTGTTCCACCTACGATAACCACTAAAAACCCCTATCAGGATTTCTCTTTCCTCTATGAATGAATTATCAATAGTTTTTTCCATACAAAATTAGCTACTTTTTTATAATAATGAGAAATGCTCCCTCAAAAAAGTGTGTCTACCTTCATATGAGAACCAGCAAAAATAACTCTGTAGGTGGTGATGTGGAGTACTCCTTCTGCAATATCATCAAAGGTGTCCACACATGTTACATGATCCTGCTGTGAAATAATCTGCTCTCCAGGTAGCAAAGGTGGATGGGTGTAAAATTTTTCTTGACCACAGATCTTGGAAGGCTGAAAGAAGAGAACAAAGTGCAAACTACATTAAGGATTTTAAAAGATGAACACAGTGAGCCTCAGTCACATTTTGAGCATCTTAAACATAAAAAAATAGAGATTCCTTTTTTCCAGAAACAATAATCCTCTCCAACTTAATGTAAACGAAACATATTGCTTTCCATTATATTTGTTGCCTGTTGATGTGTTTTCTAAGCCATGAAGAGTTTTTTTTTCTTTGAACTCCCAACTGAAATAATTATAAATAAATTATTTTCCTATGATCCTTGACCAGGCCAGCCAATTAAATTAAAACTGCTGTCTACTTTCCAAAAAATATCATTTTGTGTCTGGTAGTCTTTCTAATTTGATTAAGAAAATATGGAATTAACATATATTTATTTAATTGAAACAAAAAATTTTTAGTTGGGTGCAAGTTATTACTTGGTACTTGTGAACTAATGCTACTTCTCATAGTGTTCAGCAATATTAATACATGAAATAATTATGACTGGCAGTTTCTGTATTTGTAGGGAAAATGTATCAATAGGCAATGTTTCAAGCAACATCAATTGTATTAACTTCTTGTTAAAATCTCTTGTCACTAATTATCAGGATTACTTGAGATTAAAGAGATAAAAATTATCAGACTAGTAATATGATGCAATATTATTGTATCATTTCTACTTGCAGAAACAGGTTCCTTAACACATCAATGATAATGAAATACACACAGTGTACACTGTCCATATGGCACTCAGATCATCAGAAAACATACTTACACACAATAGGCTAATATCCTCCTAACTCATTCAGACAAATTAAATTTATTTGTGACTCATTCAGACAAATTAAATTTATTTGTGACTCATTCAGACAAATTAAATTTATTTGTGACTCATTCAGACAAATTAAATTTATTTGCACACCGAGATACCAGTATTATTTATCACTGCTTACCTCACAGCATTCCCCAACATCACACAAATAACACCTAAACACTGTGCTGCGCATCTCTGACAAGAGCAACTCAGGAAAGAGGTCATCAAAACCCTTAATTTCTTGCTCATGAACAGCAGAAATTTGTTTTGAAAATAATGCACAGTTTCTACATTATACATCTTTGTAAAATTGCATTGTAATGTCCTAAAATTATAATCTTCATTACTGCCAAAACCAACACATACATGTAGGTATTTCTGATGTTTTTCATACACTTGGCATGTGACCAAAAAAGGAATTAAAAAAACTTGCAAAGGAAATCAGAGATAACAAACTCAGACAATCCAAACAAGACTGCACACCCTTCTACCTGCAGGAAATGTGTTGATTAGTCTCTGAGGAATTCAAGGTCACCCAGTGTCAAGATTATGAAAAGTTAAAGTTGACACCATTACAATATTTTCTTACTTTTGAAAAAACACTTGAAGAAGAAGAATGGACTTAATTTTTAACTCAACAGAAGCAAAAAATCTCTAAGACAAACATTACCCCAGTATATATCCTCTCTTTATTTCCTTGTGTTCACAATGCAATTAAAATGAATTTTTAGAATGTTCAGAAATGTTGTTTTGGCTGCCAAATAAGCTAGTGGTCTGACATAATTTTTAAGCCGCCTGCATACATATTGTTTTTCACAAATTCTTTATAACTTTGTCAATCTTATTTCTCTTGTCTGCCCAATGTACACCAAATGTGTTTTTTCTGACATAAGCTAGAAAAGCTAGTCTGCATTTAGAGTCAAAGTTTGCTCTTCTTTCAGATGGTGAGATTGATATTGATTTTACCTTTCCAAAAAGACTACTTCTTTTCCATGATATATAGTAAAGTTAGGGATAGTTTAAAAAAAAAAAAAAAAAAAAAAAAAAAAAAACTTATCACTTTGACCCCCAAGATCTTACTAATAATTTTCCTTACAGTCTGCCATACAATTCTTATTATGTAAGTTTGGAGACTTGGAAAGCAGATGATCTAAAAATCCCCTAATTTATATTCTTCTTTATTCTCTTCACTTGTCTACTTGATATCATATAGTTATTGTAGGGAGAAATTCTGTTTTGGTCACTCATGGGAATTAAATGGTTAATAATCAATAGATGACCACAATTAACTTCAAGTGGAATTACGACCAACTCCTCATTATTTAATATTCCATTTTATTATATAGATACTGTTAAGAATATATGAAAGTCATACATTTGAACTGCGGATAAAGACGTGAATGTAAGTGATCCTCGCAGTGATGTGCACTACTTAGGCAGTAGTGAAAATTAGGCCTGAAAAAAATTCAGGCCTGTACGGGATTTGAACCCATGACCTCTGCGATACCAGTGCAGCGCTCTACCAACTGAGCCAACAAGCCAACTGGGAGCTGGTCATGATGGTGGTTCTAAATAAACCCGTGAAGTGATGACTAGACGGTTAAGAATATATGAAAGTCATATATTTGAACTGTGGATAAAGACGTGAATGTAAGTGATCCTCGCAGTGATGTGCACTACTTAGGCAGTAGTGAAAATAACGCCTGAAAAAAATTCAGGCCTGTACGGGATTATTTTCACTACCGCCTTTTTTTATTCTCATTACTTGTCTGTTAATATTGTATTGATTATTGTAAGGAGAAATTCTGTCTTGGTCACTTATAGGAGTTGAAGGGTTAAACTGACGATTGATCTCATGACAACTTCATTCTCCCTTTGTCATGTTAACCCTTTGATCCTTAAGAGTGGCTTGCATCTAATTTGTCCTCACATCATAACCCCTGAATCTTACACTGCCACAAGAATAAAGGAAATGATCGCCAACTAAAGAAGTTTTGTTGTTCAACAAATTCTCCTTTCAGCACCTTAGGAAATGTATAGGGAACAGTATGGAGAATATACATACTGATGTAAGGGTGTGGAGGGTTAAATCATTTTACTAAGAACAGTGATTGACTTTCACTCTGAACAATAATGATTAGGATCCATAGGAAAAGCACCACCAAAAATTAAACATTAAAAAAAACTCTTCTTCTGACATGATTTTGTTCACTAGTACTAACACTGTCATCTAGCCATTGTCAATATCTCTTTAATCTGTACATATATCTGTTTATCTGTGATATAAAGCTCAGTGGAATTGCCAGACACTCAATTTTTATTCCAACTACATGTGTTATAAAGGTCACCAAAGAATTCATGTCAAGTAAGGTATTACAGTTTGTTCACATACTTGTAGCGATTTCTTTAGTACAGTAGCTTGAGTGTAGATGACGTAAAAGTATGAGCAGTATGATTCATTCTAAAGTTAAGTCTTGTGGCAAATTTCTAAGCTGTGTAGCAAAGCTATAGTAGGCTTGAATTAGGCTATCAGCTGACATTTCAAGTGAGGTAGCTCAAAAATAAAATTTGCTAACCAATGATAGCCAGCCGAAAATCCAGCCAGTGATCACCCCTTTTTCAATAGGTGAATTTTGCTAGCAGTCGGTGCTTAAGGACAATGTTTCTGTGAGTAGAGCAGGTGGCAATTGTCACTGACATGTATAACCGACTAACCCTATTTATTATCGTATTTCCAATGTTAATCAGAATAATCCAACTTGAACTAAAAAATCAATGCATTCCTACAAAAAGGAATCTAAAGATGGAGAAACTGACATTGAGCACATCTCTGTTTATTAAACTACAAACAACAGTAAATGTTGTAATGCTATTTTTAAGGATTTTCTATTGTGTGAACTTCAAAAAATAATTTGTAGTTTGAAAAGGAAATCAGTTGTCAAAGTTTCCTCCCTTATGAAAAAAAGGTAAAATAACTTTCATTCTTCCTACAACAAACAGCTTACACTCAAACATCTAACAAACCAAACAGCCTTTAAACCTCAGGATAGCACAATAAACTATGCAATGAAAAGAAAGGATGTAACCTGGTTTTAGCTCTTTTTTAAATAACAATACAATTAAAAAATAAATATTACGTTATTTTTCAGCTGTATGGATTATCCCACACTGAGCACAAGAATGGCTGAGGCCAAGCATTTTCAGTTTGGGATAAACTTGTTTAAAACTACTGCTAAATTGTGGTTTTCAATAATAACAATTGTAAATTCCGCCTGATCACCTAACTAAATAATTCATTGCTTGAATAGCTGATTGACTTCTATTAGATCACATGTATAATACTTCAAAGCAATGGAATTTTCTACTCTTGTAAAAACTTGCAATTCACATATTTCCATTTAAATATGAATAATTTTCAATGTTGCGCGACAGTAAGAAAATGAAAGTTACTGTCTCAGACTTTACATAATACAAAATCGAAGGGTTATCAACCACTATTAATCATGTCAACCCAATATTATCCAGAACTAAGCCACCCATAGAATATACATGTATTGTTCATGTAATCACTCAACAGGCTAATTTAAGAAACAATGAAGTTTTAAGATCACGCAGAAAAACTAGTCATTTTCAAAAATAAATTAAAATCGTTCAGTTGGAGCTTCGCAGATAGGCTATTGCTGATTTGAGCTAAAAATATAACATGTCACACCACTTTTCCGTTATTGCGAAAAATATTTAGACAACCTAAAAACTTAAGTGTATGATTTTGAGTTCCACGATTGACAATCGTCAGATAACACAAACTAACCCTCACTTCAACAGAAATGAACTCCTGCAGTGTATTGGTCTTTGTTCCTCAATATACGTAGTTTAGTTTAAAACATTAGTTTAAAACATTAGTTTTAAACAGTTGTCTCTAATATTTTACTTACCGATACGTTTGACGAAGGCGCTTCATTGAATATCCTTAATAGCTGATCTGGCGTGATAGAGGTCCTTTCCATACCCTTCTTGCAAACTAATAAAATTCATCGAAGGCCAACTACGACTTCCGTTTTCCTCAACACCTCTAACCTTCCGCCATAACTCTCTCGAAGACATTAATCACGTGACACAAATAAATCAGAGTTCTTACAGAGATTCCAATTGGACAAGTTAAAACAACCAATTGGAAGAGCTGTTGTACTCTGACTTTTTCGAGCCCAGGGTCCTTTTAGCTCCTTGTCAGCGGAATGGTAGCCAAATGCGTGAAGGGATTTCACGATTTTACGGAAAAAATGATGATGTAACACTTTGGGATCACGCCGAAATATGTGTGGTTGACCAGTAATTTCTATCCAACATTCTTCGTCTTGGTTCTAAACTGCTAAAAAGCGCAGAGATCTGGTCGGTGAATATGCCTGTAAGCAGTTCATTAGCAAACAAATTTACTATCCTGTACGGTTCTCAGACGGGTCAAGCGAAAGCAATTGCCGAAGAAATCCATGAATTCTCTGAACAACATGGCCTGGATTCGAACCTTTTTTGTCTCAGTCTAACGGAGAAGAAGTTTACCCTAGAGAAAGAAACCCTTGTGGTGTTTGTAGTGTCAACAACAGGAGAGGGGGATCCTCCAGATACCATGTGTAAGTTTTTTAGAAGACTGAAGAAGAAGACTTTGCCCACTAACCATTTAGAAAATTGTCGTTACGCCTTACTCGCGCTTGGGGACACCAATTACACAAATTTCTGTAACAACGGTAAAAACCTTGACAAGAGATTACTGGAGTTAGGGGCACAGCACTTCTACGACACTGGTTATGCTGATGATGCAGTTGGTTTGGAGTTGGTAGTGGAACCATGGATGGAAGGACTATGGTCTGCACTGAGAAAGCAGTTGGGTCTGGAGACACAGAATGGTGGCATGTCTGATGTTGAGGCAAAAGTTCCTGTGATTGATTCAACAGAACAACCCCTCACTCAGAGTAAATCTTTAAAGGTTTTAGCTGACTCAGTCTTAGAGAACACTAGTAATGGTGGTTTGCATGAGACAGATTCAGTTGTTGTTGTTACAAATAGTCACAGCTGTGACCAACTAGGTGGAAGGAGTCTTGCCAATGCTGCATCAATAGCAGTGGTCAAGGCAAAACCTCCTGGTGATCAGAATTTACCAGCCATAGATAACGATGACCCAGTTGCATGCAACGGTGAGCATGCCTCAACACCCACCTTAAGTGATCAGTTAAAACAGTCTTTGCCCCCCTTGTCAACTTCTGCCTTGTCCATACCACAATTATCACCAGCTTATTTACAGGTAAGCTTCCATCCTGATTACAAATGGGACTGCTCTACATTACCTGTACAAGCTGGTGCAAGCTTTCCAAGTGCTGTAACTGAAGTCTCCATGGCAACAGTTGTTTCAGCAAGGCAGCTGACAGAAAGTCACTCAATAAAGACAGCTTTGGATATAGAACTGGATATCACAGACTGTAACATGAACTACAAACCTGGGGACTCTTTTGGTATTGTTTGTCCAAACCCCAAGGATGAAGTTGATGAACTGATATCAAGGTTGGATTTGAGTGAGAAAGCAGATATTCCATTCTCCATTCAGTTAATTCCATCTTCAGCCAAAAAGGCAGCAAGTGTTCCAAACTACATACCTGAGTACTCCACCATTAAGTATACTCTGCTAACATGCCTGGAAATCAGAAGTGTTCCAAGCAAAGCTCTGGTAAGGGTTCTGGCAGAGCACACAGCTGATCCACAAGAGATGAGAAGACTTCAAGAACTTTGCAGCAAACAAGGCACAGGTGATTACACCAAGTTTGTCAGAGAACCTTACTTGTCTTTGCTGGACTTACTCAACACCTTTCCATCATGCAAGCCTCCATTTGAAAGGTTATTAGAACTTTTGCCCCGCTTGAAAGCACGTCCTTACTCAGTGTCAAGCTCACCTTTGGAAAATCCCAATGGTCTTCACTTTGTTTTCAACATTGTGGAATTTCCAGCCTTGGAAGGTGTAAGGGGCCAAAGACAAGGTGTTTGTACTGGATGGTTGGCTTCTACCACAAAAAGTCTGGGGGAAGTTTTAATTGGTAGTAACAAGGAATTTGATGTTGACCTGTCTCAGTTGTTAGTGAAAGATAGACCAAAAGTTCCAGTGTTCCAGCGCAAAAATCTCCACTTCAAACTGCCAAGTGCTCCTAACACACCCATCATTATGATTGGTCCTGGCACAGGGGTAGCACCTTTTATAGGCTTCCTGCAGCACAGGGCACTCATCTTAAAAGCCTCTAATGACCAAAAGCCTCTTGGAGAATCATGGCTCTTCTTTGGCTGTCGTCATAAGGAAAAAGATTACCTGTACCGTAAGGAACTTGAATGTTACTTGTCTACTGGTGTTTTGTCACACCTCTTCCTCTCCTTCTCTCGTGATACAGTTGATGATTTGTCCAGTAAACCAACACCAAAATATGTTCAAGACAACTTGAGAAGCCATGCCACTGAGGTAGCTGAACAACTGTTTAACAAACAAGCAGTGGTTTATGTTTGTGGAGATGCAGAAAACATGGCCAAAAATGTTTTTGATGCTTTTCTGGAGATTACTCAAGAGTACAAAGGGGTAGACATAGCTGAGGCACGCAAGGAAATGATGAAGCTGCGTGAAAACAAGCAATACCTCGAAGACATTTGGACTTAGTGATACATGTAGGAAAAATTATGGACACATATAACTTGATACTAACCAATTGAAATAGCTTAGTAACGGCACTAGGATATCTCAGATCAATGCCAATATCTGATCAATTGTGCATCCACCCCTCTCCTAACCCATCATTAGCCCTAGCTTGCTATCAATTGACTTTTGTTTGGTTAGGGGAGGGCTAGATTGGTTGGATACTGACATTGATTGTATACCTCCATAAATCCAGTAATACTTTAAATTTCCATAGAGGTCAAGGAAATGCTCCTTGGTTGAGACACATCTGTCCTGTCAATGCATGTATGTTGGAATGTACACGTAAAGGGGGAAACAAGAAAAAGAAGGGGGCCTGGTTATTGTGAATGCCATATTGTTTCATCCAATTACATACAAGACTGGAAACTACATGTTTTGGGTTCAAAGGCACCAAGGATTCCACAAAATTTGCCCAAACCAAGTGGATAATTCTAAATGTGGAATCATTTTGCTCATTTAAACTGTTGCTGGTGAATTATGCTCAAATGCTCAATTTCACTCAAATCCTGGAAGTGGCTCCTGTACAAATTTCTTGGCAGGTATTTCAGTAATGGTGCATTTTTTATCAGTACATATGGTAAATTAACCTTTCCTGAGGTGCTGACAAGGTGAATTTGTTTAACAAATGAGCTTCTTCAGTTGGAGATCATTGCTTTTATTCTCATGACCTTTATGTGTGATTCTGGGGTGACACTGTATGGAGAAATTACATGCTAGTCACTCTTAGGGTTAAGTTAAAGTAGCTGGCAAAAGAAGGCAGATTAATGAGTGGGTTTTGCCAGTTCTTATTTATGACCCTGGGAAGATGTTAATTTGGGATCTCCCTAGTTGACCTCCCTTCTGCTACTGTATATTCCACACAAAACATCATCAAAATACTTGGTTAACCAGGGTATAACCTTTTGAGGCATATTTCAGTGGAAAACAAACAATGGAAAATTGTTGGTCTTCTGTTAGAGCAGCCAGTGGTGGCTGAAAGAATGATGCAACAATATGTTCTTACTTTCACCTATCTGTTATTTAATAGTGTGATCAATTCTTCTGGCAGCAGGCCAGTCAAGAATAGGGCAATCCAATGAAATTTTCAGAACTGTTAGTGTTAGTTGCTGGGTGATTTTTTCACTCAGAGGGTTAAAAGTGGTACAGAAACTTCAAGTCAAGGAGAAAGTAATGCTTTATTTTAAAATTAATGAATAATACATTATTGATTACAGTAATACTGTTTACCATATTTGGAATAAGCAAATTTAAAATCCTTCCATATTATTGATCTTTAAGTCAATTTTTGTGGGATTGCTTGTTGAATTCCTTCCAGCAAAAAGTAAAATTTGTAGAGGCTAATGAATGCCTGCTTCTTTGGCTCAATCCTCTAACTCCCAAGATCCACTTAAAAATTCTCCCTACTGGCTGCTATACATTTCTTTGTATATTAGACAGGAGAGCTTGGTACTGGATTTAGATAACACCAAGTAGCTGATAAGCTTGTCTGTTCTCATTACCAAGATTTTGCAAGATAAATGATTAGAAATGTAATGAGAAGTTGTACGTGAATTGCTTCTGAGGGTCAAAAGGTTAACTTGGTCACTATGTCAGCTAATCAATTTAATTAAAATGCTTGTGAGGAAAAAACATATTTCATATAAAGGCTCTGTCGAGGTAGACTTACTCCATCAATAAATATTATTGTTCAGTTTAATTTCATGAGTGGAAGTCTTTGTTAACTTGTTCACAAAGTATTCTTCCTATTTCTTCTATCAACAAATTTTATGGAAACTTCTTTCAAAACACTACTTCAGAAATTAATTAATCAAAATAACTGAGTCTCACAAAATTCATGTGACAAGGTTGTGCTAAGATGCACATAAAGGCCTTGGAGGAATATTCAACTAATGTGGGTCTTCATTGGTTTTGTCAGGTGAAAGCTCGTTATGTGTTTTTACTCTGGATTATTATTATTTTCCATTGCCATTTTCTGTTGTAACGATAAACCATTGTGATCATTTTTGTTTTGATGGTTTAATATTGATTAAAAACTGCTCCAACTATTTCATACATAGGTTCTACTGGTTACAAAGGTGACTTGTTCCTCTCCAGAGCATAAGCAAACTCCTGGGAATACCTCTTTGCCATGCAACCCTTCTGAAAAAGCTACCCCCAGTTCCTTTCCATTCTTCATAAAACCAAGTGTTCCTTTACCTAAATCAAGAATAATTCCTATCATATCCCAGGTGTGGTAGCTTTCATTTCGCTTTCCATCCATAGCTTCCCAGATAGGAACATCAAAGGTTAGAAACCCAATTTGATTGTAAGCCCAGCCTATTTTTCTGCCAATCGCCGGCATTGTTCTGAATGCTCTGGCCTTCTTAAATTCTGCTGTTACAAGACAAACTGCCACTTGGCCTCGGCAATTGTTAAAGTAGAACACCCACTCATGTTTACCAGAAGTGTAACCATGACCACCGGGGGTAAGAATCAAAGTTGTGCTATAACCATTTCCTGGAAGAAAAGAAGATCCAACAGAATCAAAGTGTCAAATTTATTGGAAGGAAACAATTGTCATGAGAAGTACATGAATGGAGTACCTTTGAGCTTAAACGTGGCACTATACAACAATAAGACTTTGGAAAGGTTTAACACAGTGACTACAATTTGCAGACTGACATTTTTTTTTTTTCAATTTTGCAGACTGAAACAGATTTTTTGCTAGTTGAGATCACTGAGAGTTCTGCCGGGAATATTTCTGCAATTTCCAGTTTTAAGAGTACAACACTAACAAGAAATAAAAACTAATATTTTCAAATTTATCACATGAAGAGTTATCAAAAATTGCTCATGAGTAGAGTAATTACTTCATGATCACCCCTAATGTTGATCATGAAGGTATTGAGATTTCAATCAATCATTTATTACAATCAGATCAAGTAATTAAGCTTCTCTCGATCATTCTGCAGTCCAAATGTCAAGTCTCAAGATCTAGGCCAACATTTACATTAAAACTGGAGCAACTACACATTACAGAGCCACTTTTGAAGGAGCACATAATTATTCAGTGGCTTGTTTCCCATATAAGTGGATAAAAGAATGAGGAATAATGAATTTACATATCATGTTAGTGGCTCCTTTGGCCCAGCAATGAATGAAAGAACAAGGAGTAATAAGTATACAAGTCTTAATTGGGTCTATATATTCATGTCGTTACAAATCAATAAAAATCGATCATTGGAAATTAATCAACTACTCAGTATTATTCTTTAACTGTTACCCATTAGCTAGATATAATAAATTTCGATAATCATAAGATTTGGTCCCAGATTATCCATAATGTTGATTTACTCGGCCAAGAGAACAAATGACATCACATCAACTAAGAATTGAGTAAGGGTTTTTGTCTTGATGTAAAAGTAAAAATAGAAAATAGAAAATAGAACAGATACAAATTCCTTTTTCCTTTTTTTTTGCCTTTGGATATCCATCAATCATTTGTTCCTTCCTTTTAGTCTCTGCCTTCTTCTTTGCCTTGATTCCTCTGACAAAATCCATGTTTTCGATATAAATCGATGGAAATTGCTTAAAATCAAACTATCATTCCAAACAATGTTTTGGTCGAAAATCGATGATCACATATTGTACCTCCGCTATCGATTTTTATTGATTTTCGATTTCAGCCGATTAGTCAGTAACGAAAATTATCGATTACAATCGATTCCATCGAGCATCGAAGTTATCGATTTGTAACGTCCTGATACATTTAGTGAGTCGTCTGGCTCGTTTGGTTCGGCAGTGTTAACAAAGGAGCAAACGAGGCAAACGAGCTGATTCGTTTGGTAGATGGTTAAAAGTGGCCCTTTATTCAGTATTTCAGCGTTAAACTAACCAGTAAAAGTGATGGTTTCGTTATTGTTGGAGAAAACCACCTCATCGGAGCTACTGTTGGGGTCGAATGCAGCAGGTTCATCGTACTCCTTCAGCCATTCGATGACGTTTCGGGGAAGAGGCAGCCTTTGAAGAAGCTTTCTACTTCCCACGGAACGAATCAGCTCTCGACGACAAAGTTCTTGGAGACTTTCACAGCACTGAAACATTCACGTTAAACTTTATCCTGTTGCGTTAAACAGATCAGGGCAAAATCAAATTAGACGCAACTAACGCAAGAAGTGTTTGTTTTCAAGAGGGTTTGTCTGTTTTGTTTTGTTTTGAATTTTTCTTACCAGGTAACCTCTCCTGGAGGCTTGGATGTCAAGTTCTTAAGATGGCGGCTGTAAGTGCAGCCTGTGCTTCATCAAATCAAATCTAAATCGCTGTTTCTCAGAGTGATTGTGGAATAATCTGAAACCATGGAATTTGAAACCATCAACGTCTGAACCTCGTCATGCTTCATACCCAAAAATGTCATCCAAAAGGTTGCGGCGTGTTCCTGGAATACGATCCGAGGTGGTGGAAAGACTAGCAAAGCATCAGATAGTCACTTGCAAGGTTAGCTAACTCCTTTGTTAAAAGGTCTGTGAATAAATGAGAGTGGAAGCGGTAAGACTCAGACTTTTTTTTAAGCCTATCGTAAATGCTTGAATCCGCGTCCCTACTGTTGGCAAAAATTTGCAATGATAAAAAATAAGCACCCCTCCCCTTGAAAAAGTGCCCCCTTCCCGTTGCGAAGGCTCCTCCCTACCCCTCAAATAAGAACCCTTTCCCCTCAAATAAATTCCCTTTTTCCCTCAAAGAAGCACCCCCTCCCCCTCAAATAAGCACCCCCTTCCCCTCGAGAGAGTGCTCCCTTTTCTTTTCCTTAATTCTCTTAATGATTCAGTTGTGGACAATGTGTATGTAAGAGTTGAGTTTACGGTCGTGTATATGCGTGACTAGCATAATTAGGCTTTTTACATGCAAAAGTGCACAAACAAACGGCCTTGCAAATGCATCTTATTGAGTATGGAAATGCATTTGTAGTTGTTTACCTTGTTTCTCAATATTCAGCGACCCATGTAAATGAATAAGTAAGGAACCAAACAATTAGTCAAGCTCCTGCACTAATATTCTACACCTAAATACAGGTTTGATTTCTGACTGATCTCTATTTTTCTTATTTTTGCTGATGTTGTACAGGATTTGCTTCAGAGAAACCACTTGGAACTTCTCAAGTTTACTGGATCAAGTTATCAAGAAGTTTTAGAAATTCAGAGAGCTGTTGGTAAAGCCATCATTCCCAAGGTGCAAACAGTAAGTACTGATTTCTCTGTACAAAGTGCTGTGTTATGCAAAATATTTGGACACTGTTGAAGTCATGTTAAGACAGTTAATGATATGAACCTTAGGGTAACAACACTGGATTTACTGTATCCAAAATAATCTCCAAAGTACTTAATCACAGCAAACCACTTCTGTTAAAGTTACAGTTACCATGACACAATTAGCAAGCAAGCATGTTTGACTTTTCTGTGGGGGGAGAGGGGGTTAGTGCAGACATTTCCATATTCAAGTTTGTGAAAGATATTATTCATAGGTTTTTGGGCACTGTTTTCAGGCCTAAAACTAAGAAATGAAATTCCTTTCATGGCTTCCATCTATCTTAAATTGAATGCTAATGCTTTCTAGCTGCAAAAATTGAATGATAATGTTGATTTATAATTAAGCTGTATATTTTGTGGTTAGGCCCTTGCCTTGTTTCAAAGATCAAACAGTCAGAAATCATTTCTTCCAACTTCACTTGGTGATCTTGATTTGGCACTGCATGGAGGGCTGAGTTGTGGTACAATCACTGAAGTAAGCTCTATACTTCCTTCTTTTTTCCCTTTTATTCCCAAGATCTAAAAGTTTTTTCTCCTTCCTGATAAGCATACACTTCTTTGTTGAGTGGTTGTGAGAATTTGAAGTTAAATCAAGGCATATGATAATTTTCATTTTCCTGACTACCTTCTCTAGGAGAGTATATCAAATGATCACTCCAAAGTCACAGCATAGGCACAGTTATCTGATTTTCCTTTGTAGTGTGAGAAAGACCAGAAGAATTATTTTTCAGTAATGAATAAAATGAAATGATTCAGAACTGCTGTGTTTCTGTGTGGTTAGCAAAGTGTAGACGTTAATTGCAAGAGACAAATAGTTTTTTGCTCACACACCATATTGTTGCTTCTGGTGTAACTTAAAAATTGTAAATTTGCAAAATACACTTGTTTTGGATGTAGCAAGCTGATCATTTCCACACACAGGCCAAAGACAGTTTTTTATCGCCCAGCAAAGGAATAAAACGTATTTCTGACTCTTGTCCTGCTACTGCCAGTCATTTTTGTATCATCACAGAAAAATATCATCTTATTTTGACAGAATTATTTTATATAAACAGATTGAGAATGCAGTCAAGCTATTAAGGGTGATTTTGACTTATCTGTGAGTCTTAATCTCATTTTTTTTTAATGAAACATAGATAGCAGGCCCAGCAGGATGTGGTAAAACACAGTTCTGTATCATGCTTAGTGTGCTGGCCACCCTACCTTATGACAGAGGTGGACTGGATGGCAGTGTTATCTACATTGACACAGAGGCAGCCTTCAGTGCAACAAGGTTGGTTGTCCTGTGTCAAGTCTCTATTTTATCACATATAATTAACAAGGTTCCAGGGACAACTCTGACCCCAGCTTAAGAGTTAAAGGCTCAAGGTAGCATAAACAGGCCTAAGTCCTGTTTTGTGCTGCAAGTTATGCCTCACCCAATGTAAGTTTTACCTCATAAAGCTTAGCTGCAACAGTTCAGTGTCATCTGATGTTTGGCAACCAGGTTGTGTCCAGCATGGGGTAACCTTAGAGATAGAAGCCTGATTTTTATTTTTGTGTGCAGTTTTTTTCAAATTTCACTGACATCTGCTTTCTAGATTGATTGAAATGGCATCCAGTCGGTTTTCAGATCTTTTCAACTCAAATGAGTCACTGTTTCATCTGTCAGAGAGGATACATGTGTGCTGGGAATCTACCTGTAGCTCATTATGGGATAGGTAAGATATTTGATGTAATGTTATTGACTGGTGCTTTTCATGATTATTCATTCAAGATCTCATATCATGATTTATATTTCTTTATGTATTTGTTAAACTACTGAGCACCAAAACTAAAATGCTAAAGGAAACAAGTAAGAAGAAAATGCAACTGAAATTAAATCTTGATGGCAATAAAAAATCAAGATACAAGGGGGAACAGTTATGAAAAAGAAAAGTGTTCATATAACCCTTTACACGTTAACGTTAGTATTTATATTCTCCATACTGTTCTCTTTACATTCCCTATGGCACTGATGAGGAGAATTTGTTTGACAATCAGGAGCTACATAAATTGGTGATCATTTCCTTCAATGTCATGACCTTTATATTTGATGTAAGGATGATACTGGAATAAGAAATTAGAAGCCAGTCTCTTTTGGGCTACGTGTAAATGGTTAATAAGTATTTTCTTAGAACAAGACAAAGGCCAGGCCCACTAAGTGAAGAAAAGAATGATTGTGACATTCAGCCATCTTGATTAAAGAAGTTTAGTCAATAAATGATTTGGCCTAATGGTAACAACAAAGAATTTTGATTTTAAAGGAACAAATTAGTCTAAATGCACAATCCAGGGTGGGGTGGGATGGGTGTACTACGCCAGTCTGGGAAGCCAAGCATGTCAGTCTCATTTCCCCTTCCAATGCTAGCTATAAAATGAATTAAGGAAACCGCTGGACTCACAAAAATCAGACAGGGTCATCTCTCTCTTCCTCTATTGAGGGAGGAAGAGAAAAGACCTTGGGAACGAGGTTGAAAAAATCTCAAGTTATACCGGGTGAAACAGACAAAGCATTTAATTATCGCTCGGAATTGTTTCACTAGGCTTCAGAGACTTGAAGAGGAGGTTATTTCTAAACGTGTAAAGCTCGTCATCCTGGACTCCGTCGCTTCGCTTGTAAGGAAAGAATTTGACAGCAGGCTGTTCAGAAACTTGAACGAAAGAACAGCGCTTCTTTCCAAAGAAGCGGCCATTTTAAAGTAAGGAGACTTTTCTTGGACAACTATTTCAAATATGTATGCTTTGCACTAAAATCATCTCATGTACTCTGTAGGTCGTAGAATAGATTTTCACAAATAGCGTGGAAAGAATTTACGAGCCTCCATTTAATACGGGCGCTCCACACGTTCTTACCTAGCAGACAAAGCAAAATGTGACTTTTGCCGATCAGGGGCAAGTAGTGGAGCTTGCCTCGACTTTGCCCTTGGGGATCTTTTCGCACTCTTGATACTAGTAGCATGTTTTCCAGCCTTTTCCTACGCCCGTACATGAAACATGTTTTGCCGCATCATCCTCTTTTCCATTTAGAAAAACTGTAGGCCTGCCATGAACAGTCAAATGTATGATGAAACTAATCGTGGCACAAGATAAATCGAAAACTGTTTCTCCAAACACCACTTTTGTCAAGTTTACTTGCTTCCTGTAGGGCGTGCGGTGAACGCGGGAAGAGATGAAACAATGTCGAGTGCTTGTCTCTCCACTCTAAAGAGATAAGCCCCCTCTAAATGCTTTTCGCACCTTGAAAGGAAAAAGGCTAATTTATTTATCATGAACTGCATTTACATTTGTTTGAACAAACAAATAGTACACTTGTCTGTCTACTTTTCAGATATATTGCTGAGACGTTCCATATTCCGGTAAGATGTCTAATAAACGAGGCTAAAGGTATACTGTACCTGTTCTAAGAACATACTTTGAAGAATAACGCGCTTCTGATCGGCTGAAAACGAGTGCATTTTTTCATGTTGCACGAGTGCAAAATTGTGACTCGAGTGCAAAGTTGTAATACGAGTGCCAGGTTGTAACACGACTGCAAATCACCAATAGCGCTCGAGTATTGTCGAAATTTCGTCTGTCTTGACTTGCTGTGATGGTTTTTTCTTTAAATTAGTAATGAGTGATAACATGATTACTCGTGAATTCGGTGCAAAGAAACGCTTGTAAATTTTTCAAACACTACAAGGGCCCGTGCAGTGTTGTTGTCATTGAAAAATTTACTCGTGCTTATTTACACCAAATTGTACTCTAAATCAAGATAGTACCTACCATTATTTTGCTGTAAAAACCTTGAGTGAATTACGAAATAAAAATTGCAAAGAAAAGAACTGGACGGCAAAAAAAGAGAGGAAGAAGTAAAGGAAGGGAAAAAGGTAGGATAGCCATTTGAACGAAACGATGCATTTGTAAGCGACCAGCCTTCCTGATTTATGAAGTAATACCAATTAGGTAAATTAATTATTTCGCAGTCGTCTCGAGAAATGTATGGTCGATTTACGCTTCACAACTTTTTGTTGAGCTGAAATGTGCCACAAATGGAACACCTTGAGTCAATTCTTTGCGTCTCGACTGTTCTAGGTTGTCGTTACTAATCAAATCACTACTCGTTTCATTGGTGCGGGGACTTCCAGTGGAAACGAGGGTTTCCAGGACGTCGACGGCGCAGACGTTGAGCCCGAGGAGGACGATGGTAGTCACGTGACCGCTGCGTTAGGTAACACGTGGTCACATGCGGTGAATACTCGTCTGATTGTACAGTATTTGGACGAAAGATTTCGTCAGGTATTGACTTTCAAGATTGGTGATCTGTCAATTTTGTCCTGAAAACGAATCGTTTAAGAAACTCATTCCTCACTAGATTCTTCCTTCTTCTTCCTCTTCTTCTAAAAACAGGTTCTGATTTCCAAATCTCCAGTGGCGCCGTTTGCATCGTTTGTTTACACGATACACGCTCAAGGATTAGTTTTGGAACGTCAAGATACGAACTTGAATCGCCATGGTAAATAGCATGAAACCCTACGTATAACAATCCCTAGATTTTAGAAATAGGTTTAACCTTATGACCCTAGGAGTGACCAGCAGACAATTCTCCTTACAAGGTCACCCCTGAATCACACATTAGGGTCATGAGAATAAAGGAAATGATCGCCATCTAAAGAAGCTCTTGATTGTTAAACAGATCCTCATTGTTGGCACCTTGGGAAGTGTACAGAGAACAGTGTGGAGAAAATGCAAACTGATGTTAAAAGTGCCTTAAAAGAGTAAAAGCACACATTCACGAATTCAATTTATGAAATTTCTTCAACAAGAACTGAAGCTTATTTCGAGGATTGCGGAAATAATCTGTAACAACTCTGAATTCAAATTGAGGCACATGACTTTGAAGTTTACTCTTCCAGATAAGGCTGAATGGAAATTTCAGATTCAGCAGCCTCAGCTCTTACTCTTGGCTAGTTACACCAAACGGCCGAACCTTCCCAAAGGCACGAACTAATGTTTACTACAAAGGTCGCACACTCTATTGATAAATGAAAAAAAGCGAGACAGGTTTGTGACCGATGTCTAAATATGATTTATTTGTAGGTCTTGGTGGAAATCCCTCTTTGCAGCCTATCCAGGTTCGTTCTGCCTTCTGACCGAAGCGGTAACACATTCTCCTACTGGGAAGTTTATTGGTGATCTTTGCTGTACCATTCTGCAATAGCATAAACAGCGACATGAGCTCGTCGTCGCTTTGAGAAAGATATCTCATGAACCCTTTTTTTCGGCAACACGTAACTGATAGGTAGCTGCAAAATGTTTCTGTTGAGAGTCTTCTGAGACTCCGCAGTACGCTTCTGTGTCTCTGTTTTTTCGGAAAGGCTCAAGAATTTTAATTCTCACTATTTTCTCGATCGCGTAGCCCCATTTAAGATTAGAAATGCTATGTAGTTCTTTCCCTGAGGTATATTTATATTTCAAATGAATAAAGGGGTAAGTTTCTAAAGAAACTGTGGTGCTGCGTCGGTGGGAGAGTATAGCAGGTAATTTAGTGTTAACAACTGAGTTGAAAACGTAAATTAGCCACCGTAAAGGGTAAAAAAGCTGACGTTTCGAGCGTTAGCCCTTCGTCAGAGCATCGCTCTGACGAAGGGCTAACGCTCGAAACGTCAGCTTTTTTACCCTTTACGGTGGCTAATTTACGTTTTCAACTCAGTTGTTAACACTAAATTACCTGCTATATTTATATTTCGTTCGATTCCAGTTCAAAGATATTTGGCCTTGGACAGTTTTAACATTGTAGAATATTTAAGACTCTTTCTTGTGTGGACGTAATTTTTTTTTAAGAATTGCTTGATCAGTGGTTTTGAACCATACACAAAGGAGAGTACTCTCGAAAGTTAGGACAATCGGTCACACAAATTGCTCGTCATTTTAACTAAGTGCCATATCTCAGAATTCTATCATATCACGTATTTATTATATCGAAAGAACGATCTTCGTATGTTTCTAAGGTTTATATTACGCAATTGAATTGTCACCTCGCAGGAAACTCTTCAAAATAGCGCAAGACACATACCTAATTCGTGACTGAGAGCATATCAGCGTATCTCTCTCGAAAGTAACTTTAATTCGAAATTTAAGCTCTAGTTAAGAACTCAATAACATGAATATGCCTGTCATTGTGAGATTGCCTTGTCTCAGGTTTTCAAAGTTTATATTTGCCGAGATATTTTATCGCCCCTCTCCTAGTACGAATATAATTCGTTCACGCTCTACCAAACGATAGCGGAAGAGTTGCATGGATACCATAAACTGTCGCCAATACAAAGCTTATAAACAGAGGGGCTGATATACCAGGGGGCTTATAACCGGAGGGGCTTCTAAACGGAGGAGTTTATATCCCAGGGGGCTCATAAACGGAATGGAAAGAGCGCTTCGCAACATGCTATAGAAGTACTGATCAAAAGAGGTTTTGCATTTACTGCTTCATAATTGCACTTCAAAACGTCCTAATAATTCGAATTCATTTCAATACATTTGGAACAGAATTAAAGCCAACAAAACATATTGTTCTGAACGAATTTTTCAAATTTTTCAAATTTTCGCAAGAAAAGCTAGAGGGATCCGGGGAGAGTCGGGGATGATAATCTCCCCCGGCTTCGATCCGGAGGAGATTATCATCGAGTGTATTTTTTTGGTTACAGGTACATGCTTGCTTTAAAATGTCTTTTGCGGTAGGATTTTAATATAAAAAGTACTAAAATTCACAATTATTTATCCTGCCCACGAATTTTAACTCACTTTTTTTAAAATTGTACGATAACTAAAAGCATCAGAAATAGCACATTTGTCTTGTTAAGTGCTTAATAACTCCCACAGTGCTATCATCATTGGAATTAATATATAGAGAATGATACATAGGCGCGCATAGATATGGAATTTCTCTTCGAGTTGAACACGAGAGGAGAAATTTAATATCCAAAAGCAACCCTGAATTATTATAGACTTTCAATTTTTGAACGTTTGTCCTTGAAGGCATAAGTAATATCATATACGTCTTTTTCCATCATTAAAGCAGCTTCAAGTTTTTTATCGTTACTACACATTGGTTACCATCACCAATCTTGACTTCAATATCACTGTAATCGTTGGAACTGTTGACGTTGAATACTATTTAAAAACTTCTCTTTCACTTGTTCAATGTAAGCTATTCGCAGTAGAGACACTTAGCAATGTTGGCAATGACCATACAATTCGAAACGGATCGTTCCACAAACTCAAAATAGCAAGGGAATCAATTGATTTAGCCAAGGTGTTACCAGAATCAAACCTGTAATCACACGAGCTATTAATGATTGAAAAATTTGGACAGCTGATAACTAAAGACGACCAAAGAACATTAACACTCCTGTTAGGCGCTTATAAAGACATGATGCAGCGTGATCAATTAGCAGGTAACAATATTACGGACGCCATGTTGCTGGATTGAATAGGTAGCTCTCATCAAAGTGAAGACACTCGTAATGGTATTTATGTGACCTTTATCATAATGATTACATTTAGTATGTTTTAATCAAATTAGGCACATTATGCTATATTTCCTTTGCCATTATTTGCATTAGTTTTGTCACTTGTGTGAAAATTATTGCTTAGGGTTATGTGATATAATATTTGTGTTGTTTCAAATAAGATGGGATCAGACGAAACTGTTGTATTACTTAAATTATGTAGACAACACTTTGATAAAACAGCGCCGTGTGTACATCAAAATGATGTTTTAAAGGAAATAAATGATTCCATACTGTGCAGGCCTAGAAAGAGCTTTTGAAAAAGAGCTTTTGAGCCATTGGTATCAGAGCAATACAAGTAATTAATTTTGACAATTGGTTGTATTACTGTTGCCTTCGTTTACTCTCCTGATGATGACCATTTTTTTAAGTGTTTGACTCTCGTGCTAGAGATATTTATGGTAAGAGTCATCCCGAAGGAACTTGTGTACTGTTAGATATATCATATAAAGATAATGTAGTGTAATACTTTCAAAATTTATATGGAATAACTGAACTTAAAGGTTTAGATTAAGGTATTTATAGAAGTAGTTTACGCCGGAGATATTTGTTACTTTATTTCTACAGTAGTAACCAATCTGGGTGGAGCTAAGACCATGCCCGTTTACATATTTGATTTCATGATTTTAAAATTAAAATCTTTGACACCATGGATGGAAAGCATAGAAGGATGATCAGATTTTTTTGGATGTAACCACAGTTTCGTAGGAAACCTAGTTATAGAAATAAATTAAAACGGGAAAGAGTTGACTCAAGCGTACAGCCCATATAGACTTCCGAGTGATGAGCTCCCGACAAATGGCTCTCATAAAAGTCAAGATATACATAATTTTTTGTACTGATATGACCTTTAATACAATTATTGCATTTATCAAGTTCCGATATTGAGTACATTGTCATTTTATATTTTTGCCATTAGGTCCCGTAATCCTTAGCATTTGTCATTTCATCCACCAGTGCAAAGGCAGTCAGTAATTAGCACTTTTTTACCTTTTGCCTCATGGCTGCAATGGTCCCAATACCTACACCCATGCTGCCATGAAAAGACTTGCTCCTTATTGCTTACATACTCATCAAGCAGGCTAGAGTTAACCCTTTAACTGCCAAGATCAAATTGTTAATTCTCTCCTCAAGCTGCTACATATTTCCTTGTAAATTAGTAATGAGAATTTGGTGTCAGATCAAGATAACAACTACCTGATAAGCTTGAACATTCTCACCACCTATTTACTGCATAATGTAAGGGAGAAGTTTTTTGTCGATCACTTGTGGGAGTTAAAGGGTTAACGCTTTCAACAGCGTCTTGTACTTTAAAGTTTCCATTAATTTGTGAAGATCGTGTCTTAAATGTAGAAATCGCTCCTTTTTTATTGTGTGATGTTGACTGTTCTGCTGCTTCAACACGACTGATTCTTTGAAAGAACAAAATATATTTTTAGAAGATAGCGTGAGAATCAATCATTTTACTTAAGCTTTGTTTTCAATTTGAATAACGTATTGTGATCGTTGTTTCACACGTGGCAATCGAGCATAATCTGTTTTAACTTGAAAATAAATCTCATAGAATATATATTTATGAATTTACTTGATCGATTTGATAAGATCTATTTTAAAAAGGATAAAGAAGTTAAAACAGATGACAAATGTTGTCAAAAACAAGAGTTAGTTTGATGATAATGGAATGAATGTCGTCCATGCGGTCAGGTCATTAATTATGAGTGTATTTCCAGGCTATTGTTATTCAAGTTACAATATCTTGCAAATCAGTCTACCAAAGAAAATATCGCGTGGATAAGGTTAAGCACCATATCATGCCGAGCTACAACGAAATAAACGAGTTTTACCGTTAACACCAAATGGTACAGATGGAGATTAAAAGGTTTGTAAAGTTTAATTATATCTTCAACAGAATCTTTAGTTATATGGATAATGATATAAAATAATTATAAAATAATATTTCGATAAACGATTTTATTTTAGTTGGTATAATTTCATCATTACTTATTTCAGCTACATATCCTACACCTCTACTTATTGGATCAAATTTTTTCATAAAATTTCTATATTTGCTTTGTTCAAATTTTTTTGAGAAAAGATAGATTTTATTAAATTGTCGCAATCTATATATCATGTCGAGAAGTATATTGGTTTTACCCGCTCTTGAACGTGCACATATTAACCTTCTAAAGCGGCTATTTGGCATGAATTTATATATATGTTTAAAATTTGATCTTCTTCTGTTTTATAATTATTTATTTTCATTATATAATAAGTTAAAATAACGTTTTAGTTTTGCCAAAACTTGAAGTGTGACTTAAAGTAGTGGTAGTATTTCAATATTCATAGATCATTTAATTTTTTATCTTCTGCAATATTATATCATGAGTCTTGATAACTGGCCTAAACTTGCGAAAAGTAAAACTGAATTAGGCAAGAAATTAATAAAGTGAATGAAACAATATTAGACAATAAGTTAGGTAAGAAAGGTAATATTTCAAATCGTGAGAAAACACTAGACGATGTCTTCTTAACCAATTTATTAACTCCTAAACAGAAAAAGAAAATAAAACCACGAAAATTTGTGCCTGCTTATGGCATACTAGCGGTGATGAAGTTGAAGACGTGACTCTTAATGATTTGTTTGAAGGTGTTGAACCACGAAAAGAAAAATAAACTGCGCCTTTAACCACCTGAATATCCAGAATATTATATAAATCCGGATATTGACCTTCCTCCATCTTATGAAGATTATGATTAGCGTGATTATGCGATTGATGAAGATGATGTTGATGATGAAAAAGGATGATAATGGTGTTATTGATTAAGAAAATATGCAAGATAATTAACAAATAGAGAAGCCTTGACTGCGCTCTGTTCTGTTGTAAAGCACGCAGGAAGCGGTTCGAGCACGAAAGAAGTGTAGGGAGAAACACGAGACGTAGTCGAGTGTTTCTCCCCACTTCTTGAGTAATGCAGGCATTACGTCACCCGTTTTAAGAAATATGATGAGTTACTTAAAACCAAAATTTTAAGTAAAAATGAACATTCAAAAAAACCTTTGAACAATATATTAATGATATAGTATGGAAAGAGAACTAGTTTTATCATCTTATTCTGTCAAAGATGTTAATAACAACAAACCAGAAGATTTTAGAAGAAAATTAAGTCGTACAATATCTTTAGATCCAAATTAGGGGTATAACATTGGTTTGTATCGAACAATAATAACCAGTTAAAAAAATGTAGTAACGACAATGGAAATACTTTCAATGGCATTAATTTTGCAAGTGGTGTCTGGGCTTAGACAGAGATTTCCAATGAGATAACTGTAATTGATAACTGTAATTACAAACGATGGCGAAGAAGATGAGTATCCAATAACATTAACATTTAATGAAGTTTTGTTCAGAGTTGAAATACCTATGAAACAAGGTTACCAGCTTGATTTGAGTGTAAGTGATTTTAATTTATTAATTGGTTATAAAAAAAAAATTGTGAAGGATGAAAATGCTCTTGGTCTATTTATCCCAAATTTATCATTTATTCCAAATTTAAGTCAAGACAGAGAATTGATAAATATTAAATGTGACCATACGAATAATTCTCTCGTTGATGGATCTGAAAGCGACACAATATCCAGCTTTTGAACAGCTGTCTTGCAACCTTCACTTAGTTTTACAATGGAAGCAAAGAGTCACTGATTCACCACTCAACAACACAAACATGGATTCAGTAAGAATTTATATCACGGATGGAAAAAGAAGATTTGTTGATTTACGTGGATCTGATACTTCTTTTTTCAATTTTATTGAAACCACGATTATGAGGCCATATGAGTTCAAGAGAATTTATCCTCCAGCTTTAGGAAAATTTGTTAACAAGCACAAAGGGACAGGTGTACTTGTAACCAATGTTAAAAAAAATTGCCAGTACATTATTTTCCAAAGTTGCGAAGCCTGTACAAAAAGCACTCAAATCAGGGACAGAACATGTTGAGAAGGAAATTGGTGAGATATAAGGTGATTACATAATGAAAAAATTAATTAGAAGTAAGAAACAAACTGGCTCTGCACATGTGATATTAAAGAGGTTGCGACAAGAATTTTTTGTCTAACATAATATACAATTTCAAATTTCCGCTCAAGCGATATGTTATAAAGAAATGCGATGGTTCCTTTTCAGTTAGATGACGTAATACGCATGCCAGCTAATAATCAGTACCATGAAAAAAGCAGTCATAGATTCACGATAAACGATAGATCTTAATTTTTTGATTGGTACAACGCCAATTTAGGAGAACAGTTTCAATTACAGAAATTGGTGAGGGAACTGGTTAGGGTGGTGGTGGTGGTGATAGAATCACAGTTATTAATGGTTCCCACAGGTTATTGAAGCATATTATGGTTAGATTGTTTACGACAAAAATAACTTGAACAGAGTAGTAAATGTCAAAAATCTCGACTACAGTGATGCCTTAAACCGTTGCTAAACACAGTTTTTGATGGTATTTAGATTCAAATGGTACTGCAGCAAATACAAATACTGGTTTTAGTGCAAGAAAAGCTTTGACTGTCAGTGCTGCCAATGTCAACGCGTCAATTCCCCTAAATCGTTATAGCTCTTTTGAAGATTTAGAACACAAAATGTCAGTACCAATGCATTTACAGTTTAATATTGAACTGCAAAATGATAATGAGTTGATTCTCAAACATGTTGATGCTGATGCAGGAAGAGTCGTTGTTAATCGATTTCTTTGATGGGTACCACACTCTTTATGATTCATTTGTTGGCTAATTTCTCAAGAAACAAAACAGAACCATTTGAGAGAATTATACAAAGTTTCTGCATCAACTCGTTCATCTGTATTCTTTCAAATTTCATTCAGAATTGACAATGTCAGATATGTTATTGTTTATTTGCAGAGGGTAAAGACAAATGAGATGCATTGTAAAACCTTTATACTACTATGATTTCGTTAAAATTGATAAAATAGGCAATCAATTAGTTATTGTATGACAATTATATATAGCTTATGAATGTTAAATAGTATAATCTTTCATCACATTAACTATGGTGTTATACAAGGATTTTTAGCCCTGCGAAAAGCCGTACCAACACATGTGAAAAAATATTGTATTTTTTCACATGTGTTTGCTGTAACAAATCAGCTGCCAACTCGTCACTCGCCTTTCGCGCCACTTGGTCAGATTGATGAATGAACAGCAAGGCCTTCACGATTCTCAATACAAGGTGGTTTGTCGGATTTTATTTTGGATTATGGCTCCCAAAACACTGAAAAATCCGTATCGCTTTAAGACAGTGACGTTCAAACTTTCCTAGAAAGGGAAGAAAACCAAAATACGGAAAGAAAAACCGAAAGTTACGTATTCAGTGGCTTTGGTAATGGTATTCTCGCGGCGAAAACGACAACTGGAAGATTTTCCACAGGGCGATTTTGGCCGTGTATCTGAAAGATTTCCTCTTTCGGTGCGGAGCACGTCAATAACTGAGAATTTCGTATGTTGAAAATTATGTCTACGGTTTGCTTTTGTAGTGCTCCAACGCATTTTTTCATGTAAGCCTTAGAGCCAACGCGTTTTTATTTGGGGATTGTCGATCCTTTTACTTTCATTCAATGATAAAGTTGACTTTTCATTGTCTGTAAGGGGCTGTTGTGTTTATATGATAAACAAAATAATTCATGGTTGCTTATAGATTCGGAATTATTTTCGTGTTCAACACTCGAAAAGAAATTCCATATCTATGCGCGCCCATGTATTATTCTGTATATAATATATATGACTAATGTACCATCCACACAAATTGACTGCCAAAATGACTTGATTAGAGAAATATATTCAAGTCATTTGCGCATGTAGTATTCAAAAATATAATTGTTACGCATGAAGTAGCTAAAAGTAAAATGATGCATATTGCAATAACTTCGAGATCCGTCAAGAACGAATGCTTTATTTTTTTATGTCGACAAAAATGCTCTAGCAAAATTACATTTGTAAAAAAAGCGCGGTCTAAGCCATCAAACTTGAAATGAAATACAGAACTAAAATAGAGACGTTCGTGACAATATGTGACGAAACATTTTCCACCAGGAGTGAATGAGGCATTATCATTATAATAGTAAAATTCACCCAAAAAGAAGGAAAAACGAAAAAAAATGATATTGAGATTTACGTTAAAATATTTTTAATATTATTATCATCATTATTATTATTAGAAAATTAATATTCGCCGGACATGGAGGCACCAAAGTGTGTGAGGCCATAACGAAACCTTGTGATATTCCTGCGCGTGAAACAATCGATGTATTTTCTCAAGAACCCATGGGAATATCGAAAAAACTTCACGCACTGCGCTACTATATTATCTACACACTGATACAGTCAAGTTTGTTTGGATGTCCGCGGCAACGCAGAGGCTGGTACTTCAGTTGTATCGAAACCGTTAGTTTTATGTTTAAAGGCTTGCGCATGCTTACCGAAACAGAAACTGTTAAAACTAGTTAGAATCTTTACTTAATAAGCTTCACAGTAATAGTGTAGTTTGATTTGACTCTGATGATGACTTCCGCTCAGGTTGTCGAAACGTCAGTCACCACTACCGACAACAGTCCTTCTCAGGACTACACTCACCCGAACGATCAAACTACATTATTACATGTTACCCCCGGGTTCAAACTATATACTGTAAGCTTCACAGTGATATATAGTTTTCCATGGTTTCTTTTAAAGTAGCCCTCCTAGGACGATTTTTCCGGGAGCCACCATTTCTGAGTTACCTTTGGCCTCCTCTTCAACGCAAGTCTTAGGGTTCATCCTAGTTTTTATTCACATGCAAATTAAACTCATTTTCATACAATTGGTTGAGAACCGGCCTCGTTTTGAAAAAGAGGCTAAGGGTAGTTCGGAAACGGCCCAATAAACTTTCGTTCGAGTTGAGAGTTCTACTAACTATGTGAAAATCCATTTGTAACTCGAGATCACGGTACTGGAAAAACCTTACAAGGCCACTACGTCCTAAGAGGAAGCTCGTTGCGCTGTTCTTGCTTGTGCTTACCGTATGGTTACTTGGGACGAAAACGCTATCCACGTCGCTGCCTCACCAACTTCGCTTACAGCAGATAGATTGGCAGCCGATACCTTACACGAGGCTAGGAAAGTGCGAGTCGAAAGCAGATGGTAGCATTTACTGCCCTGATATTCGCAGCAAAGGGTCGACATCGCTTCGACGAGCTCAACTAGTACTCACAAGGGTTCTTCGGATCTTCGATATCATTTCCAAGAAGCACGGCATTAAATATTGGCTCTGTAAAGGCACTCTGCTGGGTGCCGTTCGACATAGCGGACATAATCCTTTTGACGATGACGTAGACATTTGTATCCCCAAAATAGACTATCAAACATTTATCAAGTCCGGTGTCAGTGAGCTTCCAGAAGATATATTTTTTCAAACAGAGGACACAGATGTTCATTACAAAGTTCCGCCGCAGAGCGGGATGCTAGGGAAATTACGCGACACCAAAAGCTGTTATAAATACTGTTTGCATAGCAGCTGTAAGCACGCAGATGGTCTTATGATAGATATGTTAGTCTTGGAGAAGGACAGCGATGGAAACTTCATCGAATTGTTCAGTCACACCAATTGGTTTTTACGAAGGTTTATCTACGGACCTATAAAAAGAAAAGAAAGCGACGTTTTTCCTTTGATAGAAGTGAATTTCGACGGTTTTTTAGTGCCAGCTCCTCGCGAATGGAGAAAAATTCTCGAATCGTATTACGGCGATTTTATGAGCATACCATACGGGAAGTCGCCCGCCTTTCTTGATACAGATGCATTGAGGAGCTGCGAGGAAATAGTAAAATCTTGAAAAAAAGAAGGAATACAACGTAAAGTCTGCGCCATATAAACATGTCAAATCTATAATAGATCGAAAGCATAAGCTTCACATGATGGCAGCTCTAACATTGACTTTTGGAAACCCGAAAATGTCAAGTTTTCCTGGGGTCGCTACCCTCCCTTCTCCCGTATTTTGTTCTTTACTTTTTGTTACCTCCTCGTTTATGTTTCTCTGTTAAGTTTTTTAGCGTTTTCTCCGTCAGTTATACCTTTTCGCACGTTATTTCGCCGTTCTCTTCTATCCAAAGCCAGTTTCTTTTAAGCATAATCACTTCTTATGTCAGTTTATCAAACGTTGCGCTTGGCGCAGTTCTCTGTTTAGAAGTCCTCAAGTTGTTCGATTTTTCAGTTATAGATTAGACGTTATTAGGCATTTGAGGGGGGATCTTATGGATTTCACGAAAAACATAGAGGGGGAGTAGTCGTCGCTAACAGAGTATAAAGCGGGTATTAGAGAACATTGAGTGTTTCGTTTATCCTGTTATCCCCTCCCCAGGCCCTCCAACAGGAGCCTGGCCACGCAAGGTCCAGTTTTTCTGACAAGGTCAAGTATTCATACTTGAGTTGGTAAAATGAAAAAACATGTACTTAAAGCTAAAATTTATCAGAACACGCTCAGTAGTCGCACAGTTACTTGCTGTTCTTCTTTCCTTCAAACTTTTCTACTTCAGATTCTGTTGTATATTAAGAGATGTATCGATATGCATAGGTACTGTATCGCCCCTGGTCAGCCTTGAAGGAACATTGTGCCAAATACCTTTCTCAACGAGCGGTAGCCTGCAGCGGATGTTGTTGTTTAAATGCCCTTCGAAAACGTTATATCGCAATCGTTTCTGCTTTCTTGATGAGAGCAATGAGGGTTGGGCGGCTAAGTAAAATGGTCGATACGGAAAATAAAAAGAAAGAAAAGAAAAACAAACACATAAACAAAAGTAAGTATACTCATGCAACTCTTTGACAAAATTTGCCTCCTCCTCCGGTTTGTGACAGACCAAGATTTGTATAAGCAACTTTCAAGTGCGATTTGGTGTTAATAAGCACGAGTGAAATTTTTTAAAGGCAACAAAAATACACGAGCCCGTAGGGTACCGGTGTCCATGGCAGAGGAGGGCGTTTTTTCAACTAGGACTCGATTGTAAATGACCCTGATTTAGAGCTTCTTCTACCCTTACGCGAGGGATTTTTCAACTGGACTTTCAAAAGGGACTCAGACTTCACTTTCCCCATGGAACTTACGTTTGTTTGTCGTCAGTAAAATGACCAGCAAAAATTGTTAACCATGTAGCTGGAAGAAAAGGTTTGTGTTATGGGCTGTTTCATATTGTGGAAGAACTCGATATAAGTACGTAAAATAACTTCATAAGTATATCAAAGTTGATGTTTATGGACATCGTTCAGGAATCTTTGATTGCAGACTTTTACATTTCATAAGTAGAGAGGAAGGCTTATCAGTTGTTTGCCTAAATGACCATTGATTTTCAATCGTTACTTCCAGCCCTTCAAAATAAACTATCTAATTTCATTTTGCGGACTGACGGATGGATCACCGTGGTAAGTGATCAAGGTCGAGACGAGAAAGCACGAAATTTGATCATATTCAGGAAACCTTAACGCAAAAACAGCAAAAAAAATTCCTTATCTCCCATTTCCTTGAATTAACAATCAACCAAATTTCAGACATAATTATTTTATTGGCAGATATTCCGAGCTCATTGCTTGTAAAAGGCTCAGACGGGCTTCTTAATACAAAAGTTACTACTTGTTCATATCTTTGATGTGCATACCCATTTCTAGTGAAACCGACCAAGACATTTCAGTATGCACTTGCTTAACTCCTGCCATTAACCAAGAATAAACAAAGACTTTGTAAAAGGAGAGGCCTTAAGACTGCTGAAAAAAGGGAGGAGGATGTAAAAACTTCATGATCAAGATTCGACTTTACGAGAGAAGCTGCAAGAAAAAGAAATCAACTAATTAAATCCTCTCAGAAGTGAATTTCGGGACTCGCTGGATACAGGTAACCCTTTAACTCCCACGAGTGACCAAGACAGAATTTCTCCTTACAACTAAAAACAATATCAAGCGGACATGTGATGAGAATAATTTAAAGTATCAATAGGGGGATTATTAGTCGAGCCAATACCAAATTCTCCGAACTAACTTCATAAGACTTGTATTGCAAACAGAAGGGAGAATTACTGAGGAAATCTTGGGAGTGACAAGGTTAATAAAATTCTCGCAGTAACTACTTAGATACTTGCATTTGCTCTAGTAAAGCATTGCTTAGAGAAAAAGGAGAAGCTCCAAAATGTTGACTTACTTCGAGAATTTCAGAAGTAAGTAGAAAGGGTTTTTTTTTTTTTTTTCGTTTTATACCGACCTTTCCAAAGTCGATAACTTCGTACAGGGCATGTACGTTTGTTTCACTTAGAGGTTCCTGCTTACTCGAGAATAACGGTGTTGGGAGCTTTGAGTTTTAACTTAACCTTATTTAAGATTATTTTAAAGACTTTCATGTGGAGGGTAATGTACGTAACGGCTTTGCCGGCTTTGTTGCGCCCCACGGCGTAACTGACTTAGCTAAAAACTCTTTGTATTATAATGGTTCTGTAATTTTTAACAAGCTAAATCTGACTTAGCTAAAAACCCTTTTTATTAAAATGGTTCCGTAATTTTTAATAAGCAAAATTTTTAATGTTTTAAGATTTTGATCATTTTTACTGTAATTGTATACAGCCCATATTTTAAGATTAACATAACTTTTCCAAGGGTTTACCTTTAGAAGTAGTATTTTAGCATGATTCTGTAGTTCTTATCATTTTAATTTTTATCAGGGCCCCAATTGATAGCAGTGCTTAAGGCATCTGAATGGGCTACCCTGAATACATAAAGATCTTCTTCTCCACGGCGACAATAGGTAGTTTAAGAAAACTACCAGGGCAACGGAACGTCTCTACACAAGAGAGTTTAATGAGTAGAGCAATGGCTGTGCTCTTGTGTTCAAAATCGTTGTAAATTTGTTTGCGTCCTCTGACGCAATGGCCAGAAATGACCAAACTTTGCGTTGTCTGGAGAACGTGAGCGAGAAGGACAGCGATGGAAACTTCATCGAATTGTTCAGCCACGCCACTTGGTTTTTACGAAAATTTATCTACGGACCCATAAAAAAAAAAAAAAAAAAAAAAGAAAGTGACGTTTTTCCTTTGACAGAAGTGAATTTCGATGGCTTTTTGATGCCAGCTCCTCGCGATTGGAGAAAAATTCTCAAATCGTATTACGGCGATTTTATGAGAATTCCATACAGAGAACCTCCCGCAAACATTATCGCAGATGCACTACAGAGCAGCGAGGAAATCGTGAAATCATGAAATAGAAACACTGTAACTTGACGTTTGTGGCATGTGAAATGTAACAGGCACCGAAATGAAATTTAAAGTAGATCTTATCAGTAATGTAAGCCCGGGAAGAATTTTGCCCCTCGGAATTCTTGGTGGAGATCGCAACTCTTTTTCATACCAAAAGATACCCTTTCAACGCACCTGACCATTAAAATCCATACCTGTTTTCGGACTTTTAAAGTTATTGTATTTGATTTGCGAATCTTCTACAGTTTGTTGTGACGTACATTTCGCAAAAGTGCTGAAGATTAGAACGAAATTTTATTTTACTGACAAGCTAGCCCTTGGTCAGCCTTGAATGAACAAAGTGCCACACATAACTATTGCTACCAGTGGTCACTTGCAGAGTGCGTTACGCTTCCTCTCAAACGCTTAACCTTGTTCTCTTCTCGCTTAACGATAAGGTTTTGAATTTCGAGACGTCATGCATATACGGCTAAATACGCAACTTTGCAAAAACTGGCGTCTAAATGAACGTTGGGAACTTGCTCGCGCGTCCTCGTTCTTTGTTGCTACGGAGACACGGATAGCTTCGAAATTGTTTAAAAGTGTATGTTTTTAAACCTTTTTCGTTGAATTTTTGGCACATCAGGAAGAAAATTCACGAAAGGTCAGACATTCAGATATTCAGACCGAGATGTAATTTAGATATGCAATTTTCAGGTCTTTATTTATTACCCCCATCAATTTTGTTTGTCTTCAATAATTAGCCACGAACACATTGTGTGGTCTGCCTGTGCCATAAGGAAGATAATGATTTAATTCTGATATTTACTTTTCATCTGGAGGATACTCTTGAAGTCATGACCGAGTGATGCCTCAGAAGAGCTTCTAGCTCTATTCCTCGGTTACCCTTTCTCCCACACGGATTTTCAAGGTCCTGGTATCTAGCGTCAGACATGCAGAGACTTATCAAGAAGGAGATAAGGAACTACGAAACATGATTCTATGATGCGAAAATTGACGCGGAAACAGCGACAGATGATATTTCTTAAACTGCCATCGAGATGAGCTATTGACAAATTTTTAGATATAACAATTTTTCTGAGCATATTGCTCAAAGAAGTTGTTACGAGAGGCTTTTGAAAGTACGTTTCAGTGCATCCGGGAACCGCTTTCTCTGAACGATAATTTCCGAGGTTGTTAAGGCCGCAGTATACTTGTTATTCTTTCCCTTTAAGCAAATTACTCAAGGAAGTTATAAAAGGAGAAATAAAACCAATCTGTTTATTTCAATCGTGTCGTCTGCTTGGACCAAAGTCAACAATGCTCGACAAAGAATTAGCAGGGTTTCCGTATTTGGAACCGCGATGTATTAACAACCTTTTGATCCGTTTTGCTTGCCAATTTTGTGGTCAGCCGACGCGGTTGAATTGAGGAAAAACTTTGTTTTTGTTTCGGAGTTTTTGGGACTTTCGAGTAGGATTATTTTAAGCTTTCGAAATTACAATTTGCGGGATTAATTATGCATATTGAAGTCACGTCCCAGCTTGTCACGGAAAAGCTTTCCAGAAATTTACGAAGGAATTGTCTTAAGCCCTTTGTCGGAGTGACTTGGTGTTTTCAAATAAAATTTCCTTTCGCTTTGAAGAAGCTTCATGAAGCTAAAACTCCATAAGTACACCGTAAATATTTAACATTCCACGCTAAAGTATGTTGGTGTTCCACAGACTTATATTTATAGAGAAGTTTTGGTTCTATAATATCAAATTTGGTCTATCAGTTCTTGCTGATATTAAACGGCTTTAATTTGTTGGAAGTGTAAAACTTGCTACAGTCCAACGTAAATATTTGGAAGAAATTGAAAACTTATTGTTATTGTTGCCAATGAGAAAGAACGAAGCTTAAAATAGAAAATGCCTCCACGAAGCGGCTTACCAAAACACGATCATCATACGCTAAATTTGCTTCCTCCTTCGCACGTAAGCGTTAGTTGGGTGAGCAAAGTCCCTGTTTGGTCAGCGAAAAAAAATGTTTTGTCCCGGCAAGACAAAGCCTCTTTATGATGGAGTTGACATGCATACCATTTATGGTTCTCTTGGCTCCAAATTGTCTGTGTTGAAGCGCACCCATCATGAGGTTTTGATTACACAATAGCTGAAACTAAATCAAACGTTAATACTTCGTTTGCGTCCGATCAAGCAAGAAAACTTAATTGTCGTAAGTTTGTGTTAAGTGCTTGTATCCAATTTGCTAGATTTTGCTTTTACGTGTCTTGAAGCACGTTTTGCCCGCCAGAGGGAAACTACCAAATTTGTATCACTCAGACAACTGTTTTGCAATATCATGCGGTTGAGTGCTTGGGTGCACGACTTCTTCAAGAGAATTTGTCAGACTTAATTGTGTTTATCTCAACAACCTGACACCTAAGCAAGTTTTAATGGTTAAATCCCAGTTTGAATGTTTGATTTTGACACAAAGTTTTGTTTATCCATGTCAGTTGAAACAACAAACCTTTCCTATGGTTCTTGGTTCACGGCGTTAAGTAATCTAGGTATGAAGCATCACAGATTTACATGTTGATAATGCAGTTTTTTACCGATGCACGGGAAACATAAGGATTATGTTTCTAGGAAACGAAACATTGATAAAAAATACTTTCGATTACATGTGATATTCTTGCCTTTTTTTCGTTTTAGGCCTCCAAACGGAAACCTTTAAACTCTTACAAGCATTCTAAAATTCTGGGAAGAACCGACAAACAAATAATACATAGGTCACAACTGGTTTCCGCAATTTGACAAAAAGATATGCATATATGCGTCTTAGCCTTTAAGTCTAAGCCGGAATAAGGCATCATTTATCTTCTCAAGAGTCGTTTGGTTAGAAAGCGCGCACATTTCTTTCTCACGTGCAAAACGCTTTACAATTTCCTTGGCTACGTATTCCAATCCAATACTGCCACAATTACATTTGTAAACAACAATTTTGAAGGTATTCGGTAATGACCTTATGTAAGGTGTCTGAACGAATATTTTCTCTAAAAACTCTGTCTTCATTCTCGGTTGAAACGAACGGATCTCGAAAAGAACCGCAACTAATCTTTGACTGGCATTTTAACGCAACAGAAAAGCCGTAGGTCCCGAAGTATGGTAGTCACTGAAGCGGTTGACAGACATTTGGAACTCTACGGACAATTACAGAAGTTAATATTTCACTCTGCGCTATATTTTGCATATTGATTTTTTCCTCTTTCTTTTCCATCTATTTAATGGAGGTGAGTATGAACAGCACTTCGTAATATCGCGGTGTAATCTTATCAACCCAATCCTTACAATTTTTTTTTTGCGGTTTTTGCAACGCTTGATAAAATATGATCTTGTAACTTGAACAATGTCAGCTAGGGGTCGAAGCTGTCAGTCTCATGAAAATACTCCAGAATAGTCTTGACTTGTGGAGGTGAACGGTTGAGAATTGGCCGTTTCAGACCGGTTTCAGCGAAAAATAAGTATTCACAAGAGTTTACAATGTCTTTTACCAAGCTAATACACAGTGGTAAAAGGCTAACGGCGGCCGTCCGTCAAATGCAAAGGTAGCGTACAAGCCACGAAAGAGTAATTTAAGTTCACCACTCTTGGGAAATTTGAAATTCGATAAGTTGTCAACCCTTACGTGTGTAGAAAGCAGATATCAATAAATTGATACATTAAAATCACTATTCTCTATACATGCAGAAGTTATCACATTTCTAATTTTGAACCACATTTAATTTTCAAGTTATCCGTGTAAAAGTTAACCGTTTCCATCTTCTTGGCGAGAATTGGAAATAGATGAGAAAATTTTAAATCAAGTCTACATTCGTATTTTTACCAGTTGATTCCTAAATAGTGAATTCCTGATTTCAAGTTATTACGAAGGTTTCTAACCCCTTTGAAGTTTTTTTGGGAAAATATTGAACAAGAAGACATCGCCGCGATTTATATTACAACAAAACACTGATACTTGCTTTCAATGAAAGCCAACGTCTCGGTGTATATTTATAAAGTCATCTCGGTGTATATTTATAAAGTCAAAGAAGAAAAGACGCTCCACAGGCCCACTGATATTGATTAACCGAAGTAACGTTTTTTTTCCTTGAAACACTGGGCGGTGGGTTTCTGTCTTGAGCTAAGAATCGATACAAGGACATCTTAAAATAGACCTAGGAGCCTTTTAATGTTTGTCAATATATTACATATGATGCATTAGTACTAAACTGTGTCAACAAGGAATAAACTCGTAATGAAATTCTATTTAGACTTGATTTGCCCTGAATTGCTTTTATTTCCGCTGAAACCATTCGCCGTTCATTTTTTCTCTTTCACCCACACAACACGAAAAGAAATCCGCACCGAATTTTTTAAAGGTGACACAATCTTTTCCAACTGCAGTAGGGAGTTTGACTATATTTTCTCCTAAGGAAAATTCCTGAGAAAAAAAACACTTGGAAAACAATGTTTGTAGACAAAGCAGAAAAATTAAGAATATAGGAGGCACATGGAGGATAAAAGGAAAGAGTGTGACATTTCAAGCGCTACAAGAAAACAAAATACAACAACAACAAAAAATACTAGTCTTCTAGCTTCGGAAGTCATAATAATCTATAAAAAGACTTCTGCAATCAACTGCATCCCACAAGGAGTTTTTCAAGAATGTTTAAGGACTTTAAAGTGTCTGGAATTCAAATTTAATCTTCATTAATGAAATCTTGCCAAATTTTAATTTGGTAAGTTACTCACTTTCAAGGAGCCGAGTTGTTGAAATCGTGTAAGTTTTATATTGTTTATGGTAAAAACATAACAGTCAGCCAACCAGAAGTTGACATTTTATATCTGTGTGTTCTTTGTATTAACAAAAGTAAATACATAAGTATGTAAATCAGTTAATATTTCTTTTAAAAATAATCCTCGTATGTTAGCTCTGCTACGTGACAAGACAGGTAACCGGAAAACCGCGTTTCGACGAAACCGGAAACGAATCACTACAGCGCCCTCTGCACCTTCGTTGATCATTCGTTCTTTCGCAGAAAACCGATCGAAATTCGAAGAAAGTTCTTTAAATTCTCGAAGCAAATATGCTCTTTTGTTGATCGTTAAAATCTCGATTCTTCAAAGTAAACATCACGATGCTCATTAAACACAACAGACGTAACGACTCAGCGATTTTCAATAGCAAGGAGCGTAAAGTTCGATTTTCTAAATGCAAATTTTTGGATAATTGTCCCGTTTGCCTGAAGCAAAAACGGCTGTTTTGATCTTTCTTCACAGCAGCCAAGCCGTGTCAATGTTTTGAATACTGCTCGCGAGAAATAATTATTTAATCCTCAGAAATCCAATATTTTTTACGGGCCAAGTCACAGATTCAGCGCAAGATTTCACCGATATCACGAAAGGAAACATTCCTAAATCAAAGCTCTACACTAGCAACTTTCATACCCTGCTTGCGAACGTTGTCACTTTTTCCAAATATTTAACTCTGAAGTATTAGCACTTCTTTCCTGTAGCTACTGTGCCTTTTCACGGTTCGGTATGCAAAAGAGCCACTAAGATGTCATAAATCGAATTGAAACGGAAGTTGGTGCCAGCAAACAATCTACATGGAGTTAACTCCAACGATTTCGAACATTTTTCTCCTCATCTGTCAGTTGATATTTTAATGTCCATCGACAGTTCGACCCTGCTATTCTCTGATAACCATTCTGTTCGCAAAGCGCTCTCAGATTTCAAGGATGACCTGAGGCGATAAAAGGGCTAACCCCTCGCCATTGGTGGAGAGAAGTAAGTATCATTCGATATTGGGTGTTTGGTTCCCCACTGTTGGCAGCCATTCAAGAGTGGCTTCACGCATGCAAAAAATGTAAACCGAAACGTTTCAGCGCCCGACCTTGTCAAAATGACCCCTCAATGCCTGGCATAATTGTCGCGAAAGTCGCGCCGATGTTATTGCACAAGCGACTTTATCGAAAGATGCGCACCGCCCCCATTTCCCAGCTTTTGTACCGCGATCGCAGATCCAAATCAATACACAAGTTTTTAACAAAATTTAAAGGAACATTTATTGAATCGCTTTCCAAAAAGACGTTCCTATTTTCAAAAACAACTTCGGTTTTGAATCAGACGTGCACATAACACTCCCAAATATGCAAGTCGATTATAAATTATCTACGTTTAAATTACGACCATGTAAATAGGCTATATATTAAGAAATTACTTCTCTCATTTCTCTACCTGACTGTAACAAAATTAATGGATTTTGATTCAAAATTCGGTAACAAAATAGCAACTTATCGCTTGGTATTATAAGTTAAATAAATAATATATTAAATAGATAGGAATTGAAAGAGGTAAAAGAAAAAAAAACGTCGACAATATAATTTTAGCTTCCATTATTCACAGGCTTTACAATATACAGTGGTAATTATTGACCAAATATAAAACGTGTACGAAAAACTTACACTTAGGAATTTCGTGTTTAACACTAGCAATTCCGTCGATAATTTTCTTTCTGTTTTCTTCGATAAATAAGCTATAGGACCTATAGAAACTGCTTGATGCATATAAATCTGTGCTTTAGTCCCGATCATAAAAATATGGTTAATTATATAATATAATATATGTATATGTATATTCTTGTGTGCCCTATTTTGACGTGAAAATAATAACTGATTCTCCAGCGTTTTGTTGACTTGATCAGTCTTTAAATGTTAAATTACAAATCTTGTGTACAAACGTTAAACTACTAAAAGCCAATTTTTACAACCTTATTCCGGCACGGACATTCTGTTGAACACAGGCAAGCGCCTTCGGCTAGCCAAATCATACGAGTCTGGCGGCGTCGGGGGAAGATTTTCATCATCTTCGTCCAAGTCATCGTCTTCGTTCAGCTCTAACCCAGGCGAGAACACTCCTGGAGGGCTTGCCATGGTCGGCGAAAGAACAGGCGAGAAATCCTGAGCTTGTGATGGGAAGGTAAAGACATTGTTTGAAGCGGGAGAAGGAATCGCTAACGGGCTGTTGATAGGACTTCCCAATGGGCTATCATCGTTGTAGAAGGAGAGCGGAGATGGAGAAGGTGGAGTTAAAGAAGTCGGTAATGGCGAGCTTGGCTCTGTGAGTGGCGGCGAAGGTGGACCGATCAGTTGCGATGGCGGAGACATTCGGGCACCATTCATCATCTGCGCAGCCCTTCGTTCTTCTGCATTGTGAATGAAGTGACATCGCGGCCCATAAGGGCAGAACCCGATCGTGTGAAATGTACGGCACAATTCAGTTTTGTATTTAGGATGGCGACTAAGTGAGCGCAGTTCGTGAACACCGTGAGCGAATTGACACTTGTCTCCATACTTACAAGTACCGTTCTCTTCGAAAGGGCGACAAAGTTCGGTCTTGTACCGGCTGGAGTTTGAACTGGTTCGTCTGCGCTCCTCTTCGGCACTCAAACTCAATGAGCGCTCTCGTTTGTTTGGGGAACCCGTCAACGTGATCAGATTCGGCGAGGAGCGAGAGCTTGAAACAGAAGTCGAGTGTCTTCGCGGCTGGCCTATAGGCAATGGTTTCCTTTCACTTCGTGGTCTTTGCTCAAACGCCAAGCCGAGATTTCTGTTATTCTGCAGAAGAAAGCGATTCACATGTTGACGTGAGATCAGAGTGGCAGAGGGACTTTTAAAATTGCTCTTAATCACCTTGCACAAAGGTTTCTACTTTAGAGACATCGCGGAATGAATAGATGCGATTGTTCTTGCGTAAAGTTCTAAAAGAAAACGACAACGGCAACTAACCTTGTATAACACGTCGTTCACGTCATAAAACGCGGAGACAAGGGCCGTAGACATGTTGTCACTTAGAGGAGTCTAAATAGACTAACGCTTCCCGTAACTTCGATCGCCTTTTTGCTTTTTCACCGATTTGCTGAACTGTGATAACCCACGAATATAAAATGCAAACGTGAGAGGTGTGTCATCTTGGTGTCAAAAAGATAATGATTTCTATGGCAACATAATTATCATAGACCACGTGGTGAGGGCTGGCGTTTTGCAACTAAGCGAGACCGTGAGCTAGTTTTACGCTCGTAGCGTTCCAGATTTTTTGCTTTAGTCGATGTTTGACGTATTTAATCAGGTTTTTGAAGATTCAAGCACTGGAAAATTGCACTAGGAGTTAAATAAACGCGATCGGGGAACAGACAGAAAACACATCCTGTTCTCGTCCTTTTGTTTACAGAAGCCAATAAATGGTGTGTTTGCGTCATTATTCACTGCGGGGACACTGATTGGCTCTTACCACTAGCCTGTCAATCACGGATAACATTCGAAAGTAAAACAAATAGTTGTCTGCAACGACTTGATCGAGAAAGTTTCTTCCAGGAAAGCGTGTCTAGCTATGGTAATCGTCAATTTCCTTAGTTGGGTTGAAATCTGCTCGATATTGGTCGATTCACGCGATCGTTTCTAATGAAGTGGAAAAACATAAACAAAAAAGATTCCCTTCTAAAGCCAGCGATGATCTGTTCTTTGACACGTGATCCGACCGCAGTTAAAATCCAGCAGACAGAATCGCACTTCAACTGTCAGAGATTTAAATAAAAACAAACAGAACCGCAATCGCTCCCGTCTCTTCATCTTTAAATGCAAATCCAAGTTTCGTGCCTTTTGGAAACATTAGAGACCCATTTCGCACCATAAACAATGCTTTATTTTATTTCACGCTTCACTTCTAAAATTTAACACTCTTATAAAATCTCTTGTACCGTCATTTGAAAGGTATGGAAATTAAATCCCTCAGTTACTTAAAATAGCCCTGAAAGCAGTTCTGTTTTGTTATTACTCGGCGTGTCCAAACGGCTTCCGAAAACAACGTAAAAAGTGATTAATACAGCTTAAGCCAATCAGGAGAAGCAAAACGTGCGAAAACATTCGCGGTGTCAGGTCACATAACTAAAACGCTCACATAAGCTAGAGAGTCTTCTGTTTTTGATCGCAGACTGTTTCAAAACATCGTCTCACCACACAATTAAATCAAATTAAACTATTTATCCTCCAGTCATTGCATGCTTGATCGCCTTGCATTGAATCTGTTGCCCTTTTCGTGTTCAAAATATTGGCTTCGATCCGGGGAAAAATACCGGTTGAATTGAAACACGATCTCCGGAAGATTGCTAATTTGATTTTTGTCCTTGTGCGAATCAACTCAGCGATAAGGCGCTGGTTTTCACACCAGAATGCGTGAGTTATGGTGTAAAGTTTTGCATACGTTCACGTTTGGCCTTTGTTTTCAAAAACACTGAAATTAGCAAGTTAAACAATCAGAAAATCTACCGCAGAAAAAACAACATGACAAAATATGAATACGTAATAATATAGGCCCGCAGGCTGTCGGAACACTAACTTTGTCGAGATTGCAGAAGAACACGCTCGTGTTTGCGCGTATATTGTGCCTATCGTACAAGAATTCCGAAAAGTAGTCATTAACGAAAAAAGTTATCATATCAGGTGATTTCTAAAATAAGAACTACCACAGCAAAGCACTACAATCTGAATGATCCGTGCTGTAACTCTAAGGTTCCAGCATTTACTAACGACCTCAAACGCTAAATAACATTTCATTCCACCAAAGCAGATGGAAGTCTTTATCTCTTGAAAAGAGTAACGAACATTCTTGTATCTTGTAACAAGCAAACCCGACCAGTGGGAGGTAGCCGCCGCAAGCGTGAACGTCTCGCACACTTTCAATGCATGGGTGCCACAGTTTCGGAATTTTCCGCGAAGCCGTGTCGAAGTGCTGAGTATGGCAGAAGTAGCGAAACCTACGCGCACGTAGGTAGCCGGCACGGGTCTCGTGGTTTAAAAAATGAAGGCATCGCCGTTTCGTGAAGTCTCGGATATTTTAATTCGTCATTTGTCATTCATATCGGTGCTCTCACGTAACGCCCCCTCGCTTTCGTAAACAAAACGACGAGGAGTGGTACCGTGACGTAGGCTATAAATATAAAAAGTTACCGCTTTTAATGACCGTGCACCGTAACATTGACACGTACAAAAGTATATCCAGCAGGAGCTGGGTACTAGACACTTCTCAAGTGCGAAATCCTAAACATTCAGTTGTTATTTGAGCCTGTGTATGCATAAATTAATACGAGATATTCATATTTCTTTCTTTGGAAATTTCAGTTTTCGTGGACAAGTTTATTTTTAGAATACTAGGAAAGAAACGCTTGGTTTTTCTGTCATAGACCATTATTGAAAGAAAATTACCGTCAATAACAAATTTAATTATAAAAAAAAAATGGATACAACAAGCTCCCTATACAAACTAATTGAAACAAACTGAGTTTTTTTTGAGGTTATTTCAAGAAAATATCCGGCTTTTAATTTACAAACTTTGCGAGTGTTCTTTCAACACCCCGCGTGGGTTAGTAGGTCAGTAAACTGATAAACTGCGCTCTATTGATCACACAAGCATTTTCCAAACCGTTGAAAAGTGTTTCGAGGAAGAAGTGATTTTGTGTAGAAAATGAAAATTCTCATGAATTGCTCGTGCTTTTTGTGATGTACTGTCACTCGTGATGTTTGAAGGGGTTTTCGAAATTACACTTACCTAGGACTTGCGCAACTGATGAAATTATTAATGTGTCATCCTGTCAAAAAACTCGAACAAAAATTTAATTAGATTGCAAGCCTTAACGAAAGCGAACAATCATACTCTATCATTTTTTGTTTAAAAAATATGTCTTCTTTTTTGAAGACTTTCACGTTATCTCTGATTCCACATTGCATAACGAGTTAGCATTTCCGGTCACAGATTTACGGCGTAAAATACGCGCTGTACATGGAGATAGTTTACTTGGCCGGCCGAAATTAAGAAGAAACAATCTAACTGATTTTTCTGGACTCAAATTAAATTTTTAGTGCAGTCTAATATTTGTGATAGTAAATTTTCAATTGCCCCTTTGGAATGTGGAATTTGCACCTGACTGTCATAATGACAGGGTTTTCCCCTTCTTAGCTTGAATTCTTTTTTGGAAGGTGTGCATAACCAGAGCTATCACACTAAGTTGGTCTGTACACTGATTAGTTATACATTTATTTTCACGTTCATTTTCTTACCTACAGTGTCGCTTAAAAAAGAAGTCAAGTTGAGGATTAACATCAATGTCCAGATAGGGCAAGACCCCCCACCTCCCGCCCCCCCAAAAAGGGTCTTTATGTAATCCTCCCTCTTGTCATCCAGTTATGCGCTCTGAAACTTTTTGGCTCTGACTGTCAGCACCCATGAAACTGAAAATATTCAAATATTGCTGTTGTTTTCACGTGGGTCACATGCAGATTATATTGTGACATTTTTCCTGTTAACCTCAATAAAGCAAGACTATTATTATTATTATTATTATTATTGTTATTATTATGCCAGTAACATTAAGATCAGGGTTGTAGTAATGCTTCAACTTTCAGACTGGCGATGACCTGGTGGTCAGTGGACGTGCTGGGTTCAGGATCAAAAGGTCGTGGCTATTATACGGATTTTATTCTTGTGGTTGGTTTTCACTAACGCTGGAGTCAAGGTCGCAGTCGTTATCGAAAAACGCAAAAAGTGGCGCCCCTGTTGTAAACTACCCAGGAACGTCAAAGGAAACCAGTAAGCTACCAGAGAAAACTGCTGTAGACCAGCCTCCCATTTAACACGAGTGTCGATATTTCTAGGCGATTCATGCGCGTTCACTCTCCGAAAAACTTTCCCGTCAAACTCCTAAAACCGCAGGGACTTCCTTAGGCCTCGACTGCGTGGGCTGCTTGACCTGCTCTGCTTGTCGATTTCTCTCGCGATTAGCGGATTTCAAAGACGCAGTTCAAAATAACGAGATTTGTTCGTTTTATATTATCTGTCCCAAGAGGTTTACTTACAAGCCTCGAACTCTTTCCCTCGACCTCTTTTCACGGCTTACACCCACTGATATATCTCAAGTGCGACCTTCTGCTACGGAAACTGTTACAAGATTTAGGTTTTCTCTTTTGTCCTTACTAATCTTTTCCATGGATGTAAGACATTTATAATCATCTTCGTTCATTCTTAGTCAGGATAGTAGGCTGGAAGAGAGGGGGGGGTGGGAGGGGGTCTGACATTAATGTTTTACAATAATTTGGAGGGGATGCTAGCTTGTTTGTAGCACTGTAAAATTACTACTTCTAAGCCAAAATGGGGGAAATGCCGAGTTGCATGGCCTAGCCCCAGACCGTCGTTAGCCACGAGGTGTAGAGCGCTTTTCGATTTAGTTTCGTAAACCCAAAACCTATTTTATGACACCAGTCAGTCAGAGTAAGTGAAACTGTCACGAGGAGCCGATGAGAAACTTGGAAAGGAAAGCAAGGCAATATTTAAAAGAGCGCGAAAACGCGAATTACTAAGCTGCCAAAGATAATTAACAGCTTTGCATATCTGATTGGTAGAGAAGTTTGAAGCGAGTTTTCTGAAGGAATCACAGAGCGAGGGTGAGAAAAACCAATGCACTCGTGGATCACCAACAAGATTTAATGGGTACTTGATTAACGTCCTAACTGGATTATTCTCTCCTCTTATGTTTATCCGCCCAAGTGATCGATTAATCGTCCTAGTTTAAACCTTTCATTCTCGGATAGGACCAAAAAGGAATTTTTCCTTACAATATCCGAGCACGTTTCAGGCAGAACGACGATAAGAAGGGAGAAACGTTTGGTTGATTAAAGAGATACCACGTGAAGTTACAAAGCGTTTCCCTTCCTTTTATAACGCACTTATGAAAAAACGTTTCCACAATGAAAATTTTTTCCTGAGAGTCGGGTTTGGCAGATAACCAATCGCAAGTAGTTAGCTTGTGTAACACCGAGACCGTTGTAACCGCCCCATTCACAAACAGGGGTGGCCACATTGTTTCTACTTGCAACAGACCACTTTGTGACGATCACTGTCACTTTGAAGGAATAAAAACAATTAAACAGTAATTTAATTTATTGTACGTATTCTCCGCCCGTCTGTGTCTACGCTTTAACTCATTACTTTTACAAGTACTGTGCACAGACAGTCCCTACTTATTACAATACCGCACATTATCATGAGTAGAGTATAAACGACGGAATTCCATCGCTTTCATGTCAAAAATAGCACAGATAGACAGCAGTGTTTAAACGTGATAAATTACTATCATCAACTGAATTGGTAACGTAAATTGGCTACTGTGAAGAGTTTCAAAGCTGGCTGTAACCAAAAGCCAATAATGAAGGAAACTAGCCCGGTCAAAAGCCAAGGGCAAAGAAAAAGAAATGTGACTCTACTGCGAAGATTCCCAACTTACTGAGTTAGTTCTGATCTCGCAGAATTTGACAAATACTTTCATTTGCAATCATAAGTTTTTGTAGTTTATCCGCCGCCGATTAAATATCACTGAATTCCTAACTCTTGCACTCCCAAGATCTCATTAGTGATTCTCCTTATTGTCTGCATAACAAATGTTATGATGATACTTCGGAGAATTTGGTAATCTATCAATAGATAATCCCCTACTTCAGTGATATTTTCTCTATTCTCCCCACTTGTCGACTTGATACTGTATTGATACTGTGAGGAGAAATTCTGTATTGATCATTTTACATGGGAGTTAAAGGGTTACGTAGGACGGCCACAACAACACAACAATATTTGACTCAATACTTAAGTACAGGAAGTGAGAGCTTTGAGGAGTGGTCTCCCTGTGACGTATAGCGTAAGTTTCAAAATATGACCCCTGATATAACATCTATGACATCTTAGAATTTAAATGCTCTAATTTCTCTCGTTCAGTGTTTGTCTTTCATTACATTTTTCGACGCTCTTTTTGTCGTCCCCTTTGAGGTTTTTCAAACAACCGAGATCTGATTAGCAATTTCTTGTTATTAGTTACCTTTACGTGAACTTATCATTAGGCGTTAGATCAAGATAACTCTCTTTAGCTGATAAGTGTTCCCTTTAACTTCGACTGCTTGCCGGATAATGTGATCAACTCGTGAAGGGAGGTTATATCAGTGTTTTTATCTTCTTCTTCTAATTCACTATAAAAGGTTTCTGACTCAGGAAATTGTTCATTTACCTTACGTGCAGTTTTCTCCAAGTCTTCAGCTAAGCCTAAAATAGCATTATCCGTTTTTGTAGTGTTTGTATGGGTGCGCCGCGTGCCACATCCATTAGGATCTCACGAAAGGCTAAAGTTTATCAAAATCGAAGTTTTCTTTCGTAAGTCTTATAGGAGGGTCACGTAGGCACAAGAAATCTTGAGTGGTGATTTTGTTTCCCAATGCTGGCTTGTCTGCGGTATTCGAGAAGTTTTCGGAATTATGATTTGCAAATATTGATTAGTTATTAAGCCGCATGAAAGAGCATTTTACACAGGTCTTACGAGTGTTGCCTATGAAATGTTAAATTCTTTGCAATTCTGACATAGAATCGGCTCTGCAATACAAAGCATCGACGGCAGCTATAATGTTTAACCTAGCAGAGAGTTTAGAGGATTTATACAGATTGCATGCGATGTGATGATTAATATTAAGCTAAGAAATTCAAAAATTTTACAAAGCGGATTTGTATTAAATGGATATGAACAAGTAGCGGAAGGTCTTAGCTGTTAGACTGTGTAAAATATCTCTTTTTAGCCAAAAGTAGTTGCGTCATCTGTTTAAGTCAAACTCATTTGTCAAGAGTGAGGTAAAAAATTCACGGAAAACTATTATCCGTTAGGAAGGAAGGAGAGTGGAAAGGAGTCAGGAAATAGACCCAGCCCTTGTACTGACAGTAGGTCATTCCCCGTTTCAGGGAGAACTCCTCACCGCACCAAAGGAACCCTTAAAGGGGGCTTCACGATTCCACGATTTCGCACAAAAAAGAGTAATTTGAAACGCTTTTAAATACATCCTTATTGTATCTTTTGGGAATTAATGAAAATGAAGAAACAGAATCTATAATTTTGGGGTGAGTTGGGGGTGGGGAGAGAGCAACAAGGAAACCTATTAATAGAACGAAATTTCGAAATGCAATATAGGTATTACATAGATTTAATTGGAGCTCAAAGCAATTGCGCAGGAGGGGGCGTAAGTGACAAAGTGAGGAGTAACGCGGGTTTTCTGTACTAGTCACCGCGCAAATTAAGGCGAAACTACAGCCATCGAAGATTTTGTCTTTAAAAAATTCACAAATGTTATTTGCATCAAATTGCACTCAAAATTATGTAATTACACATTAATAACTTACATAGAAGAAAGTCAAGACAGACGAAATTTTGGCAACGCGCGCGGTATTTGTTTTTTGCACTTGTGTCACTTTGCAGTCGTATTAAAACCTTGCACTCGTGTTATATGAAAAATGCACTCGTTTTCAGTTTATATAAATAAATAATCTCTTGTTTTCAGCCAATCAGACATGCGTATTTTTTCATTTATATTGTGTTATATAAGATTTGCAGATCAGGAATCTCTGGTTGAACATGGAGCAGGATCTACGCTTTATTGGTCGGGAAAGAAGAAAGAAGAACATCGACTCTTTGGTGTTGGCCTCATGATCAAGAACACAATAGCCAACAAGCTTCACATCCTTCCAGTGGGACACTCAGATCGTCTGAGAGATTTCGTTCCCTTTATTAAAAGACAAGATTCTAATTATAGGTGATTTTAATGCAAGAGTGGGAGGAGATCATAAGATCTGGAAAGAGTCCTCGGAACACATGGCGAAGGAAAGTGTAATGATAAAATGAGAGGCTGTTGCAATTGCTCGAGTTCTGTGCTGAAATGGGACTTACCATCACCAACACCCTATTCCAATAGGAAGATCGTTTATATAAGACAATATGGAAACATCCTCTGTCTAAACACCGGCATCTTCTTGACTATGCTCTGGTGCGCCAAAAAGATTCAAGTGACGTTACACATACCACAGTCATGACAACTGCTGACTGCTAAACTGATCATAAGCTAGTCAGAGTCAAATTAAAGCTGATTATTAAAACCTCCGATATGAAAGAAAGAACCAAAGCTAAAAAAGGTGCAAGTCAACAACCTGAAACAAAAAGAAGAAGAATTCCTGACTCAACTCCAAAACAAAGTGGGCAAAAACACTTGCCCCAGTACAGAAGATTATGTGAAGAAATAGTACGAAGTTAGAGACACACCTACAAGATACTACAGCAGAGGTAGTAGGCTTCTCTTCGCGAATGCGGTTTTAGAGCAAAAAGAGGTACAGTAGATATGATCGTTGCACTGAGACAGATTCGAGAGAAATGCAGAGAATAAAACATGGCCCTATATACGGTCTCCGTCGATCTAACAAAGGCTTTTGACACAGTCAGCCGAAATGGACTCTAAAAGATACTGAAGAAATTGGGCTGTCCTCCAAAATTCCTAAACATCTTGCACCAGCTACATGAAAGACTTAAAGGTACCATAAAGTACAACGGAGACTACTCTTAACCTTTTCCTAATGATAACGGAGTGAAGCAGGGCTAATTTTCCCTTACAGTAATACAGCTGAGTTTTGGGAATGAAAGAAATGATCGCAAACCTAAGATGCTTTGATTGTTAAACGAACTCTTCGTGTTAGTACCAAGGGAAAAGTATAGAGAAGAGTATGAAGAAAATGGGTATTGATCGATGTTGGGGGGTAAAGGGTTAAAATGCGGTTATAGAAGGCTTGTAGGATGCGCGACACGGTGCCATCAAGACTGTAAAGATACCTGACGACCACGAACTAGTGTCATTTGATGTGAAATCACTGTTTACCAGTAATCCATCTATATCCGCTACACATCCACTGCTGCTACCGACAAAGGAAATTATGGACTTACTTTCGGATTTCTTTATTTCCATAATGGCGATAAATTTCGCATTTAACCATAGTTCCCGGTCATTAATTAACAAAATTCATGTATGTGGACCAAAAAAATTCATCTTTCAAAGACAAGTTTTTCAGAAAAAAGGTCATCTCTCAAATCAAGACCATAGCTCCCCTTGAAATCAACGAACGCCTCTCATTTAATCAATTAATGTATTCATTCGTTCGTGTTTTATTCGTTACCTTGTTTACTCTAGTAAGCATGCCTTTGTTATCTGCATACAATGCACGATCCAATTAACCCCACCGGACTAGTAAAAGTAGCAGTAGCCTAACCTACGTGTAGCCGTACCCCCCCCCCCCCCCCAAGGTGAAAAGGAAGGCACCTTGGCGGGGGGAGGATACGGCTACTCGTAGGCTGGCATTAGTCAAGTACCAACTTAGCGCTCTTATCATTTGGACGACTAAGACAATTTTGCTCGTAGGAAGTTAGGGAAGTCTCAATGAGTCCAATCTTTCCCTTTAAGCAAACGGTATCGATATATCACATTTTATTTCGGAAAGCCCATTTGGAACGAGTGAGGTATATGTGCGCTTCTATTGGACATGTTAATGACAAGTTCTGCATTGTATGCGATGGGGACCTATGCTTTTATTTTGGTCACGTGTTAGCTAACCAGCGGTGTACATCGCAGGCTGTCACTTTGTCCACCATGCTTCGGTTCGCCATTTATTCTAGACGAATCTGTATTGTCACGGTTACGTAAGGTAATGGTATAGTTTGTCTGGTTTGTTGACGGGAATTCCTTTTTTTGTCGTATAGAGATAATTTAAGTCTCTACTTGAAAGTAATTTGGCGAAGTTTTCCCTCGCGGTAGCGATCGAGTGGCGATAGATAACCTATGAAAAGACGTTGTTTACATGAAGATAGAGTTTAAGACAGCTGATGTCGAATTAATAATGTCGGACGAGACGATTTGGAGCGATCAGTCTTCGGAGCAAGTTTCAAATCCTGCGCCGATCTTGGAGACTTCGTTAATGGCAACTGCAGAGGATCATGTTATTGTGAAACTTCTTACAGGCAACAACGTTACATCCAGTTCTTCGAATAGTAGCGAAGTACTGGCTAAGCTCTTATCAGGGAGCGTACACTCGTCTTCACCTTCTGCCGTGACAGTCGGAACTACTTTCATGTGGAGCAGTGTGCAGTCTCCGGGCCTGCGTAAAATTGAGCCAAAGCCAACAGATTCTGGAAATGAGGGTGAAAAAATTGAAGTTGAAAATGAATCGAATCCGCCAGGAAGGTATAAGTGTAATTTAAATTTCTGTAGTGATAAAGCAATGTAAAGATTTTTACACTTTGAGCAATTTTCAGCGCAATGATTTGAGTGATTAAACATTGTATTAGTTTTTCTGTGCCTCTCTATCACTAGAGAAGTCATGTGGCACCCTCTGTAACAGGTTAGCTCTCTTGTGGGGTCCAAAGGCAGCAGGGCTAAGAAAGAGCTTTTGATCATGCTCCTTAAATTTGAATTCCACCCCTGTTGATAGATTCTCAGATGTTGAACTGTTTGGAAAGCTGCAATCAGTATCAAAATTAGTTGATGTTCTGTGTGAAGAGTTCTTTTTTTGTGTAGAATGACATTATTGTTTGCACCATGCTATAAATCATTGACAAGACCCCTCTTCCCCATTCTATGTAGCCTGTTTGTTGTTAGAAGATCACAGACTTGCTCTGGGGGAAGGGGGTGAATGTGTTAATTTAAAATTTCATAAGGAAAAGAGGGGATTGAAGAGGTCAACATGTCAATGCTTTTGTCACCTATTGTAGAAACCAATTATTTGTGGTACATGTGCACACAGTAATATTTTTGTAATATAGTATTGGATGTATTGTTATAAAGAATCCTATGTTCTTATTTTTAGACTTCTGGGTATTAATGCCACAAGGAGAGGAGTCAAGACATGCCCTATCTGCATGAAGAAGATTGGTTACCGTTCTAAGCAGTGCAAATTTTGTAGCCCTGGAAAGCCTAGAAAGAGATCAAGAAAATCTAAACAAAGTAAAGAATCTAATCATTATGATGATGGAAGGGGTACAACTTGTGTTGAATTGGATGTTGTGGTGATTGATGGTGAAACTGAGGTGGCAACTTCAGAGATCTCAAGCACTGTTCCAGAAGTTGTTGCAAAGGAGGAGGTGGAAGATTCTGGAACAGATACAACAATAAGTTTTGGACAAGAAACTCAGGAAGATGATGTAGTTACTGGTGATGCTGTAACAACAGAAGGAGTGGTAGGAAAAAAGAGCTATCATACCAGTCTGCAAGATTTGATCCAAACTCTTCTTGTGCAAAATCAAAACAGTAGTGTATTCATACCACCCAGTGAGCGGGTAGAGACAGATAAATTGAATATGGCACAGCCAAACTCTGATCAACAACAGCAACAAGGTGGCAATGAGGAGATAGAGCAAGAGCAGGAACAAATACAAATGGCAGGTGCTGCTGTAGGCACCCCAGAGAATTCTTATGATGCAAATTCAGTTGCACTTTTTCTTGGACATTTGGCTCAACAGAATGGGAAGAAAATACGGACTGCACTGAATCCTGTGATTGACAATACTAGGTCTAGCACGGGTACATCAAGTCTGATTGGAGTCAAAACAAAACACATTGTTATAGAAGACGATCTGTCGAGCCAGGCAAAGTACCGCAAAATACGTCCAAAGTCAATTGATGATGGCACTGCAGTGGTGGAAATTCGGTCAAGTGTGGCATCAACTGTTGAGGAAGACATGGCTGATAATGTTGCAGAGTCCAGACCAACAGAATCTCAGTTAAGGTACTCACAGCTGGTTGTAAGATTTTTAGTTTTTTGTGAATTTGAAACCTCTAACTCCCAAGATCTGCTTGTTAATTCTCCCCTATAGCTGCTACACATTCCTTGTCAATTAGTTTCAAGAATTTGGTCTGGGATCAAGATACCAACTGGTAACTGATAAGTTTGAGTATTCTCATTACCTGTTGGCAGGTTATGAGAACAGACAAGCTGATCAGTGAGAGGGTGTTGTTTTAAAATAAGCCCTAACTCTCCTGTCTAATTTACAAGGAAAAGTATGGCAATAAGTAGGGAGAATAACTAATTGGATGTTGGGTTAAATGAGGTTTAAGAACCTGTTTCTATTACCTCAGCCTTTGTTAAAATAGAACCATAGAGTTACACATTTGAATAATCCTAATGATACAAAGACGGCCAAAGATTGGAAAGATTAAAGTGGGTTGTAATGCTGCTCTAAAAATCATTATGTAGCTCCTTAACACCCTAACATCATTAGGCATTATTCTCAAACTGCTCTCTACACATTTTCCAAGGTGCCGACTTGCAGAATTTGCTTAATGATCAAGAGCTTCTTTAGTTTGTGATCGTTTTCTGTAATCTCATGACCTTAGTGTATAGTTCATGGGTGATATTGTGAGGGGGAATTAGATGCTTATTACTCTCAAGGGTTAAAGGGTAAAGGGCTTCTTTTAAGAACTTTTCATTTACTTCCAGAATGCTTCCTGGAAATGCAACTCGAAGAGGAGTGATGCCTTGTCAAAAGTGCCAATGTTTAATTGGCTGCCGTTCAAAAGTGTGCAAGCATTGCAAGTCTTTGTTGAACGAGTCCAATCCTCCATTCAAGAGAAACAAGAAGCAACAGCGCCAAGCAGTTCAGCTTCAAATCCCATCAAACTCAACAGTGATGGTTTTCTCTGTAAGAAGAAGTAAAGTAGGACCAGATCACAGGTGTTTTGTTTGGTGTGAGCGCAACTTCCCAGATAACAGAATGAGAGATGTTTACTCATGTGACTATCCTCCTTGTGTGACTGCGAGGGAATTGGGCAGCAAAGCTCCTTCCTTTCTGTGTGAACATGCCAAGGTTTGCCGTAGCCAGGGATCAATAAACAATTCCAGAGCCCTTTATCTTGATCAAGAAAAACTATCTGGTGAATTTTTTAGTGGAGAGGTTTCCAACTCATTAAAAGATCTAAACTTGAGGTGCGATAGCAAAAATGTGGCTCTTGTGCAGTGCGTGTCAGAACGAACTTTTGTCGTGGTTGATCAGCTGCACTTTGAGCAGGGTGGTAGCCTGGCTCCAGATCTTATTGGGTTTGTTCATGTGCGATTTGAAAGGACAAAAGCGAATGGTGGTTTGCGAATTGAAGTGTTCTGTTCTGGAAGGCCATGTATGGCTTGGAATCCTGTCTTCAGTTGTACAGTCAACAAAGGAAGTTCTCTACCAGTGTTGCGATCTCTAAACTGCGTTCACTACTCTGCATGTCTCTGGGCAATAGCATCTGATGTAGAACTTGCACAGGAATTTAAACTCTTCCTTGATAATGCTAAAATGAAAGTCAACAATACTGAAGAGGATTGAATCTATGAAAAGAGCTCTGAACTTGTCCAATAGTGCTCAAAGCTGTTACCAATAGTATGTAACTGCAGATGTTATCGTATGATAATTTGAGTTATACTTACATTTTGATTGGATCTTACCCATGATCTATTGGATGGATGATGTCACTATGAACAACTAAAACATCAGGGCCACACTTAGCTGCTCGTGTTTTATTATTTTTTTGTTCTTACCATATGTTGACATCATCTGTAATCTACAACTGAACAGACCAGCAGGAGCATGGAATCTTGGTTACTTAGATCTAATACAGTATTTAAAGAGCCTGGATTTTATTCAAAATTTATCTAGAGGTCTTGGTTGTTTTGTAATGCAAGATGTTGCATTTCCATCTTACCTTGTTGATTATGAAGGAGAAAATCACTTATCAGAATTAGGAGCATTGTATTTATGTCAAATTTACCTTTCCTGGTGGTTAGTGAAACCTGCTGTTCTGTATTTGCACAAACTGAGCAAACATCCCAGACGAAGTGGAATTAAAAATATTAATCTGCTTTTGCTATTCAAGGTAATTTTGTACCATTTGTACTTTCCTCAAATACTTGTTGTTGATAGTTGTTTTTTTTAGTTTTGTTTTTAGTTGAGATGCTGATAGACAGTTCTACTGTTTTTAGTAGACAGTGACAGTAATGTAACAAAATTAGTGTCCATAAGTATTAGATGACTAACTGAAAAGGATTTTATTCTCTAAATTGTTAGGTATCAACCTTAGTTTGGTTTATTGTCGTGAATTTACTGATAACTTAACACACATTGTCAAAAATCCTGGCATTAAAATGTATACATGTTATGTGTCTATCATTTTGAAGCTTCAACATTCTTCCCCCCCTTCTTGAACTTTTGGAGATTGGTTTGATCATATTTCAAATTCTTCTCATTGACCATGCTTTAGAACCTAAATTCCCCACTGCTCTGGGCACAAATGACAAACAAATATCTGTGCATTGCCAAGGGGAGGGAGGATGATTATATTGAAGCTTTGAATTGATCATCACATTATTCAATGGTGTAACATAATTTGTAATCATATTTTTCTAGTTGTGTTGTGTTTGCACCAGGAGCAAAATGTCTTTTAGTGTTGTATGTTAAACCATCAAATAAGGCATTTAGTATTCCACTTTTATGTTCACTATATTATTTTATAGTGATTTGGCTTTTAGTTTTTTTAAATACATCGCACAGCCTTATCTGAGCATCGCACTGATTGCATAGGGCCCAACAACTTCATGAACAAATTAAAAAAAAAAAACAATTCATGCCCTTTAAAGTTAATTGCTTAAAAGGCAAATCCTAGAGAACAGGGCTGGGTTGTTCAAAGGTGGGTTAAGATAACCCAGGGTTAAAGTGAAATTTGACTTCAGATCTGATAGCTTAAGAAGAAAATTCAGTTTTACTCCATTTGTCTATAATTTTATGATTGAATGTTCTAAAAAGAATTGGGAAAATTACCCCTGAACAGCTTTTGAATGGAGAAATACAGAAACCCTGGATTAAAATTTTAACCCCTGGGTTAGTGCGAATCAGCCTTTGAACAACTGGGCCCAGAAGATAATCAAAGTTTGGATTGTTCATGGCTACCATTTTGTTTCTCCACTTTCCATCCATATTTTGCGCTGTTCTACAGTGTAATTATATTTCATATTTCACCCATTCCATTACTCTAATATGTTAAAGTGGCATGAAATGGAATAATAGTCAGTAGTATGCAGTTGTAAGATTTCTCTGTATAAATTAAGATACACGTTACTGTACCATACTATCTTAATAAGTATTAAAAAAAAATTGAAACAGTACTCATGAGCTGTAATAACTGATGACAATACCAACTTATTTTCTGTGGTAAATTTTTACCTTCTTTTACTTCAACGAGGAAGGTAAACTGTCTCTTGGTCATGAAAATAAACTTTTTGTGATAATTGAACACCTATGAAAACATAGCCCTGTTAGGGAAAGCTAGAGGTTATCAAAAATTATCTTTTTTTCATTTTTGTGTGAAAATATTTTCCTTTCAGGCCTTAGTTGTGCAAAGCATGGTTAACTTGATCTATTCAACAGGTAAATGTCTATCTGCTGGATAGTGCAGTTTGTATTGTCAACACTTAACCCCTGAATGATGATTTATCTGTTGGACAGGATTATCCAACCTTTGAACAACTGTGCCCTTAAAAAAGAACCTGGGATTTTGACAAACTAATAATTGTGGCAATTATGAATTTAAAATAATGTACTTCTAATCAACAGTCAGTTTACAAAATATAATTTAGATGTTTTTACGTGCAACAAACAACAAACCTGGGAACTGAGAATCTCCAACACTTCATAAATTACCTCTTGAATATCATGGTGGTTCTTATTTACTTCAGCACTCTGAAAGGACTTACAGGAAATTGTGAGCTGCCTCACTGCATGCCAATCCTGGGGCATGTTTTGCAAAAGACTCACTGACTTAACTGGCCCAAAAAGTGGATTTTTGTTCCTTGTGTTTCATTGAAGATCACAATTTTGAGTGATTTGAAATTCAAACAAAGATATTTCAGGAAAAGAAACTGGTTAGACTGGTGTTTGAGTGAAGACTTGCATTATCATTCTGTAGAGTTAAATTTAGAAATATCACATTGGGCCTGCAAAGTTACTTTGACTTTCCAGAAATGGGCCCCTGCTGCTTGAAGATTCTTTAAGACTTAATAAGTCAATCCCCTTCTTCCCAAAAGAATCCGTGAACTTCCTTAGTCACAACATTCCTTTCCCTTTAATTAACTCAAGCCAATCAGCCACGAGGCATAGTCGCATTGTACCCAATCAAATTAATTTATCAAAATAAACAATACCACTACAGAGGCTATCTATTAAATACCTCCAGATTCTAAACAAGTTTCAATTACATTCAATTACTGACAGTCTACCACTGCCTGTAAGACCTCTTACTGCCATATGTTTACCCTGCAATCACTCTTAGATGCTGTAAATTAAATTTCTAAGCTTCTAGGTTTCAAATTTTACTGGGGGAAGCCTTCCCCAAACCCTAATAGGAGAAAGGGGCCTAATTACACTCCTGATTGAAACCCCTGATTTTTAAGGACTCATTCTGATAATAGCTGGGTTGAAATGTTGCACTCAAGCAGGGAGAAAAGAACTGATTTTCCCAATAAAAACTGCATTGAAAGCAAATGTGCTTCATGGATGTTGCAGCAGTCTGCTATCCTTCTCTGGTCATGACAATTTTTTAAAAAATATTCCAAGCTTGATTTTTGTAACCTATCACTTTACACATCAGATCCTACATTTTATCAACAGAAAAATGGTCTCTTACCCTAATTCATGGGTATGTTACAATACTTAAGATTAACACCCTGTAGGGTGGAATATACTTTATTTTAATTTTTACATATATTAAATACAACAAAATGACCATATCTGAATCACACATTTGTCATTCTCAACAATTTGCACAGTTATTACTTCAAGAACATTCCTGACTTTGAGGAAAGAAATGGTGTTGACTTATGCCTCTTTCTGAATTCAGTTTGATAGCTTATATGCTATAGCATTTAATGATCCTTTTTTCTGTACAGAACTCTTCCAGCATTCTCTTTTTTTTTTCTTTCCAATTCCTAAGTTTAGCTTGTCAAGTAGTCAACAGAGGTCAAGGCAAACCAGAGTATCTAAACTTTGCTGCACATCAGACTGTACTATAACCATAATTTCATGATGAAATAATTTCATAATTCTCATCATACTGCAACACTAGGTACTTAAGCCAAGTTACTACAGAGAACAGTTACTAATTGAATACAATCACCTTCATTTCTCACACAATATTATGACACAAATGGTGTGACCTTGTGTGACATTATGTGACACTTTTGTCACACCAACACATTTCACTGGTTTGAATTATTCATGAAGTTCAATGTTAGTGATGTACCCTTGACATTTGATTATTACATTTCAATGACACCTTCATTTCTTAGCACAGGTCAATGACACAAATCATTAAATAACATTATAGTTATCACAGCATCTTGCATTAGTCCATAATTTTCATTGTATTCTAACATTCACTTTCTTCTCCTTCTTCAGGTGAGACAATCAGCTGAGATGAGGCAAACTTTCCTTTATGGATACAAGAGGATGTGGGACATTCCTATAGCAAAAAAAAGTCATCAATTTTTGTGGGTTTAAGTTTCCCTTTGAGACAGTGAATAGTGTGACTCTTCATTTCCTCCAAACATCAGGTATATTAAAAGGTATGGCTTAAAAGCGTAGAGGCAAATATTTACCAGAGCTTATCCTGGCTGTCATCACATGAAAAGACCAAGATTGCCAATGGCACTCCACTTAGCCTTGGGGGGGCAGTGGGGGTGCTTATCAATTTCAAGGGCTCACTACCAAGAGAGGGTGGCTTGTTTAAGAGAGGCTCGTTAGAGGGGGGGCTTATTTAACCCTTTAACCCAGTATGATTTACATATGGAACTGCTTCCACTGATATCGATACATAACCGGTATCCAGCAAACAAGCAATGAGAATACTCAAACTTATCAGGTTGATGCTTTTATTTTGATCTTACACCAAATTCTCAGAACCAATTAACTTAGGAAATGTGTAGCAGCTAGAGGGGTGACTTAACCATCAGATCATGGGAGTTAAAGGGTTACAACTTACTGATGGCCAAAATGTGACGTGTCAATTTTCTATATTTACAGAATACCACAGACAATGTGAACTTTTCTAGGTGAAAATCTAAGACTTTCTAGATAGGGGGGCTTCTTAGGGAGGCTGGCTTAAGAGAATTCTCCTTCAAATTTAACAGGTAAGCTAACTTTTGCTTCCTAACCAAATGTTTGTTTTGCAGGAAAAAGTTCTAGCGTCAGGAATCATTGTGCTAGTGGGTTATTAAGTGTAAATAGTAAGCTGTACAACTTGATGTTTCATGTCAAGTTACCTTTTTGCATTTGCTCATAATACATGTTCCTTTTTGAACATAAATGTATGATCATTTTTCAGAGCTGAAACAAAATACCTTACAGTCTTCCACAAGGCAGACTGGACTAGCTCCATGAAGGCTTCTCTCTTGTAGAAAGTCGAGGAACTACAGTAAAGTAAAGCATGATAAACACAGGTCCATGTAAGTTACTGCAAAGTTATACAACTGTACTAAAAAAGCTTAGCAATTAGATCAACTCCCTCGGGTAGCGTTAAACAGTGACCCAATTTGTATTTATCAAGTTCGCATTTTTAGAGACCATGTATATAGTCCATTCTCTAAATGAAATGCTACAATCAGTTACAAAAATGTTGAGGCACCTTGAGCAAAAAGGGCATTTACAGACGTCACCAGATAGCCAAGAAGAAATTTGGTACAAAAAAAAAAAACAACAAAAAACAAAAGCTACACCCTTCTCAGATTCGATGTTGTCCATTAGTACATGATACTGCTGCTGAGCAGAAATGTATTCAGTTGGATCACATGATGGACAATTTTCTGTTGTCATGGTAACATGTCTTAACTACTTATCTGCTAGTGGTTGTGGCATTTTAATGAAAGCTTCCTTATCAGTGTCTTTATACCTCTGCAGAATCATTAAAAAGTTCATCTTCGCCTTCTCCCGGTGGTCTGTTTTTCATCACCTCTAAGACTTCCTTATCTGAATTGTCCTCAGGAATGGAAAATTGTCGGTCAATGTACTTCAAACGAATAAACTCCTGCCTTTCCTCCCTGCAAAGATTCAAAGTAAGTTATATATTACTATTAATAACAACAGTGAAACCTCATAAAGCAAACACTCCCAATACCCTTGCTAATGTGCACTTTTTGCAAGGTGTCCCTCTAATACATGTTTCAGTGAACAGTGTTCTCCAGAAATATTTTTAACAGCTAAAAATAGGAAAACTCTAGTGAGCAAAGGTTAGAATTAATTTAAGATCAAGACCTGGCTGTTTTACTGTTTTGTATTATGAAAATAACCCACACTGAAGAAGAGAGAAGTTGGTGAAAAGGCCTGCTGCTGAAGCTTCTGGAAAAACTCTTGAGTGTCATATAATTTATGTAATTATAATAACAAGCTTTACTTTTCAGTCTGTGCAGTATATCAGTAAATGAAAATTCTTCTTTTTCAGTGTTCTCCTTTTAAGGCAGTAACCAGTAAAGACTAGCACCTCAACAACCTCTTTTTATTGCCCAAAATCTCTTGGAATTCATGAAAATTTGACAGATTTAAGGATTGCTCTACTGGTTTGAAAAGTTACTCCATCTTGAAATATGTAAGAACACTGCTTTTTTGTATATTTTGAGCCTTTTCCTTCTTATGTGTACAATATCCTATAAATAAAGCTTACTTTGCACAATCTCTAGTGGGTTTTTTATATTCTCCAAGCTTGCCTTCATATATTCTATTCACTTTGCTGTTACCCATTCCTTCCATAAACTAAAAAAAATAAAAAGTCAACAATTAATTGAGACAACCATTAGTTTAGGGAGGGGGGTGGCAAAGGTTGATACAAAAAGGTAATAAACCATGCAGGAAGAAAGAATCGAAAGAAAAATCAGTGAATAACAAGCCAGGGACAAGTGATTTCAATTTGACCTTTACACTTTTTTCAAAACCTCTAATATGGCTTATTCCACCAACAAAAGGATAGAGAGAGCTGTTAACTAGCTTAAGTGGGTGTGTGTTTTATTGACACTGATTTTAAAACATTAACTTCTTACTTACTAAGAGGGCTCCCTGGGGAATATTAGCCAGGGATTGTGGCAGTATGGACTGAGTTGTGCTCTGTCCATAAAAAAGGAAAAGGGTCAATATTCCCCTGTACAGCTCCAGCAAGCAAGGTTAGTGAGGACTGGTTGTTTATTATATGGTACTAGGGCCAAACTTGTTCATTCTGATTTTGCTGGCTTTTGCAAACAAAAATACATGGCTCAAGAACATTTCTGTGGAAATGGTCCAAATGGCAAAATAGGGACCAAGCACGAACCAATCAGATTGCTTGGATTTACCTCAGGACTACCTTGCCATAAATTAATCATTATTTGCATTGAATTATACCTTGACAGTTTGCTCCTCCCATTTGTCTAATGTCAGTGACCTTACTTTAGACACATGCACTCCCAAGCTGCGATGGATTCCAGAACATTCAATGCAAACTAAGATTCCAAGGTTTATACTTGCCCAGTCTGGTCCTGAAAAAAGAAAAAAAAAATTAAAAATTGGCTTTAGTTATTTTTGATTGACCAGGATAAAGGTGAAAAAACTCACAGCTCACTTTGAAGAAAGTGACTGAATCGAAGAAATTACTTCATTTCGTCAGAATAAATTCAAGGAGTTTTGGCTTTAATTTGGTATCATTCCTCACTCATCCACAGTTTGATGACATTCTGCCTTGAATTTTCAAATAATCTAAAAAAAAATTCAAAGCTACCCTTCAAGACAAGATTCATTTTCCTATATCTCCTTGAAATGCATTCTGTATCAACAAAGTAACAAAAGAGATTTCTTTTTCACATGTGCCATGCAGTTTCTCTGCATCACTTAGATACAAAAAACAAAAATGATGCAAGAAGGAGAATGAAACTGGTCATCAGATCACGTAGAGCCACTGATAATGAAAGTTTCTTGCTAGTGAGAGACACAGTAGCCTTGTGATAAGTCTTACCTAAGATGAAACACGTCATAAAAAAGTTTTTCCCAACCAATTAGTTATAATTATATACAAAAATGGTACAAGGAGGAAGTAGAACTTTGTCATCCAATCAAGTAAATGAATACTCCTTACTTGGGGTTGAACAGTCTGCACAATATGAATTTCCATCTACTTTTCTTATTCTCTCTGATGCATCAACTGCATATACTTTATTTGCATTGGCTGACTGGCTAGATCTGTCTACTTGTGATCTGGCAAGAGACTGATGGAAGAAAAATAGACAACTGGCTGAGTACATGTGTAAAAATTTGAGTTGATATTCTTTTGTATTATCATGATAATTTGTACTTGCAGATATGAATGCATTCTTCTTGGCAGATACAAATTAACAGATATTGTACAGCCAATGATAGCACAGCTTGTATAATGGCAAAACTGACCAATCAGACTAACTTTTATAACTCTTGGGTGTTGAAAACTCCTTTCTTGACCCTGATTATGACTTAATCACACTCAGGTTGATGAATTGTTGGTCAGTATTGCTGGCAACAGTCCTCCTAGGAAATACTCAGACTTCATGATCATCTAATACTCCTTGGTTCATGTATCACACTGGTTGTACTTACCTGTAATTTTGCTTTTGAATTTCTTAATGCATCAGCTGTCGCTTTCTAGTGAAAAAAAAGAAATATTGACCAAAAGTAAAAAGTTAAAAGAAAGATAGTTAAAAAGCAATAACTAATTTTACTATACAGCTGTGGACAATATGAAGCAAATCCTGTGTTCTAATTGGTTACCAAAGTAGGCAAGAAGGCCTTGGATTGCCTGCTTTGATCCTGCGCAAGAAAAAAGTGCTTGGAGTGGACTTACATGTTGGGGATGAAGTCACAAAAAGTGGCAGAAGACAGTCAAAACAAAGAAGACATTTTGGTTAGCTTTGTTTCTCAGTTAAAAGTGCTTATATCAATTAACAAGCTTGCGAGCACTTGATCTGTACTGTGCCTTCAGCAATCTCCCCCTTTACCTCCAACACAACCATCATGTACATGTAAGGGTATTCAACTTGAGCTCAGCTCAGCTCAGCTTCAACTTGAGCTCAACTTCAGCTTGAGCTTGAATGAGTTGGATTAATATCATATTCAAATTAAAAACCCCTACATTGTGAGCTCACAAAACTGATCGAATCAAACATTTCAATAAAATCATTTAAAAATGTAAAAAAACCCATGAGCACAAAACATTGACTTGCCTGAATGGCTGTCACCCACTCTTGTACTTCTTGATCTGTTACTGCCTGGAATATTCTTTCACTGCTTGGAGAAATGAGCTGCAGAGATGAAAATATAAATCAGGAGAAATGCCGAGGGTTTCCTTCTTTCTTTCTTTTCTTTAAAAAAAAAGGAAAGCCTTTTTTAATATTAAGTATTATTAATAGGTAATAACATGATTTCAAGTGCAATTTGGTGTAAATAAGCACAGGTGAATTTTTTAAAAGACAACAACATCACACAAGCCCAAAGGGCAAGTGCAATTTGTACTCTTCAATATTGTACAACTGCTTATTTACACCACATTGCACTCAAAACCATGTTGATACTTGTCAATAACTTGCATGAAAAAAGCACCACAAAAACCCAAGGCAGACAAAATTTTGACAGTGTGCACATGCTATTTATAATTTGCTCTTGTGTCACAACTTTGCACTTGTGTTACAGGAAAAATGCACTCGTTTTCAGCCAGTCAGGAGTGCATATTAAGTTTCTCATGTCTATTACTACAAATATGTTAGTCACCTGAAAACAGTTATTTCTGTCAGCATCTCCTGCAGTACAAAACTTTACTGTACAAAGCAGCAGATTCTCCATAACAGATGGACTGATCTGCTCTTGACCCTGAGCCAAAAGTCTTCCATCCTTTTGGTCTACAATGAAGTACTGATAAAAGATAGAAAACTTATTAGGAACACAATTAAAACTTACAAATGATCTATGCTATGTGATTATCAATAATACTGCTTTTTACCTCATGGACCTAGAATTCGCTCGCTCACTCACTCAATCACTTCATACTCTGATCTCCACAACTGTTAGACAATTAATTTAGGCATTAAAACTTGGATTAAATGAGTAATCCCCAGCCTTCCCTCCTGGGTCTGTTTCTGTCCCCAAATATGTACTATTATCTTCCGTTCATAAATCTGAGGGATGGGGCAAAGGCAAAAATGTGAATTGAAATGTGAAAAAAATCTCATTATGTACAAAATCAAAACATCATACCATGAAAAGTGCACACAAATGATTTGTGTCACTCCTTGCAATGCATCATAAAACTCATTTATTTGCTAGGCTCACTCGTTCCTTTTTTGATGCATTGCAACTCATGGATAAAAATTGTTTGTATGCACTTTCCATGGAATAATCTCTTTGTCCTGCTGCACTTCAAGTTGATTTTTGTGTATCTGTTTTGATTTACAATGCTTTGACGTTTTACAGATTTCATTCAGCTGATTTACCATGTTTTGAGGTCTTATAAATTTCATTGGATTTGACCTCTCTTTTTGTCACGCAATTACCAAGTGTGCTTGTGAGCTATTTTCACTCCTGGTTTGGATGCATGAATCTTACTTTAATGCTATGAGAAGGTAAATGGCAAAGTGATAAAGTTCTCCCTTTATTGAAAAATTAAAACATACCATGAAGTAGCTCCATGGAGCCACTGATTTGGTTTAGCTAATAAGTTTTGGAACCAGATTTGTTTATAAATGTTGGTAGATACTTGTATGCAGAATAAAACAGTGGGGGAGCCCTTGAGGACTTTGAAAAATTCCTACCAGAAGAGGCCATCTTGACTTGGGAAAGCCTTTCTGTTTTATCCGAAGATAGCCTCTCTTGCACTGCTCCCATCCACATGAAGATGTCACTTGAGTTCCTTCCCTTGTTGATACTCTGAAACAAAGACATTTGAAAGAATTACTGAAAAAATCATATGTCATAAGTCTGTTTAGCTTTGAATTCTTGTAAATTAATTAATCATTATAAACTGCAGCATCACAAACCATTAAATACATAAAATTGTTACCTGATTCTAGAGGGGTGAGTTTCTAACAAAATTATGGTTCTGCATTGGTGGGGTATTACAAAATAATTTGGTTTAATCAACTGAGTTGATAAATAAATGCAAATTGGGTCATTACTCGATAGATCTTGATTCATCTGATTGTGTTTGCTCAGCATTTTTGTCCTGTGGTGCAACTTTAGAACTTGGACTGAGAAGATCATCTGGTACAACTTTAATGACCTTATCTTGTGCATCATCTGTACCTGAGATACAAATTAAGAGTCAAGAATACCTTCTCTTCTGGGATTCATACTGTCTAATCTTTCCTAGATAAATTTGAGTAGCAGCTACCCTAGCTCTTTCACCATGCAGCTACAGGGGACCATTTACACTCTATATGAGAGAAGAGCTACTGATGAAAGTGTCTTGCCCCAGAATGCAATGAGAGTCACAGTAGCCTTATGGAAGTAAGCTGGACTCCTAATCAAAAGGTCTGCTTTCCAGCCACGGCCAAAATCATTGTCATGGGTTCTTGAGCAAGATACTTAACCCTTTAACTCCCAGAAGTGATTAACATGTAACTTCTCCCTGTAATATCCATACATGATCCCCTAGACAGGTAATGAGAATACGTAAATTTCTCAGGCAGAAGTTGTTTTCTTGATCTAACACCAAATTCTAGTCACTTATTTTCAAAGAAATGTGTAGGAGCTAGAGACGAGAATTTAAAATCAGATCTTGGGAGTTAAAGGATTTACTAAGAGCACAATGCAATGATGTTGACTACCTCTCCAACCCAGACTAGTTGATTTAAATTAATTATTTCTGTTCAATGCCTCTTAATACAGAAAATCTGCCAAATAATGCATCTCTAAGTCAAAATGGATCACACCATCACACCAGCCGCAATTTTTTTGTCACAAGTACCATTGCAACAATTGTGTAAAGGTATTAAAATTAAGCTTCCTATTTGTCTTACAATCTTAAACTAGTGGTGAACTGATGTACAATTTTACAGATTTCTATTGTACATAGAAAGCTAAGGCCAAAGTTGTCTAAAAAAAAATGTTTGCAGACAAACAATAATGCAACATGTTTTAAGAAAATTAGCAAACAAAATGCCCTGTCTTTAGTGGATTATCTAAGGACTCTCAACATGTCAATCATCATCATAAAAAGGAAGTTTACCAAGTTAAAGATAAACAAACTTATAAAGGATTTCCAGCCGAATATCTTCCTGTACACACCTTCAGGACTGGTTGATGAACCCTCCTTTTTCTTGACTGGTGAGGATGGCAGACTACTTGGCCGCTCAGGTTGGGGTTTTCCCTCTGAAGACGACGACACATCATTCTTTCTGGTGACTTGTGGAGATGATGACAGCTTAGGTTTTTCAACCACCTCCCATTCCTGATCCTAAAACAAGTTAAACAACCAAGATAGATGAATGGGTGTCTGGTCAAAGAGCAACATGAAATCTAAATGCTTTTCCTAATCATTCTAGCTAGAGGAAGTTCCAGTTTAGGAATACAAACAATCAAAATGCTATAGAGGAGCTGAAGGGTTCATATTATGGGGACCCCTGCCCCCAAGAAATTAATTTAGTACGTTATGATGAATCAGTTAACAATTGAAACTAAAAACTGCCTCAAGGGAGATCTTGAAACAAGTAGGTTGGCTCAATACATATTACAATTGGATACATGTCTAATACATTCTTAGAGGAATAGTTCTTTTTAGTTTACTTCTTGAGCAGTCTATGTTGGATAACTCTCTCTCCTTTGCAGATCCAGTGAGCTCCACAAAGCTTGCAACTCTAAACAATTTGTGAACTTAAGGAGGTCAGATCTACCTTCAGAAGAAGTAACTCAAAAGCTAAATTTCTTCTTGGAACATACTTGTTACAAAATATTTGGAAAGTTTCCAGAGAAGTTCCAATAGAAAAAACATTCTGAGCAAATAGTAGTATCCTTGACTGATACATTCAGCCAAAACCAAAAAGCAAGTGCCTTCTCATTGGGTGAGGCTTTAAACAATAAATTGTCTTCAGTAGGAACTTGGAAAATTTTCTAGATAAACAACCAATGAGTAACATTTCACAAAAATCCCAGTGCATGTTCTTTCTATTTCTTGAGGAGAAGAAGAGAGGAGGGAAGTTCCCATACCTGACGTGGGTGATCTTTGCCATATTTCTTGGATCCTACGAGTCAAAATTACTGATCAATAATTTAAAATCTTAATATAAAATTTGTATTTACATTCAAGAAATAGTTCAATTCACAAGGAAAGTTTATAGCCAAAGATTTAGCTGCTCAAACCTATAAATAATTCTTACAGCTGTACAACAAGCCTATTCAAAACTGTTTTATTGCTTACATGACAAATTTCAATTATCAAAAAGTTACTGGATAGGAGGATTCATGTACTGAAACTTGCAACACAAAATCAGTTAATCTTGATCACTATCGAATCATAATGGCAGTATTCATGGAGGAGCAGAGAAGATAAGTCAGTCTATAGGGCAAGGAATGTAACATTTCCATCTTGATGCTAATACATTTTAGTTGAAATCAGAAGGGAAAATTTAATTGAGATTAAATGTGTTAAGACCCATTGTATACACTTAGTTATTGACAAAGATGTCCGAAAGGTTTTATTCTGGAAAGCAATTTAGATAATAACATACAACAGTTTTAGGGAGCAAAGAGTGTGCCATTTATTACACATTCCATACTACCTTGAATCAAATCCCCAATTCTGTTGAAGAATTTCCCAGCTTGTGTATTCACAGTGTTGACAGAATGGCCCAGTGCTGCAGACCTAAAATAAATCACATTTGAGATAAGAGTACCATTGATCACAAAAATACAGTTAATGTGCACTCTTTTATCAGTGAATGATCACACCCATGAAGTTTGCTAATCTCTGGAAAACTGAGATGCAATGTAAATAATTTACACACTAATCTACAGGGCAGCAAGGCTGGATTTAGTCACCTGAACTAACTGTGTAAAATAACTGAGGTTTAAATTACCCAAGAACAGTGGTCTGTGGTTCTGCAAATGACTGGGCATCCTTCTGATATAGAGTGAGAATATCTGCTTCACTAGCTGCCTGAATATCCTCATCATTCTGTAGATTTTCCTGGAGAGAGTAACTCATTTAGTTATCAAATGTGAGTTACAACACTCATTGACCCTTTTGCTTCTAGGAGTAATAGATAGAGGATGTCTTCTTTCAATGCCACCTTAATGTTAATCAATTGCAGACAATGACAATAACAGAGAGCATATTGAGAGAGGGTTATTAATTCAAAGGCAATGATTGATTTTTAAAGTCAAATTCTCAGAATTAACATTGTAAGAGATTTCTACCAGATAGTAACCAGAATTGAGATATTGTAAGTGAAAAATGTCTGGTAGTGGGACACATTTAACATGACACACAACATGAACAGTTTTCTGTCGCTCTAGTTCCAATTAATTTTGTAATGTTCCCAGATCAGAGAATCTGTCAATCCAACTTACCTCTAGTTTGGCATGTGTGTTTTGCAGTTCTTGGAAAAGATCATTCATATATGGCTCTACATCTTTCAATGTCTGAAAAAAAAAGTTTCTTAGAATAGTATATGACCCAGTCTACATTATGTCATAATTAAGATTCTATCAAACTTTTTTATAAAAAACAAAAGCCAATACTTGCTTTACAAAGAAAATACAGTACACTTAAAAGCAGTCACAAGTTTAATATTTACAATGCAATACCTGGTACGCAAAATTGAAGAAAGAGAACTGGGCAAGCATGTGTTCTAAAACTTTTTGAAGAATAATCACCTGCAAAACAAACCAAAAGAAATGGTACATGTCAATTAATTTCTACAATAACACACAACGTTATTTAACACCTGAAAGTATGATATCCATTTTTTGCTCACTAGAAGATAAGTTATGTTTACAATACACTGGTTAGTAATTGTTTGCCTCTACCACATTTCAAATCACCCAGTGAAACACATCAGGCTTACCTTCTTTAAAGTGTGAATATCTCTCAGTGTTGACACATACTTGAGAAGAATTCGCTGGTAATTATGTCTGGCATGTAGCATACCATGAGCAAGCCGGTCGACTACACCAGGCTGAAAGAGAACAAGACAAGAATTAATTTTGTAATAGTTGATCTCCATGAATTGTTGTTTCACATGACATAAATAAAAATAATGTAGACTCTGTCAGTTGGCGAAATTAATTTTATTATCTCATATGCAAAGTTGTTGCCTTGGCAAATTTTAAAGATTGTTTTTTTTCTTGGAAAGATAAGTATGATCCGCTCTGACTTTTAAGGATTAAAACAAAGAAAAAAAAGAGGCTGCAGTATTGGCTTTCACTTGAGCATCCAAAATGGAAATGATGCAATAGTCATTAACAGTTGTAATATTTCACTTGTTTGCCACATCTGTGTTCATATAAAGCTTCTCTTTGAAAGTCTTTTCATAAAGGCTTTGACTAATTACAAAGGACATATGATTGTCCTCTGTTTTCTTTTGAGGGCTGTAAATATCTTATCTTCGTCCCCAGAGGCCATGCAGTTTTTTGAAAGTTAGAACCTGGAAGTCAGTGCCTATGCAGAAACACTGGAAATGCCCTTTTGAAAGATGTACGATGACTACAGGATCGCTTTAGAATTGAACTTTTCACAGGAAGTTTTTTTTAAGTAAAAAAATAATCTCTCAGTCTGTTATGAATATTCCATACCTCTTGCAAGTTGCTGAGGTGTGCAAGGTTGGAATGCTTTTCCCAAGCCATGTGCAGCCCATCTCTGGCTTTTTGCATTTGAGACTGAAGGTCCTAAATCAAAAATTACATCACAGGGTACATTTTAGTGCCTTAGTGAAACATAAAAAGGGAAAGTCACTAAAACCTGGTTATAAGTTGTGCAAGGCCATCAAATATTTAACCACATGAGGTAAAGTGCTTTGTAAGATTTTGAACAATTCCTTTATGGATGAATTATCCTACCTTAGCTTTCTCAAATTCCTTGGTAAGAGCTGCTAATGGCTGCAGAGTCAGAAGCTGAGTTTGACTCAGGAACATGTCCTTGTAGCATTCTATTCTCTGCAACATGTCTGCAAACTGAAGACAGATGTGATTATTTTTCAATATTAAAACTTGATAATGTATGTAGTTACTTTCAATTGGCATATATTTTTTATTAACCCTTTCTGTGACTCCCAGAAGTGATTGATAATATCCATACACTATCTGGCAAACAGATAATGAGAATACTCAAACTTATCAGGTACAAGTAGTTATCTTGATCTAAAACCAAATTCTCATAACTAATTCACAAGGCAATGTGTAGCAGAAAGAGAGGAGAATGAACAATTAGATCTTGGGAGTTTAACGGTTTAAGATTTCAACAGCAGTGTAATTAGAGGAAAATAAGAACAGATCTTAAATTATACTGCTGCTACAAAGATAGGAATTATGCCAACATACACACACACACACACACAAACTAACTTAATAATGTGATTATTTAATTCCACCAACATTTTTGCTTAAAAAATTTAAGAACAATGTAATTTGGGCTAATAGAGAAAAGACCTCAAAATATAATGCAGTTACATTAATAGAAATAATGTTCCATACGCACACAAACCTAATAACACTTTTAATTTTGTAAACAGATTTTATATATTAGAATTAAGAGACTTGAACAAACATTTGATATCAAATTTCAATGCTATGTAGTTAATATAACTAAAGTATATAGATTTTAGTAACAGTATAATTTCGGAGAAACAAGGAGAGACTAAAACATATAATGCTGCAACAGTGATAGGAATTCTGCTCCTCTCTCATGCACACATGTGAGTCTACAACCAATAAGAACTTATCAGGAAGCTAACTTTATTAACATGTTATCTCCCATAAGTGACCAGGACAGAATTTCTTCTAACAATATCAATACAATATCAACTAGATTAGTGATGTGAATAAAGAAAAGGATCAATTTGGGGATTATTAGTTGATCCAATACAAAATTCTGTGAACTAACATTGTAAGAATTGTACGGTTGACAGTAAGGAGAATTACACATTTGATCAGGGAGCTAAAGGGTTAAACTACTTGGCAAATGATCTGTGACATTACCTTCATTATTGGTTCACTGATGTCTTTATCATTCTCCACTGACTTGGCGACATCTACCAGAGCACTACCAAACCCAGCTGCTGCTTTACTGTGCTGCATTCCAGTACTGAAGTATGACTCTACTGAGCCAGTGAGTTTCAATAGAGCAGGACTCACCTAATGCATGAACAAACAACAGATGTAATTAAAAGGATGATTGCAAAGTAAAAGAAAAACAACTTTTCTTATTGCTGCAAGGATCACTTTCATTCACGTCTTTATCTGCAGTTCAAATATATAACTTTCATATATTCTAAGCCGTTTAGGCAGAATTTTATTTAAAATACTAGAGCTTCTTCAATTGGTGATCATTTCCTATATTCTCATGACCTTAATTCTTGATTCAGAAGTGACGTTGTAGGGAGAAATTAGATGCCAGTCACTCTTTGGAGTAAAAGGGTTAAGAGTCAGATTCCAAAATCATAATCCATTGTATTAAACCACTCAGAGCTCTTAAGTGGTATATTAATTACTATATTAGTGCTCAAGAGCCCATTTCTCAAAGATCATGGTGGTAGGCTGTACTGAAAGGCCGTTTTTTTCTTTGCTGTGTTTTCATTCAGGATTCATGGTATTACCTGTAGTAATTTTGAAATTAAAAAAATGCAAGTATCAGAAACCAAAACAGAATGGGCTAGTTTTTCAGCAAGGCTCACACCACTATTCCTAAGGTGAATGTTTTAACGTATTGCCTCAGGTCCACAAAGATACTGAGTCTTTTCAGAAAAAGGTCCCAGTTGGTGTTGCACTAAGTGACTAGCTGGCTCTTAAACCAACTAGTTTTCTGAGGAACTAACTCGAGCATATTGAGCGATTTGATATTTCAAAGATAAAATTTCAAGCAATTTTTAAGAAATTGAATCTACTGAACCATTTATTGGTTATATATCACTACTGACCTCAATTTTTTGGGAGTTCATCAAACATTTTTGGGAATATGGTGAATATCAAGAGGAAAATGTAATGAACTAATCTCGGCAAATTCATAAAATCTGACCATCGATCAGCGTATGTTAAGAGCGATCGCGAGGTTGGCTGTTAAAATTGGGCTAAAAAGATTTTAAAGTTTCTAGATAGAACAATAAGGATTTTATCGCCCTTGGGGTAGTGAGATGATAAACAGCTGATAATATACTGCATATGTCATCGAAAAGAAGAGTGACTATTTAAAGTTCTATTACCGGGTTAGTTTAAAAATAAATGACTATACTATAATATGACTTGATATATTTGAGGACCGCAGCTGTGATGAATTTAAACTGACATTTCAGTAAAGAAGTGGTGTTTGTTATTTTACCAACACGATAAATCTCATACAATAATATATGAACCGGACCAGTTTGAAAAATTCAACACAACTACAACAGACTCGAATTTGGCGATGCGTCGTGATAAGGAAGCTAGAAGTCACATAATAATTACAAGTCAGAGGTTTGATCATAATTGGCAGCAGGTTATCAGATCAAAAACGGAAAAAATTGCGTTTCACACCGAAGGCAAGACCCAGATTTGATGCAAAAATCCCGGTTAATTCCTTACCTCAGCAGCCCGATCAGTCCAGTATTTCAGTGATTGGTGACATGTTGGACTATCATCTAAAACAAATTCGTAGCCGGGGAGGTCGGGCACCGAGGCCTCGTAATAATTGTCGTAAAACGTCATGAGGAATGTTCAGGGTTTTTCGCTAAAAATGACTCATAACCCTTCACAAGAAGTTGTTTTAACACCGCCGAACAATGCAAATTAGGGTAGAAATTTGAATTTCTTTACACCTTTATCTCTGGCCAACCCCAATTTTTTCCGACATCATAACAGCTTAGGAGCCTGGCCAGGTTGAAGATTAAGTGGCCCGGAGAGGCCCAGACTCCCTAGACGGATAAGGGGGATAAGTTTCTAGAGCAATTGTGGTGCTGCGTCGGTGGGAGAATATAACAGGGTAATTTAATAAAATCAACTGGACTGATAACGTAAGTAAGCCGCCGTAAAGAGTTTAAAAGTTGACGTTTCGGGCGTTAGCCCTTCGTCAGAGCGAAGGGCTAACGCTCCAAACCTCTTTTCGGTGGCTTAGCCGGCCTATTTCCGTTATTAACTCAGTTGATAATACCAAACTACCCAGAATCCCCAGAGCCTAGAGAGTTATGTTTAGTTGGCTCTACACACTTCAAATTACGTTCCTGCGGGTCTGAATTGGGCGAATTCAAGAGGAAATCATTTTAAAACTGCCCTATTGTTTGGCAAATTAGTAATACTTTTACTACACGAGGCCGAAAAAGACAAGATTTAAATTCAATTTGCAATCGTATTCATGGCGTGAAACGCAGAACCTGCTCGTAGCGTGAAACGGCACGACGCGCGCGTTTTCCTTAATAGGTATGTAAGTGACTGTTACGTTATCATTGCGTCATAACTGCAAACGCAAACATTTTTCTCAACTGCGGTTAATAACTTTAATCTCGCAACAAAACGGACTGGGAAATATCCTGGAAAGGAATTAGCTGCTATTTTCGATAAGAATAGACAGAGCGAAAGTTCATTTGCATTTATAGAATGAGATGGAGACTTCAGTTTAATTGGAGAGGAAGGCGCGGTTGCCGCATGCAAACAGCAGAATTCAAGAGAACAGATTAGTTTCCTTTTTCTCTTCTGTGAGGTAGAAATTTGACTCGCAATTTTTTTTTTCATTTCAGTGAACTGTGAACAGTTTTGCCACTAAAATCAGCTCCTTGAGAGAAAAGTGAGAGTTGGTAACGAATGCACACGCGCACCAGGGAGTTCGGAGTGTCTCTCTTTGATTACATCCATAGAAAGCGCCATTGAAAGGTGGATCCCAGTAAAACGAAGAGAAGTTATTGGTAAAAATAAATTTGACGATAGCCCAAGTCACGAATTTGATAGTTGAAAAAAAATTATCAAATACGCCGATCAAACTTGCCGTCTTGGTCACCGCGCAAAGCCCTTAAGGGAGTTCATATCTGATCAAAGTTAGCCTGGTCCAGGCCTTCAGTTAAACGAACGGAGCTCCACAGTTAAATTAAAGGCATGACAGTGGCGATGGAGGAAAAAAAAATGGAAGGTTTGAATCGGGTTGAACAACGGAGTGAAGAAAGGTCGGGTCTTGTAAGGATCGTATGATCAAAACCACCCTTCTTTTTTCGACTCGAATCAAGCCTACCACCTTTTTCGATCCGCCGATATTATAGTGCTCTTTTAATTTTTCTATTGCGCTCTGTTTTACTAACCAAACTGAACGCCTGGACTACTTTCAAGTGTTTTTGTATTGACCTAACCTTGTATTTTTTTTTCTTTATCCAGAGATTTTTGTCAAAAAATTAGAGAAGGAAGCAATTTTTATGAAGTGAATATTCTAATAACACTTATTTCAATCCTTTCAGTTGTAAAAATCTTGGGCTTTTAACCGTACCCGAAATTTAAACCTCTAAACCTTTGTACCTCTAAACGTAGCTCCCAGGTTAACGCGGTTTCATTGAGCGCGAACTTGAACATGCGTAGTAAAGTTATTGTAAATGGCGGAGGGCCCCCTGCGAAGGGGAATGATGGTCATGGGCCGCATTGCAAGCATTTTGCCAACACGACGGACCAAATCCGCCATAACAGCGGAGCGAGTTGAAGTGGGGTGGATATGGTTTCACAAAGTAAAATTTCTTCGAATATGTGGCGAGAACAGACCAGGTGACCACGGGTAAGCGTTGTTTCGTGTCGCCTTCTTTCTCACAGTTATTTCACTGGAATTTTCGTTTGTTTTCCGTACGTTGGACTGTCTCTTATTTTACATTCGCACAAAGGAGTCTTCTTGAAAGGAATCGTTTAGTTTCTTGTTGAAAGGTGCGTTGTGACTCGACTTGCTCGAACAACTAATTACTTTGAGGCACAATGTGGCGCTCTTTACCAAGTAAGCTCTGTTCTTGACTGCCTTTCAATCGTAATCTCAGGGACAAGTTTCAGGAACTTTACACACGTTTGACCACGAGAAGCGAAAGTTGATGGCAAATCTGAAATGTAATTCACGTCATGATCGCCTTCTTCCGATATTCCCCTCTCTATAAAATCCCAAATTATCTTCTCCATGTCATCATTTTCAGGTTTTACCTGCCTTTGTTTCCATGGCATCCCCCCAATCATCTCTTGCACCCCCTCTTCATGTGCAACACTTGGAAAAAGCTCTCCGTTTGGATCCTCTCCTCACTTACTTAGAGGGCGTCTTCACAGATCCTTACTTGTCAACCATAAGGTAATAAATGTGCACAAATGAAGTAAAAAGTTTGGAATTGTTGTTAATGGGTAAATCAAACTTGGCAGAGTATGAAACAGAATAGGCACAAGTGTAACAGGTGAGGAAGACAAAATAAAGTTTGGACTTAAATGAAGAGGCTTTGCCAATCATAATAGAAAATGCTCGTATTAATTCAGCTTCGAGTAACGGACGGCTACACCTCAATCTGATTGACTGTGATAGATTCAGTTCTTCCTGTAGAGTGAGAATTGAACGTGAGCCAGTGCGAGGTGTTTATTTATACACCCTGGTTTTAAATTTTTGTCAGATAGTAACATTTTCTTGGCAGACTTTCTCTGTTAGTGTAGCACTTATCATTCTACCATTAAAATTGTTTTTGGCATGTAATTGGATCAACCATATTAGATCCTACAAAACATAAAATTGCGATATAATTTCATTTGTTTACTTTTCATGTTAAATAAATGGGATGTAAAGTGAATATTCAAGGTTTGCCTATAATAGACATGTAAACCAGTTTTTATTCTGCTTGAAACCCACTCCACAGATATTCCAAGGTTTTATAATTCATCGGTGTAATGCCTAACAAATGGTCAAAATGTGTGCCTGAAAGTAAGGTGTCTTTGTGCAAGGCACTACAAAAGAGATACTGGTTTAATAAAGGGCTATGAGCAGGATTTGGAAACTTAAGGAAAGATACATTTGTTGAATATGATGAATGATTTAAAACTAGCAGTGCCCATGGACAACGTAAAGGAAATTCTATGTTCTGCTTGGTTACTTGAGCAGGCAAAACTAGCTTTGTAACTCTTTACAGTGGCCAATTTATGATATCAACTCAGTTGATAATGCTAAATTACCAATTGTCATTGCGGCTGGCTTGTGAGTTGGTTTAATATAGATATGATCATGAGTGGGACAAGCAGTGGGCTATTGGTGAAGTTTCTGAATTCTGAATAAAAAATCTGGCGTTTGAGTTCTAGAAGGAATCAGTGTGTTGTGTTTGCGTAATAGCAGTGGTACAGGAGTAGCAATACTCCTAGATGCCATAGCAGCCATAAGGGGTGCAATACTCCTGGTCACAATGATACAGACAGTTGCAAAAGCAACAAAAGGAGTTACATGTACAAGACTCTTAGGCACAACAGTAACAATATGGGTGGCACTACTTCAAGTTACTCTATGTTATAGATACTAGTTTAAGCCGTGAAAGTGTGAGCCACTTGCCTTGTGTTCAAAAAACCAGTGTGACAGAACTTAACTCGTAATTTGAGACATCTTGGTGGTTTTTTGTTTTTTTAAACTATTCAAAAGGTCATATGAGGTGTATTTGTAAGGATAGATTTGAGTACTACACAATTTCCTGTGAGTCGTATGCAGTGGTAATTTTGTGAGGCAAAACTTGAAATCTGAGAGCTTTGAAATTCTTTTTTGTAGTGTCCAGGAAGATTAAATCAACTGTTTCTTTGGTGTTTAAAATGATGTTTACTTTTTCTTACTCCCTTAGTGATGATGAAAGTGAATTAAGCGATAATGAAAAGGAAGTCTCCTTAAAAGGTGACAGTCTTTTAAATGGCACCAGCAATGGATTAACGTTAAATGGATGTTTGAGTCATGATGGTGAGTTACTCTTTTGTTTTAGACCTTGTGATGTAAAACTAAAGGTTGTTAAGTTCTCAAAAACTGGAAGATTACACTACAGATTCTAAAAAGAATTTGACTTGACATCTTGTTGCTAAAACATGTATGAATTTCATATCATTTATGTGTATCTTGAAATCTTCTTTACAAATTTTGTATAACAAGTTGAAAACTCTGGGTTTGAACCTTTTATATGTTTGTTTATTAATAAAGAGATATAATTGTCTTTACTAAGGTGATTTGTTTTGTTACATTCAGAGTTGCGAATTGACAAAACAAGATTGTACAACTTCAGTAAAGTGAAGAAAGATAGGAGATGGTTGAAGGTACTGGAGAACTTCTTAGTGATTTTTTTTTACGTCTATCAAGCACTTCATCCCTTTTTATCAGTCCCCAATCAGTAAGAGCTGCTAGGAAGTCCTACAGCTGCACATCTCTTGGAAACAGCTTAAAAAAGTTTTTAACTGCTGTTAGAGAGTGACATAAATAAAATTTCTCCTTACATTATCAAGACAGTATCAAGCAGACAAGTGATAAGAATAAGGAAAAATATCAGTCAGGAAGTTGTTAGTTGATCCAATACTAAATTCTCAGAACTAATATCATAAGTATTGTTTGACAGACAGTAAGGCGAATTACTAACGAGATCTTGGAAGTGTCCTGATATCTTTAATTGTGGATAATTTTTTTCATTGGTTCAAAATTTTTGTTTTTTTGTGTCATACTTACTATCACCCACAATTATGGGCCAAGCCAAAGGAAAAGTTAAAGTACCAGTGGGGAGAAAATCAAATTATAACAAAGTTTCATAGAAAAGTATATAAGCATTTATCCTTGTCTAGCTCTTTGGTGATTGCCTCTCCCCCTCCCCCCTCCCCCTCCCGCCTACCAGCTAACTATTACCATAAGGTTTTAATCCATTGTAGGGAAATTGTACTACGTCACAAAAATTACTCACAACAGTGCTCCACATTGCAATTGTTTTGAAGCCATGGCGAGTGAAAAATATATTTGTAAACTAAAATAAAGACAAAAGTTGCCAATTGGCGATCAACAGATTTGACAACACGAAAGAGGCCATAGAAAAATTTATCCATCCTTGGTTGTATTATTAAACAATTAATTGCATGTAAATTTATTTATTATGCTTTAGACAATACATATATGTCATGTTTTGTATTAGGAGGTGCTTCTGAGTGACAGTTCTGACACCTCATGTGATGAGGATGATGAGGCACCACTAACGGAAGAAGATCTTCAGGAGATGCTTTGGCTACACAAGCAACAAAAAGTTGCCCAACAGATGTACCATGTTGACAAAGATGTAAGTTGTTTTGATGGACATGATTAGGTGTACACTCCTTGCTGAAGCTCTTTTTTTCTATGAGGATGAACTAGTCAGTTTAGATAAATTATATTTGCTGCCAACTTATCTTCATATGTGACAGTTTCTTTTCCACTGTTTCCAGCTTTCAAGATACCAACATTACAGTGCAAGCTTGCTTTCAGACCAAGACAAGTACAATGACCATCAGAAACAAGCTGGATTAAAGAAGCTCAAAAGAAAGAAGTTGAAAGATAGTATGTACATGTAACACAAGATACTGAATAGCTTAAACTCTTTACACCCTTACGTCAGTATCCTTTTTTTGTCTTTGTTCCTAGTGAGGAGAATTCCTTTAACAGTCAAAGCTTCTTAGATTGGGGATCTTCTCATTTATTCTCATTTTTTTCAGTGAATGATTCAGTAGCATAACTGTAAAGAGAAATTAGATGTTGGAAGACGTAGGATTTAAAGGGATAAGATTTGGCATAATCTTATTTTGAAGACCTGCCTTAATTTCCACAGAAAATAAAACCTGCCTAAAAAAATTGTGCAAAAGTCAGTTCATGTTCTGTATTTTGGACTGTTTTGAAATATCCTCCTATGAACATGGTTAACGTTCAGCTTAGTAACAGAAGAGCATTTCCTACCCCAATTAAAAACAATTTTTACATTGAAATCTAGCAAGAGAATACTGGGCCAATAAAAACCCTGTTTCTTATCAAATACCATGTAGTTCCCCCTGTGTTGTGTTGCTTTCCTTGTAATATTTCTTCTATGGGAGCAATGCATCACAGCACTTAATGGCAGAAATTTCTGTCATCTTAATATACGGTTGTACCTGCCGAACACAGATCACTGCCAGTCTGCAGAATAAATCTCTGGCAAGGTTTCCATGCTTCATGATACAGTCCACTCTGTTGTGCAAGGAAACACAAGGTTAATCAATTCAGACCAACCTGTAGAGCAGTTGAAGTGAATAGTGTTTGTACTCACTCATGTCCATTACTGCTGATTTCCTTTAAACAAATGATTTGTATGTTGTAGGTAAAGTAAAACTTTCAAAGGAAAAGAAGGAGAAGGATAAAGTGAAAGTTAAAAAGAAAAAGAGGAATTCTGATGATTTGGTAAGTTTGAGGCCAACAGCTGTTTTTCCATTCTGAGGGAAGAAAATCCAGTTGCTTTGTACTATTGTACCCTGTGAGCAAAGGCAGCCAATCTTTGTGAAAAAGTATGGATTTTCCTCTGCCCAGACTTCCTCCTTAGAGAAATTGTGCCAATTTTTTTTGTCACAAAGTTGTAGTTGGGTGGGTGCAATGTTCATGTGCAAGTCAAAGCATGTTGTGGCAGCAACAAGGGGTTTCTGTCTCTCAGTGGCTTATCTAGGAAAATCAAGGTCCAGCACTTTTGCACAATTGTGTGTTGACACCATGTAGAGTTTGTGCTAAAAGCTCTAATTGCAGAAATCTCTGTTGATAGGATGATGATCAGAGGCAGCTGACAATGGAAGAAAAACTTATCAAGAGAACTCTGATACGTCGCAAGGAAGCTGATGCTAAACGGCGGAAACTGTGGGCTTTGATAGTCAGGAAGGAGATACCAAGGGTATGCCAGATTATTTGGCTTACTGGTGTTTTGTGTGTTGGGTTTGCACTATTTCCGTTTATTAACTTACATTGCTGTATTTGGTTCCTGTTTCTTTAGGCTCATAGACAAAAGTCTTCTGCGAGGAACAACATGCTTCAAAACTGCAAAAAGGTGAGCTGATGTTGCCCATACTTGTAAGGGAACTGGGACATAAACACAAAAGGCTCTGGTTTTTTGAACCAGTAGTCAAAATTTTCTAAAATAGGTATTGTAATTTTGTGAGTGGTCATGACATTGAACAAATTTCCTCTCTGATGTGGCTGTAATATTTCTTAGTTGCCTGACTGATTTGAAACAGGCCTGGGGGTGGCTTGATGCACAAAGTATAAGTACCATTTTTTTACTGATGTACAAGGTACACTTGGTTATAAGACACACCATAAACTTTCAAGCTTGTATGTATCATGTCTAGATCATGAAATCACATCTATAATACTTGGTTATCAGAGGCACCCCAAACTACATGCAATTTTCATACAATTTTCACTCATATTTCAATGTGATTTTTCAAAATTTGCTGAGTACAGACATGCATGTTTGTACACAAGAGCTGGAAACTTGCACAGATCAGCTTTGTAAGAACAGAAGCCAAAAAATCTCAACTGTATTAAGAACAAAAGTGTTAACTTTTTTATGTGAGTGTGGCTCCATTTGGAAGACAGTCTCACCACACTTAATCCTTTTACCTTCATGAGAGACCAAGACACAAATCCTCCCTACAATATCAATACAATATCAAGCACACAAGTGATGAGAAAAAAGAAAAATATCAGTTAGGGGATTATAAATTGATCCAATACCAAATTCTCCAAACTGACATCACAAGAACTAAATGGCAGATGGTAAGGAGAATTACTGATGAGATCTTGGGAGTTAAAGGGTTAACACATGAACTCTTTATTGCAGCTTGCTCAGCTGTGCCAGAAAGAGATGCGGAAAGAAGCACAAAGATCTCAGAAGGTTACTCAACAGACTGCTCCAAAGGCTAGGAGGCTCTCAAGAGAGGTAGATTTTTGTGGGGCTTTGTCAAAATTAAACAATCCATATGCTAAAGGAACTCACTTCAAACTTTCTGTGGCATATTTTTTCAGTCTGCATTGTAAGTGTATTTCCAAATCAACTGATCTGAAATGAACTATTGTTTTGATAATTTTGATAATATTCCTTTTTCAGATGCTAGTTTATTGGAGGAAATATGAGAAAGTTGAGAAAGAACACAGGAAAAGGGCAGAAAAAGAGGCCCAGGAACAACGGAAGCTGGATGATGAGTTCAGAGAGGTAACAGTGATTGCTAGATTTTTCAAACCAGGCTAAAAGTGCACTTCCTTTGTTGCAATTACAACTGGAATTGTAGGTGTATGTTACCTTCCAGAATTTCATATTATGTCAGGAATGGGTTAAAGAAATTTTACTGTCATTTATTGTATTATCATCGTTATTATTATTACTACTAATATTATTATTATTTGATTTCCTAGGTACGCAGACAACAGCGGAAATTGAATTTCTTAATCACACAGACTGAACTATATGCTCATTTCATGAGCAAAAAATTGAAGGGTAGGTTTTCTTTTTAACATACCATGTTTTGGCAAAACTTCACTTTGCGACAATGTTGATTACAATATTTCATCCATGCTGGGAACTGTTTTAGCCACAATTAGAGGTGCCTTGCATTTGAATTCCTAATAGAACTCTACATTAGCCAGTAGAATTTGAATCCCTGATTTTTGTTTCATTTAAGTTGAAAACTGCTTGGTTCAGGTTCATTTAAGAAGCCAAGAGCAGTGCCAAGAGAGCAAGGCTTCACAAAACCTGCTGCCTGCCGCCTGCCTTTATATGTGATGTTTTGATTGCAGTTCAATATTGAAGCACCCTGTAAGTTGTAGTTTTAACAGGAAGTGTTCACTTGAAGCTTTGTTTGTAACCATTTCCAGGTTCACAGCCTGATGAAGGCACACAGGAGATTTTGAGAAAATTGGATGAACCATCAGCAAAACAGAGTGTGAAGACAGTCCTCGGTGGAGTGCTGATTGATATGGAGAATGCTGATACATATGGTGAGAAAATTGTGTGTGAAGTTGAAACATTCAATTGACATGGGAAATCACTCAAGTTTTATTGCTGCTCAAACTATTATTTGGTTTCTCTCTAGAGGTGGTTGAATTTTTTTGATACATTTTTTTGATGTTGGATTGTGTGCAAATATTTTATTTCTTGTACACTATCGATTGACCAGACTTAATCACACACACACACACAAAAAGAAAAATCGCTTAGTGTAAGAAATGAAGTCTCAAGCTCTTAGTACTTTTCCTTCAAAGACAAATTTTCATGATCGTGATTGCAATAACTTCAGTCTGATATGAGAGTTTGGATTTTGGTTCCTACATGTTTACTGATCAGTAGAGTATTGGGCAGTTAATAGGAATAGTGGGGTAATCACACTATACATCCTGAATTTCTTGTCATGATAATTTTTCAGATGCTGATGAAATGAAGTCTCAAGCTCTGTCAAATGCACAGAGAGCTATTCAAGATCAGGAGGCCAGGGTATGATGCTTAGTTGGTGGTCACGTCATTGTGCTTAGACAGTTGTCAATATATAATTTTGTGGTCAGAATGACTGCTTTTGGATTTTTCCAGTAGTACCCTCATATCATTTACTATTTGGTATTGGTATCAAAGACTGTGCAATTTTATCTTTTCATAAGAATTTGCAATGTAGGTTTGTTCTGTTTCCATAATTCAGATATTAGTCTTAATGTCTATGTTGTTATGGGATTTTTTTCTTGTAGACAAGAGATTTTGATGCTAATTTCCAACAAGAATCTGGTAAAAAGGTTTCAATGTCACAAGCATTTTGTAAGTCTGCTGTTGTTGTTTTTTTTCCACTTATGCTCTGTTTTTGTGTATATGTGTATATTTTTGTTAACTATTTTTAGGGTAACCAGATGGGGTTAAAACAAAGATATTTGTATCAAAATTTTGAAAGTACCACATTATTACATAAAGAGATCAATGTGATAATTTGTAATCAAGGATACAATATACCAGTAATCCCCCAACTGACCAATGTTGTTTAAGACAAGTGAGACTTGTAGCTGCCAGAGCCTTCCAAACTTCTGTAGCTTGAATAATAAGGATTTTTGTAAATCCCATTTGGAATGCAAGTTCATGGCAGGTTACCTACCAGCATCATGCAGCACACCTGTCACAGTTTCACAGTTTTATAGTACCCCTTTACACTTGTGGATGGATTGAGACAATGTGGGAGTCAAGTGTATTGCCCAACACTACAGGACTTGTACATGTATCCAGTCCTTCTAGTTTAGAGTTGAAGCGCTCAGGGCCGAGTTGTTAAAGGGTGGATAATTCTCTTCAACAGATGATATGTTACCATGTGGTTAAGTGTCAACTGAACAAACTGGGCTATCAACTGGATAGCTTTTTCTCCAGTGGACAGCATTATCCTCCTTCTGAACAACCGGGGGACAGATCATCTCTTACAGCTGGGGATTACATTACTGCCAATCCATACTCTTGGGAAAAAAAGAACTTGCAAGTTTTTTCATTGGGAGTTAAAGCTATGACCTTCTGTTGACAAGTACATTAGATTCATTAATGGAAATCACCTTTTTTTTTCCTCTGTAGTTGACCAGAGTTATAGCTTAGCAGATCCCTCAATAAACATGGATGAAGCTCATCCACAACCAACAGTCTTTGAAGGAGAACTTAAATCATACCAGCTTAAGGTAAACAGCCATGCTATAACATGTTCTGAGTTTTAAACTTACATGTACTTATGTTTGCCTGCTTATTGAGTTTGGTGCCTGTGTCGCAAGTGGAGGTTGGGTGCCTATGGGCCAGGGGGCTGCGACTGCAATTACAACCCAAGGTGGAAGAACACCCATAGGCCTACCAACCTGCAACCCAGCCACGAGCCCCCCCTGCACCCAGCCCCCCACTATAGCACCTGTCATACCGAGGCCGAAACAAGGGAAAAAAAATACCAGGAAGGAGGGGGAGACCCTAAACCAAGAAAGCAGAGGGAGGGAGGGGAACCAAGAGAAACGCTACGCTACTAGAACACCACGCCATGCCACACTAACAAAGCCTAGAGTACAATGCAATCAAAACGTAGGCACATGGCTTGCGCAGGTGCCAAAGCAACATACCACTGGACAGGAATCTGCCCCCATGCTCCTGAACAATGGTAAACGCTACAAATGCAACAGCACTACAAATGGCCAACATGCCACCAAAGAATGCCAAAACACTCGAGACCATAGCTCCTAGTCGTTAACTAGATTAATTATGATTTAATAGTATGATTCTCATGAATAATTTTCTTGTTCTGTGAGAAGTAGAGAATTCTATTAAAAATTAATCATGTGATGGATCCTGGAATGGTGTGCTCCCTTTCAAATGCTAATTTACTTTAAATCAATTTTCTTGCACATTGATTCTATTATTGTTACCATTATGCGAGTGTTTGTTGAGGAATTCTGATGTTAATTTTAAGTGTTTTTCTCTGCAGGGAATGAACTGGCTTATCAACTTGTATGAACAAGTATGTAGTTGCTTGATTTAATTGTGATTTTTCATACCTACTTCAGGAATTGATGATGATGTTTCTTTGTTATACTAGTCTAACTTGCCTGTTCTGGTTCATCTGACAGGGTATTAATGGCATTCTAGCAGATGAGATGGGTTTGGGAAAGACAGTGCAGTCTATAGCCTTTCTCTCTTATCTAGCAGAGGTTAGTTTTATTGTGCACGTGAAAATATACACCAGTGAACTTCCTCTATTGTTCTGAGTTGAATATGACAAGCTAAACCTGATATTTTTTTCCTTGGAATGATTGGAACAAATTTGCCTTATTTAATAAATATATGCACAACTATTTTTCAAGTTGTTTAGTATTTTCTTAGTCCCATAAGGATGATGTGAACAAAATGTCCACTTGTGTTACATGTGAAACAATTATTTCAGTACTATTTCACTTTCTAGTATTTTGGTTTGTAATTTTTGAAACACATCATACAGACTAACTAAGTGTAGTATTGATTGATTATGGCCAGTTCAAAAGATGAAGACAACATAAACAAAACTATTGAAGTATTTTATGACCAACCAAAATGTTATGTGCTTAAAAGTTTGTTGCTTTAAAAGTCAAGCCAGAAAAATGGAATTTTTGTTGCTGTGCTATCTGTTTGTGTTTTTGTTTTGTTTATATTCCAATGCCCCTGTATGGTAGAATGGTGTAGAAGAGGAATAATAACTTAAGTTGTTACTTCAAATGTGGTCATTTTGATTATATTGATAGACACATAATATTTGGGGTCCATTTCTTGTGGTTGCTCCAGCCTCCACACTGCACAACTGGCAGCAGGAAGTCAGCAGATTTGTTCCACAATTCAAGGTATGTGGGAGTTAAGTGTATAGAAAAGGTGCAGAAACACTGTGAAAAGTGATGCTTCAAGCCTCTATAACTAATAGTCATGTTCCAGTTTTCAACATTTGAATGGAAGGATTTTAGTGTCATCCAAATGAATCTCAGTTTAAAGGCAATGTGATGACAAAAAAAAATTGTTGAAGTGAGAGCAAATAGTTGCTTCAACTAAAATGTACAAATCAAACTGAAATGCTCAAGTCAGATCTTCCTACATGGAGCTGTTGCTTTTGAGCTTTGTTGAGGAGAAATGTCTCCTAACATAACTGAACTATTGTGGTTGTAATGTCATGTTCATTGCATGTGCTACACAGTCATATTTCCAATTTTCAATTTTCATTTTTACCACTGTGTTATATTTTCATTTCTCCTTTCTCCATTTTCTATTTTCCCTTTTTTTTCATTTCTCCATTTTTCCATTTATTAATTTACAATTTCCAGGTGTTGCCATACTGGGGAAACCAGGGTGACAGAAAATCTCTAAGGAAATACTGGACTCAGGTACATTATTTATATCTTTGACAAGGGTCTAAAATAACAATTAAAAATTAGTCAGTTTATTTATTATGAATTAATTTTATTTCAGTGTCTCTATGTTTCATTTTACAAAGCTGCACTTGTTATATTTGTTTATTTATGATGGACACATTTTAAAAGCTCTTTAACTTACTTTTGACACTCAGGAAAAATTTGAAGTCAGTTATTCTTTAGAATTTACCATGAACAAGCAACTAATTTTTCTCTCTTGTTTAGAACCAAGTTCATATAAATGACTATGAGAATGCACCTTTCCATGTGCTTATAACAAGCTACCAATTGGTAGGTAAAACAAACAGCAAGTGCCAATTTATTTTTTGGTCCAGGTTACGCATCATGGTATTCCAATTATTTTGAAATGACCGATGACAAAAATTATATCATTATGGTATTCAATAACAATTTGAAAACGTCTCAACAAAAGATTATGTGTGTTTAGAGAGCTTTGGACAGACATGTAAACTGGAGCACTTTTGTCTTCATTGTTGATTTTTATGGGCTTAATTATACAACCACTACTCTATGATCTATGATGACGGCAGCCTGCTAAGCCCCAGCCTACTATGCAGGAAGGCACGGGTTCAAGTTTCAGACCAGACCAACAATTAGGGTCTTAAATTAATTGCTGCCTTTGCTATGATATCTGCAATTGGTTAGACATTCTGGTTAAGGACAATAAACTGTATTTCTCATGTCCTGCCTCTTCTCTATACTGGGTAGCAGAACGTGTTAAAGAACTGGCACACTTCTTGCAAGGAGTAGGGAATGTAACTCCTGGTGTTGTGGTCTGGGCTCCTAAACTGTTTGAGGCAGTCTGGCCAAATGCCCCCTGCGAAGTGTTGCAAAGTGCATTTAAGTATCTTATTGTGGATAATGCAGTACATAAATGCCTCATCACTATCAACATCTCATGTCTCTCATTTAACTTGGTAATATATATGGCTAATGGATTGTTGTGTCCTGTTCAGATTGTGCAAGATGTGAGATACTTTCAGCGCATAAAGTGGCAGTACCTTGTACTTGATGAAGCTCAAGCAATCAAAAGTAGTGCCAGGTGGGAAATGCTTGCAAATGGCAATTGGGTGTTAAATGTTAAGTTGTGGTCTTGCTGTTTTAGCTCAAATGTCCTGCATTACTGGAGTCTTAAAATTTGTCTAATTTAATGAAAAAATCTTACTTTATGTAACAGTGTGCGGTGGAAGATTCTACTTGGTTATTCATGCAGGAACAGACTTCTTTTGACAGGAACACCCATTCAGAACAGTATGGCTGAGGTTTGTGTTATCAGTAGCTACAGTGTTACCTTCCGCTTATTTTGTGGTGCAATTGTCCTAGGTGTATCTTTTACTTCTATCATTAACCTTTAGTTGTTTTGTTAACTCTTTCACCTCCAAGAGTGACTTGCATCTAATTTCTCTTCACAATAATTATATTAATACCCTTTTTTTCTTTATCTGTACATTTTTGAGTTTTCTAAGTTTATTATTTGTTGGGAGAACCCCTCTGTGAAGTTCTTTTGGTGAATTGGGTATCCTCAATAAAGATTTACTTTATTATGATATCACCCCTGAGGCACACAGTAAGGCCATGAGAATAAAGGAAATGATCACCAACTAAAAAAGCTCTTGTTATACAAATTTTCCTCATCTTCACCCAGGAAAATGTATGGAGAACAGTATAGAGAATATGCATACTGATATTAGGATGTAAAGGGTTAAAATGTGGTCATTTTGATTACATCAATAGATACATAATATTTGGGTGCATTTCTTGTTGTTTCTTCAGCCTTTTGACTGCATAAATGGCAGCAGAAAGTCTCGTTGTCAGCACCTTAGCAAATGTAAGGGGAACAGTCAGGAGAATACGCATAGTGATGTTAGTGTGTAAAGGGTTAGACGTTCATGTGTCCACTTTACTTTTTTTTTTCTAACAGTTGTGGGCACTGCTTCACTTCATAATGCCAACCCTGTTTGATTCCCATGAGGAGTTCAATGAGTGGTTCTCAAAGGACATTGAAAATCATGCAGAAAATAAGTCAGCTATTGACCAAGGTATTTCACAGATCAGTACTGAGTGTTCATATGCTTCAGAGTGTACCACAAACAGTATTATCATAGTGATATCAGATCTATTACTTTACCTTTCTTGAATTTCTCTTTTCCTTCAACTTGCTTCGGTTGATCTGTTGTGAAAAGTATTCACAATTTCCTTTTTCAAATTTCTCTGTTCTTACCATTTGTCTCGGTTGTTTGTATTTAAAGTGTTCACAATTTCCTTTTTCAAATTTCTCTGTTCTTACCATTTGTCGCGGTTGTTCTGTATTTAAAGTGTTCACAATTTCCTTTTTCAAATTTCTCTGTTATTACCATTTGTCTCGGTTGACCTGTAGTTAAAGGAAGTCACAATATCCTTTTTCAAATGCCGCTGTTCCTTCCATCTGTCTCTGTTGATCTGTTGTTTAGATTATTCACAAGGTCCTTTTCAACTTTCTCTGTTCTTTCCATTTGTTTTTTAGACCAACTTTCAAGACTTCACATGATCTTAAAACCTTTCATGTTAAGGAGGATTAAGCGCGATGTAGAGAATGAACTTTCTGAAAAGGTAAACGAGCTGTTTTGAACATGCATGGCTGAGTAAGTAACTAGTGACAGAGTTGTCTGTCATACCAGTAGGTTTGTAAACCTTTTAACGCCTAAGGGTGTCTATCATCTAATTTCTTCCAATAATATTACCCCTGAATCACATACTAAGATCACGAGAATAAGGGAAATGATCACCAACGACTGAAAGAAGCTCTTGATTGTCTAACAAATTCTCCTTGTCAGCACCTTAGGAAGTGTATAGAGAACAGTTTGGAGAATATGCACACTGATGTCAGGTTGTGAAGGGTTAAGTCTAATAGCCTTTCTGATTCCAGATTGAGATCAAGCTTGTTTGTCATCTGACTACAAGACAAAGATGGCTGTACCAAGCCGTGAAAAACAAGATTTCCATCGATGACCTCGTTTACACGTCGACATCTTCATCATCCACCAGCGCGACAACAAGCAGTTTGATGAACCTGGTCATGCAGTTCAGAAAGGTAATGCAAAAGATTTAACCGAGTGACACTGGGAACCACTGAACTGCTTGGGAAGGTTTTGAAATCCTACCTTGTTGGATAAGTCATAGTAGCGTGTGTAAAATTTGCTCAAAAGATGATGTTTTGTCCGTTCTATTTTCTAATATATATCATTGTATATATTATTTTTCTAATATATATTATTGTGTTTTCTTCAATGTGATGACCACATTTTGTTTTGTAGGAGAGTTTTTCATGTTTCTCGCACTAAAAATTCCCAAGTGCTTATATAACTCAATAATGCTCGAGGAACAATTTTTTTATTTATTTTATAAAATGTATCGTGAATTGCGCGCGCTCGTACCGATGACGTAGGCTGCGTGCATTATATCTCAACAGTGCACTTGTGTGACGTAAGGCGCGTGCTTTATGGAAATATAATGAGCTCGTTCTGACCAATCACGGCGCACGCATTTCTTTGAACATTTTAACGTTCAACTTCCTTTCCGAAGTTGTTTTGGTATGAACTTGGATAAACGTTGTTGCGTGCTATTAAGTGAGACGTTTATGGTTTGATGTGATATGTCTTCACGCTTCGTTCTGTTATGGTTTGTTATGTTATGTTGCGTTTCGGATGTTTCACTTTCACGTTCTCAAGTAAACAGATCGAAATAAAAAGTAGGGAATAATTCTTCGGATTCTGTTCCCGTTGAAATACACGACAAGCACTCCCCTCTTTTGACTGTTGCTCTTTTGCTCCTCTCAGGTCTGTAACCACCCTGAACTGTTTGAGAGAAGGGACGTTCGCTCTCCAATTCATGTGGAAATTCCATCATTCCATCTGCCAAAGCTTATATTTCGAGAAGGTACAAGGTGCACATGGCCTGTAGTTAACCCTCTAACTCCCGAGAGCTGATTTTTAAATCCCCATCTACCTGCCACACATTTCCTTGTAAATCAGTTACACGAGTTTAGCTTTGATTTAAGTAACAACTTCTATCTGATAAGTTTGAGTATTCTCATTACCTGTTTGCTGGATAATGTGTGAATGTGATGGGAAGAAAGTATCAAAGGGTGTCAACGGGTTAACTTATGTACTATTGCCCAAATGCTGGTTTTTATGATGAAACACAAGCACTATCAGATGCAAAAACGTATGCTGATTACCCACAGGCTTGATGAGGCTCTGTTTTGAGAAAATGTGGGAAGGACTTGAAATCATTTCAGAAAGAAATACTTAAGTTTTGAAATACGACACAACATACATGTACTCTGCAATTATGGGGTTCTCAGCCCTCGCTCTAAAATCAATCGTTCTTACATTAAGAAAAAAAAGATGCTCATTTCGAAGAGAAAGTGTGCCATTTGTCGTTGTTTACTTATTTGTTTGATAACTTGAAATTTTTAGGCATCCTGGAGTCTTCTTCACCCGGTAGAACGAAGTAAGTAATAATTCCCCGTGCGGAAGTTGTCTTAGCAGCAATTTAATTTTTGTTTTCTTTTTTTGCTGCACCGAATTAAAAGAAACATTAAGTCTTTGTTAAAGCTTTAAATCCTTTTTATACAAACCTATGTGAACGTTTATGTGTTAGCGTCTCGTCGCCTTTTTGCCAGACGACGCCATAGCTGTGAATCAGATAGCAAAAGAGAAAAGAAAGTTTGATGTGTGAACAGATTCTCACAGCTTCTGTCAAAGAAATATATGTCCATTAGTTGAGAGAATTCAGGTTTTTAGGGCCTGGGTAAAATATGAAGCCCCTTGCACCTTATTTTCCCCTTTAACTGAATTAAATAACGTTTTCTGCAGAATCCTCTACAATCTGCTGAATATCGGATCCGAAGAGTACATTCATCATTCTTTGTATGATAGTCACTCCTCAGGTAAGTGGGGCATAAACAACCTCCTTTTCAAAGGATAATTCCAACCATAACTTGCGGTGCTTCTAAAATGACATCACAGATATTTGCGCAGTAGTATTCCATTGATTTAAGTTTAATCAAGATTAACTCATGGTCCCATTATTTTTCTTCGGTTTCACATGATTCCCTCAGGCCTGTAAAGGAACCGGAACTTTTAAGAAACGGCAACTTGAAACTTGTCTTCTAACAGAGGCTTTAAATTAAAAATGGATAATTTGGTTTAATCAACCGAGCTGATAATGTGAATTTGGCTGCGCAAGAATTCGCTCTGACTCGCTCTTAAGGGCTAACGCCCGACTGAAACGTCAGCTTTATGAACTCTTTTCAGTGGCCAATTTACATGAACTACTCAGTTGATAAAATCAAATCATCTTGTTATTCCCTTACCGACGCAGCACCTCAGTTTCTTTAAAAACTTTAACCCCTTTATTCATTTTTTTGTTTACGCCTTTCAGTGGAAATCCTAGCCTTGTAAAACGATTCACTTGATTTGTCCCGTGTCTCTATCTTGTTTCTTTTCTGTCAGGTCCTCCGAGTGACTGCTTTTCATTTTCAAGATTTATCAATTTGTCCCCAGCACAATTATCAGCTTTGGCTTTGAAGGGACTCGTGTATAGGTGAGCCTTACACATCTTTGAACCTAGGAAAATTTGTTGAAATGCTATGTAGCTTTTTAGATTTTACTCCTTTTGGATATACGTAGATGTGAATGCTGTGTACTGGAAAACTTTGTTCGAATTCATATGTTTTCCCTCGTTACTGTTCGCTTTTTAATGATGTTTGTACACAATAGTCACGCACCTATACCGTGCTTAGTAAGCAAAGTGCTGCTAACTTCCGTAAGGCACTGAGTAACTCGTTAGAAATTACTATTGCTAATGGTTTCTTATTTTCAAAATTCAGGTTGTTCACTTTACTCGTTCTTCTAAAGGAAATTACTATTCTTCATCATCAACGATTTTGGGCCCAAGACAAGCTGAGGAGTAGGTGGGTTGCGCAACTTCGTAATACAATACTTTTGTCTCCTTTTAGTAATAATTGTTTCAGCAGTTTATTTTGAGCTTCACTCTCTTTCTCTTGCAGGTGTTTGGGTCGGCATGATCTCATCATTTGGCCAGATTCCTTCACGTCCTTTCCGAGCATCCGGTCCAGTTCAGTGCTTTCCTCGTTGGTGTTCACTGGCTACACCTCACGAGTGTCTTCCCACGTGACTCATAATGTTCAGGCCATTTTGGACGATGACGATCGCAATCCTGCAAGGAGCAAAGGTAAAGAGGCTCTGAAAGCGACGAGAACTCGACGGATATCTAGCAGCCGTGCGGTATCGCCAACTTCCCCATCAAAGAGGAAAGATGCTCGTCAAAGAGGCCAGCACCCACACCACAGCGTCATATCTCCGACTGGGAAGCTCCCTCCTTCTCCTCTCAAACATTCCCCAACAGGGGCGTTTTCTCCAACGAAACATTATGGACACTCATTCTTCCCTGCGCAGCTTTCACCTTCCAAACATCATCATAGTGTACCGCTGTCACCTTCATGGACTCAGCAAAATCCGCATGGGTCCCACTCGGGAGATTTGCAAATAGGAGAGCACCATTCTTCGTTAGGACACGTGCCGCCCACTCACCCAATACAAGGATCTCCTGCGATACATTCCCCGCCCGGACATGGCGGAACTCCCCAGCGGTCTCCCATGGGACATGTATTACCCCCGCTACAATCGCCTCCAGGGAAAATGGCTCCGCCAACATCTGTATCATCTGTGCAGCACTTGCATCCCTTCTCTCCCACGAGGTAGCGAAAAAGAATCTTTTGATTATTATTATTGGAAACGTTCGCTTTATTTCATGAGGATCACATTTACCCCTTTTCCATGTCCAAGACCCATTAGTTTAAGCAGCCTCTATGAAAAAAAAATTAGTCGTGTTTGACAAAACAGCTGTAAAACATGTGCTAGGTTTGGTGTGAATGGGGTATTACACAGGAAGCCATGACGACTAATCTTAGCGGTGCTCATCTGCTTTATAGGCATGGTTCATCGCTGCCGATGAGTTTACCCGAAGGATTTCAATTGAACACTGCACCCAGAGTGTATCCTATAGACAGAACACTGCAGCCGACAATTCTGCCACCATTTTTGTCGACATATATACCGAGGGTAAGTAAAATTTGCGAACGAGAAGCTGGTCAGTTGCCTGTTGTGAGTTACACGAAGTTTGCGTGCCTTTGCCTAAAGCTTGAAGAAACTAATGGTAACTTTGACTTGTTGAGTTCATATAAGAATGTTGAGTTGTTCATGATCTTTTGCAATCCCTCCTCAGGTAACGGCAGGGACTGATGTTTATCGCTGCAGTGATCGCAGTGCCGCTTACGAGATTCAGAACTTGTTACAGGGGGGTTCAGAACTGTACAGGAACCTCTTGATGTACGGCACTCCAGATCTTGAACACGTCAGTTACGTGAAGAAGCATTTGTTCCCTGCTCCTCTTGGCGGGCTGGAGGCTGCCACTCCTCAGAATGGATGGACCTTCGTGCAAATTCCAGGTGCGTTGAAAAATTCCTCTGAATTCATTCACAATTTTTTTTGACATTCAGTTCACGGACTTGTGACTGTGCTTTACTCAAGTTTTGAATAAACGTTCCTCAACTCTGATTGGTTATTGTGATTTCGAGCAATTTTCAATCGGGTGTCGAAAGTATTCCGAGATTGCATTGATTTTGCTTTTCTTGGCCCAGCAAACCCGCTCCACTCTCTCAGCCAATCATATGCAAAACTAAAAGTCACGACTTAGTCACCCGCGTTTTCCCGCGCTTTACGCAGTTTGTTTGTTTTACTTTGAGTTCTTACTGGCTCTTAAAAAAGGTATTTTTCTTTTCGTCTGATGAGCTGTTTTGATGACTTTGGTTTTGGTTTTGTGATACTCAATCGAAAAGCGGTTCCTATTCTTCGTTACTCAAACGAAAAGTGATTATTTTACCACTGAAAGCGCGAGCACATCTGGTTTTTCTTGTAGACCGTAATTTGTTGATCACAGACAGTGGTAAATTAACTGTTCTGGACGGACTGCTGACCAAACTGAAGATGCAGGGACACAGGGTGTTAATCTATTCACAAATGACGAGGATGATTGATCTTTTAGAGGTTGGTTTGTTGATCTTGTATAGCGAGAGAAATTCGCGTGGACATTTTGCGAGTTGCGTAGTATTTTTTCGAAACCCCTAACAGCGAAAAACGGAAACAACACAAACGAAACCATGAAAGTGTTACCTGTGACCAACAAGAGTTCGTTGGTTACACATTCAGGTCTAAAAAGGGGAAAAATCAAAGTTTGGATCGTTCAGTACAGCAATTTTGCAGCTCCGCTTCCGTCTGTATTTTTGCCCTGTTGTACATTGGAATGATGTCGCATATTCTTGCGTATTCAGTTGCCCTACTAAAGTAAATTGGTGTAATAGTAAACTGACAAGCTCTCTTATCTTGCGATTTTTTTTCATGTCATCCATGTATGTTTCTTAATTAAATTATTTCAATACTAATAAAGAAAACATTTCACTTTAAATTTACATTAATATGATATACTATTAAAATTTACCAACTAAATTATTGCCAAGTTCTTGCTATCAGCATACAAGGAAGTCTTCTTACATGTTAGTGAGAATTGATGAACCATCATTTGATGTGTCTGTTACAGGAGTACATGACTTACCGTAAGCACAAGTACATGCGACTTGACGGTTCATCGAAAATCTCAGACAGGAGAGATATGGTGGCTGATTTCCAGTCTAAGTAAGTAAATAGATGAATGAAATAAACAGATGTGAAGCAGATGCGTATTCACTCAAGGTTCCTTGTCTATTTAGAATTTAAAGTGTGGGGTTTTTTTGGAGGAAGGAAAACCTGAAACTTATATTCTTTTTACAGCATTTGAAGTATGAACTCCCCTTTTCTGCTTCATCGGCGAATGGTAAATATCGTAGTTCTGACAGAGTTCCAAAACGTTTCTCTTTCAGTGCGGACATTTTCGTGTTTTTACTGAGTACACGAGCAGGTGGTCTGGGGATCAATCTTACAGCTGCGGATACGGTAAGACAACTAAAAGAGGTCATCGTCAATGAGAAAACTTTGGATGGCTGAGCCATTCTAAAAGCACCAACATCAGTATGCACATTCTCCATACTACAGTAAATGGTTTGAACCCGGGGGTAACATGTAATAGTGCAGTTTGATCGTCCGGGTGAGTGTAGTCCTGAGAAGGACTGTTGTCGGTAATGGTGACTGACGTTTCGACAACCTGAGCGGAAGTCATCATCAGAGTCAAGTGACTCCTTCTCCATACTGTTCTCCACATATTTTCTTAGTTGCCGAAAAGGAGATGTGTTTAAAAATCAAGAGCTTCTCTTGCCATTGATCACTTCCTTTATTCTCATGACCTCAATGTATGAACCAGGACTGATATTGTAAGGAGAGAGTAGATATTAGTCACTCTAAGGGGTTAAAGGATTGATTGAAGTATGCAGTGACCGCTTTGTCTCTGGTTCTTTCACGTAGGTAATTTTTTACGACAGTGACTGGAATCCTACAGTCGATCAGCAGGTAAAGTGTTGTAAAGGAATAAAGTTGTTGTTAGAAGCGTTTATCATTTGAAAGCAGGTTAGGTATCAGTGTATAACATGGTAATTTAGTTTTATCACCTGAGTTGTTAACGTAAATTGGCCATCGTAAGGAGTTTAAAAGATGACGTTTCGAGCGTTAGCCCTTCGTCGGAGCGATTGGGGTAACACTCGGAACTAGCAACTCAGTTGATAATACTAAATTACCCTGTTATACTCTCCTACCGACACAGAACCACGGTTTCTTTAGCTGTGTGAATGTTGAAATTGAAGGAGTTTTAGTATGTGATTGTTGTACTGTAGCTGTGGTATTGTTGCAGTGTCGCATCTGTTGTACTGTCTATCTATCGTAAAAAATGAAAAGAAAAAAAAGAAGAGATTATAATTTAGAACTTAGTTTTTACTTGGTAATACGATTAGTGATGGTGTTTCAATGTAAAATCATCAAGAAAGTCATCAGTGTAGAACAAGAAGGTTTAATACCTGCAGTCAAGTTCTATCGATGTTGTAATTAAATGAGCTTTTGAATTATACTTCAGAAGGAAACTTGCATGTCAAAGCCATATAGATAGATCAACGAATCGCACAGGTTTTTCAAGAGAAATTAGATGTTCGTTGGGAAGAAGTTTTTGCTAATTTTAAATTTTATATATTGTATTTTCTTGTGTTCAGGCCATGGACCGCGCTCACCGCCTGGGGCAGACTCGACAAGTGACCGTGTACAGACTGGTCACTAAGGGTTCTATAGAAGAGAGGATTCTTCAAAGGGCCAAGGAGAAGAGCGAGGTTCGTATTGTTCTTGAGTCGTTAATATATCGTCGTTTCCAGTGACTCTTGGCCGAAAAAAAATCATGGGAAGAAAATTGCAAGTCAGACTCACTAGATCACAGGAGATAAATTGACTACATGTAATCATTCTGTGGATTTTATTCTACCCTTTTCAGATTCAGAAAATGGTGATTTCAGGCGGGCATTTCAAGCCTGAAGCTCTTAAACCTAAAGAAGTGGTATCTTTGCTTCTTGATGATGCTGAACTGGAGTGCAAATGTAAGTCTGTGGAACTGAAGTTGTGTGAATGGTGGTGTGCTATCAGTTAACTTGTGGAAATTATATTCCGCTTAAGATGATAACCTGCAAAGACACTGACCCACGTACGGTGGTCTTGTTGTTGCTCGCTGTTCACAAGCACGGTGTTCGCTCTGTTAAGGGAGGGGGAAGCTTATGCGGCTTGTGTCTTCTGAGCTGACTCGTGCACTCTTTATGATCTCTCCAGTTCTTCAGCGGCAAGCTGAAAAGAAAGCTGATGAACAACGGCGAAGAAGGGAACGAAAACGAAAGAAGACGGGGCCAGTTGAGGTTTGTATGCCAACTTATAAACATACCTTTGTTTTCTGAATCAAAATCTGACCCCCTCCTCTCTTAAAATTACTGAATCCTTCCTTGGTCCCTCCCCATCCTGCAAACTGTTAAAGAGACTTGACCAGTACACGGGGGAGCGGTTACCAGCGATCCTCTTTATCAATTTGTGTAACAAAAACCTGTACAAGCTCTGCTAGCCATTCTCAGACTATAACTTCTTAAAATTAACTGCGCTTTGTTCACCAGTTGGGTGAAGGCTTATCCCCGAGTATCGAAGTCACCGATGGCGCGCCTCCAGTCAAGGCTAAGAAAGGCCGTAAGAGCAAAAGCTCGCTGGTCCCACCTGCACCTGAAGGATCCATGTCGGGATCTAAACCCGCCTCGGAGACCAGTAGTATCACGGGAGAAGGGCTGAGTATTAAGACAGGTGACGCGTATGATGGCGACGGTACCGTAGGGGATGACATCAGTGTGCTGAGTCTAGATGAAGGTAAGCTGTTACTCTTATGCTCAATTTCGCATTCAAAGGACGAACTTCAATTTAAAATTTGGGTGGGTTTTTTCTGAGGGAAACGCCTGATGGATGATATGAGTGTCACCCCAAAGCTGCAAAACTGGCTTGGAGTTAGAAAAGAGCTGTGAAAGGCATGGCTCAACTACCAGAGACAAACTATCCATGTTTTTGTTTTTCCTTTTTTGTTATTTTGTTTTTTCGTTTTTTTCAACTTTGGTTAGGTAGTCAATTAATCAGAATATCTTGCCGTTTGAACTTCTTGGTAAGGCGTAAGTAACATTCACAAAACATATTCTTATCAGTTCTTATCAGTAAACTCTCATCTTTTCGTTGCTAGTGTCGTTGGCTTCTGGTGATCTGTCAGTCGATATACCTCCAAGCAACACAGAGACTCCTCTGAGCTTGAAACCTGACGGAGAAGACTTGGATGATCCCCGAAGCGAAAACGCCAGTCCAGCCCTGTCTGATTCCTCTGGAAAAAGAGGCAGAGGCCGCGGTCGTGGAAGAGGAAGGGGACGAGGAATCACCTCTAGTAGGGGACGCGGGAGCTCCAGTGTTCGAGGATCCCGCTCTCGGGGACGTGGACGAGGAACTGGTGGAGCCCTTGCTGCCTCTGCTGCGGCATCAGCAGCTGCAGCAGCAGCATCAGCTGCAGCATACGCCGCCTACGGCTTCTCTTTCCAAGGGACAAGTACTCCGAACCCCACCCCACCGCCGGCGCGGTCCAGTCCAGTGGCATTTGGTGCCGGTGGTTCTGCCATGCAGGGGTATGGCAACATCAGTCATCCAGTGGCACGTTATGATAGTTCGTCAGCTGGATATTCACCTGTTCAAAGTGCAGAAAACAGCCCGGCTAGATCTTCATCTCACGCGTCTACGCGCATTAACAGTCAGCAGTCTTCACCTCCGTCATGAAAGTTTTCGTGATCTGTGCTAAAAATTTGAAAGGCTTCAAAAGTGAACTGTACTAAGTAGAAGAGCAAGGAAATGCAATATATCGTCTGGTCGAGTCATGCTGCTTAACAATCAAGCTACTGAAGAAGTCTTAAAGAGTAAATGCATTGTTTTCCTTCATAGAATTTTCTTAATTGCACTGATTTTCAGTACTAAATTGGACAGGGAAACTTTATCACGTGAGTAGCTTTTCGTGGAGGAAACTGTGCTATTTACATGCATCACGATCTTTCCCTCTGGAAAACACAGTATGGTGTAAATAGTTAATTTCGGGAATGGCGAGTCAGGTCAAATTATTAATCTTGATTTCTATCCTACCTGTTTTAATTGTTGGTACACCGAGAAAGTTAAAAAAGATCATCACAATTAATACTACTGTAGCTTCATTCGATCTCTGCATGTCACAGTCCTATCGTCTCCTTTGTCACGCGATGCTTAAAATTTCGCGTGACATCATAAAATGATGGCTGTGTGACATATTCTGTGCTTGAATAAATATCCTCACCATGGTGGGTCTTGATTCTTTTTATCCACAATGAAATGTCAATAAATTTATTTAACTACTACGTGGCTGAGGTGCTGGTTTAGCGATATTCGTCCCAGAAATTCGTTTGGAAATTCCACTCGCTAATGGTTGCTACGCTTGCTCGCTAAAAATTCAAATCGCGATTGAGTCCCTAAAGCAAGCTTCATTTTTCCAGCGGAGGAAAGAGCGAAGCCTGAGTACCGCGCGTGATTTTTGCTCTCTCCTCGCGCGCGCTTCCACTTGTCTTGAAGACGTGAAGAACTGCACTTGTACTCCTATGTAATCTAGGTTTTTAATTTCAGTGAAGTAAAACAGAAAAAATATTATTCACCAGCATTAGGAAAAACTCTGCCCTCTGTCTCGAGTACAGTCTTTCCCAGACCGAACCTCTCGGCTAGCGAATAGCAGATATATCTTTTGATCTAACCGCAGTTTCAAGTAATGCGGTCAAAAAGTGCCGCCTAGAAGCTGTAGTCGCTTCTGCCCAGCTAATTTGTATGTTGTAAAAGGAACGAAATAGTTAACAGAGCAATAGGAACGGTATGGCTAAAATGAGGGAGGTTTGGGTCGGGTCGTAGATTAGGCAACCCGACCCAACCTTCCCCGTTTTTCCACTCCTCCGCTGCTATCGCGCTGGATATCGGGCCGTCTACTATTGCGCTTTATTTTACCAACGGAATGCCTGGAACAAGCAATACGATATTAAGCGCAAATACCAGAAAAAGAAAACTTCATGAGCTTGGTCTGTTCATTTAGGTCGTAGAAAAGATGCACTCGCACTCTCACACACGCACACATATTCACACATAGCGGAAGCAATGGTTTTCACCTCATCAATTTAATCAAGAAATCTTTTTAGATTTGTTTGTTTTTTTTTTGCAACCTGTAAGTTAACGCTTTTTCATACTTATAAAATACATAACCTTTTAACAACGTAAAAAGTATCCAAAGCTTGCGTTAGTTTCACACTTTCAGTCCTCCAGAGTGGGAGTTAACGACAATTGGAAAGCAATTTTCCTACTTTTCATCAAATATTACAAACCCCTCTAACCTCTGTTGCCTACTTTCACGTAAGACTTGTTTTGACTTAGGTTTGTTCAATTTTAACAAAAAGACGAGAATTTGTGGGTCAAAATTGAAGCGGCCCGACGTTAGTTGAGCAAAACTTTTGCTATTTACACTATATTTATAATATATCTTTGTTTTCAAGTGTTCGTCACATAAATCATTCTCTCATCAAGATAGATGCGAAAGTATGAAAACAAATCCTTTTGGAATTACGTTTTCAATATGCCTTCTGTCAGCCCCTTATAATTACTTCCCCTAAAAATAAATAGTATAGAAATTGGGTAAATTCTATTAAAAGTCAAAGTAATTCAACACTGATGCAATGTCACTTAACGTTATTTTCTAAGTGACTGGACGTCATTTAGACAGTGTTTTTCATTTTTTCTTTGCAATACAAAACGAGTGCAGTTGTTTCTAATAAAGATTTTCTTCATGGAATTATCGATTCTTTCATTAGATAATGTCCTACTTACAACCATCACCCGCAATTTTCATTTCATCCTCGACTCGTTAAGTTGTATTTTAGCTGAGTCCATGGCGTGAAAACATCAGTGGAAAGTCCTAACTCTTTCTTGACTAATTTCTCCAAATCAAACAGGTGTCGTTCGTCATAATCTGGCACTTTTTCCCTCATAAAGTCCGCTAAACGAACAAGGTACTCTACATTCAGGCCAGAATTCCCCTTTGCGTAGGCAATTTGTGAGGCGATCTGCTCTGGCGAGGCTGGTCCAAGATACAGAGCATTTTTTGGAGTCGCAGCATACGCCACCACATTGAATCTGTGTGAAGGTTTCTCGTTACAACTGAAAGATAATTGACGAAGATCATAGCCCCCTAGAGCGATTTCACGTTCGTTGAGTTTTCCCAAGGCAAGATTGGCGTTTTCCCTCGCTACCTTGTATGCGATGCCCCATACACGGCCCTAAAGAGAAAATGAAAATATATAAGTTAACCAATTGATAATAATAATAGGACTGAGGAGTCCAATTCGGTCTGTAATCATACGAGTGATGAACAAAAAATTGGACGACCGCGAAGCGGGAGTCTGATTTGTCAACCACGAGTATGTTTACCGACAGAATTGGACGACACGAAGTCCTGTTACCAATTTATCATAACCGTTAAATTTCCGGGAAAAAAACCATTGGGCACAAACATCTCTGGTAGAGACTAAAGCTAAAGTAAGAGAGGATAATTGGTTGTTGCTATGGTTATTGTGATCAATTCCATGATTGATGGATTTAGCTGAGTGGACTTAGTATGATTGGCTGCTTTAACTGTCTGATTACAAGTGTACAAGTGTCCTATTACAGCCAACTGTCCAATTGCTATGTCCGATTACAACTACGCAGAATTATTAGTGAAAAATAAAGCAGCCAATGCACCAATCACATTTGAAGAAATTGTAACGGTTATGATTAACACGGCAGTAGTGTTGCCTCGTATCTACACCCATTTTCAAATGACAAAATTTAATCACCCAAATACAGGAGTTTAGTCCGTACAAATATCTTATTTTCTTAATTAAAAAACTGTAAGAAATTGAACTCATCCATTTTGTCCCAAAAGATTTTGGTTACAAAATTTGCACGATCCCTTTCATAACTTTTTCTTTCCGACAATTCGATTGGTTACTGTGATTAAGCCTTGAAATCTGGTTGGTTGTTTTGTCTTAAGTGTTGCTTTCTCATTAGCTGAGAAAAACAAGCGATTTCGAACACAAGATAATGCAATTTGCGAATAAATCGCACTGCAGAGAGCCAATCGGATTGCAAAGATTACCAGTGGTTTCAAAATGGATGTAATAAACACAATTACACGTGCACATTAAAGGTACCTTTTCGCAAGCTATACAAGAAAACGTCCTCAGTCAGTGTACTTTTCGTAGGTTTTAGTGAACTTTGTTTCTGATGTCCCCTTAAAAAGTTTTGAGTTATGATTTTCTTCATTTTAGTGGTAACAATAAAGATTGGCGTTAAAGCTTGTAACACGCCACGAAATGTGAGAAATCAAACCATTAGTTCCTAAGTTTCAACAATCTTCGTTCTTTTCCTTCGCTCTCTAATTTTCAAGTCTGCTCGGACTGAGCTGTGGGAAGGAAAGTGACGGAAGTGCGAGGTTTATAATAGTACTTGGACAAAGACGTATCACAGTTGGAGTAGTTTTGGTTTCTTTGTTTGATTGAAAGCATTCTTCATTCTTATCATTCTTCGGTGAAGAAGGCATTTTCTACGATCAAATAATTCAGTGTGAAAAATGATTCACTGCTGAAAATAAACGATCTTAGGCGGATACTTCTTAGCGCTATTTACTCGAAAGAGTATATGCTTCTGGATGAATACAGATAAGCGGTCATGTGCCACTTAGCAGAACGTCAGTACTTGGACCACGTGCACTCTTATTCATAAACGTGCTGCGTTTGATACTTTGATTGTAGAGCGTGCAGTGCGCGTCAGTTGAAAAGAAGAAAAAACAAAGAAAGAAACAAAGATTTGTGCGTAGAATGACATTTCTCATTATTCTGACGGCTGAGCGCTAAATTCATTAGGCTCACGCCACAAGCTCTTCTTGCCAAGAGTTCCATTACCACGAGCCCTCTTGGACTACACAAGTTTTCCTAGGACTAGTATAAATTTTTCGCTATTTACTTAAGGAAAGGAACTTAATTAAGAAAATGATTTTTTTAACGACACCTGTCGAAGTAAACTTGCCCAAATTCAATATCCCCTAAACCCTTCACAATTTCTTTAACAAGTGTCATTTTGAATTACTATTCGCCAATCAAATTCATCCACTTTGAGTTTTATTTTGACGAATCTCCTTATCTCTTTAAAGATTTATTTAACCATTTAATACAAAAATCCAGCATGACAGGTTTTGAGCTGGGGACCTGGTCGAGGAAAAATTTGTCTAATTTTCCGACTCACACCGTAAACAAAAACCTGCCAAGAGATAATTTGCCGAGGAACTTTTGTGGCTTTTACATTTAAACATAACGAATTTCACCAAAAATACCAAAGTGGTGGACCAACGTATAGGAAAACATCTGGTTTGGATGTAATAAAAGTATTCCTCGAAACCACAAGAGGCGGAGATATGTATTTGCATCAGAAAGCAAGCTTTTCAAAGTTCATTACGTAAATTTTTTATAAAAGCAGCATGAAAAACACGAGTGAAAGTTCTCGAATTTCACTTTTCCTTTTCTCGCAAGCACAAAGGAGCTAAATAAAAGCTGTTTTAAAATTTAATTCACAATTACAAAGGAGACACAACGAACAACATAAGATAGAGATTAAATCAAAATTCAAGAGCGTATTTCATTAGACCATCAGCATTCGGGTCTCGACCTGCTTGCACCCACGCTGATACAAAGCAAATGCTTGTAGCATTGGACTTCCACGAGTTTTCAATGTTTCGATGGAAGATTCCATCAAAAGGAAAAGACGTTTTGACCTAATAAATTCTGAGCCGTTTTACGCAGAGACGACTGTATGCAAATTACAATCCAAGTTTGTTTACGACCAACGCACTAACGAATCATGGACTTAAAAAATTTCCAAAACAAATTGATTGCACTTTTCGTTTTAGAGAAAGCAAACGCTAAAACGCCCACTCGTGCGTGAACGAAACAATTTCTTTCAGATCTAATACTATCCTTGAATAAGATGTGACTGTAGTTCCTCTACAGCTTAAGTGATTAAAAAAAAGTTTCTCGCGTCCGATAGTATAGACTGTACTGTTCCGAAGGTCATTTGGTACATCATTGTCGTAAGTTAAATTTGTTATTCAACTTGCATACCTTAACTGAACGCGTTAAACAAAATCTATGATACATTGTTCGTACAGCCTGATTGACGTTAAGCCGGTTGAAAGATCCTAGGAAAATCGAATCGCGTCTAAAAAAAAACTATATTTGATCGTGTTATTGCCATTACAAAGATATCGTTAACTAGGAAGTCAAATAAATCCTTTCCTTCTGTGGCTCGCGATGTTATCTATCAATGCTACCTTATCAAGATAGCTTTGTACAGTGAAATTCTACGATCATTAACGCTGTTTACATAAAAATACCTGTTTTTCCTCCACCAAGGTTACCACTCTACCTGGCTGAAAGCAAAAATGACGCGTTATGAGACTCTCTTATGTTTTCAAATCAATGTAAAATTGAATGCTCTCTACCTTTTCGGAATCACCACGATGCCAAGTGCTTCCCTGATAAAATCGCCGGACGAATCCATCGATATGGCCGACAACGCAGTATTCGAAAGGAAAATCGGGTTTCCAAATCAAAGAACCGTAGCCAAAAACCCACAAACTCCTTGAAGTATCGTCTTTACTACTTGATTGAGAATTGACTTTCTCAATCATGATTCTAACTTAGGTCGATACAAAGATTTATAGATCACATAAAGAGGGAATATATGCGAGGTCCTTCGCTAAAGGAACCGGTTTGGATCTCACTTTGCGCTCCTCTGTTTACATCAGCCCTGTAAGTCGCACGTGCCTTTGTGACGCAGGTAAACGAAGTTTACACATTCTGATTGGTCAATTGGGAAAAACCCACGCGGCTTACGCAACACTGAAGGAAAGAGGACTAACGCCACTGCCGCATGGGAAACTTTCACAAATATATATATAGTAATAACACAACAAAAACATTCTATCTGGTCGGTTCACGACTTCAAGAACTTTCTTTCGAACGAGACAATTCTGTCTTTTGTTTCGCTAACCACGATGGAATAAAAACTCTAATCCCTCCTTGTTTTAGTGCTGTCACGCAATTATGTTTTCGCTCAACGCAGTACGCCAACGTACTGATGTAAGTTCCCAACACACGCTATTGTATGGTGGCCCGTTAGTATCGCACTGTTTTAATCTAAAAATGGAAATCAATTCTTTTTCTATAAAAAGAGTTTAAGTCACTCGCGTTTTAAATTGCATTTACGTTCAATTCTCGTAGTTTTTTCGATTTAGGACTGACTTAATCAAAAAGCTTGAAAAAAAATCACACATTTGAACGGACGAGAGAGTGGCGTGAACTTGCTAGGCAAATCAGAACAAAGCGAGGGATTACTTTCAATTGCTTTGATAGGCTTTTGGAAAATGTTCATCACATGCCTTTTCATCAACAAAATAATTCACCCAGTGACAACATATAATTTACCAGAAAATTAAAAAACAAATTTGAATACTCTCCAGACTACATTACTGAGATCAAACAATTTAAAAGAGGTTTTTGTAGACATTAAACACGTTTTCATACCTTTGTTTTTATTCCAGCATAATTCCCACTTCTAATAACTATCAGGATCTAACATATTTTGCAACAATTTCACTAGAGAGCAATAGCTTCTTGCAGGTCAGACCAAAATAGTAAATTCTCAAGTTTTCAGATCATTATAGTCACCCTAAATTGTTATTAAGTTTTGTAGGAATATTTACAATCTGACCACTTGAAACATAATCCCTGGATTTTCTAACTTCATTCAATTCTAGAAGGAAGTTTGCTAATTACTTGTTAACATGACCCCTTACTGTTAAAGGTCCAAGTAAGTCTTTGACCTCTAAAAGTAACTTGTATGTAATTTCATCTTCCTTATAATATCACCTCTGACTCATATATTACAGTCATGTTGTGGTGCATGTGTAATTTTTTGATTTCTCACAAATATGTCTCATATTTCCACAACCATTAATTTATTTTTTGTTTTTCCACATATCATTTCTACAGCATAATTTTTGCATTTTATGTCAATTATGTAGCCCTTCTGATATCATATTTCATGCCCTTTTTGCCTGTGTGTCTTATTTTGTGTTGAGGTAAACTTTCTTACAAATGTTCATGTCTTGTATATTCCCTTAGCAATTGGTAAGTTTTTTGTCTCGTGGTATCTTTGCACTTATTATTCTTGTCTAATACACTAGTGCATTTTTGCAAAAGTCATTTTTCTGTTCCTTAGGAAGTTACTTATTCTTCACATGTGCATTAAAGAGTCATTAAATTGAATGCTGAATAAATGTGTTTGAGTGAAGCAGGCCCTTGCCCACACAGGTCACAGGAATAAAAGAAATGATCACCAACTACAAAAGCTCTACATTGTGAAACAAATTCTCCTTGTCAGCAACTAAGGAAAGAGAACAGTATGGATAATATACAGACTGATGTTACATGGTAAAGGGTATTTTCTTCTCCCTATAGCTACTAGTTTGCTTATAAGTTGTTTGACCCATTTATTCAAACTCAACTGTGTTACACAAGTTACCTTGGTCAAACAAGTCTCTTTAGGAATGCAGAAGAAGCTTTTCATCGCAGTAACTAAGAAATGGTTGTGACAGAAATGGTTCAACCCATGTATTCAATCAGACAGTGATCTAAGAGACACACCAAGTGTATTACCTTAACAACCATTTTGACTATGGTTGATTATCAAAGTTTTCCTTTTCTGGTGCCAAGAGACCCACATAAAACTTTTGCAACAAGGAAGCAATGTGATTCTTAACAACTCTGTGTGCAGGTTGGTTGTGGAAGCCTTCTGTTGCATCTCCTCCAACATTTTTAAGAATGGAATCCCCACCAGGATGACTAGCTATGTAGCTTGATACATTGTACACCTGGAGACAGAGTAAATGAAAGCCTTTTAAAATGCCAATCAACACATATTATATTCTCTTGAAATATCTAACAATGGCCTTGCTTACAAGGAAGAGAGGACACTAAAACAACCTACTGTGATTACAAAATTGGTACTCTGTTTAAAAGGACTCTGAAATCTCCCAGAGGATTCTTTGAAAACTAGATGGCAGAAAGATTTCAGCACACCTGTCATTTCCAATGCCTTCAATGCAAGTCTTATTTCTGGAGGCCAAAAGCACCAAACAACTAATGAAGGTCAATCTTACACAACTGTGTTCAGCCCATAACTAAATCATGGTACAGAGTGAACTATCGCACTTTTGAAATGGATGATGCAATTTTTTTATCTCTTTTTTCGGTTTGGTAACGTCTAGGATTGAAAGAATGTCTCTACACCAAATTTAAAGTCAAGCTCTACCAAAATTCCGAGTTAAAAGTTCACAGTGAGCTAAGGATGAAACGGAAAATCAAGACTAAGAGTTAGCCTACAATATGCGATGAATTCGTATGCAAGCTACCAAAGAGGAACAAGAGATCAGTTTACAATCTCTTGAGAGGAACGAACTCTAAAATTGGAAAAATTTTAAATATTTAAACTAAATTATACAGTGGTTTTTACCTTCCCGTCGATCACTATCCAAGCGTTGTCCACCTTGTTGTGTTTCTGAATTTCTTTCAAAGAGACCATACGATCCATCGGTCCATCAAAGGAAGGACGCCCTCCTTGGAGCCTACAGGAAGTTTTTGTCGCAAGCAAATTATTTTTTCAAAATTATTCGTCATACAATATATATATTTTGATAAAAAGCGCCTCCAAATTATTGAAGCTTGCGTTAGTTACCATCATAACGCTGTTAGGTTCGATCGTGGGCGCAGGAATGGTGCGAGAACAACTCAACCCTCGGTACGGGGGTGGGGACTAGCTCTAACCCCGGGGAGGCTTGGCGTGACGGATAATGATTTTCGCAAATGAGGAAGACACACAGTCTCAGTATTCTTTCATGTATCAAGAAACGCCCGTTATATTCTCTTCCACAGAAACCCCGGTTCCAACCCCGCCGATCGAAAACCACATACATTAGTTAATAAGCGGTTACTGTTAGTGGCAATGTATTGACTTTTATTCTCATTTGAGCGCGAGAATTTTGGGGAATAGGGATTATTATAGGGATACTAAATTACGATGGTGAGTGAAGAACATCCTCTCTTGTCAATTATTGTTTAGCTTTTAAGGTGCACTATTCAGCTGTAGTTTGACTGTAATGAAATGGGTGTTCTTCTCATTGATTTATTGGTTTTTGTGTTTTACCTACTCGTGAACAGTTTCCTTTCAGTATTCAGTTTCCTACAGGAGATTTCAGACTTCTCATTATGAAAATTTTTTCTTGGGTCAAATTTAGGGAAGTTCTTAGGAGGGGGTATTAAGATTGGCAAATGATGACAGACAACCCCCTTAATACCAAGAGATCACATGATCTCTTGGCTGTACTTAGCTGTATTCCAAGGACGAAGCAAAAGACTATCTCCTTGTCAAAAACCTCTGATCTTTCATAAATATATTTTATGAGTTTATTTATGGTTAGTACTCTGGACTTTGCTTCGAGAGGTCCGGGTCTATTGCTTTGACGGTTCTTGGTCAATGGCAAAACACCTTGCTTTCACAGTGCTTTAATCTTGTTTTCACCTTCAAATGATCTAATGAATAGCTAATCAAGTGCGTCTCAAAACTTTGTACATTTATTAGCCCTCCTCTGCAAAACATCAATGTGAAACCACCAGAATTTGAATGGCCAGAGAACGGAAACCCCTAACATGTCCATTTTTAACTCCAAGCTGCTCATTGAAGTTGAGGTGAAATTCTAACATGTCCAGCCAAAAAAATTCAAACCATTTTTTCATTTTTTTTGATCAACGTTTTCATTGGCGTTCCGTCCTTACTTCTTAAGCTCGCTTCTAACTACTACTGCTAACACTCCCTTCTGTTCCTCTAACACCAAAGCTTACTAATGAAAATGAGAAGTCCACTTTCATTTCCTTTGTCGTATTTCGTATGTTTGTTATGCTTAGGTGTGTGATTTTAGCTGAGCGGACCGCCTAGATCAAAGAGAGCCCCGATTTGGTTGTACATGGAAAATAATTATACGGTTGTCTTTGAAAACTGAGATCATATACAAATCCTCTGACCAGGAAACAGCCGGCCAGTGAATAAGTAAACAGCCTCATAGTTTCTCAAACTTGAGTGCAAAAAAAGTTAAGTTTCGAGAAGTACTAGTATAATTGTACAATCTGCGTACGAAGACAAAAACGGAGTGATTTGAAAAGGAGCCAAAATCAGGGAAAAGAGCTAAGTTTTAATGAGTTCAGACAATTCATCAACCCCAAATAACTCTACGCTGAACAATGAAAGTTTTATTTTTGTTTCTCTTTTTGTACTCCTGGACTTACATATCCACTATAAAACTTACTATGTCAGTGCGTGTTTACAACGTTTGTTCATGAGAAAAAGAGGATCGATATTCATTCTCTCTTAATTCAAGTCAATAGTTTTGCGAGGGTAGAGTACAGGGGCGTGTTACGGCTTTGATTCCTGTTTCTCAGGAACACGCCCCATAGTTTAAACTATAAGATTTTCTATTACTTTTCTTAAAAACGGAAAATTTGATTGTAAAGCTGTCGATGGCTTAAAAATCGTGGTGTTTCTTTTTCCCCACACCCACACAACTGGACATAGGCCATATTACAGTTGTGTACTTAGTTGCCAAGCAATTTTTGTATCATAACAAGGTCACCCTTAACCTCACTCCTAGTCAAAGGCTTCGCAACCAAGCACGAAACTGTAAAACGGACTATTAATCAACTCGCTGAGGAATTTTAAGAGCCTTTATAACATTCTTGCGTTTTAGTCGTTGCTCGTGCATTACCGTGCAAGACAATTTGTTTTTCCCTTACCTGTATGCCGATATTTGAAGGCTTACCCCGTGATTTTTTAGCACATACATCGCAAGTTTGACAATATTTTCAGACCTTCGCATCGTATTCTAACTACAGATCGTGTGTAGTCCTCCCGAGGTTTGATGCTTTCGGGTGTTTACAAACACGGACGTGATTTTGGAGTGAAGACGGTAATTTTCGAGCTCGGTCGGTCGAAGGGACGAAGATATAACGGTACGTAAATTTTGGTTAGGTTTTTTATTATTATTAATGATTGCGCGGATTATGAATATCTATGACTTAAAAAGTTGTTTCTCCGCTACAAATTTTCAGAGGTATTTTAACCTCCGTGGTGAATTTCGAAAAGCTGACGTTTAGTGCATAATCAGAGCATCGAGGATAGTGCTTAAATTATCGAGCATAAGCGCGTTAATCTGCGTTTCTAATATACTTCTACAATAACGTTTGTAGGGTCGTTTTCATTACTTTGTAGGAGTTTCTGGTACTTTTCTATATTTTTTAAAAGGATATATACTTCATTGAAGGCCTGGCTACTACCCTACGTATTTAACAAGAGATAAATATGTGTAGCCGGAAATTTTGTACAATATATTTTTTTTCAAAGTACAGTAAACCTTTTATACCAGCCTTTTATCCCTAGTTAGATTTACCTGTCTGTGGTAGGGCTGCGGAGTGGGGGGAGAAGAGGTTGAAGGGTTCTCAAACACTCTTACTAAACAATGGAAGCATATTGCAAAATTAGGTATAATGCTATGTTTTCAGGGTTGACGAGTAAAACCATAATGCTCGAATTTTCGAGCATAATACGTCTGACCTTGCATATAGCCCTAGACAGGAGCCCATTATGGGCTCGTGCCCTAGAAATATCCAAGTGCCTCCTTGGGACTTGTAACCCCTGAAGGAACGCAACTGCGCAATACCTCATAAGTTTGATCGACAGCTCTATTGAAAGCATTCCACCAGAGGTGGCGTGAGGGACCAAAGTCCTCTGTTGTTGATACCACAGTCTCCAGTAACAACTAAGTTGTCTAATCAGCCGTTTGCAGAGTGTTACCGTGGACCTAAATACTTATTCCGGTCTTAGCAATACAGATTTGAAATCATGGAAAAGCATGCGATGTTTCTGTTGTTGATATCGTTTGCAGCATCTTTCGCCCAGAAACCGGTTGTCAGGCCACTGAATATTGCACACCGTGGCAGCTCCGGTAGATTACCTGAACACACCGTTGAGGCATACAGGTAGGAACTTCACTTTTCAAATTCCCATTGCCTGATCGAAAGAGGCAAGAATTTTGATATAAAATGCAATGCAGAGACTTTCATGCCGTGTTTCGCGAGCCAAAATAACAACAGTCATATAGATCGAAAGGAATATTTTTAAGTGCAACTAGTATAATCATGACAGGTTGACCTTTGATGATAAAAATGTGAAGATGCGTGAAAGACAGCAATTCCTATATCATTTATGTTCCTGCATGAAAATTGGGACTGAAGAAAAAAGAATAGGTCTTGAAATCGCTTCCCGCGCTACTTTAACACGGAAAATTAAAACAAAAACAAAGTCATTGACTAATCAATTATTTCCTTGTAATATTTAACACAAAGGACAATAGGTTACACTCCAGTGCTTCGTCTGATTTACCGGTATTAAAAGAAATTGAGTTGTCTTAAATTTGAGCAAAGTAAAGTTGACAAGACTGAGTGAAATTAGTCAGATTTCTTGACTATTAAGGTTCGTCTTTCCTCGGTAGGCAACGAAACCAGCCGTGAAATTATAGTACACTTATTCGTACTCAAACTTACAGTTTGCATTTGAAAGCAGATTGCTACGATTTATCACATGAAGGACTTTGCGGGTAACCCGAAGCATAAAAACACAAAACAGTTTTAAGAATTTCAAATATGACGTTCTTTGTGTGACACGCGTTACACGAAACAAATATCACGGAGAGGTTTGCTTGTTTTTCGTTTTTTCACCGGGGGGAGAATCGTTTCCCATTAAATACATGGCCTATACAGATATTGTTAGTTGTTCCATTTGTCTTTGTGTCCATTCATTTATTTCTTTTGTTGGTTCGTTCTTTATTGTCGTCATATGCAGGATACATTTTCTTTTCATGTGAACTCTGTAGCTCATTTTTGAGCTCTCATTGCCACCCACTTAATGATGAGGGACTGATGACATAAAATCCTTAACACTTGAGCTTCGAGGCAGAGAAAACTGGGGCGAATCGAAGGCCATCTTCATTTGCCAATCGCGAAAGAGGCTTCCTAACCATATCATGTCCACTGTAAACAATTTATGTCCATGTTATGTCCATTCTAATCCATTGGCACCTTTCTAGAGAGACCCTAAAACCACGATTGATGTATGTAAGCTCATGTTCTCTTGAATTAACAAATAGAGAAGCCTTGACTGAGCTTTCTTCTGTTGTTGAGTACGCAGGAAGCAGCTAGAGCACGAAAGAAGTGTGGGGAAGGTTTTCGTTATATGTCGGAAGACTTTCGTTATGTCACGATAAAATCAGTCGAGTTGATTCCCCAATGAGGTTCGGTAATATTCTCATGCCCCCCTCCTATTGGCAACAAGGGTACTGGGTCCAATTTGTATGTAGTACCCCATTTATACTCTGTTGGCGACGACTGATCCTCCTCCTTTCATCCATGTGGCCCCCTAAAACCCTCCGTGCGCCCCCTCCCCCTCCCCCTCAGGCGCGATAAATAATGACTGACTTCCTTATGTTTTGAACAGGTTGGGTGTTGAAGATGGCGCAGACTACATTGAATGCGATGTCTGTATCACCAAGGATCTGGTGCCCATTTGCCGCCACGAGAGCTGGCTGAATCACACCACTAATGTCTGGGAAAACCAAACCCTTCACTCCAAAGTGAAGACTTACAAGGTGTTCCAACCTTATTCAAACACTACTAAGACTATCACCGACATCTTCACTGTGGATCTCACTTTGGCAGAGATCAAAACCATCGGCGTTAATCAGAAGTATCCATTCAGAGATCCAAATTTTAACGGCTTGTTTAAAATTCCTACACTTCAGGAGTACATTGATGTCGCCAAATCTGTCAACAGAGTTGTAGGAATATACCCTGAGATTAAAAATCCAGAGTGGGTAAATTCGTTAGAAATTTTGCGAAGTAAAAACACAACTTTCGAGGATGTGGTTCTCGACGTTTTGCACAAGAATGGATATCGTAAAAAAGACTCCCCTTGTTATGTACAGTCTTTCAGCGAGAAAAGCATCAGAGAATTGAAGACGAAAACCGAGCTGCCTTTGGTGAAACTTTTTGATTATCCCTTTCCTGAAGCAAAGCTCCAAGAACTGTCCTCTATCTGTGCTGGTATTGGTGTTTGGAAGAACCTGATTATACCACAGCGTAATGGTTATCTGCAGAAAACAACCGATCTCCTCACCAATGCACGCAAGAACAACCTGATGGTTCATATTTACACGTTCAGGAACGAAGACAAATACTTGGCGTGGAATTACACCCAAGATCCTTATAACGAGTATCAAAAGTTCTTTGATCTTCAGGTTGATGGATATTTTACAGATTTCCCTGCCAGCCTCAAGCGATTTTTGGATATGAAATTCACTTCTGAACCGACGCCAAAACCTTGTCCCAGTGGCGTCCCTGGGACACACAAGGGTGGGTATCCTGTGCCAGCTCTTGTTCTCATCGTCACGCTTATCCATAAGTTTCTCAAGTAGGCAATTACTTGGTTTTTCTTTTCGTTCTGCTTTTTCCTACTTGCCAAATATTCGAACCTTATAAATTCAGTTTACTCAACAATTTTTCAGTTGGGTGTCAAAAGTAGTCCAGGTATCATTGGTTGGTTTTACCTCGCTCTGTCATTGGTACATGCAGAACACCCGTACCACCCTCTCAACCAATTAGATGCGAAAGTAATTTCAACTGCGTCCTGGTCACGCGAGATTCCCGCGCTTTTATCGATAAGAGCTCCATTACCCCAGTAATTTCAATTTCTCTAGAGATGCATGCATATTTGAGTTATTTTTTCGCTTCTTGATGGAATTCCTTCGCATAGAATGAATTCTTCACCTAGTTGTTCAGGAGTTTAGGAGAACCCTAAAGACGTGATGACAGAACAAAAAAACTGAAAGTGGTTTCGGACGAATACGAACACAGATTGCAATTGACATGCTGAAACATCTCAGCTGAAGTTTCAAAGATTGAAAAACGTGAGTAGTTCGGGCCTCGAGGAGAAGGTCGCTATTAGAGGAGGCTTAAAAATTGTCTCCTTCTCCTTCTTCTCCTGTTCACTTTCTCTTTCTCTTTTTCTTTCTTCTTCTTCTTGTTTTGTTTTGTAAAAAAAAAAAAAAGATTATCAATAACCTGAGTTTTGTTTTCATCTTTTTAGGCAGGTTGCATGCTGTAATATAGTAACTGATTTGCCTCTCTGTTGTGTAGTGTACAGTGGTTTATCTAAAAGCGTGTTCAACAACACTGGTGCACTGTTTACTTGTCAATTACAATTTAATTTTCGACTGATAAACTGTGACGTAATAGTTCTTGTGACAAGCTTGTGAAATAGGACGCCTCTGATTGAAGAATAGAGTTAGACTTGAAAAGTCGTTACCAAAATAGGAAAACTTGTCAAGAAATGATGTCCATGCATGTGATTAAAAACATTAATGAAATAAGGGATTGCTAGTGTTTTTTTATTAATCAAAGATGTCATACAACTCCCTTTTTCAATGTCTCATAAGTATCGTTATCATTCGATTAAGCGCCTTGGGTGTTCTAGTTTCTAGGACTTTGGAAGTGGGTGCTCATCCGCGGTTGACACATATTTGTGGCCGGGCAAATATACAATTTTCAATAATTTCACAAGTAGTAAGTTGATTTAGCAACAAACAATTGATAATAACAAACGCGAAGATGAACCATACAGCGAATTTAGAGATTGTAAGCCAGTAGAGAAATGATAATCAATATTCCTCTGGTGCACTTCAGTTTTTTTCCTTTTTTATTGAGATAGGGTAGGGGTGGCTGCCTATTAGAGGTTGGGCGCTTATTAACTTTTCCTACCTTAAAGGTAGATGTTTATTCGAGGTGGTGCTTAATCGAGGTTTGGAATGAACATGCTAAATATACTGTAAAGCAGGCTTCGAAGGTCGTCATGATTCCAATTTATGACGAAGTTCAGTATAATAACTATGCACACAATCCACAAAAGTTTCTCCTACAGAACAGCATTCGTCCCATTTGTTTTTAGATTTACTGGATAACGACTCCATATTTTCACTGCATTGAAGACATCGCTTTAAGAATCTACCGAAAGAAAATAAATATTTTAATTCATTACTTTGGCTTAGAAAAGTAGGATCAATATCAGTGTCTGGGCAACTGCCCACCTACCCCTCCCCTAACCCAACATTAACCCTAAGTTGTTGGGTTAGGGGAGGGGTAGGTGGGCAGTTTCCCAGATACTGATATTGATAAAAGTATCCCTGGGAAGAGAAAATGCATGAAAACAAACACAATTGGCACATACAAGTACACGTATACAGGTCAGGAAGGAGACCAAATTCGACGTTCATTTTTGATAATATGCTTTAAGCTCTGACATCACTTTATCTTTCCTTAAAAAGAAAAAAAAATTACGGCCTGCGTACTTGATGAATGTGCTCCTATGCCTATTTTCCGAGCTCCTTGGAAGCTGATGCAATTCTTCAATAACAACCAGCACCATCAGCTGCAGAACGGCACATATGAAAGGCAGGTGGTTCCACAGACGTTTATAATTTGCTCTCTGCCGCTGTCGGAGCTCTCTATTCTTCCACTGTTTGTATCTCATGACCGCTACTTCACATATCTGATGGAGACAAGAAAATACACAGCGTTTGTGAGGTGCAGGTATTCCTGCCGTAAAGCAAGGATCGTCCGCTTGTACAGTTATCGCATATTTTCATGCAACATATGTGATTTGGTGATTAAAAGGTCGTGATCGATATTTTTTTGCAGTTCACACGTACTTTAGTGGTTCTAACCGGTAGGGTAAGGTTAAAATAAGAGTGAGTTAATACAGGCACCTTCTGCGGGACATGGTATAAAAGTAGGAGCGCTTTTTATCTAAGAACAAACTTCGTGTCCCTTGAGTAGGGCTGCTCCCTTAAGGGTGGCCCAAATGTTTAACTCTTCAACCCCTGAGGGTGACTGGCCTGTAATTTCTCCGTTTAGTGTGATCACCCTTGAATCAAATTTAAATCTCAAGACAATAGAGGAAATGATCACCAATTTAAGAAGCTCCTGATTGTCAAAAAAATTCTCCTTTGTCTGTGCCATAGGAAATGTAAAGAGAACAGTGTGGAAAATGATTAACCTTTAAAACTCCCATGAGTGACCAAGACAGAATTTCTCCTTACAATATCAATACAATATCAACCAGATAGGTGATGAGAATAAAGAAAAATACCAATTAGGGGATTATAAGTCGATCCAATACCAAATCCTCTAAACTAACATTTCAAGTTCTAACTGTATGGCAGACTGTAAGGAGAATTACTATTGAGATCTTGGGAATTAAAGAGTTAACTGGAGCTGTAAAACTCATTCCCTGGCTCCATCATCTTATCACCCCCATGTTGTGGGTCTCACTCTCTCTCTTGCTCTGGGAATTGGGAACAAGGGTGCGCCTGGGAACAAGGTTGAAGTTTATCTTGCCTGCTCAAATGTTACTGTTCCATGTTGCACAATCCTATGTAACAACATAGCTATCTCTAGCTCTCCTTTGGACCTGAACAGAGTAGGAAATGAGGCAGTATCCAAGATTTGCAAACATCTTGGGAAAAAAGTGTCAATGTTATCCAAATCAAATTGGCATGGTAAGACTTTGGTTAAACTTTCACCAGTAAAAATGGTTGATACCATAATAACAGCTTGGAGGGCTCTTGACACATTTGGAAAATGAGCAGCACTTTTGTTCCTATCACAATCCAACTCCTCACATTCTTCACCAGATGGTTTCGGTAGATCTTTCCGCTTCAGTAATGACAAAGCAAGATTGTGTACAACCTTTGCTAAGAGAGATATAGGATGAAAAAGAGACTTGTAAACTTTTGTTGCTACACAGATCCTCGTGGTAATTGGGAAATTGCCAGTATCTGAGTTCAAATATGATCCAGCAAATGCTATACAAATGCACAGAATGTGATTGGCCCACTGCTGTGAAATCTCGCACAGATCCACTTCACCATGGCTGATGTGGTCTCTAATTCTTGGTCCCTCTGAATGCACAAGAACATCAAGCAACATTTCCATGAGGGCATCTCCTAATTCCTGCCTCAAAAGGTTTTCTGAGCCATCTTGTAAAACTGGTGCAAGAATCTGAAGTAAAGAAAATAAGGAAACAAAATGAGCCACAATTTTGGACAAAATTGTTGGGACATTTGTGCCTCATTAGGGCCACATTTCTCTGAGAGTGATTACCATCTAATTTCTCCTTACAATTTCAGCCTTGAATCAAACATTGAAGTCATGAGAATAAAGGAATTGATAACCTACTAAAGAAGCTCTTGGTTGTCAAAAAATTTCTCCTTATCAGTCTCTAAGGAAATCTATAGATAACTGTAGATGGAAAATATGCATAATGATTTTAGGGTGCAAAGGGTTAAATTTTTGCTTCCCTCCAGTCAATCTAGAATTTGTAAAATGGTTGTCTTGAGCTAGCAAGCACAAGTAAGGCAATATCTTTAATTTAGTGCTGAATATTTACCTCATCAAATGTTGTATACAATACTGTTGATTCTGCCGTTAGAACTCTGTGTGGACAGTTATTTATGGAAGCAAATACTCTCCTTAGACCATGTTCTAACTGAGGGAGCAACAGCATGACACACAAATCAAATCTGAAAGGGAGAATACATATTGCAAAATTATTAAAGAATAACTAATAATATCCTAAAATGAAAGCTTCCAGGATTCATCAAGCTGAAGACAGTAAAGTTTCAGAAAGTGCAAGAGCATATTTATAATAAGGAAAAAAAGTAGAAGAAGATCCTGAAATACCTTTGCTCTTTAAAGTAATCAAGTGCTGTAAGCCACAATGGAAGCATATTTGGAATGATAAAGAAACTTGAATTAAGTAAATTGAATATCTCAGTCATGTTACATGGTTCTAAAGCAGGAAAAATACTGTGAAGTTTATTGTCAGCACAAGTTGACAAGGCAATTGAAGGTCTCCTCTTAATCTGTCTTGAACAAAATGGAGGGTCTTTTAACTTGACATTCAGTGAGGCAGTAATCACCAGCAGCAGTGAGGCATACCTAGAGATGAACAGAAACTGAACTAATGAATTAATATTACTTGCCTGTGCCATACATTAATCTCCACCTCCCATGTTCTAAACATGAATTTCTTTACACTGTCTGCTGGACAGTTCTTATAATTTTAACTCTAAGAATGTAGTTTTAAATCAGAAAAATTTCCCCTACTTGATATCTTTCTAAGTTCTCAAGACCTTTTGCTTGAAATTGTATTGATATTGTAGGGAGAAATTCCTTTCTGGTCAGTCTTTCAATAATACCGGTAGTTTCCTGTTAGTAACTACACCCACATACTGATGCTGTCATAGTTTTTTCTGAGTGGAAATCGCTTGTGGTAAAGAAATTTGGATAAATTTTACTCCTTTAATCTTTGCGACACATTATATACATACACTTGTGTTCCTCAATAAGTAAGGGTTGGAAGAGTAGGAAAATTGTGGCTGGCTGTGGAAATGCAAGTTATAAAAAAGAAATGTATGAAAAAAAAATATTCTCACAAATTAGTAGGTGACATTAATTGTGTGAAACAGTCAGAATGCAAGAGATGCAATATCTGAGGAGGAAAATTCAATAATTTGCATCAATCAAAACATGCTTACTGAATAGGAACTTCTCCAGGTCCTGCAAAGCCATGCCACAAAATATTCCTAAGGTTTAGGCTTGAGGGAGGGCCAATTAAGATGTGTAAAAGCCTTATCACTGTTTCACCAAACACTTCTTTCAGCTCTTGTGTTGCTAACAAGTCTTTAAGTAGAGATGGACACTGGGGAGCACAAGAGTATGACAAATACACATCACCCAGTGCATGCTCCAAGGAAGATGTCAACAATAGCAGGCACAAGTTGTAATCAGCAGTGTTTGAAGATTTGAGAAGTGCAAAGCACTCTATAAATCTCCTTTCACATCCAGTCCAAAGAAGACTAGGCATGTATTGCGTTTCAAATTCATGTGGCTGTAGACTGATAAGCTCATGGTGGACAGCACAACAAACTGGATGTAACCTTGTCACAGCATCATGATAATCGCAGTTGGCATGATCGTTTATTATATCTAAAAGGAGAATAATAGTTAGTTTCAGATCAGTACAAAAGCAAAAGGGAAAAGGGAATAGCCATAGGGAATTTGGTTAACCCCTGACCTCTAGGAGTGACTAACATCTGATTTCTCCTTATAATATCAACCCCCGAATCCCGCATTAATTAAGGATGGGAGAATATAGGAAATGATCACCAAATGAAGAAGCTCTTGATTGCTAACCAAATTCTCCTTCTCAGAACTCTAAGATGAGTATAGAAAACAGTATGGAGAACATACATGCATACTGGTGTTGGGGTGTAACGGGTAAAAAGTATCACGAAAATACGCTTAAGAGAAAATTGCTCAACAAAATCAGGGATCAGTTAGAGATCAAATTTAACTGGGATTTTAATTATATGGAAAGAGGAGTGGAGCTCTAGGATAATTCTTAATTAAGTTCATCCTTAGGCACTAACTAAAATGGTTGAACAGGAGAATGTAAGTATATTTCCAATCAAAGACAGTTCTCTCTATACCTTGCCCAAGAACTGTCCCAATTTTTTCCCATTGCAAATAACCACCCGCTGTAAAACCACAGTCAGACGTTTTCATTGCGTTAATTCCAGCACCTTCAAGCTTTTCAAAAGATTCGCAAATCAGCTGACGAATATAACCGGACAGGAAAGAATGGCTCTGTCTATCGACTGTAACAACGCAGTTCATCTTTTGCTGAAGCAGAAATCCGCCGAGTTATTAAATCAGAGTGTTTTTAGAGTCTAATTATACTTCTTTCTTTCTTCTTAAAGGAAGTTAATCCTGGAAGCACTTTATTTATCAAATGCCCGCCATGTTGAATATTCAACTTTAATTGAGAGGGGACTGGAGATGAGCCAGACCCATTCCGTCTCGCTCTCACAACCCATAAGTGTACTTTCTGGTGTAGGCTAAGGTTAATGTGGCCATATGATGTTTTTCCATTTAGACCTCGCGTTCAAACTTATCAAATCCATTTTTATGATCAAGTATGAATTTAAGAAATATAAATTATAGCATAAGATACAATCTCAAGAACATTTTATTTGATTCCAATTTTAAAAGAGTTTTAGTCCTTACTCACCCACCCGTCCCCAGAATTATTATCAACGTCTCACTCTTTCCCGTTTGATGCCGAAGTATGTCCGAAAATTTGCCTACGTAGGCACCAGGAAAGCATTACTTGGAAACCGAAAAGTGTTTTTACGGAACAATATGCTTCTTTCTTGTGGCCACCTAGTAGTTTCGATCGTTCTTGATGGAAATCAACGTTCTATAATTCTCGCGTGAGCTGATGTGGCCATCACATCAGCTGTTGGCCGTTTGACAGTAATTTCCTTGGCGTGATTGGAAATTTAAATTTAGACAAAAATTAACCGATAGCGCGAGCTGCATCGGAGAGGGATAATTTCGTGTTGACCTTGCGTTGGCAGTTTCAAGAATTAGAGGCGATTTCCGGCAGACACAAAGGTATGAATACAATGATAACAGGCCATTTCAACGAACTCACTGAGTTGCTTAGAAACTTTAATACGCTGAGGAAATCGAGGATGAAGTGAACTTTTTATCAGTTTCCTGTCGGTTATTCATTCGTTTTGGTCACTCTTAGTGCAGTCGATCACAGTAGCTAAGTTTGCTTCCTTTCGGTGACATGACTGTAGGACTGACATTTTTCATCAATCGAGCTACGTAAGTGCTTTGTTTAGGATCACAGAAAGAGAGAGATAGACTCTTTGACTAAATAGAAAATGAAATATGGAATGAACTACTTCAATCGTTTGATCTGTTGTTGAGGGTTTAAATCTCGCCTCACCAAAACACGAACAAGTCTGTTCAACTCCAGAGTGGCTTAGGCATTTTAAAGAAAACAAGCTTTCTGTAAATTATTGCTAAATTGATCATGAATTTGTGCATTACAAGATTCGATCAAATAACGTGTTTATTTATTTATGTCGGCTCCATGTAGGAACAGGTGGGTCTTAAGAGAAACGCTGTTTCTATGCTGGTATGAACTTATCCAAAATTGTGTGTTGTTGGACCAGTACAAGCCTGCAAACTACTAAGATTTTCACCTCCTAAAAGTTTGCCTTTACTTTGACCACACCCCAATCAGACATCTCTTTGATAATTTGGTTTGATCAACTGAGTTAATATTGGAACTTGGCTATTGTCAGTGTTTCTAAAGCGCACATTTTGAGCATGAGCCCTTTGTTAGAGCAATATCTCTTTGGTTTAACACCCCTCATTTTTAAGTAGAGGAGTGTTTTCGTGTCCTCAATTTATGCTAGGGCTCAGATTGTGGTAATGGATAAGCAAGAAAATCTCTGCAAAGTTATGGCACCAGATAATACTCCTACTGGGATGTAGCTTGACCAAGTTTTGAACAGTCCAGTCCTGGATGTTTGAACATGCTAGATAAACTGGTAATATTAGCTTTTAGCATTGTGATCCACTGAATGGTCAAAGTACATGATGTACTAAAACCTAAAGCACTGCTCAAGAGATAATAGTTGATTGTGACTCAGCATCAAGAATGAACTTATCCACTGCTTATAATGCTTTAGAGAAATCTAGTATTTACAAGTCAATCTTGTTTAAGGATTAAACATCTAGTAACCTAGCTTCCTATGTTGCTCCCCCAAGAGATTACTCTGAAGCAAACATCTGTGTTTTTAAGGTACTTAACTGCAGGCTTGTCACCAAAAGTCTGTAGGTGGCAGAAACCTGCTCAGACCATTTTGTGCGGGATTCCTTCAAATGTGATCAAAGATAGAAAATAAGTATTCTTGAACTGATCCTAACATCAATGTCTGCCTATTAAAGGGTTGCTCAAATATGTCTCTTAATGCTGCAAATCACATCTCAGAGAGTTTCAAATTTCACCTTTTGCGGAGGAGTTAGACTCCCCTTTGCAACATGCCATGCTTGCTATGCAAGCCTAATTAACTTCAACAGCCTACTCAGTTAAGATCATATATCTATTTCATTTTCTAATGACAGCCCTGAACCGACAGGAATATCAGTTTGTTCTTTTCTGAGAACTTAATAATGTACACAGACCAACTACATGTGCATCATTAAAGTAGAACAAAGAAAAATGTATACAACCTGGACAATGCTCAAGTAAAGTAAATTTGTATAGTACATGGGCTTCTTTGTATGTTAATTGGCGCAGAAAATTCTGTACAAGACATGTAAGTGTTTAACATTAGCCTTCCTAACCTCTCCATAATTCTTGAATAAGTGTGAAAAACTGTTAACAGAATTTTCTTATACAATAATATCATATTGATCTATTTCCTCTAAATGCTTCTAGGTTATGAACTGAACAGATGTGACTTATTGCGTCCTCACAAAGGGAACATTAGCACACCATGGATGGCCGACCTGGAAAGGTAATATAGAGAGTAAGATCTATGTGTATAACATCCTTACATTTAATAACAAACTACTTTAGTTGTGTTGGAGATGTTAACATCATGAAAAAGTTGCCATTAGTTTTCTTTTTTCTTCTGTCCATCCTTTTCAATTTACTGAGTCCTGTTTTTACAAATTTTTTCTGGGTCTAAATGTTTACTTCATGGTAAAGTTGCTACATAAGCTTCAGATTCAAACTATTTAACAAATGAAATTTGTCAAAGAAGGATGATTAAATGTTTTTCTTCTAATATTTCACCCAATTTTATGGTTTTCAAAGATTTGTTACAGGCCTCAGAAAAAAAAAACATGGAAACATGATCATAGGTTGGAGAGTTTTGATCCAAATGTCACAGTTATCTTGGAGGAATACTACCAGATGAGTTCTTTGCATGTATTTTATGCTATTTTTGAACAATGAATATGGAACTTTCAGCTTTAAATATTAGTCTTGCAGACTAATACTGCAGATAATTTACCAAAACAATGTTTTCATCTTTAAAGGTTTTTGACAGAGGTAAAATAATTTGTTGACTGAAACACAATTTAGTTTATTGTTCAATTGAAAATTAGGTCAATTTTCACCTGTTGCCTTTTAAATACATCTGTTTCCTGAACTTGGTAATGTAAATGACAAAAGGTAAGCATTGCTGGTAAATTAAAAAGATATTCTTTCAAATTGGTATCCCATGACTGTCATATTGGCGACACACTCTACAAATCATACTATTTTAACAATTACCCAGTGTTAGGATAAAAAATTTTCTTGTCAATGCATATTAAAAAAAAAAACAATATATGATACTTAAATCCTTTAACTCTTGTGAGTGATCAAAACAGAATTTCTCCTTACAATATTGATACAATATCAATCATTCAAGTCTTGAGAATTAAGAAAAATATCAAGTAAGGGATCATTAGTTGATCCATCTCCAAATTCCCTTAAGTAACATTATAAGAATTGTATTGCAGACAGTAGAGAGAAATGAGACTTTGGGAGTCTGTTTTACTGTTTCTACTCAGTTAGCCCTTTTGCTACAGAAGTGCTAAACATCAGCTCTTGGCAATGTCTATACATTTCTCTTGACTTTATTTTTAGAATTTTTTTTTAAATAAAACAATACACCTCTTGGCTAGGTATATTTTTCCTTCTTCATATCAATTTTCAGCCTTTGAAAGGAGGAATACCGTTTTGGTCACTTCTTTTAGTGAAATGGTTAAATGAATGATTTCTACGAATGAAGTATTCTATTTTTAACACCCTTTAACCAACTTTCCAAAGTGATTAAGACTAACTTCTCCCTTTAATATCCATATATTATCAAGGAAACAGGTACTAAGAATAATCAAACTTATCAAGTAAAAGTTATGATCTTGATCTAACACCAAATTCTCATAACTAATTTACAAGCAAATATGTAGCAGCCAGAGGAGAGAATCAACAATCAGATCTTGGGAGTTAAGAGGTTAATATCATAATGTTGTCATCTTCTTTTAAAATTTTTTATTTTGCAGGCAGGGAATAATTCAAAGCTAACGGGAAAATACATCGCTGGACGAGGAAGAGCCCTCAAGGAATTTTCAAGGACACAGCCTAAAGCAGAGGTTATAAATATACATTATTCTCACTAATACTGAAGTTAATTATGTTACTTAACTATGATTTTGATAATTTAATGTTTGGCTGATGTTTTTATTATCCAACCAAACATTAAGAAGGGTGCTCAACTGAAATGAAAAACACACTTCCTGTAGTGGTATTATTAATAATGCATCTATTATTGACAAAATAACAAGAAAGAAAGAACACCTTTGAAAACAAGAAAAAAGGCTCAAGAATTGCCAATCATTGGGCCAATAGTCACGCAATAGACTTTGATAATGCATCTATTATCGACAAAGGCGGTTTCAGAACAAGAAAAACACTAGAAGCGTGGCATTCCAAGTTAACAAATTTCCTGTCCTTTGCCCGGACAATACAACATTCTTTTTAACAAACATTCTTAGTTATCACCATTTTTAATTTTTACTTTGTACTTCACACCTAGTATTTTTTACCTTTTTATCATTTTACCCGTTGAAGGCTGTAGCGCAAACAGCCGAGAGCTCGTATTCTTTAAAGTTTTAGCCAGAGATCGTTTTTTAAATTTCATAATATCCACACTGTTTTGAAGACATTTTCAATGATACTGACAAGGAAAATTTGTCCAGCAATTATAAGCTTTTTCAGCTCCAAGGAGATCATTTCCTTTTTCCTTTATTAATATTTGATTCAGAATTAATGCTACAGGTTCCATTCCATTGACAAAAACAGTCCCCAGCTGATATTGGTAACAATAGTTTACATGGTGAGGCCAGGACTTGCACTCCATGTAGTAGAATACTGTACTTGTTCTGTAGACTGCTGAGTCCAAAACAGATCTTGCACGTGTTTGGACCAGCTGTTATTCAGAAATGAAAGTCAAAATTTGAATGGCAGTTAATATTTATATTATTAACATTATATTAATATAATATTAACTGCCATATATTAGTATAATAGATATATGTAATGAAAAACGCCGCACAGATCTATTGTGAATCAAAGATTACTAGTATTAATAGTTGATAGTTACCCTTATTTCTTGTTATCTGTCTACATGGCAATGTATTAAGAATATTGCTTGTGGTAGACCTATACATTCATACCAATTCTGGAATGTCTGAGTTTGAACAGAAGGGAAATGATAAAGACTCAAATGATGGTTTATTTGATCATATTGCAGACAGCATCTTGGAAGCATGTTTTTTTTGCTGAGTTTTACAAGAGTCACACCTTTTTTAATCTTTGGTTTTGTTTATAGGAGGTTGAAAGAAGAAAACAAGTGCAACAATTGTTTCTGAGTGGACAATTAAATGTTATGCTGGATAAGGTAACTAAACATGTAAGATTCATATGAAATCACTAAAAAATTCACAATCTTCCATTATCTGCTCCTTCAATCACATGCAAAATAAATCACAATTGCAACTTTGGTAGTGAAAACACATCCTCACTAGTTAATTGACTCATCATAATATTACAATTGCCTGATTTAAATTCTTTTTGTCTGTCATCTTTTAACTATCTGGTGACTTAACATTGTTACCTTTGTCTTCTCTGTATAGTTAAATGGTACTGGTATAAATGGAAGCACTTCAGATTCCATGTCATCCTCCTCCAGCCAGTTACAACTGGATGAGATGGAAATTGATTCCTATACAGAATTAAATGATGAAATAAATAGTTCAAAGGCCCCAATGCAAAGTGCACAGTGGCAAAGGGACATGAAAACAACACCTGCGTTTCATAATGACCTTGAAAACCACATAAACAGATTGAATATTGATAGCAGTGAAGATGGTGCTGCAAATAATAATCTTCCTCCAAGATTCAGAAACAAACAGCTTGGAAAGCACTTCAAAAAACAAAAGCCACTATCTAGATTACCAAACAAGAGTGTAAATGAGCATCTGTTAAAGATGGGAGTGAGCCAGGAATGGGATAATTCTAATCAAACAAAAAGCCAAGATCCTGTGATTGCAGCAAATTACAACACTGAGAGCATGAAGACAAATACAAATCCTTGGGACGATTGGGAGAGGTTGGTTGTGGCTCCAGTACATGTCATTGATGATGAAGATTTGGATGAAATTATTGCCATTACTGATAATGATAACTTGGATGATGTTATGGTACAACAATATGTCAATGCTCTTCATCAGGAGAAGGCATCTGGTGCTTTCAAAGCCAATCGTTCAAAGGCCACACCCAGCCGCATTCAAGCCATTGGTAATCTCAAGTCAACTACAAATGCTGATTCTTATCAGGTTCCTCCAGGTACTATACCAAACCCACCCAAAGGACCAGATCGCTGGGGTGGCAAGGAACTCAAAAACATTGACGGTCCCACAGGTTGGGGTGAACTTGTTGAGGATTCTGGAAATTGGTATGATGATGGATCCAGTTGCTGGTCAAGGACATCACCTAACACAGAGGTAATATTTAATTTTTTATTAATGGTTGGTAGTTAACTAAAAAGGAACTAAACTTGTGACTATTTTCTTTTCCACAGGACTCTACAGACAAATGCATTGGTGCTGGTACATGGGACACTGTGTCATCCCCCACACAGGTACTACTTAAAGAAGCTAAAAATGACTCTTCTATGGATTTAACTGGTGCCACACACTGGTTAAAGGTGCCAGTGGAAAGCACAGAGTGGCAGAAAGAAATGAAAACAGCAGCTAAACCCCATAATAACCAGGAAGACAACAAAGACAAATTGAATACTCCTGGAAGTGAAGATGCTTCCTCATTGAATAATCTTCCTCCAAGATTCAGGAACAAACTGGTAGGAAAGAACTTCAAAAAACAACAATCACAGCCTGGTAAACCAAACAAGAGTGTTATCGGTGGACAACAATTTGAGATGGAAGCCAGCCAAGAATGGGGTAATCCCAACGAATCAAGAAAGCAGGAACCATTTCCTGTGATGCCAGCAAATCATAGTAACCAGAAGACAAGTTTAGATATTTGGGATGATTGGGAAACATCAGTTGTTGCTCCAACACATGCAATTGATGATGAAGATTTGGATGAAATTATGACCATTACTGATAATGATAACTTGGATGATGTTATGGTACAACAGTATGTCAATGCTCTTCATCAGGAGAAAGCATCTGGTGCTTCCAAAGCCAATCGTTCAAAGGCCACACCCAGCCGCATTCAAGCCATTGGTAACCTCAAGTCAACTACAAATGCTGATTCATATCAGGTTCCTCCAGGCACTATACCAAACCCACCCAAAGGACCAGATCGCTGGGGTGGCACGGAACTCAAAGCCATTGATGGTCCCACAGGATGGGGTGAACTAGTTGAAGATTCTAGCAATTGGTACGATGATGGATCCAATCTGTGGTCAACAACAGAGCCCCAAGCAAAGGTTATAAAAATATGCATTGATAGTACAATTAATTGTGTATGATTTTCATAATTTACAAAAGTTTGATAGAGAGCACCCCCAGTTAGTGATTTTCAGAATTTTCTTTTAAAGATTTTGCAAGGATTTGTACTTAATTAGATGCAGTCCTGTGCTAGTTGCTTAGCAGGCCGAATTTCAGCTGAGGTATATTAGTGGATTTTGCAACTATATTACCTAAGAATTAAAGCTATTTGTACGTAGGTATGTATGTATGTATACTTATGTGACAACTCTTCTAATTGGGATTGTTGGGGCCAATACAAACAAATTAGATACAAACATTGTGAATAAACATCATGTTTAAAAATCACAACTGGCTGGAGGCAGACCAGTTAGCTACATACAAAGTGTACCATGGAGTTGAATATGGGGAAACCAAGAACAAATCCATGGAGTAGCAGGATGGAGGGTTTGAACATGGGACCACTAGATTACAAGTCCAGCATGTTAACCAATCAGCCACAGTGTCTCCTCCTCCTTGTATGTCTTTGTTCTAACTGACTGATCTATGCTTAATCAAAACTATAACAAAATTCTTGAACACGATTGGTTATCACCAACCCAATGTGAGCACTAATCAGTGTGTACACATCATAGCTGTAGTTAAACAATGTAATAGGACAGTCGACATGTCACGTCTGTGTAACTGGACAGCATGTGTAATGTTTGCACACTGTTGTTGAACATTTTGCAGAGTTAACTGTTGTTGTTGTTTTTTTTTATGAAAAACATACAACCAATGTCTAGATTCTTTCTTAAATTTTGTCATAGTTTTGGTTAATTGGTAACAGGACTTTGTGTCATCCAATACTGTCTGTCACCATACTTGTGATTAACAAATCACTCGTATGATTACAGACTGAACTGAACTCCACCCGGTCCTCTTATTATTTAGTAGTCATCAGGTTACCGTAAAAAAAAACTCTTAATGTGCCCTTAAAATGGCTTCTTCTTCTCAGGAAACTGTTGACAAATGCATTGGGGCTAGTAAACATGGAAACACTGGTGACTTTGTTTCCTCCTCCTCTAGCCAGCTACAACTGGAAGAGACTAAAGTTGACTCCTGTGTGGATTCCACTGGTGACATCCACTGGTCAAGGACCTCAATGGGTAGCCCACAGAGGCAAGGAGATATTAAAACAACATCTCTGTTTCATAATGAACTTGAAAACAACATCAACAAAGTAAATGTTGCTCCAAATGAAGACCATGATTCAAATAATAATCTTCCTCCAAGATTCAGAGATAAAAAGTTTGGAAAGTACTACAAATCACAAAAGCCACAGCCTGGACAGCCCAAAAAGAGTGTGAATGCACAGCAATTTGAGAGGGGAGCAAGCCAGGAATGGGATAATCCTAATTGGACGAAAAAACAGGAACCATTACCAGCAAAATTTAATACTCAGGAGACAAATCCTGATTCTGACCATTTTCCTCCAGGTACTATACCAAACCCACCCAAGGGACCAGATGGTGGCAAGGAACTCAAAGGCATTGACAGTTCCACAGGGTGGGGTGAACCTGTTGACAATCCTGGAAATTGGTATGATGATGGATCCATTTCTTGGTCAAACTCTTCTACTACAAGTGGAGGATGGAGTTGGAACAGCTGATCTGAAGCACAAATTATGTAGCCTTTGGCCTGTGTGGCTGGGAAGGTGCTATCTGCTTTACCATAAACCCCTGCTCCCCTGAATGTGAGAAATTTCCTATCTGGTAACTTAGCCAATCATAATCTATCACTAATAGATAAAATTTTTTGTTTGTGAAAATGCGTGAAGCAAATGCTCTGAGGGTTCCTCATTATATGACGGTTGTTGACTGAAGGGAAAAAAATAAGTACACTCTGGTGAGCAGGTACCCATATTTGTAGAATTAACTGCAGTGGCCAAAATTACCACCTGTGCATTGATATTTTGAAGTTATTATATAATGGTTTGAAATCTCTATCATTCATTTAGGGTAATTTTCCATTAATGTTCTTCTCATCAAATTATTATACTATAGAAAATACAATTAATATCATGATGATCATCTTTTTACAAAGAAAATGGTTTCTTTACATAGAAATTTAAAATGTCTTGGACTATTTTCTAAAATCCCAAGGTTTTATTTTTTTAAATTTTCCATTAGTTGAATAAAATTTCCAGTAATTGTACAAAAGGAATTTCTACAGAATTTGCTTTTCAGACAACATTTGTACTCACAAAGGAGGTGTTCACAGAGGTTTGAGGCAAAAAAACTGTTGGTCTTTTTAAGTAGAGCTCTTTCCTTTGTATATAAAAAAGAGCAACATACTTTCCATGTTTTGTCATAGTAAAATGCAAGGTGGGATGCTGCAACTGCAAATATTGCAACTACTGCTGTTCATTCAAGTGAACATTGTTTATTTAAAATTTACATCATTCAAACTGTTCAGACAGTGAGAGAATTGTCTTTTTGTTATACAGTACCATTATTTATGGCATCTGCTAAAAGATTCAGATAACAGTGGGATGCTCAAACAAGAACATGTCCTGTGAATGATTCTTGTTCAAAACAGTGCAATATGGGAAAGTAGGAACACCTGAGCTTCAGTAGACTTCACTGTAATATAGAAGTTTTGAGAGAATCTTAAACATTTTTTAAATTATTACAAACTCTTAAATGCTGGTCAATAAGAATAGCTGTAAAACTGTAATTAAAGGGACGAAGGATAATTTAGGATTGCAAATGATAAACATGAGAAAAATGTATGCTAAATTCCTTAAAATGGAAAATAGAAGCAGCCCAGTGGTTGTAAATGCCCTTGCCTTTTATTGACTGTATTGTGTTGGCATATAACATGCTCATGGTCTCACAATGGTCTTTACTGCACTTTGCAATAAAAGAATACTTAAGGTGTTCAAATTCTTCTTTGATTTTTCTCACAGAAGTAGTAAGCTGATACAGTGTGGGACTTAGGTAACCCTTTACACCCTAACATCACTATACATATTCTACATACTCTCTCTATGCATTTCTTAAGGTGCTGACAACAAAAGATTCTGTGTGGCAATGAAGAGCTTCTTGAAATGATCATCATTTCCTTATTCTGTGACTTTAATTTTTAATTCAAGGGTGATATTGTTAGGGAAAATGAGGTGCTGGCCATTCTTAGGGGGTTAAATTGTTCAAATAAATAAAAAAATTTAGCCTTATGAATTGAGTTCACAAGGGCACACAGAGTCACATGGACGTGAATTATGTTTCACTGCCAGTCTGGTGATTGAATAGAAATAGGAGGTTACTATGAAATTTCTAGTGAGGGTTTTCCCTATGGTGTATTGTCACTATCCTTGGATATGTCATTATTAAAGCAGCGAGTCATCATCCTTGATGCCTGTAAAGATTGATTAGGTTTGTCATGTATTGAAAATCTGCGTATGTTAACAATTTTTAAAGCTTTTTGTTATTTTTGTAGCAACATTATTTATCAATAAAATTGATAAACTTTACTCAGTCTATGAATGATTCATTTGTGGTCCAAACTAAGTATAATTTGTTAATTAACAATTATTCACCAAAGAGAAGGTGAATAGTGGTGGATATTTACTGAGCTGTGCAGCAAGTTAAATATCATCCACTTTCACTGACACTGAAGTAGATATTGATTTAGCATATTAACCACACCAATACCAAAAACTGAGTTAACCCTTTAACTCCCAAGATCTCATTAGTAATTCTCCTTGCTGTCTGCTATACAGTTCTTGTGAAGTTAGTTTGGAGAATTTGGGATTGGATCAACTTATAATCCCCAGATTGATATTTTTCTTTATTCTCATCACTTGCCTGCTTGATGTTGTATTGATATTGTAAGGAGAAATTCTGTCTTGGTCACTCATGGAAGTTAAAGAGTTAATTTCTTTCAATATACTGAAGAATGATCCGAAATTTAACTTTTGATGCATGATTTCTTCTCATCAGCGGCTCAAAGGTGAGCGCTGCGTGCTATTCACTTCTGAACTAGCCAATCAGGGTGCATGAAAAGTACTTTTCACTTGTGTGGTATATTTTAATTAGTAATATCAAATATTAGACAAGTTTTTATTGACAAATTCCTTTTTCTTTCTCTTGTGTTTGCTGCCATTTGGGCCCTCACTATTAGTGCTGCTGGATGCATCTCTACCCATAAGAGGATTTGAGATGACTCAAGGAAAGGTTTGCTGGGTCTGGTATCAGTACCAGACCCCTCGCAGAACTCCTCTCAGCTTGCCTTGCTAAGGCCTCATACAGGCAGGAAATGCTTGTGCTGAGTCACTAATAATGAGGGCCTGCTCCCACATTACAAATAATCTGGGCTTCAGTGAGGTTATGCACATGCTTGCCCATAAAAAATAGCAGAGCACTTCCATATAGCACCCCTCAGATGTACGTTAACCAAAAAAACCCCACAAAATGCAGATAAATTTACATGTAAGAGACGATACATAAAAACATGCACATAAGCTATCAAAGAGTGAACCATAATTATGAAAATTGCACTCTTTAAGCATGATGATTCAATTATTGAACTTGGTTATGACCAAATATCATATTTTATCAATGTTTAGCAGATCACTGTAAGGGGAATTGACTTTTGAGGCAAACAATTGGACAACTTGCCACTGGCAAATCACAACATCAGATAAGATATAACTGTGTGCCATCTGTATTGAATCAGTTTTATTCATTCTATTATGTACATAAAGAATTGGATTCTTCATAAAAATTGACAAATGTTCAGCAAACAATGAAAACCATACAACAAAACCATTTTCAATCACTTGCAGTATGTCTTTACTGTTTGAGTTCACTTAACTGTGCCATTTTTTGCCGCCGGCGACATTGAGCAGCCAATTTTTTCCTTTCTATCTCTTCCTTGGAGTATTTAGCTGTCTTGGAACCTCCTTAAAAGCAGGAGAAAAATCATTTCAATCACAAATTCATAAAAGTCAAACTTTATCACAATAGACCAATGACCAATGACCAATGACCAATGAATAGCCAGGGCAAATTTGTTCCTTAATTAACTCTACTGATCTGGTGCCAGACACAGGCAAATTTAATGAATATAAACAGAATATTTGACCTTCAAAACCAGGCAGTAAGGGGGAAGTTAGTGTGGACAGATGAAAAAGTGAACAAATGCAGTGGGAAAAATTCCACCATTGTGATTTTTCTCTCAAACCCTATCTCCTAGAGGGTATCCGAGTTGGAAAATAGACACCCACAGAGAGTTATCATTTTCTTTTATAAATAATAAGCTGAATTATGCATGCATTTTGATTGGTACTTACTTATCATCAATTGGGAAAGATGCATGTCTGTAAATTAACACAATTAACACTTTTTTGCTCCTTTATTATTCAAAACAAGTAGATCCCATGTAGCCCCAGGGACCTCAACAGCAGTACAGTGTAGATCAGCAAAGACCTAACTGTGATAAGAACGTTACCAATACAATCAGCTACCCATGTGTGCCCCTTTTTGTTCTTACCACATGTTGATGTCAACTGTGATCTATCACTGAACAGATGCACAGTAACATGGAATCTACTTTGTTAAGTAGACTGAAGTATTCTTGAAACACATGTTATCACACAAGAAATACTCACTTTGTGTACTTCCTTCTGGTTTGTTGCTGTGTGGTGTCATGAATTCTTGATTGTTAGTGTTAATCTCCTGGCAGATTGTATGTTGTTGTACTGCTCTTTTTTGTGGTAGGGTGACACTGGTGGTAATCTTTAGATCAGACTTATTTTGATGTGTAGTTGTGAATTTTTTTGTTTGTAGAGTAGTACTGCTTTGGAGTGAAGAGTGATGCACAAAAGAATGGTCCCTTTTTCTTGTGCTTTGAACTTGTAGAATGGGATTATTCTGCAGTCTAAAACATTGGTTCTTTGACCTGGTAATGTCACTCTTGTTTTTTACAAGAGCATTTCCTGTACCACACAAATCCTTTATTTTTTCCTCATTAACATTGAGCATATCAGGTTTTATGTACAACTGTGACACTCTCCTGACAGTTGGAATGGTAACTTGCTGGGATTTTTCAACATCCTCAAGAGCAGTCTGAAGAATGTAGTCATCATCTGTGTCATCGTTAACAAAATCCCAACTCTCTGTAACAATACTATCGATGGTATCTACATTTGCATTAATTCTGTGATTTCTGGTAAGTGGTGGCTGCCCTAACTCATTGTTTTGCTGCATTTCTCCTCCACTGCTCAAGAATTGTGTGCTAGTCATAACTTGTGTTTCTGGAATAGCATTTTTAAAAACAGGAATCTCTATCTGGCTAAGAATCAGATCATCTTCATCAGTGTCCCAGTTCTCAAAGACCTCTAAGCTTTCAGATCCCCTTACTTTTACACCATGATTTACTTCTCCAGTGCCCTTGCTGGCTTTTTGTTGCATTTCACTGCAAGAAAGAGAGGAAAAAGAAATTTTGTGGAGCTGAACTCTATGCAATAGATTCTCTGAAAAAATATTATAAGATAAGCTTAATATACCTTGAATTTTCTGAACTCTCCTTCCTAATTGTAGCTTCCTCTTCTGTAAAGAAAAAAAAAAATAATGATAAAAATGATAATAATGAAAACAATGATATCAATAATAACAGTACCATTAATGATAATAATAACAACAGCATTACGTGAAACCCCAATAGAAACAACTGCCATAATAGGAAACATTCTGAAAAATAGACTTAATAAAATAAGGTCTTGATAGCCATGCTATACATTCTATTAATGGAGTCTCAGTCCCCATTTTAACCTGTTTTCTCTGCTGGAAGTACAAGAAGTTCCAGGTCCTGTTTCAGAAGTTTCATCTTGGATTTGTTGCATTTGCGAAGAAGTCGTCTACAAAAAAGATATATATTTTATTACCAACTTACAGCAAAACAGGCAGAAATCAAATTAATTTGAATAGTGATACAAAATGACAAGGAAACCAGTTACCTTGATCTCCGGGATGGTGTCTGGAATTCCTTGATCTTCTGCCCACTACTGCTGTCTCCCTTTGTTGAAGTATAACCACTGTTGGCCTGTGCTGATGTGTTGTTTTCTCTGGACATCCACAATGCTAGCAATGGTGGATTTGCTTCAGGGGTACTACCAGACTGACAGAAAAAAAAACTCTATAAATTATGGTTTGTATCTTGATAAATGAGTGAAGAGTACTGGTAAAATACCCAGATCATGGTTACCTATACAACCCTTTACACCCTAACAACAGTACATGTATATTCTCCATACTGCTCTCTAAGGTGCTGACAAGGAGAATTTGTCAAACAGTTGAGAACTTCTCAAGTTAGTGATCATTTTCTTCAATTCTTATGACCTGCATGTTTGGTTTAAATGCAATAATACAAGGTGCTAACATAAAAAGTAACTTTGGTTAATATACAGAACAATAGTTGGCTGATAGGAAGTAAGTGACTACCAAACACTCAGCCAACAATAAGTTGATATCTACATATCCCAAGAGTTAGCTCACATCTCTACCAACGCCTCAATATTGGTTAAATGTCAGTTGACCTTTGACCATCAATTGACTGTCAACCAGAATCTTATCATTAATTAGTTAACATATTACTACTGATGTTACTTAGAGTACATGTGATTCCAAGACTGTAGCTAAAGAAATAAATTAACGTTATCCAAACACATCCCTGTACTCCATTTACCTTATCAGCCAACTTTTGTACCAAATCTGAAATTTCACCCCCACTGCTACTACTGTCACTTCCATGGTGTTTCTTCCTTTTCCCTTTCAAATCAACAGAAAAATTTACTTGAGTACACAGTTTATTTCCTTGAACACACTCACATGAAAAAAATGGATGGGCTTCTCCCTCGATTGCATGACAAAAGGTCCAAACCAATAAAAATTTTAGAAGTCAATGAGCTTTCCTAACGAGTCAGAGAATAGACAGCTGACAATCCGAGAGCCTCTTCCCAAGGTCTTAGGATATTCTCCTTCTTAAAATGTTATTTTTGGAATGTAGAGGTTCTAGAATGTTATTTTATGCAATCTTTTGGAGGTATGTGCTAAGCAATACAGCAATTGGTTGGCAACATAAACAAGTGTCAGGTACAGATTGAAGGAGTGCTCAACCAGTGAGAAAATGTGACATTGCACTTTTTTTAGGAAAGCAAAAATGACTTTTAGGGAAGTTGTCTGTTCAGGAAATTTTCTGTAACATTGACTTGTTTTCATTTTTATTAGCATCCAATCATCAAATTGTAGACAAAAAAAAATTGTTACTGAATTTTCTGTAAAAGCTTTCAGATCTGAAAGCAAATTTCACACTAACCCTGGGTTATCTAGTAACCCAGCCACGAACTACCCAGGGCCAGGTTGATATTTCACTTCTATAACATACCCACAACCTAACATACCATGTGAAAATCTTGTAGGAGATGGTGAATTATTGTCCCATACAATCTCTAGAGACTGATCCAACAGTGAGTTATTACAACTGCTGCCTCCGAGGCGACGTGGAGTTCGCCGTAGTCTACTAACAGGAGGAGACCGGTTGAGGGCTGAAAGAAAAAAGACCACGACGTTAAGGTGAACGAACACTCAGTTCACAAACCACACATTCGCTCTGACGACGGTAATTAGATAACGGCGTAATATGTGACTAACAGTCTAAGGACTTTGAGATTTTAGGCCACTAACCTAGTCTGTATATGGACGAAGGGCTGCCGCTCGAAACATCAGCTTTAGAAACCCTTTATTGCGACCAATTTATATTATCGACTAAGTTGATAAAACCAAATTATCTCAAAAACCGAAAAAAGCCCCCCTTGTATTCTGCATTCATGTCCATGCACAGCACGACGATACAAATGAAACACTATTCCTTGACTGGGCATGAAAAAAAACATTCACGCTAGCTACATGCCATTTCAATTCTTTCATCACTATCGCCATTTCATACCAAACATGCAACGCTGAATCTAAAGCAAATCACATTTTATCGACTGAAGTTCACTGACTGCTAGTTCAAAGGTACAAATCGTTGGATAAAACTTTGAAAAACATTAACAATTCATGTAAAGAATTGCAAGGTTTCCAAATGAACTACCTGAATTGTCGTGAGATCGTCCGGGAGTCTTGTCGATAGATCGTCGCTTCCTCATTGGAAAACACTCTGTAATATTCATAACACCGTCCTGTAGACTTTGAAATCCACCATAACTCCTCAGTGAAGGAACGCAACTTGACTTACGAGCGTGAAAACTCACAAACTCTCAAAAATAATCACAACTTCGCGAAACAAAATATGGCGGCAAATTTTTGAAAGGCCAGCCTCGATTTCACACAGAGCGCCGAGTCGTGGTTGGTCGTCAGGAACACACTTGGGAAAGCGTGATCACGCGCGGATATCGCGCGATTCTAAACGATGCTTCATAAACTGCGTTTCATTCGGAAATGGGAGGGACACGGGAGAGGGAAGAATGGCGAAGGATCCAAAATGTGTAAATGTAAAATGTCTGAACTCTTGGGGTACACATTTAAATTGTCTTTTGAACTGAAAACAGATAGGGCAAAAAAAAAGGGAAAGTGTTCAACTGATCAGATCTCATCAATGACCAACTCTAATAATTCATATTATGTAAAGTTTTTTGCATTCCCCTCTCCATTTTTTCCCCATTCATGCAAGCTAAACAGATCATAGTAGCAAACATGTGTCAACAGAGAAAAACCTCACACTCGTAATCTTTGATGAATAATAATTTATTAGGGGAAGAGTTGTTCAATAAAATACTGAACAGTGAATGGGAGACTTAACCAACGGTGTGGGAATATTTTTACTGACACAAAGCATCTTAAGTCTTGAAAAAAAAAAATGGACAAAAATCATAATTAAGTACCATAGATGTAAAAAAGTTGGTTCTCAATCCACAGTAAGACAAAAGATACATCAGGGAGCAATTCTAAATTTGAAAATTAATGTTCATTAACTGTATCCCTTCCCTGATTTTCTTTATTGCTTCATAAAACAAAAGGAATCAGAGCTTTACGCGACTTTGGATAATCTTCAAACTTTGTAAGATACCAGCTGTAAGAAAGAAAGTGAAACAAATCATTACAAGGCTGTTGTAAACAAAGACAAACAACACAATAACTACATAGAATAACCAATCATTAACACTACAGGCTGACATGTAAGTCAACACTGTCACTTGGTTGGTTGGTCAATCGCTCAATCAGCCAACTGGTGAATCAATTCAATCTTGAGGGGTTGATCTCCGAAACTTTGTGGGGATTTTCTAACTTTCTTATTGGTTTCTTTGCAATTTATCTGTCAAGTTTGCTAACCAAAATGTTTTTCCCAATATGGATTACCCAGGTGCCATTGTGGGAGATCCATTTTGAAACACGGAATTCCCCCACATGGTTTTTTAGGTTGGTATCTTGGGAGTCTTTGTACCAAATTTCAAGGCAACTTGTATAGTTTACTTTTCTATTTATTCAAAGGAGGCATATTCGCATAATTTGAACCTGGTGTTTTTTGCATCCAAACTTTTCCCAACAATTCACTCCTTTGGGTGACCACACGTCAAGTTATGTTAAAACTCTGAAAACTCGAAATGCCTTCCTCCAATAGAGACACAGAAGCCTCCTGCAGAGTCTCAGGAGACTCTCAACAAAAAACATATTTTGCTGGTAACTATCTAACAGTACCCTTGACAGACTTTTTGTTCAATTCTGCTGGATGGCAATTTTGCTTTCCACACTTTTTTTTCAACTCAAAAGCTGATTAAGCACACTGTGGCAAAACTTAATGTTTGCCTATTGAGTGAAAGCAGCAAAGATTGCCTAAATGACCAGCCTTTATCTGTTTCCATCAGATTCTTTTAACATTCCTAAAAACATAAACTTTTGGGCATTAAGATGACAAAAACTGGAAAAAAAGAACAACAAGACAGTCTGGACCACAAAATGTTTATAACATTGTTTATCAAACCCATAAATAAAGAATACATCTGAAATACAAATGGTGTCAGTATTCCCTTTTTGAAAATAATAAGAACCAACAGAGGAAATAAATGCAAAACTACCATCTTGATACACATGTGATACCTGTGATGTTGAACTGCTCTTGGGCCGATGTTAAAAGCAGTAAACAAGAAGAAGGCTAAGCTTGGAAGTGACCAACAGGCTATAGCAAAGCCAGCCCATTCAACTATCTCACCAAAAAAATTGGCTCCTGACACATAGGTGAACATACCACCTGGAAGATAGAAATTACATTTATATATGAAATAATCAGATTCGGATACAAAGAGAAAAAAAAAATGCTGCAATGTGAAAAGGAATGTCTTGATTTGCAAGACTTGCAGTTCACCAGTACCAACTGTGAAAGATTCTTTAAGGTGAAATACAACTGTACCCAAGCAACATAGAATCTATATTTTTTTATATATTAAAATAGCAAATTGCTGTTTTAATGGTGACATCAACTATGCATCTGTCCAGTAAATCATAAGTATCAATCAATCAAAATGGGTGTATAATTCAGCTTTTCATATAATACCTCTTGGAATGTTGTACCCTGTTTCACCAGGTCTCCTTAAGTTGCGCAGAATGTGATCTGAATGGATGTTGATGGCCATCCCCATGAAAAATATCGCTACACCACAAACAAAGCGGGGACTTGATACGTAAGACATTTCATATCGAGCATATTTTGTTAAATATCTTGCCTGCATGTATCCATTTAATACACAAAACATAAATGCCAGAAATGACAGAAAAACAGGAGTCGGTTTCCCTCCTTTGATAAGCCATGGATAAATGAGTGACCTGGAAAGAAATATTGAAAGGATGATTGATTTGTCAATTCTCATACGTTATTTGATTGTCGATTTGCTAAGACTGTAAGGAGAATTTTAGATATTGATCACTGCAGGTTGTCGACGGGGTCAGTGAATATCATCGGTAGAAAGAAACATAGCGGTCGGGACGTATATAGGGCATGCTAACCTTTGAGTGTAATGCAATAAAAACAACGATAGCAGAGTCATATTGGGAGTCAATCCAAAGACGTCTTTGCGTGCATACAACAGCAGCAGACATGGAACGACGAAGGCTGGTAGTTCTTGCACAAACCATGCAACTCTTGCATCTACTGCAAAGCCGTACTTCCGTGTTGAATTCGATGAAAAGTACCTTCCATATTCGGCTTTAAGAAAGACAAGACTGACTGCAACAATCACCCCCGTTACTATCATTATCTTTGAGAGAATGAAGATGAATTGGAGTTCTTCCAGCCCTCTTGCAAAGTCGAAGAAGGAAGCCATTTTCTTATGCAACCTAGAAAATGTCTCTATTACGATGATCTGGGAACGAGGAAATCGCCTGGTTACCAAGTTTTGAGTTTTGCATCATGGCGGGAATATTAGTTTGATTTACGAGATTCTAACTACATTTTAGCCATGAAGCAAGAGATTTATCAACAGATATTATCCATGATGCATACTTATGGTTCAAGGGACTGTTTGAAAACCATTGCTTTGCAGTTCCCGGGGTATGTAGGTCGTTTAGTAACCAATTAAATAAACGTCATACGCAAGGTCACCGTATCGGCTAAATAAAAACCTTGAACGATGTACAAAATGCCTTAGTGCTATGCATCGAATGAGCAATTGTTGAATGAGATTAAGCATTTCATACGCACAAAATCTTTTAAAAAACCCGTAATAATTAATACACACCACTTTAATTATACTCTAATTTCTGCTTCTTCTTTCTTTTAGTGTGACATATAACACACTAGTTAGCATATACTCACAAGATTATCAGGTAAGTCTTATGACAAAAGAGTATTTATCCCTGAAAAAGTAGGCCTTTAACTGGTACCTATGTGTTGTGAGAAAGAAAACATGGCTGTCACATAGTTTTTGTGCAGCTGAAACATTTAACCTATTTAAGATATCTATAGCACTGTAATACATTGCAAAGTGTGATCGACATCCTCAGGCGTTAATTCAAGATCAGGCTAATATCCAGCTTTTTCACTAGAATGTATTTTCAGAGATTGATGACTGGAAGCGTGCTACCTTGTGCTTTAATGCTGTGAGATTTATTTCATTTTGCTTCTTTGTTATTTAAGAACTCAAAAGTATGTCCCAGTTGCAAGAGAGTGATTTGCTAAAGTACCATTGAGTTGCAATTTGCGTGTGGATTGATCTTTGTAGTGCATAAGCTGAAGTGTAAAGCAATGCTGTCACTGGGTAGCTGTTTAGTATTATCACTTGTTTTGGTGTTGTGGCACATTTTACAGACTAAAATGGAGCACACTTGCAAGCTTGCATGATCATTCAGGCTTTTGTTTTGTCATTTTTTTCAGTTGTTATTTTCTCTAAGTCCTTCAAAGTGATATATTAAAGATACAGTTTGTGTCCATGGGCATAAATATGTTTTGGGCTCTTCTCAAACTCATTTTAACCCTCACTTGTCAGGTCAGGCTAAAATGACTATGAGTTGGGCCCAAAATATATTTATTCCTGGGAACATAAACTTTATTATTTTAATGTGACTTGTTGCACACATCAATTGGCATTTAGGATATTTTTTCCATCTCTTTTACCTGTTGTTTAAATTTTTTGCCTGGATGTTTATTTTTGCTGTTGTTTACCTTAACAGAAAAAGACAAGAAAAAATCACCATAAACACCACAAGCCAGAAGTGATGGAGGCCTACTACAAGAGGTGAGGATAAAGACATTTTATAGCACATACTAATCACAATTTAGTGCAACATGAAAATAGCTAGCAAAGTTTAAGAGATGCAATACTTTAAGGACAGCATGATAAGTATAAATATTTTACTTGCAAAGCAACCCAAACAGATTTAAGCTTTTTAAAAGCAGCTTGCTCCCTGAAAAAATTACCACGTCCTTCCTCAAATTGAGTGGTTGCCCTGTGAATTAATTCCATAAGTGTCTCAACCCTTTGAACCCCATAATTGACCAAGATAGTATTTTTCCTTAGAATATTGATACAATATCAGACACACAAATGATGAGAATAAATAATGGTAATTGAACTGAGAGGGGTTTAACTTGGTCCAAAATCATATGCCTGATTTCAAATTCAAATGAGCATGCAGCACAAGTTTGATTTAAAGTTATGAGTATGATTTCAGACAATAATTACACTCCACTCAGTTCAATTACCACTTTGAAATTGCAAAAGTTACTCCTCATATACAGGAACTTTTTAGTCTGTTCGAATATTTAATTGATCCAGTGCTGAACTTGTTTTTGTAAATAATTGCAAAAGCTGTCTTTCATTTTCCTGCAATTTGAGTGGTTACTTTAAACAAGCCTTGAAATCTGATTGATTGTTGTGTTTTAGTAAAGCTTTCTTGTTGGCTTGGGAAAAAATGCAATTTAGAGCCAATAATGGTGTGATTTGTTAATAAATCAAACCAATAAGAGCCAATCAGATTATAAGGATCACTGTTGATTTCAAAATGGATGTAATAAAGAGTGATATCAGGAGATAATGAGATGTGGGAGTGAAAGAGCAAAGAAAAATATGGCAAAAGAGCCATCTACTCACTTCTGCATCTGTAATCAAGGAAGCTTTTTTATCCAAAGCTTTCTGACATGCCTGGCTCTTCTTAAATTAATTTCCATCTCAGTTTGGTATCTGGAAAAGTATGGTGCCTAACCTAATCTTATCTGAGGCATCAGATATTGTCTCATCTTGAACTTCACTTTTCTCTAAAACTTTTTAATTGTTAGATACTTGTCAGGTGTATCTCAGGACTCAGGAGAGCCTGTATTGTTAAGGATTGCTGAAGAGGTAAAGGTACCTATATCAGACTATGCAATCATATAAAATTAGGCCTTTAACCTTAAGAGTGATTAGCATCTAATTTCTTCTTGCAATATCAGCCCTGAATCACATTCAAGGTCATGAGAATAAAGGAAATGATCAACAACTGAACTAGCTGGTGATTGTTAAACAAAGAGGTGTGAGACCTTGGCAGGTCATTGTGTTGTTTACTCTCATAAAACCTCTCCCCACCCAGGAGTATAAATGTGTCACCGTGAATTGTCAGGGAAGCCTGATGAAATGCTAGGAGGTGATCTGGCAATAGACAGGCCTTTGATCCAGGGGCGAATAATAATACTCCTTGTTGCTTTGTGCCAAGAAGCTGGAATAAGTTTCAGCTGGGTAGTCCACTGGGCTGGAGTGCAGACTTTAGCTACCTTACCTGCCCGTTCTCATTTCAGAATAGAAAGATAAGACAGATGGTACAAACAGGGTACTTTGTAAAGGTAAAAACATGATTTCGAGTGAAATGTGGTGTTAATAAGCACAAGCAAGGTTTTCGAGGACAACAAAATTGCACGAACCCGTAGTACTCTTTGGAAAGTTTATAAGTGCTTATTTACACCAAATTGCACCGGAAATCATGTTGTTACTTGTTAATAATTTACCTAAAAAAAGCACCACAAAAAGTCAAGACGGACGAAACTTTGGCAGTGCACGCTATTTGTAATTTGCAATCGTGTTGCAACTTTGCACTCGTGTTGCAACTTTGCACTCGTGTTACATGAAAAATATACTTGTTTTCAGCCAATCAGGCGCGCGTGACTTTTTATGTTTATTATTACACTAAGAACAGCACACAAGGGAAAGCCTCTAGTTACGTCCTTCTCACGTCTTTTTTTGTCAGTGTTATTATTCCCTGAAGAGCTTGAGCCTTGTTTTTTCAAATCATCAGGTTGATTTATCCCATTCTCTTCTGGCAAGAATAGTACTTGTAAGGCATCTTTCTCACACTTGTTACGAGGAACAAAATCGTAAGTGCGGCATGTTTGTTTCTGACGGTAAATAAATCCTATAAACTCTTTGATCCATAAGAGTGACTAGCGTCTAATATCTCCTTACGATAAAGGAAATGATTAGTAACTAAAAAAGCTCTTGATTGTTAGACAAGTTCTTCTTGTAAGCACCTTAGAAAATGTATGCAGAACAGTATGGAGAAGATGAATACTGATGTGAGAGTGTGAATGGTTAATGAAGCCCCTCACGGACATCAAGATCAAAGTTTCTTGGGCACCTGGAATTTTAGTCATGGGAAAGTTTTTTTTTCTTTTTTATCTCAGCTCCAAAAGGTGTTGTAAGCCAGATGATGAAAGATCCTCTGTCTATCATAGAGGACAAGACATTAGCTAACGAGGTGCACCAGGTAAGATGCCATAAAAAATTCACAGCGGTCAAATGTCGGGCATGCGCGAGGGGATCAATTCTGGTCGGCCGCGCGCCAATTTCCCGCGCAAAATTCAAAGGAAGACATAAGAAAAAAATCACTGTCTCCTCAAATAAGCGAAGGAAAATTGAAACGTTCACAGAGATCAGTCAAAGAAACAAAAGTAGTGAAAAGGAAAACTCAAGACAAAGCTTTTTCAAGTATTTGGCGATAACACCTCTGACGAAGGGCTAACGGTCGACGAGTCAGCTTTGGAAACTCTTTACGGTGTCCAATTTACATTATCAAGTCTGTTGATTAAACCACATCTTTTTATACTCCCCCCAACGAAGCAGCACCATAGTTTCTTTAGAAACTTAACCCCTTTTATTCATTCGCAAGATTATTTAGTTACACATATACTACTGCCAGTGTGTTGAAATCACGTAGAATTACACTTTGAACAAAGACTAAACAACATATTTACAGTATTCCTTTCGTTTTTTTTTTTCAGTGTATATTGAATGATCCAAACTACGGACCCTTGGCGGACACCATTAAACGGTATCCTTAAAATGTAAGGAGACAAAAAAAAAAAAAGCTAGAATAGAAGATAGCATTCGAATTTGGCTTGCTAGGAACAAAAAGAGATTTGAATGTCAAATATTCAGAGTACGTAAGTTTCAGTCTTCGTTGGGGATAAGATTTTTAAGTTGTTGAGATTGTTGAGCCATTTTCTCGTCGAAAAAAAAGGCAAAAACAAAAACAAACAGTGTATAGTCCAAATATTAGGCGGTTATTTTATATAGACTACGAGCAATCCCTCCACTTTGGCGAAGTCCGTCGCACAAGTAAAGAAAAATCGGTAAACAAAAACAACAACAACAGTTTAGCGTACCGCGCGGAACGCTGGGAAGGAGGCGCGGAAAAGTCGTCTAATAATCTCGGAATGCGACTGCGACGTCGTCACTCTCCTTTTTCGGCACATAAGGCGGTTTGCTTGTTTTTGCTTTAAGCTCCCATTTGCTCTTTGTAATAAAGGGGATAAGTTTCTAAAGAAACTGTGGTGCTGCGTCGGTGGGAGATTATAACAGGATAATTAGTATTATCAACTGAGTTGATAACGTAAATTTGCCACCGTTAAGAGTTTATTTAGAGCCAACGCTCGAAATGTCAGCTTTGAAACTCTTTACAGTGGCCAATTTACGTTATCAATTCAGTTGATAATACTAAAGTACCCTGTTATGCTCTTTGTAATAGTTGCCTTGTTCTGATTTTCTGTCTGTGTGATTGGCTTTGGTTTTACCACACTCGTTTCGAATGCGTCAGAGATGCGGTCTAGAAAGGTGTATTGCATGGAGTTTCCCTTAATTTATTGACAGTTCTGTTGGTTACGAGTATGAGTTCATTCTACGAGAGAGACTTAAAAATCGAGGCATTCCATTCCTTGGTGAGTGATAGATTAGCTTTAAGGTATAAATATTGAATGTGCAGAAATGTAAACGGGTACAGATTTACAAAGTATCACCGATGGTACAAGAGGAGCAGGGATGGCGCACTGCGGCCTGGGTTCGATTCCTGGGTGTCACATGTGGGTTGAGTTTGTTGTTGGTTCTCGTCCTTGCTCAAAGGATTCAAGTTTCTCCGAGTCTTCTGGTTTTCCTCCCTCCGCAAAAAAAAACAAACCAACAAACAAGCAAAAAACAAAAAAAAAACAATCCAAATTCGACCTGGAAGCAGAGGACAAGAAGGACCACCTCGTGGAATGGCCGCTGCTAAATTCTCATTCCCCTTCCCATTATTCCCGCTGTTTTCAGAGTTGTGTGCACCAACTCCGTTTCCTCGTCGACTCAAATGGTAGAACGGCGTGCAACCATAAAGGAGGTCGAGGGCTTGGGCCTGAGACCGAACCCCAAACCGCGCTGTCGTCTCCTGCACTTTCGCTGTTATGGCCTGCCCACTACAAACAGTATAACACCAAGTGCCTGGTGATGTGATATGTCCTCTTTTCACGGGAGTTGCACAGAAAATATTTTTTGTGCCTCTCCCCTTTAAAAATATTAGTAAAAGAAAGCTTGCAATAAATCAAAAAGTAAATTAAAAAACATCGTTCTTTTACAACAACACCAATTTCATCAAGTGCCGGTGCATTCTGCCGGTCTCTGGGTATTCTTAGTAGTCTTCTTTGGAATGTCACACAACACTCCTTCTCGAGTTACGTTGTGTGAGTTATCATAGAGAGATAGACTGATCTTGTGGTAATTTCCTCTTCCTGTCGCTTCTTAGGTGAGGATGACTTGAGAAGTCGTGGATACGACAAAACACCAGACTGCAAACTGGAAATTCCCATCGGTACGTTTTTTCCCTTCCGGAGAAAAATAATTTTGGGCCGGATTACGTTACCGTTTGAATGTATTGAAAAATTTCGCCGGAAGTTTTCAAGTTTGTTTTTCGCTATGTGCATGAATCCTGTCCATCTTTGACCATCCATGTTTTCTTTAGGTTTATTTACACGTTTTTGTGTTTTCCTTCCTCGACAACTTTTATTTACAGGCTTCTTTCCAGTTTTTGTCGTCTTTCAACCACCCTTACTTAATAAAACCAACATGTCTTTGTTTCAAATATATTAAAGTTCGTAGCCAAAACTTTACTCAGGAGGGCTGACTATCTACTATCTTCACTCGATTCGAAGGCTGAGGAGAGGAAATATGTTTCTAATGTCCTAAAGGCGAATGGCCATACCAAAACTTTTCTCCGTAACTGCCGAAAACCAGTTACAACTAGTAGCACTCCTGATGAGAGGGAACCAGCGACTGGTTTGCTGTTATTCCCTACATTCAGGGTGTTACGGAACCCATCAAGAGAATTTTGAATAGCCACAACGTTAAAGTTGCTCAAAAACCTTTTCAGACTTTGGGGCATACTTTTGCCAAACCTAAGGATCCTGTCACGAAAGAACAACGAACTGACGCTATTTATTCTATTCCGTGCAATGACTGTGATAACGGACAGACCAAACGTCAGTTTGGTACATGTTTGAAAGAGCATCAAAAAGCGGTCCTCTTTTGCAAAAAAGAAAATTCAGCTTTATCGGAGCACACATGGCTAACCAACCATACAATTGGGTGGGCTAAGTCTAAAATTATCACCACTAATCGGCGTTACCACTAGCACCTTTGTTTGGAAACCTGGCATATAAACTCCGCCCACGCCCCTTTAAATCGTGATGATGGCGGCTTACTTCCTGACGCCTATTTACACCTCGTGAGAAAAAAGATCAGCTAATTAGTGAGCGCACTAGACAGGAGTGTCGAACGTTGGGTCCATGAATTGTATCTTTTCGGTTATATTCACTAAATCTTTAAACCAGAGTAGCATCAAACCAAGTCTGATGTCTTTGTTTCTTATGAGCGCGTTTCGATTTAGTGTGTGCCGTGAAACCAAAACCAAAATAATCACAAAGGTCGATCACAGTGAAGGAAAATGCCCATTCAGCCAATGAGAACCCAGGCAAGTAAATTTCCCAAAGTGCGGAGAAACACGATCGATTAAAGTTCCGATTGGTGTTAGTTTCCCATCTCATTGGTTGAGGCAATGGCGCGATAATTCACGTTACTCTCCTGCCTTTATCCACCTAGTGGTATCACGGGATACCTGTACTGGACGAACATCCAGTCCAAGCAATAGCAATTCTTTAAATTGTTTAATGCTTCATAATGCTACAGCTGCATGCTCCTTGCGAATGAATATGAAAGCAAATACAAGCATTTGGATTAAGAGAAATTTAACGTGGAAACCTTTCTATTGGCGATGGCCTGGTCATGACCTAGGGATGTCTATCTCAGAAATCCAGCTGATTGTATCTGTGCTATTTTCAAGATAATTTGGTTTTAGTGGACAGCATTGAAGGCGCGCTCTGACTGGCTTCTAAAACTCCGAATGTCCTCTGCCATTCACCTCCGTTTCAGGAATAAATGATTGAAATCATTTTTTTGTGCTGTATTATCTCACTGTTTTAGAATGTAGTAAAACAACTATTGACCTCAGTGTCGGTGGGTAGCGCCACCTTCACGTCGGTGAATAGTTGTTAATTATCAACTTAGTTGATAATGTAAATTGGTCACCGTAAAGAGTTTCTAAAGCATTGTTTCTTTGGAAATTTACCCCCTTTATTCATGTGTTATTTTCAGCTGTAGACGGTTGCGTGGTTAATTGGATTGAAAGCAAAGCTTCATTCGGCGATGAGTACAATCACCAGACGAATTTGAAAGATCAGTTTTGGAGTTACTGGAACAGGTAAAGCGATGAACTTTAGAAGCTTTGCGTCATAATCTTTCACTGGTTTTTGTTTTTGTTTTTTTTTTTGGCCTAGCGCTATTTTATCTCCACTTAAGAAGGAACGCGCGCAAAGTGAAAACCTAGGAAGATAGGATAATCCCAAAAGACTAAAGAAGACACTGGACTAGCGTGACGCGCACGCTCAAACATTTTTAAAACATTTAGATCTATGAATTCGCCCGAATGTGGCGTACAAGATTATAACGAGTGCGAATGGCAGGTTTTATTGTTTTCATCTCCAAGGACCAGGAGTTTCAATAAAAGCAGGTTACAGGTGGTCCACCGCTGACCGTACGACCTCTCACTGCTGTCTATCCAGCCTGCCAGCGCCCCCCTTGTATGGGCAAAGCCGTTTAATTACTCCATCGGCAGCCTCTAATCGTTAACTGAAAATAGTTGAAACTCCCGAAGGACCTTGTGCTGATTGATAGCCCTCGTGTTTTCAGCTCTTCTTTTAAGTTCTTCCAAGTGGAGTTGGGAGTATGCAATACGAATTCAATTGGGGGAAAAATTGAAACACATTGTAAATGGCAGACCTAAAACTTATAGATCAAACTTTTCATTGTTCCTACTGCGGCTCAGTAATGATAGACTACGCGCAGTCCCTCCTTTTGCAGTTTCTCCCTTCCTTCGCATGATTAAAAAGAAATCTGTAAAAAAAAATGTTGATGTTAGCTTGCTGCGCGGAACTCTAGGAGTGAGGCGCACCAAAAGTAGGTGTTCCAGAGTTCCACGCAGCGCCCTAACCTAATTTATTTTTTGCTGAAGTTTTTTTACTCGCACAACAGATTTCTCCGAAAAGAAGAGACTGCTCGTAGTGATTAGAAATTATGCGCCTGGTTTCATTTCGCAGATTTGGTCCAGGCCTGGTGATTTACTGGTTTGGATTCATCGATGAACTCGATTGTAACCGAGAGCGTGGAATTATCTTAAAAGGCGACTTCCCTACAGATATCATAACGCTAGAGTCCCTTTTGGAAACTTCCTGAATAAACCAAACTGTATGAGGCAAGAAAGAATCTTTATGGACTGGAAAGACGAAGGTGAACCAACAGAAATTTCTGATTTTGGACGCAGGATTTGTTAGCGCACGTCTCGTGCGCATAAATCAGGACTCGATAGCGAAAGCGCTATGCTTAATCCATGCTTCAATTTCCTTGTGTGCTTCAAGTTATGGGTTTTAAGCTGTATCACTGAGCTGCAACGAAACTGGCGTAGTACATCTCTAACTTCAGCAGATTAAGTCACACAACTCTTGTGGTCCAGAGTTGTTGGAGCACGTCCTGGTCTGTGTAAAATGAAACAGTTATGCATGTTGATGCTCTTCCTGGACAAGATGGAGAGTCAAAATTTCACTTACAGTGTTCTGGCACACACCTATGCTGGGTGGAGACAGCCACTGTGAATCTAAATTATCTTTTAAAAGAGCACAACACAATGAGCTCGCTAGAGGTCTACCCGACCCTGTTGCTCACGAGTGACTGGCATTCCCTTACATTATCCTGCTGAATCACACTTTAAGGCCATAAGAATAAAGGAAATAATCACCAACTGTTGAACGTCTTGTTGTGTAACAAATTCTCCATGTCAACATCACAGCAAATGTAGATAGAACAGTATGCGCAATATGCATATCAATGTTAGGGAGTAAAGGGTTAAATCTCAGGGGAGCAGGGATGGTGCTAGGCTTAGCTACATAATTCCGGAGTTTTTTTGGGAATTTAAGACATCAAAAAGATTTTTAGAAACTCTCGGGAATTTTAGAAAAAAATTGACAATTTCGAGAATTTTTAGAGCAATCTGAACTTTCACCTGACATTTTGGAAACTTTTCACAGGCAAACATGTTTACAAAACGTTTTTGTTTGTATTCCAACCCACCAGGAGAGGGGTCAGTCTGTACATATTCCTCATCAGCGGCTATTCACCAAATAGGGTCCTACAGTGCATCTAAGCAGCGGTTTGTCACCGTAGTTTCGGAATCCGGATCTTTGTTTGATAGCAAATACTTTGCAAATTCTTATGAGGAATGTGAGCCATCTACTAGCTTAGCAGAAGCGAGAGAGAACCAAGTTGTTTCACTGCTAGACCGTCTTAGACCATCCGATAGTAATGATTTATCGAGAAAGAGAAAAATCAATGTAAACAGACGCGGAAAAGGAGGGAATCGACGAAGTGTTTCTAGGAACGAGAAGCCTAATTACGCACCACAGGTCTCAGCCAACAAATGACTTGAAGAGTTCAGTAAGGAGTCTTGGCTAGCAATATCGTTCTCTTCTGTCAGGCTTGTAAAGAAGAAATCTTTGTGAAGAAATCAGTAATTAAAGGCCATATCGCGAGTAAAAAGTACAGTGCAAATAAAGAAAAGCTTGCCAAAGCAAAGAAAAGGGAAATGGACATTGCTGAGGTGTTGGACAAGTTTGACAAAGAACACCATCCAAGGGGAGAAACGCTACCCACGCGTACTATATTATATCGAGTAAAGATTGTACAAGCATTCTTGAAGAGTGGGACTCCCCTTAACCGACTTGAGTACTTAAGAGACATCTTTCAAGAAGCAGGTGTGACCTTCATCTACCGTCAAAAATGCGAGAGCTTATCCCTTTCATCCCCGAAGAGGAGTACAAATCTATTGCCAAAACTACTGGGGAAGGATGTATCAATTATATTTGATGGAACGACTAGAGATGAAGAAGCTCTGGCTATGTTGATCCGTTATGTCCATGAATGGGAAGTCAAAATGCGCCTAGTGCGATTTCAACTTGATAGGAGCTCTGTTAATAGTGACGAACTTGCCAGGATAATTATTGAAGTTCTGCACCGGAAGCTGGATGTTCTGCAAAACAACCTGGTGGCTGCAATGAGAGATCGCGCCCCAGTGAACAGTAAGGCTCTTAGAACAGTGTCTATTCTGTACCCAAATATGATGGACATCGGGTGTATCTCCCACTTTTTAGATCGTGTTGGTACCAAATGTGTCACCCCAGCGGTTACATCATTTATGTCGTTGTGGAATGCCATGTTTACCACCAGCATGAAAGCAAGACGGGCTTTCAAAAACATTACAGGACGAGGGATGCCAAGATACAACGCTACTCGATGGTGGAGGCTCTGGGAATGTCTCAAAGTGGTGTTTGAGGAATGGAAGCATGTCCCTGTCTTCCTGGGAAGTGAGGAAGAATTTGCAAATGCTTCACGACAGAAGTTAACAGATATCATGCAGCAATACCCTACAGAACTCAGACTAGAGATGGCAGTGTTGATGGAACTGGAGAGGTTCGTTAAGGTAACGTACACTTTGGAAGGGGATGGTGACCTTATCTTCATTGCCTATCAAAAGCTTGAGCAGCTTAAAGCATTCATTCAAGTTGAGAATTATGCAACCCTAACAGCTGCAGAACAAGAGCTATTTCCTCTCAGCCCAGCCCTACAGTACAAGTGGTACAACTATGGGCTCCATCGATGTCTCCAGCCTGCGTTTACATATTTCCTTAACACCATGAGAACTGATCCAACCGTGTCGCAGTCTATGGCCCTCTTCAAAGCTGCACAGCTCTTCAGTCCAAGATGTATCAAGGTATCAAGGCCAACTGCCATCGATGTCGACTGGCTGAGGGTTGTGCCGTTCCTGAGTTCGAATGATGTAATAGAATCTCTGAAGGATGAGCTCCCAGATTACATTGCCAAGGCCAATTCTACACCTGATGTCTTCGACGACTTGACTGACACGCTGCCTTGGTGGAAAGCTACCGCGCAGGATCTACCATGTTGGGCTGCTGCTGTGCAGAAGATGGTTTTCGTTCAACCGTCATCAGCTGCGGCTCATCAGAGCGGGTTTTTTCTATGCTGGTCACCATGTTTGTGGACCAGCAGCATGAGGCCCTCGAAGATTATCTTGAGGCAGCCTTGATGCTACGTATAAATAGTCGCTAGTTTGGAGGCTAAAGCAACATATTGATAGTTTTGTATTTTGTTGATTTGGAAAGCAGCACAACGGAAATACTTTGCGGAAATTGTTCTTGTTATTATTAAAGTGACTGATTAGGAGCTGGTTAGAGTCTCAGAGACAGGTTCGGTGTGAAGGTTTTACCTTGAAGTCTTGTACGCTATTTTTTCATGTCGATTCAAGAGCAAGTTTACATAGGATATTCGTTTAAAAAAAAATATCAATACACATATAGGCAAACGTGAATTGATGTTTTTGCAACTTTTAAACAATGACAATAAATGATGTTTTACAATTAACAACTCATTGTTTCTTGTTATATCGCTATAAGAAACGAAATTTATAAGAATTTTCGGGAATTTTAGAGAGTTTTTGGAGAATTTTAGACATTTCTAAGAGAATTTTAGAGCTTTTGTTTGAGAAATTCCGGAAAGAATTTTAGACGATTTTTCGGGAATTATGTAGCTAAGCCTAGATGGTGCAGTAGTGAGAGCCCTCGCCTCCCACCACTGTGGCCTGGGTTCGATTCCCGGACTTTGTGTCACACGTGGGTTGATTTTGTTGTTAGTTCTCGTCCATGCTTCGAGGGTTTTTCTCAGGGTTCTCCGGTTTTCTTCCCTCTACAAAAGCCAACATTTTAATTTCCAATTCGATCTGGAAGTAGTGGTCAAGAAGAGCCTCCTAATGGAATTCCCATTGTGAAATTCCCATTTCGTATTTATTTCTTACTAAATCTCTAAGCGATCTCATCACGCTACAGACGCCGTCCCCCTCCTTTCGATGTGGGAAACCTTTTGTTAAGTCGATTTTTAGCCCAATCCTAGACCATAACATGTTTCCCAAAAAGGTTTTATTTTTCTTCAACATTTTTAATTAACAACAGCAACAAAAGTAATAATAATGACAAAACAAAACAAGAAAATTATAGTAAAGGTCCTTGCGTTAATATATTACGACTTAACTCAGAAATTTCTCTTAATTTACAAACACATGTTAGTGTACACTTTTTACAATTAAAAAAATAACTTTAAAACTCAAGTCACAGTTTTATCCGTATTACTTTACAATTTTTAACTTAAAAAGGACGCGATGACCTCTCAAAGAATATCTCACTTGAATCGTTACTGTTAGGGTAAACAGAGAAAGACTCCGTCATCAGAATCTGTTGTCCTGCGTTAACTTGCCTCTACTATACTCTTTCGCGCTCTCAGTCTTACTCGTTTACCTCTGCTTGCTGTGTTCCTGCTCGTTTGTGATGTTTCATCTCGACCCATGTTCCTCTCGGCAACTCTAGCTTTGTAACCTTGAAATGTTTCGTTGGGTCTTAGTAGCAAAGGTACATACTGGACTTCTTGCGGGAGCCCTGATTCGTTTGGGTCATTCGAAGGTGATGGCATGGTCCGTTTCTCTACCAGGACGTAGAAGCCTTTGGATGCGAGGTACTTACTCGCGTAATCGTTTTTGTGGCTGCTGAGATCTAAGACAAGACCTGGTAAAAATAGAGAGCAAGAAAAGATTGTTAGACGTTTTTAGCGAAACACAGAGGGGTTGACACTGGGAAACACTGTGAAACAGATGTTGATGTTTTGTACACGGAAGATTCGTCAACATAAATTAGAAAAATTTCAGAGTTCAATGAAAGCAGTTTTCAATTGAGTATCAAACATGACTCTGGATTGTTTCGGTTTTTCTTTACTTTGCTCTGTGATTGGCCCAGAAAAACTTGTGCCACCATCTCAACCAATCAAATATAAGACTAAAACCAATCCTATCTTCGTCACTCGCGTTTCCCGCGCTTCAAGCAGGTTGCCAGTTTTAACTTGAGTTCTCATTGATGTTAACCTTTGTTCTGATTGATTGCTGCGATTACTTGGGTTTTGGTTTTGGGACACTCAATTGCCCTGATAAATTCCAGCCCTGTGAAAAAACTGTATTCGCATGAGATTTTTTCTCGCCAAAAAAATACAAAGAGCAGTGATGTCAGCGGTGTTGTTTATAACTTATAACCTACACTCTCAAATATATTGTTGGAAGACTTACTGGCTCCCCGGCCCCTCTCGTAAAGAGAAGAAGGAGCGAAAGAACATCATGAACGTCGTTTTGGACAAGTTTCCTCTTTAATTATGTCTGGGAGTGTACGTCACAATTAAGCTTCTGGTTTGGACAAGAGGCCTAAATCGTGGAAATAAAGTTTCCTTTTTCAAAATTTTCTCGCGTATTTTGGACGGAGTCATATCTGCGGCTAATTTTTAATTGTCTTTCGTTTGACTCTTTGTAAAGGCTCATTCCATGAATGCATTAAGAGTTAATTTGTTATTAAAGCTGTGTTTCGATAGGTGCGTACGTCCATGCTTGTGAGTTGTAAACGCGCGGCGAATTCTTCTTATCTTGCCTTTTAAGAATACTTCACTGGAAGCCATCATGTTAATTTATGCGTTTAGTCTGAAGCTTTTAATTGCCACTTCTACAATTCGCCGATATTAGCCAAAGCCATTAACAGTTAATTGCTAAGTCTGCTTTTTGTCGCTGAAAGTGCCGTGGGAAATAATTGGTTATTTGTTCAGATAATCTGGGATTTTGTCTTCTTTGCATGGATAATCCCTTCTTTCGCGCATCGTGTATTAGGTTAGCGTTTATTGTGATTACAGAAAAATTATTGAGCAAACAGTTGAAAGACTGCCAAGCCTATTGCACTAACGAAGGGAAATATAATTAGCTTGACCTGAAGCAGTAATGAAAAGTATTTGTGGCTCTATTGACATTATGAATCATTCAAAATTAAAGCCGGTTGAACTTGCTATTTACGATTTTTCCGCGAACGATATAGCTCTGATTTTGTTAATCTAAATTTCAGCTGGCGTAGAAAGTTTTATTGGAAGTCTAAGTCAAGTTATAAGTATTTCATCTGGTTGTTATTTGTTTGTTTGTTTGTTTTTTTTGCGTTGTTGTTTTCTGATGTTAAGTAGGATAGTTCGTGAACTCTGACTGAAGCCCAATGGGTAAAATTACACGTCTCCATAGCAATTTTATGGGTCTGCGAAGATCTTGTCTCAGAAAATAAACAAGATTTACCATCCCTTTTAATGAAGAATAGGTTTAGTGCCCGTGCCAGACGCTTCAGATCGTCTCTTGGTAGGAAAAAAAAAGCAAAGTGGTTTTATAGCTTGTTAATTTTCAGGTTGATGGCCCATGAAAAAAGCTTCTAAAAACAGAGAGGACAATAACATGTCTACTTAAATTTCCCTAACAAGGAAACCGCAAATTCGTGACATGCTTCAGTAATTGCATTTAAAGCGAAATTCAAAATCTGACATTTATGTTGTCTGTAAAAAACCGTAGAGTCTCTTCGTAATCGATATAGTTCCTTTTAGTTTTCCGCTTCTTCTTCAGTTTTTAAGTTTTTTTGGAAAAAAATTCACAGTTATTTACCGTAACGTCTCTCTAGAACCATTTTTTTCAAGGATCAGAATTGATCTAACGCTAAGGTCATTTTAAAGTCATACTTTTTTGCTCGAATTACCTCACGGATTTCGTTCGAAATGAGCCAACTTGTTGCAGCTTAACCCAAACAAATAAAATTAAACGAACAGATGAAAGTTGAACCAAAGTAAACTTTCGGTTTTGGCGCATTTTCAATCAACTTTCTCGCTGTACTATTCGGAAATATTCATCTAAACGCTTCCTTATTTGAATTTGAATTAAATCAGTCATTCATCACGGATGTCTATCGATGCTTTTAAATCCTCTCTGAATTGCCTTCAACTTGCCGTTTAAGATTGTTTACTGTTAAACCTTCAGCTAAAGCCATTATGATAATTTACCTGTTTCGTCGCTCAAGTCCAGAACTCTATCGCTATCGCCATAACCGCAGCGCTCTTTGATCGAGTTCAGTAGGTTTACCACGGAACAGCTTGGGTTGACCAGCAGCGACTTCTGATCTCCGTAATAAATCGTTACAAACATGTTTGCAGAGCATGCATCGACGTCGTAACGAAGCAAAACAACTTCGTATCAACGCTTAACTTTTTCACAATGTCTTCAGTGTGGAGATCGTGTTATGGTCGCGTAACAAACGCTTCCTGAGTGATGTGCTCTTTTGCTACAGATATGCAGACGATTGAT